CCCAGATGATACTCGGTAGCCTTACTAGACTTATTGTCAGTTTTGAAACATGCCACTCTGTTAAGGATCTCACTTCTTCTGGGCTAAGGGCATGAGTTAGAAAAAGCTGGACACGTGTGTGGATCAAGTACTCACTCCGAGCCATCTCCTCTGTAAAGAACGACCGGAAAGGACAAGTCAGTGGTGGTCATAGGCCCAGTATGGAGCTCTTACTCTCGATGTCTTCTATCTTGTCGACGATACCCATGGTTGCGGATGTATGCGGTGTCTGGTGAGTGTAGTAGTTGTGCTGTCTTAGGAGAGCTTCGATAGACAGGTATACAAGTCGACATTTGACTTGTAAATTCGTCCCTCGAAGCCCCCCGCGACTGGCCAGTTGATTCCGTCATCACGAGGCACCGTTCCTGCTGGTTCCCACGCTCTCGGTCTCCCGCTGCCTCGTTCAAGCACAGTTATTGCACACCGTCTGCTGCCATTCTTCCTCTTTCTTTCTTTCTTTCTTTCTTTCTTTCTTTCTTTCTTTCTTTCTTTCTTTCTTCCTTTTCCTTTTCTCCACATCGCCTATCCCGCAATGCCCGACTTCTACCCCTCCATCTCTCAGGTCAAAACAATCCGCGTTCCCCCGGACGCCCTCACCGGCTACGTCCATCTCAACTTCTTCGCCGTTTTCGACCACGAAGAACAGCCTCAAGGCCAATGGGAGATCTGGACAGACCTCCCGTTTGTTGATGACCAAGGGAACCTTCCTTCTCATCCGGGAGAGTGGAGAGCCAAAGCTTTCCATGCTGTAGCGGTCCCGAATGGGGCTGTCAACGGTGTAGACAAGGCCAACGGGGTGTCCACAACCTCTATCACCATTCGGTCTCTGGACCTGCCAGAGCCATCATTGCCTCCCGCCACTCTGGCAACCACTTTGGTGATTCCTGCCGAGCTTGACCGAGAGTTTGCGTATACGTTCCGTCATGTTCATCCTGAAGGACAAATTCACTGGCAGAGTGGAATGGGTGGAAACGGTGTGGTCCGATTGAAGGCAACAGACAAAGCGGACGAGACTGGACCCATCAAATCGGGGTCTTATCCACCTTATGTCAATGTGTTTGAGGATAGCCTTGATTGGGACTGGAGCGGTATTGCTGTCACACTTCACGAGGGTAAAAAACGGTACGTCACTATTGCGTGTAAGTCGTCCGGTTGACCTGATATCGTGTAGCATTCAAACACCCCGCTTGAATGCCATTCCTCACAAAGGCCGCATCCTGCCTACTCTTGTATTGCTGCATGGTCCCCCCACGCCCCATCTGGCCCCCTTTGCTCGACTCTCGTCTACCAAGCTAGCTACGCCTTCGGAGGGCGCTAGTGCGAGCTATCAGGCCATCATTAGCCCCATCGACAATCCTCTTATCCAATTCGGCAAACTTCCAATGATCGGCATGGAGGGAGGGTCTCCAAGCTACGCACTTGGTGTAGACACCACACCTACAGAAGTACTGCGGGCGGCCGTTGGATCAGCCAAGGGAGACCAAAGCCATCTGCTTGTGGCAGAAGTCAAACAAGGCAAAGAAACCAGTCAGGATGTGGGAGCTCTGTTCTACATTTCTTCCGACGGCGACTCGGAGCCGATTCAAGTGATTGTTGATGCGGTGTATCATCAGGCCGCCCGTGACATTGCCATCGAGATCCCAGACAGGCTATCCGGCCACAGCCCGCTCCTGATAGTCTCCTCAGAGTCGTCATCTATTCCGTCCTACGTGCCCGGACGCGACAACAATTTTGCGCGCCACATCCCCGCCCACATCTACCCCGGCGCTGCCGCTGACGTTCTTCGAGTCTTCGAGTTCTTTGAACTCCGTGGTGCTGGTGCCGACGATACCATCTGGATTGCTGTTCCCGAAGCCGACTCTGCCGAGCTGGGAGAAAAGGAAGTCGAGATTCATCCGATCGACCCCGTCGACAACCCTGCATACTTTGATATACCCAAAGACCTTGACGTCCAATCCAACAATGTTTTGGACGGATTTGTAACTCCCCAGACAGAGCTTGTTCCCCCTAGCAGTGCTACTGCTCCTGCATCGACTGATCGAAAAGAGCAGGGCGGGTCATGGATTTGGGGGGTCATTGCGCGCTTCTTTGAGAGTATTTGGAGGATGATCCTTTGGCCGTTCAGATCCAAGATTGTGCCACCTAGAATTGAGACGGAAGATAACAACGGGCAGACAGTCACCGACGAGAGAACGCCGTTACTTGAGGTAGGTCAATACGATAATCAGGAGTTAGGGCTGACGTTCCCACAGTCACGAGCCGCTGCTTCCACGACAGCCACTCCGGCCGCTGCTCCTCCTAACCCCCAGACTCCAATGCTCTCCCCCATCCCGCACACCGTAGCGATTCGCTCTTACGCCCGTCTCACATTCAACGCTACTACCCCACTCCGCTTCTTCCTTCCTCCCGGCTCAGCCTCTGTCGAAGAGAGGCTCAAATTCACTTTCAAGTCTGAGGAAGGCAAGGATTGGGAGAGTCTAAAGGTAGATGTGAAAAGACATGGGGAAGGAAATGTATTTGAGGGGCTGGCAGATGTAAAGCTGAAAGAAGTTATGATTGAACGTGTTTGACGGAATCTGTAAATGTCCATTTAGTTGTCTGGAAAAGCTCTTTTCATAGTGTTATAAATTGATTATCAAGTCTTCATGTTGAAATATTACACATAAACTTCACACTGGACTGCGTAACAGTTGCACGAGGCTATTCACTGGATCATCGAGCCCGTAGTCGCGAAGACATAGAGCTCTGCTCCATCCGTCAGGGTTTTTCACCAGAGGTTGGTGCTGTAGAGGACGAATCGTACTCTCAAATAGTTTGGGCATGATAGCAACCGCCGACGAGACTCGGTCTTGTCACAGCATCATCATCTTCTTGTTCATCTATCCAGAGATTCGGGGATTCTTTTGATGTATATATATATATATATATATATACTATGGTCTGCACGATGCTGGCAGCTCGATCTATGCTAGATGGGCCTTGATGAACGCTTCGATTTGGCAGATGTAGTTGTCCGACAAATTGTGCGCGTGTCCAAATTCCTCAGCAGCAACTCTAGGCTCCACTGGGAGTACTCAGCAACTTTTCTGGGAAATCCGGGAACAGGGGTTCGCTTACTATTGGTAGAGTAGACTAGGGGTATGGGGGGATCTTCGTCGCTGGAAGCATATCAGCATCTCATTAGATGTAGGTTGATGATGTGTCTGAGATACCTCAAGTCAATATCAATGGTCATAGTAACAGGTGCAGCAGCTTCAGGGGCTGCGGTCAAACTAGGAGCTCGCGGAACTGATCTGAAAGCTGGTCAGCAAGGACAGAAATGCCATCAGAGATACGGGGAGTCACCTATCGGGGATTACGGGCAACCGTTCTCGATACGACTGATCACAAGGTCAGCTCCTGTTCACAGCCTTCGAGGAGGGGGAGCCTACCTTCTGGATATCTTCGCTGGCTATCCTCGTGTTCGCCCTGGACCACACGCGCACGACGCCGTCGGAACCCCCAGTCGCAATATCTCCATTCGGAAGCGAAGCGACACACCAGACCGTCTGGCAGGGGTGAGGCAGTATGTCTTTCTCTTCTCCTTCTACAACGATTAGTCAGCCAAGTCTTACGGATACTCCAGAGACAGGCGGAAGTTAAAAAGCTGAGTCGTACCATGCCAAACACGCTAAGGAAGGCTATCAGACGCATGCGACTCGGCAGAGGTGACTCACAGCCGTGTGATCCTCGCCACAAGAAACCAGCTGACTGTCAGTTCCTACAATGACCCTATAAGTGTAGTCTGTGTGTCCCCGAAGAACCTGTAGAACGCTGCCGGTGAAGTCCCAAAGACGAATGAGACTGGGACAGCGGGTGTCAGTAGAGGCGTGATACAGGAGGTGAACAAAGCGTACCCGTCATTACAAGCTGTGACGAAGGTATCATTAGATGGTAGTATAGCCAAGCTTCTAACCGGCTCGGGAGATCCTTTGAAGCGCTGAAGCAACTGGCCGCCTTCGTCCCACAGGTTGACGAGCTTATCGGCTGAAGCCCCGTCAGCGACCTAGCCAATTACACACAGCTCGATACGCCTACCCGAGCCTATTGAGGACTGAGTCAGTACGATCGGTTTGAGCGAGTAGTGTACTTACAAGTAAGATATTGTCCTACCGTAGACCCTTCCACAACAGCCACATCCCAAACCGCCTGCTCATGCCCTTCCAGAACCACATCTGTCTTCCACTCCCCATACCCTTGCCCCTCGCCTTCCCCACGTTGCGTCTTCTCCCTGGACCATACCCTCGCAGTCATATCCCAGCTTCCGCTGATCAGCTTCTGTTGTTTGGAGGAATATGACAGAGCGCAGACGTTGAGTGCGTGGCCGATGAGACATGCTCTGCTTGTAGATTGGAGAGTGGTGAGGTTGTGGACAAGGATTACGCCAGAATTGCCGCCGGACGCTATGTATCGATTGTCTGATACAAATGAGCTGTGATCTGGGAGAAGAGGGACGGAGAGATGCTTACCATCCTCTGCTATGGGAGGTACATATGCCAGAGAATTGACATATGCCCCATGTCCCTCCAGAAGTGCTACCAGGTCAAACTACAGCTCTCTGATCAGCGCTTCTTCTGATTCTGCTGAGATGTCTTGATCCACCCTTTCCTTCCCCAGCTTCCAGACAGACACGCTCGAATCCCGCGAGGCTGATACCAAAAGATCATCGTCGACAGCAAGGACGGCCTTGACATCCCCTGAATGGGCTGGCTCGAACTCTGAGCTGAGTTGATACTTGGCTGTATCGTCGCCGGTTGGCTCTGGTTTCCAGTTGGCCATGGTCAGACTTGAGGAAGAGACAGTTGTACACTCGGTCGCAATGGCTAACTTGCAATGCGCCGGCGGCCGACACCGGATCAGACATTCCCACGGTGATGTGCAACTTGACGTCACGTTGACCAATGCTTCTCGAAGCGCATCGCTCTCTCCAGTCATAATGGAGATACATCAGACTTTATCGTCTCCATTCTTTCTACCGACCAAATGCAGAAAGTCCTTCCCACCATAAAGCTCTTCCCTTAGCTTTTCGGGATACGCCCACTCGTGCTCCTCCTCCCCATCGCCGGGTAGCTCCGGAAAAACGTCTGAAAGCCTGGTGGAAATGTAGAGCCCATCGTCATACTTCTGGTCTTTAACGAGGAGGCCACGAAGTTTGAGCAAGTATTTGAGTTTGCGAGCTGCTCGTCTGCTGGGGGAGATACTGCTTGCGGCGAGATCACCAACCTCAGGGAAGAAGAATCTGTTTGCCCTGTCAGCCAGTAGCCCCTGCTAGTTGTTGAATGGCAGCATACGAGAAGAATATACTCCACATGAGAGGAAAAAGCATCTCTTTGCAGAGCCAGAAGGGAGCTGAAACATTACTTATCGTACGGCAATAGACAGTCATGCTTGTTAAAAAGACCACTACAGGTCCGAGAAACGGAAAGACTTCGGTGACGCTTGCAGCACCTAGTCGAAACTTTCCCAGCTGTTCGATACCTGTCAGCAACTAGCGGTACCAACCAACAAAAATGTTTACAGGAGACGGGAGGATGCCCTCCATGAACCACGCATAAGCTTTCAAGTAGCGCATTGCTTGTTTGTCGGCAACAACGATGTTCTTGGATGTTCCAACATTGGACTAACAGTTTGCCTTGATCAGCGTGAGAGCAACATGATCAGACCTAAACTTACCTCGTAGGCCAGGTGCTTTGGGTCGTGAGTTGATCCACACATAGATTCGCCAGTGTTTCCCTTACCATAATGTTCTCCCAGCTCTGCGAATAAACAGTAGATCCTGTAGAATGGCTGGTACATTAGGCGTATCCTCCAACTCTAGGACTCACCCGGATATCGCCATGTTTGGCAGCTAGACGAGCTTGCGTCACCAAATGCTCTACTTCGCGGTACGTTTCATGCTTGCCGTGTGTCTTCTTCTTATATTGGGGCCAGTATATGTCTTTGTAGCAAGAGGGTATAGTGTACTTTCGACGGCCACATCGTATTGTCGTCACTTCCCCGTCGACAAACTTGTCGACAATCCTGAAGATGAAGGAGGTGGGTGCCATGTTTGAGGCCAGCTCAAAAATCAGCAGAGACGAAACGGGACAGAATGGACGCAGAACAAAGAACAGAGTCACATGGGATACCTTGCCTTAAGAGTAAATGCCTTGTGGTCTGGGCCCTCCATTGCATGCAGGCTGGCATGTGGACGCGAGTCAAAAGAAGGTGGACAAAGGAGCTAAATGGGGGGGATGGTGTGATGTCACACATAGGCGCGCGACACGGATTGAATCATGCTTCGTGGCGGGCAAGGAGCGTTTCTTGGTTGGTCAAAACATTTCAACGACTCCGCGCGCCCCAGGACAGCCCAGGACAGCCAGCGATCCCGTGCCCACCAACGCCCCGCAGCACATACAGCACACCCAGCCCCACCCAGACCCCGCGCGCCTTTCCGCCCCCCATCGCACCACAGCACACGCGCTGTCCCTCGGTTTCCATCACAGACATCCCTTTCTCCCATTCTTCCGCCACATCCCGCAAGCCACCTCTCGCTTCCCGCTAGACTGCTGCCATCCTAGATTCTGACCGCGGTACCATGGATGCGGAGACGAACAATCAGTGGCGGTTCGCCCAGTGTTTCGGAGACAAGGGCGAGGTAGAGGACATCACGGAAGGCAAGTATCCTGGATTGCTCCTTTGTGTTTTCGCCATAAGCATAAGTTGACAGTAGCCTGCAGCCGATATCATCTCTACGGTAGAGTTTGACCATACGGGTGATTACCTCGCGACTGGTGACAAGGGCGGTCGCGTGGTCTTGTTTGAGCGGAACGAAGCGGTAGGTCCATTGCGACTTTGGAAACAGTCCACTGATGTAGTCGGTAGAAACGAGGCTGCGAGTACAAGTTCTACACAGAAGTAAGCCTTTTCTGGACGTATCGACGCGCCGTATACTTATATAGCGTAGTTTCAATCTCATGAGCCCGAATTCGATTACCTCAAGTCTCTTGAGATCGAGGAAAAGATCAACAGGATCAAATGGTGCAAGAGGCAGAATTCTGCCCATTTCCTTCTGAGTACCAATGGCAAGTCTTCACATACGCTCTAAATGCACATCTGACTCAGAGTCATAGACAAGACAATCAAACTTTGGAAGGTGTTTGACAAGCAGATTCGTGTGGTCGCCGAGAACAACCACTCGGAAGGCTATGGTCAGAACACTGGCCCTTCCCAGCCCCCCCTGCGCCTCCCTCGCCTGACGACCCACGACTCCATAACCGCCGCCGTCCCGCGAAAAGTGTACGCCAACGCGCACGCTTACCACATTAACTCCATCTCTGTCAACTCGGACGGGGAGACCTACATCTCGGCCGACGATTTGAGAATCAACCTTTGGAACCTTGACATCAGCGACCAGAGTTTCAGTGAGTCTCCGCGGGCACGACGGAGAAATCACCACTGATCGCTCGTCTAGACATTGTGGATATCAAGCCGGTCAACATGGAGGAGCTTACCGAGGTTATCACTGCTGCCGAGTTCCATCCCATACACTGCAACCTCTTCATGTACTCGAGCTCGAAGGGTACGATCAAGCTCGCGGATATGCGAGACTCTGCGTTGTGTGATTCACATGCGAAGCGTAAGTCACTTCTTGCCACTTCACACGTAGGCACGGCGCTCATCGTGACGCAGTCTTTGAGGAGGAAGAAGACCCTGCTTCTAAATCCTTCTTTTCTGAAATCATATCATCCATCTCCGACGTCAAATTCTCGCAAGACGGGCGATATATTCTCTCCCGCGATTACTTGACGCTCAAGATTTGGGATATCGCCATGGACAGCAAGCCTGTCAAGACCATCAATATCCACGACCACCTTCGGCAGAAGCTTTGCGACTTGTACGAGAATGATTGCATCTTTGACAAGTTTGAGTGTACATTCAGCGGGGACGGAACGTGAGTTGCACGCTGTACTGAGAGTGTCATCTGATGTCGTCCGCAGCCAAGCTTTGACAGGATCCTACCACAACTACTTCCGCATCTACGACGTCAACTCGGACAATGATGTCGTGCTGCAAGCCGACAAGTCTGCATTCAAGGCCAAGAAGATTGGCGGCGCGAGAGGCAAGGTGCCCGGGAAGAAGGAAGGTTTGCAGACGGAAGGGATTGACTTTTCAAAGAAGATTGTGAGCGCAATAAATGAGTCTGAGAATTGAGCTGACGCCGTCCATAGTTGCACGCGAGCTGGCATCCCCGCGAGAACACTATTGCTGTGAGTGTATTCGAGGCAGTGTCAATACTGATGCTGACGAGTTTGCAGATTGCCGCCACCAACAACCTGTTCGTGCTCTTTGCGCACCATCCCCGAAATGATTTGCTAAACAATTTTACAGTTTCCTCTACTCTACATTATCATGAGCGTTCTCTCGAACCGACATCCAACCATATACCCATTTCGCATCCCAACAGCAAGATCACCAAATACAAGTTTATTTCTCCCCCTTTACTCTGCCAATGTTGGCCCTGTCCGTTTCCATCCATTTTATTTTCCTCTCATCTCTTTTTACATGTCTTTCCATATGTTGGCATCTGTTGCCCCTCGAGACTCTGGTGCGGCGCTTTTGTGAATCTTCCTTTTCGCTCTCGATAGAGTTTGTCCACGATGAGAACAGGGGAGGCGACGCGCTTTAGTCTATCATAGAAATGGTGTGCGTCGGCGCATAAGGGGGCGCGAGGGGAGGAATCAGTAGTAGAAAGAGGAAGAATGGGTATGAAAAGAAGTACTGAACACGATCGCGAAGGGTTGGTGCCATAAATGATAATTACAGCGGTTTCTAATGTTTATAAACGGTTTCTAATCACATAAACAAGACGCGACTGGCGTCTAAAGTGTTGCGAGGGCGTCTTCTTCTGCACCCCATATCTCCTCTTTCTTCTTCTTTTTCTTTCTTTGTCTCCCCGCCATGGCCGCCATAGACTCCTCGTGGACGCAGGACGACGAGTCCATCGAGCTCGCCACCCCCGACTTCCACTTCGACTGGCTCAAGGACAGCCGCAGCCGCGAGCACTCCCCGGCACTCCCCTCTCCCCAGCTCGCCCAGCTCTCCCTCTCCTCGAAGAGCCCTCCCCCCGAATCTGCCACGCCGCCCCACGCGCCCTTCTATTCCGCACGATCGTCCCTGTCTTCCGCCAATGTGGCGTCGCTGACGGACAGCTCGACAATATCACCATCTTCATTCGCCCCTACCCCGCCAACCAGCAATATACTCAAAAACTCGCGCTCCTTGTCGCAACAAAACATCTCTGGCTCAGGTGGAAGTAGCTCAAACTCTGGGAGAATATATGGGGGCGCCCGGAAGTTTCAAAGAGTCGTGTCTGCCCCTGTTCCTCCCAGGCAAGAGGCCAAAATAGATCAAGAGCCTGAGACCTTGTCGGGATCGTCAGCAGTACGCTCAATCACGTCGCGTCTTCTACCTGCTGACATACATACAGGATCCGACCAATCTGACGCAGAATGCGACCATTCGCCCCAATCTGACGCACACGTCGTCCGCATCGTCCGTCAATACACTTCCTTCTCATTCGCGACCCGGCACCGTAACCCCTGCGGTTGACCGCTCACTACCTAATGCAAGGTCGACAACAGGCCGGAGGATGGGCCTCTTGGCCAAGTTTGGAGGACCAGCAAAGCGACGGGTGGATGCCAATGACGAGGCTGAGCTTGCTGAAGGAGATGAACTGCCAGGTGTCAGGGAGGAAACCCCGCCTTTGATAGGTGAGCAAGGATGTTGGAAATGTGGGACATGTGCTGATGGTCTTGTAGACTCCCCTCCTCAAAGAAGAGGTAGTGCTGATCGAAGTGCTCCGGTGACTTATCCATCACTACCTACTGCCGAGCGAACGCAGCCAAACCCCCCACTCAAAGGCTATCGCTCTGCACCGCTGGCACAGGGCTCGACGAGCAGCTCGACCATTCGCGAGGTCGAGGAGTCACAAGGACGGCAGCCGATCAGCCGCTTGGAGAGAGATCACCGATCCACAGAGCGCCACCCCGAACCAATCGCTGAAGTCCAGGAGGACCGTCCCTTCCGTCCCTTCGGCAAGCCGTCCGAGCCCCCAGCGAGGCATGGTGTGTATCCAGAACCCCGGCAACCTACGCAAAGATCGGCCCATCAGCATTCACTGTCAGAGGCACCGCCTGACCCTCCGAGATCCGCACCGCCTGCGCCAGTCAGGCAGAATACGCCGCCGTACCCTCCACTCCATGCCGGTCGCCCAGCGCCGAATATTGAAGCGCGCCATGACTACCCTTCTGCTTCACAGGTACCACAAACAGCACCGTTACCGCTCCACTCTCTTCCGGAACAACCGGTCGCACCGCAACCAGTGGCACTCCAGCCAAAGTCTCTATTCCACGTGAGCCCACATCTTGACGAATTGATTCAATGACTAATCTTGCTGTCAGGTGAATAATGTACCATACGAAAGATTGCAGCGTTTGGGAAAAGGTGGATCATCAACGGTCTACTCTGTACTCTATTCAGCACCCAAAAAGAAGATAATCTACGCACTCAAAGTTGTACAACTGGAACGGGCCGATGCCGAGACCTACCAGAGCTATACCAACGAGATAGATCTTCTCAAACGACTGAGAGGACACGATCGCGTGATCCAGCTCATGGATCACCAGATAACGTTCAACCAGTACAATCGGCCACACCGGTTGCTTATGGTAAGCAGCTCGAAACGCTACAAAGTATTCGCTGACAAGGTGCAGGTCATGGAATGCGGAGAAATTGATTTTGCTGCCCTGCTGGACGAGCAACGTGGCAAGGCCATCAACATGAACTTTGTCGGTCTCTACTGGGAACAGGTAAGTGAAGCTGTCCCCATACACAGTTCTGCGTTGACCTGCCGTGCAGATGCTGGAAGCTGTGCAGGCAGTACATAGAGAAAACGTGGTCCACACAGATCTGAAACCGGCCAATTTTGTGTTGGTAAAGGGGCGACTGAAAATCATTGATTTCGGCATTGCAAAAGCTATAGCAAACGATACGGTCAACATTCAGCGTGATCAGCAGGTATGTTGACACTATGATTAGTGCGCCCGCAGCTGACGTCTGTTTGGCAGATCGGTACCGTCAATTACATGTCTCCAGAAGCGATTCAGCGGATGAACAATCAAAAGGTGTTGAAGGTCAGTATTACACGCTCATTGTGACTATAGGCTGACGCGGACTCTTAGCTGTCATATCCCAGCGATGTCTGGTCCCTAGGGTGCATCTTATATCAGATGATATACGGTTCCCCTCCTTTCCAGCATATCACCGGTGGTCCCTTGGCGAAGATGGGTGTTATTGCCGATGCCAATCATCGCATAGCCTATCCCGAGATTGCCGTCCCAAAAACCGCCGTCGGCTTTGGCCTCGATGGACACCCTTTGGATCCAGCAAGTTTGGCGGTGCCCGTCAGCCCGGAAGCGATCGATTCGATGCAGAGGAGTCTAGCGTACAGGAAGGAACATCGATTGACTATACCAGAGCTGCTACAGCACGAGTTCTTGAAACCCAAAATCAGAGGTGAATATTTGTACACAAAAGTGGGTCACAGTTGCTGATTTACCATAGCTCCTGCGCTTCCTGCGGGCACTACGCCTATAACGCAAGAGCAGATGGAACGTCTTGTCAACTTTATCCTGACAGAACATGGACTTCCCGATCTACCGGAAGGTAACCATACCGCCGAGGTCAGTCAAGCGTTCGTTTCTACAATGAATAAATGCTGACATACCGCAGGATCTGTTCTCTCAACTCCAAGCGCAAAACTCGTTATCTCAATAACCTTCATCACTGCATCCTCCATCATCCAAGCATTCACATCTTGAGACGTTCATATCTTCCCTGCAATCCACACATCGTTGTACATCCCACACTTATAATGCACGCATCATCCAAGCAAGTCAAATCAGGTATCATTCGTTACATACAGTGTATAAAAAATGTAGAATGCACTCGGCGGGCCAACGAAAGGCCTTACAAATTATAGTTGTCATGTACAGCCGCTCTTTATCTCACGGGATCGATCCATCTCTCCGACCGGTCAAGCGTGCTTCGCCTCGCACCAGGAGATGCGAGCGTAGCGCTCCGATCGCCAACTCGCGGTCGACATGGATGCAAGAGTAGTGCTGCGTCAGCATTCAACGGCGGCTGGCATAGCTTTCGCCATTGAAAACTTCCGGGAAAAATGGGTTTGGTGCGGGATGCTGCTGCTCCCAAGTCTTGGGTACAGGCGCATACAACGACACGCCGTCATCGGAATCGGAAGGTGGCGAAGGAAGCGGGCGCAGCTCCTCTTCGTAGTCGTGCTCCGCAGGTCTGGCGGAAGCGGGGGGAGGCGGGAGAAGATGCCCGTCAGCAGAGAGGACAGGAAAGTAGAGCAACTCCGATCGGGTAGAGTGGGAGCTGTGGGAGGAAGGGTGGGAGTGGTAAGATCGGATGGAACCGGCGTCGCTCGAAGATTTGTAGCTCTCGGCGCCGGAGCCCTTGTAGTAGCCCAGAGAGGGGGAAAGGGATGGGATGTTGTCTTGAGAGTAGGTGGTCATCAGGGGAGCTTTGGCAAAAGACATGGGGCGCTCGGTGGCAAAAGAAGGTGAAGCCTGTTCTCTTGAACGGGAGCGGAAGTAGCGGCGGGCGTAGATGGCTATGAGGATGGCAATGGTGACGCCGACTATCAACGAGGTCAGTGATGGGTCCGTTGTAGCAAGCAAGGGGGCTTACTGCAGCCGGCGACGACGGCGATGGCGACCTTATCTCCAGAAGACAACTTGGCACAGGCCTTGCCATTGGAGTCGTAGGTGGTCCCACTCTGTATCAAAGTCAGCTTATGAGAGAGATGGAGCAGGAGTTCACTCACAGTGTCCCCCGAGTGGTAAGCACATCCTCGCTTGGCGAGCGAAAAGTAGTTGAGCGAGCTGGGCGCCATGGTGTGGTGATCAGAGATTGTTTGTGGTTTTGATAGCGTGTGGACGTCAAAGAGGAGAATGAGAACAAATGGATAAGCAGCATCTTGTTCTTTTCCCCATGCCATTGACAATTAGCTGCGTCCACTGCGTCCACTACGGCGTCCATTGCAGCTGCGACATAACGCGTCGGAAAGGTACAGGGACGAAAAAGAAATAAAGACGCGCGAAATGTCTCGATGGATGGAACTCGCGGTGAATGGCTTTCCCTGAAAAGGTCATTTATCTGGCGAGCTGGGCCGATTCTCGCCCTCATGTATCGCAAATGACGCGTTGCCCAGCGCGCGGGCTGCTGCTAGCATCGATATGAACTAGGCAGCTGATGGATACGCCGGATAACCGATGTTGTGTACAAGCGCCAACTTGGCAAGACAGAATCTTGTATACATGGTAAATGAGCATGCACTTTTTGAACTCATCTATGAGAAACGACACGGCTATGAAATATATGATTGCGTTACAAGCAAGATGGTCTCTATGGCTACAAAGATCAAACACAAGCACTAACACCACCACTTCTCTAGTGCTTGACGGTAAACTCTAGCTGTCCGTCCTCCAACACCTTGACGCCGACCTGGTCCATGGTATCGACGACAAAGTGGGCACCGAGGTGGGAGATCTGCTCGCGTTTGTGGGAGGTACACACGGCGATGACGGTAGAGCCGGCACGGATGGCAGCGAGGATACCAGAGGGAGAGTCTTCAAAGATGACGGCACGGGTGGGGTCGATACCAAGGTCGGAGGCGGCGAGGAGGAATGGGTCGGGGAAAGGCTTGCCTCGGAGAAGACGGGGGTCGTCGGCTGTCACGCAGACTTTGGGAATGGTGATGCTGCAGAGACGTTAGAGGGATTTCCAACACGAGATAAAGACTGACCCAGTTCTCTCGAGACAGCCGTGGCAGTAGGTCTTGGCACCAGACGTGGCAACGGCGTACTTGTCTCCGGGCAGAGACTTGATAAGCTCGCTGACACCAGGCAAGATGCGGACGCTCATGTCTACAGCCTCGTCGAGCTCGTCCTCAAAGACATCCTCCTCGAGCTGGGAAGCACCCGTTTTGGGCTCGAGGTCGGAAAGGTTGAGGGGCTGGACATTGTTAGGCGCGGCGCGGCCGTTGGCGGGAGTGCCGTTGGTCATGGGAGTAAGAGGGGAGAGGAAGATCGAGTTGGACGCGGAGCGAGAGTGGGAGGATCGAGAAGAAGATGACGAGCTCCGACGACGGGGAGGGGTGTCGGCAAACTCGAGAATGGATCGCTCAAACTTTTCAACTTCTCGGTCGATGTGCTCTTGGCGGAGACCGGGGACGAGGTCCTGGAGGTTGTCACTGGCACGACGGCCGTGGGTGGCCTTGATGACGTCCTCGGGCTCGAGGCCGAGCTCTTCAGCTTTGGCGGTCCAGGCGGCCTCGACAGCAGCGATACTGTCGGTCAGAGTGCCGTCCTGCAGAAAGTCAGATTCCGCAGATGCAAAGTGTATGTTGAACTTACCATGTCGAAGAGGATGCCGTCAGCGGTAAATACTTTTGTCTGGTAGTCGGGGTTTGTGGCGGTGGCGGTGGACATGTTGACTGACGAGAGGAGATGGAGATGCAGAAGAAAGAAAAGATAGAAAGGCAAGCGGGACAAGACGAGCGAATCGTGCAGCCCGCTCACGTCATCCTCTTTCCGGAGGCGGCTGCATCCACCGACGTCATGCGGCCCCCGCCGCTGTCTGGCCATCGTCGCGCACGTGTTTCCCTGAATCGGCTTTCCCACGGATGCATGGCTATTGTCACTCGCATAAATGGACATATACATGGTGGATCAAGATTGCAACATCCCATTAGCATACCAGATTCATTGCTGTGGATTCTATGAGGTCCTGCGGGGTGCAACCACTTCCTCGTTGCTGCATCAATGCAATATCCTATCTTTGAGCTCCAACGCTAGAACATACCCTAGTAACCTCAGTATATCGGTATCTGCCAATCTCAGACGTCGAAGGTCTCTAGGGCTCTCCATATGCGTTCCAATGAGGGAAATGACCGCCAACATAACGACAAAGGTGCCGTCCTTCCTTGGTATGAGGATATCTGCCCGAAACGAGATAGAGTTGGCCCGGAGAGTATGGCAGCGTTGGATTGATGCCCGGCCCTAAATGTGTGCTGACATGGTCATATCATTGGCAGAGAGATATTATATACACCTGAAAACGTGCTGGAAAGACCGAAAGACACGAGTTGAATCACAGATACGTTTGGGGTAAAAAAAAGCCCAATGCTCACTCATCCCCCGTCAAAACCACGCGAGAAAACGTGCGTGATGATCCTAGACCCTTCTGGCTCCGGCGTGACCGCGTGATAGATCGAGATATGTATGCCAGATATCCCAGACCTTTCTTGGTCGACGGACGCTACGTGGGCTGTTGTTCCTCTGTCGTTTGAATTGTCTTCTCAATACATATCTGGACGAGGTCCTCCATGTACATACACGGATCCGAGGTCGGGCCCGACTGAGGCGACGGCCGGGCAGGGGGCGGGGGATGTCGCTCTGTACTCGTCGGCCCATATCGCCAGAAACAGGAAGCTAGCCAGAAGCCAGAAGCGATGAACGCGCCAACAAGAGGGCAGGCGGGTGGTGCAGCGCGGCGGGTAAAGTAGGAGATACGATGTGGGGCCCCACAGTTCATTGCCGCAAGTGACGTGGTATTCCGCTAGAACCGACGAGAAACGCTGGGGATTCAGGGAGAGATGCCACAGTGCGAGCTCTCCGGCAACCCGCGGCCATTTCTTGTGCTGTATTTATCATCTCCACGCAACTCATCTCTCTTTCTCTTCTTCACATACAAAACATACACCCATCCACAAAACACATACATCACAATGGTCAAGGTTGGAATTAACGGTTTCGGTGAGCATATTCCGCCCACCCCCCACGCCCCCGCTCACCTCGCCCAGGACGAATTGGTCGAATTGTTCTCAGGTGTGTCGAAACGTAGTCCGCCCTCATTGTTCGCCTCTAAAGCCCTTCGTAGGAACGCCATCGAGCACGGTGACCTCGAGGTTGTCGCTGTCAACGAGTACGCACTTTTTTGATTGCCGCACCACCCACAAGCTTATCTTTCCCACAGCCCCTTCATCGACCTCGCGTACATGGTCTACATGTTCAAGTACGACTCTGTGAGTACCTACGCGGCCATCCACGCGCATGCCTAACGTCCCACAGACCCACGGTCGATTCAAGGGTACCGTCGAGACCAAGGAGGGCAAGCTCTACATTAACGGCAAGGCCATCACCGTCTTTGGCGAGCGAGACCCCGCCAACATCAAGTGGGCCGACGCCGGTGCCGAGTACATTGTCGAGGCTACTGGTGTCTTCACCACCTCTGAGGCCGCCGGTGTCCACCTCAAGGGTGGCGCCAAGAAGGTCGTCATCTCTGCCCCCTCTGCCGACGCCCCTATGTGAGTGGAGCTCTTGGCATGGCAACGCGAAGCTAATACTCGTTTAGGTTTGTCTGCGGTGTCAACCTCGAGGCTTACAAGCCCGAGTACAAGATCATCTCCAACGCTTCCTGCACTACCAACTGCCTTGCTCCCCTCGCCAAGGTCATCAACGACAACGTGCGTCTCATCTGTTCCTTTGAAACGTCCCTTGGAGCTAGGCTGACTCGTATCCAGTTCACCATCGTTGAGGGTCTCATGACCACCGTCCACGCTACCACCGCCACCCAGAAGACCGTCGACGGTCCTTCCCACAGTACGTTCCTCCATTGTCTCTTTCGCAGCCGTGCTGACTCTTGGCGTAGAGGACTGGCGAGGTGGTCGAGGCGCTGCCGCCAACATCATCCCCTCTTCTACCGGTGCCGCCAAGGCTGTTGGCAAGGTCATCCCTTCCCTCAACGGCAAGCTTACCGGTATGGCTTTCCGAGTCCCCACCGCCGATGTTTCTGTCGTCGACCTCGTCTGCCGAATTGAGAAGGGTGCTTCTTACGCCGACATCAAGGCCGTCATCAAGAAGGCCTCTGAGTCCCCCGAGCTCAAGGGTATCCTTGGGTGAGTCTGCCTTTTTCGAGGGCGATAACGTCTCTGACAATGAACAGTTACACCGAGGACCAGGTCGTCTCCACCGACTTTGTTGGCTCTCTCGAGTCTTCCATCTTTGACGCCCAGGCCGGTATCGCCCTCAACGACAACTTTGTCAAGCTCGTCTCTTGGTACGACAACGAGTACGGTTACTCTCGACGAGTCTGTGACCTTATCGCGTACATTGCCAAGGTCGACGCCAAGGCTCAGTAATTTGGTCTTTTGCTTGTAGTCGCTGGATCATTGTGATAATAAAGATGAAAGAGTAGCGGAAGAAGTAGAATGCAATCATGTGTGATTTGTCAGGCATGGTTGATGGCTCAATGTTGCATGGCTTGCGCAGTGTACATCCTCACCACGGCGCAGTCAAGGCCGGTGGTGTTGGCACTTTGGAGTCAATATGGGCAGGTCCAGAGAGATCAGGGTGTGGCTTTCAGCTGGTGAGGACTCGACTCTGGCCCAGCGTCGCCCCACAACCTGCATAACCGAGTCGTTCGACTCGAAGTCCGATGTGTTCGGTCGATTCGGTGATGGCCGCCTCGACGCTTATCTGTACGTACTCTGCCGGTTTTTGCTTCCGTGCCACAGCGAGCATTTCCCGGTCTTTGACTTGTCGACTGTTCTTTCAAAGACAGTGCAGGGGATTGGTAATTCCTCCGCCTACCCCCTCTCAAATCCGCCCATCAGACAGTGTTGGCTTTGATCTCCTGCAACCAACACCGCCAATCCTGCCAGATCAACCCACCTGCCCACCCTCAACCCCTTTCACCCTCTCTTCCACTGTCCACTGTCACCCAAAGCCAACATCCATGCACAAGGTTGCTTCATCCTTTAAGAGTATCATACATGCCCCACTGTGGTGTCTGTCAAGATAGCAGACTTTGACAGCCTTGCTGAGCTGTCCGTCACTCAAAGGTGCTGGGATTCAGCCTCAACAGCCTGCACAGCCGAAAGTTTCAGCTCTCTCTCAACTATCCAAACAACCACAGTGCAGGGGCAGACCAAGCCAATCAATCTCTTGGCTCAGCTTACTGAAGACAAGGGCAGGAAATTGTAGAGGCAAAGGAAGAAGAGGAGATATGTTCATGAGAAGAGGTTACAGTTTCAACATTCAGCCTTGAAATCTTATGATGTGGAGTCCCGATGTATGTGACTAAGCTAAGTGTATGTGACTCAGCTAAGTGTATGTGATACAAAGTGGGCCAGGGTACACATCAATCAGTAAGTGTGTAAATACAGCTGATTGAAGGGAAAGTGAGCAGATATGGCCATTATTGTCCTGATGTATGGTCTACACCACACAGCTATATACAGTACAACCTGAGACTTGAAACAGAGCTAGACAGGAGGAGAAGAAGGCACAGGCAAATGGGGCAAAGCAGGAAGCACAGGCAAATGGGGCAAAGCAGGAATCAATCATGCAACACCTGCTTTGATCACTTGCTTCATGGCTGGATATTACCCTGACACACCAGTCTGCCCAGTCCTCCTCACTACCTATGTGCCCAACCCTTTCCAAATACAGTGTCAATTTCTTCTTGTATAAGAGTGCTTGCACAATTGTTGCCACACCAGTCACAACCACACTCCAGCTTTCAACAATGTTTACATGTTCTTCATTGCTTGAGCTCCCTCTATCCTCATCACCCTTAAGTATCTCAGAGTGAACACTGATACTCTACCTCTAAGGATCTCACCCTTTTCACAGATACGTGGCTCAATAGCCAAGAGATAATGAGACAGCCCAATTCCACCTGTAAAGTCACTCAACAAGAACCTCTCTTCACAAGAAGCTTGATTCTTCCATGATCCTCTGTTGCAGCCTGCTGCCCTATAGAGACTTGCCACTTAGAAAGGGATAACACAAATGTTTACTTGAAGTGGGTCAATGGAAGACTGGCACTGTCAGTTGGAGGTAAGCATGAGCTTGGGAAGATCAGACAAGCAAAGAAAGGTTGGATGTTGTGAGGGCTGTGCATGCGCAGAAGGGCACTTTGTTTGAGTTACTTTGAAGTAACTTGAAAATTGGTCAAGATTGAGATGCATGTCCTCATTATGTATAGGATTGTGTTCAGGGTTTATATTGGGTACTTGTCTGCTTGGTTCTGTGTGCCAGGCTACTTCACATAGTTGATGTAGCATGCTAGCTGCCTGCGCACCCCATAGATTTGATTATGAGCCCTTGTCTCCATCCTTTCCTCCATCATCTTGGCCCCCATCTTTGTCTAGTGTTCTTGTTCCTGTTCTCTTTCTCTCTTATAAGGAAGGCTGTCTGATGTAGCTCAACATCCCTCCTACTCCCTAGTAAGGCTGTCTGGCATAGCTTGACACTTACACATTCAATTGCAACCCCATAATTATTCAACTTGCCTCATCCTCCTTATTGTCTTTAGCACCTCACTGGGAAACTTGTAGCCTTATTCGCCTTGTGATGTGTTCATATAAAGTAGCTGCCCTGTCTATCGTCTTGTCACGCATTCATTCATATACAGGTGATAGTTGCAACATTTCTGCGCATTTTGGTCTCCGCTGCATTGATGCAGCACAGGGTATATATTCCAAACCACTAATATAACGCTGTACCACGCCTATACATATCAGATTTGATGAGGACAACAATGAGCAGCTCCTGCATTAAAAATACATAGCTAGAAGCTGTTCATTAATACTTGGTAAGCTTGCCTCATCTCTTTATCACCTCCTTCATTCTAGCCGGCATGCTCTTGATACATGCCTCAATGCTCTCCTGTGATATCTCCTGCCAGGCTTCCTTGGCCACCCTGGTAAGTTCCTCCCTGGTAGTTGCCCTTCTCCCACGACCCCTGATTCTCTCTTTGAGAAACTTCCAGCAATTTTCAATTGGATTGGGATTGGGAGAGCAAGCAGGGTGAGGATATAAGGAGAAGCCGTTTGCATGGCCTGCTCCTCGCGTCACCTTGGCTGTATGGACCCAAGCATTATCCTCTAGGATGGAGGGGCCCTGCTCACCATCCACACGCGAGATTGCAGAGTTCCAGAGGTTTTTGAGGTGTACAATCACAATCTGCTCTTGGTAGATTTGAGCAGTGACACCGCCCCGCTTGCCCATGCTTTTGCTGGTGTCAAAAACAACCAGCTCTGACCTCCTGCTGTGGTAAATGGCTCCCCAAACCATAATGGAGACCACAGACTGCCCAAATGCAAGCCTCAGATGCGCCAACCACAATTCATCTCCCTCTTTCCTTGTGACTAAGGTCACATGGTCCCCATTGGCCTTGCTGATTGCCTTGTCAACATAGATACCCTTTTTGAAGCCGATATTCTGGTGGACAAGGGCGTACAAGTAGCGGGAACACCTGTACTGCTTCTTTAGGAAAGGTTCGTGCACCACTTTCCTTTGAGCAAACCCATTGACAGCCATGAACTTCTTCAAGGTAGTCAGGGAGATTTCGATTCCACTGGCTGCTGCAAGGGCAGGAAGTTTTGTGACCGGAGCCCACCTGTGTATACAAATCAGGTGGCTGAGTCAGCGGGAAGTACAAGGGTCAATGCTCTCCTTTCAACTGGTATGCTTGTGGGCCCTTGTAGTGCCCTTGTAGTGCCCTGCTCCTTCACATCTTTGTGGGCATTGTGTATGGTACCCTCAGCAACTCCATGGATGCAACCGGCTTAGCGTACACAGTCATGGCGGTAGAGTCGACTGGTAAGAAAAGTGCATGCATAGCTATGTTGTGAAAGGATATATAGGTTGACATATATATGAGGTCATTGTAAACAAAGAATAAAATAACTTTCACATTTGCTTCCGTTTCGGTCCAGCGCTTGTCCAACGCTGGCCTCCCTGCACCTGTCGCCCCAACCCACTCCAGAAAAAATAGCTCTTCCTGCCCATACCGTTTTTGATCCATGCATGCATAGTCAACTCATGTCAAACAGGAAATGAACCTTAAAATAAGGTTCAAGGGTCCACCACGTTTGCTTCCGTGGGCTTCCAGCACTTGCACCAACACTTCCTCCTTTCACCTGTTGCCCTGACCCACTCTGAAAAAATTGGTCTTCCTCCTCATACTGTTCTTTCCCCATGCATGCATAGTACACTCATGTTGAACTTGACCAGTACTGGGAATTAAGGTTCAAGGGTCCACCTGTTTCTCATCGCCGCTGCGCATCCTTCCTCTTCTTTTTCGTTTCTCGCTGTCATCCTTGCCCTGATCGCACTCTCACACTTTCACGTTCTCCAAATCGTAAGACTCGGCGCCTGGAAGCCGCCCCTCAGCTGCAAGACCTACCGAGCGCAAAACAGCGGCCATCTCATTGACCATCTTCCAGCCCTTTCTCCATTACCTCCTTGGTCCCCCGACCGTCGTTCCTCTGCTTTTCGCATTTCTCCCTTTCATTGTCACTCTTTTTGCACTCTTTTTGCAACAGATCGTCATCTACATGGACAGTATCCAGCTACAGAGCTCATCATTCAATGATCTCTTTCCCTGCCCCCTCATGTCCACCCGCTCATTGCCGCCGCGCATTGTTTCTCTTTGGACGTTTCTCGCTTTCATTGTCACTCTCTTCGCGCTCTCTTCGCAGAAGATCGTCATGTACATGCAGACTATCCAGCTGCAGAGTGCATCATTCACTCATCTCTTTCAGTCCCCCCACCACATTCACCCGCACCCAACAACTTCCAACTTCCAAACCTTTCCAACAACCACTCATTGTTGCTGGGGTCACCGCCCACCTGTCGCTTGCCTCTGCCTCTCAATTTCCTTCCAATATCTTCTCAACTTCCTCCCATCATTACTGTTATCTTGCTCTATCACTTGCTCTATCACTTGCTCGCTCCTGCATCTTCTCTCAAAAATGCTGAAATCTGCCCCAATCAAAACCCCTTTTGATGACCAAGCCCTACAACGCACCACAAACGAAGGTCAACAAAGGCGGGGCGTCCTCCAAAAACACCCCCCACCAACATGCCCCATCAAAACCCCCTTTTGCTTCCAAACCCTACAGCACACCCGGCAAAGACGGACGTCCTCCAGAAACACCCACCACCAACACTCCTCTAGGCCTTCAATCTCATCCGGAGGGCGATGTCCCCCATTATTATATCAGTCTCTGCAACTATGTATCCAAGAAATGCTGTGCTCTTCACTGGCCAGGGGAACGTCCAGCCTCCCCCAGACACGCTGCCTCCCATGAAGCCGCCTTCTCTTCCTGCTGTTCAAATACCAAAGTGATCTTACCGAAGGTGCTAGCATCCACATCCTTCCATCATGGTCGTTCTTTCCCCAACACCTGGTCCCAGCGTCAAGGTACAGCATCTATACAAGCCATCAACGACTCGGACCGCCCCAGTGTCAAGCTCTTCCAGTCTACAGTTGATACTACCAACGGCAAGAACCCTCTCACTATCCTCTCCTGGGTCGCTCATGTCTCCCACCACAAGCCTGGTGAACTCTTCTACTTCTCTGGCGACGTCGCCCACGGCAACACGGACTAGAACAGTCGCTCTTTCAAAGTGAGCGGCACTACTTATAACTGTATTGTATGTGTTCCTTCCATCAAACATGTCATCAAACATGTCAAGCCTGACATGTACACAGAGCAAGAAGGGGGACTGGGCTGCTTTCGTCTGGCGTGTTCAGGTGCCAGATACGGAAATACTGCTACCTCCTCTTCCCCGTATCGCGCCACCGCTGTCCACCAACATTGCCTTCCCTCATGAGCCTCCAGTCAAATCTTCCTCTGGCCCCACCAAGAAATCCAGGAAGTCATCGCCTCTGCCTTTGTCTGTTGTATCAGATGCATGCTTCTCGCCCGTCTGCCAAACTCTGTTGCTTTTACCATTGATGTTTCCCCCAGACCCACTTCATGTACTTTCCTGCTGCTATCGGCCGTACTGTACTTGTCATGATGTCACACCGGGACACACCACACACTGGGACACTTCTTTAATCCATACCTGAGAGACTTCTTTCATCCATACCTGAGAGACTTCTTTCTACCATGCATCCAAAATGACAAGCCCTATCACTGCCGCTCTCGAACACATCAAAGAGAACCCCGACAAGAGCATACAACAGATAGCTCAAGAGTTTCAAGTCCCAAAAACAACCTTAGCCAACCGGCAAAAAGGCATCCACACCTCACACTCAGAAGGCGCTCGTCACGCCCTCAGCAAAGCCCAGGAGGAGGAATTGATCCGAAAGATCAACTCAAGACCATCTTTCACCCGTCCACAAGAGAGATTGCCGACAACGGGCGCGTCTGGCGTCTTCTTTTCCTCGATGGGCACGAATCCCATTACCAAGTGGAGTTCCTTGAGGCCTGTTGGGAGCGTAAGATCTCTGTCGTCGTCCTCCCAGCCAAATTGAGCGCAAAATTCCAGCCACTCGATGTCAATTTCTTCAATTCTTTGAAGAATGCCTACCACTGGCAGTTGGCTTATTATATGCGCGGTTCCGACCGCAGTAGGGTTTCTAAGGGGATGTTTTGGGGGTGGCACCAGCGAGCCTGGTCAGAAAGGGCCAACATCAGGCAGCTGACAAGTGCATGGCGCAAATCTGGAATCTGGCCGACCGCCAGATCATCATGAGCGGTACTGGCGCCTGACCCACAACACCCCCTCCAAAAACACCCCAAGGTCAGCCTCTTACACCCGACTCTGTCCGCGTCATCCGCCTCAACAATCATGCCGTTTGAAGAGGAGAGCTCGACGCTTTTGAGGTACTCGAAAAGACCAAAAAGGGGTTTGAAACGTTACTGGCAAGGCACAAGCTCCTTCAGGACGAGATGGAGTGCGTTCGGGCTGCTCAAGAGCTTGACAAAAAGACCAGAGGGGGGAGGAAGAAAGTGAATCTGCCTTCAGGCGAGTTTTATGACCCAGAATATCAGGAGAATAACAGGGAATCTTTGGCGAAGAGGAAGGAAAGAGAGGAAGAGAATAAAGAGAAACGAAAGCGTTTTGCTCAAGTCAGGAGGGCCGGAGCTCAGTCAAAGCTGGCAAGCAGTCAGAAGCCAGCCCCCCTAGAACTGTATAAATTATTATACCCATGCATGCTATAGTTGTCACGCAAATGCAGATTTTCTAAACATATTCAAAAAGATGTAAAGTGTCCCGGAGAGTGGTGTGTCCCGGTGTGACATCATGACGAGTACAGGACGTACATGTACAAGTAATTTGCATTTAGTAATCGGTCTAAAAACTTGCCTGCAAGTTGTCAAGCGGGTCTGATACTTGTAGACACATTTGATAAAGTTGGGGGGCAAACCAAAATTTGCAGAAAATTTCCATCTATCACTTTATGTCAAAACAATCTCAGACTGGGATCAATCAAGTGACAGACAGATCAAAATGATCTTGAATTAGGATCACCAGCCGGGCACCCAAATGTTGCCTCAATCAATAGCATTCCAATGCAAGATAGAAATAATTGAGCTAGATAGAAATGATCTTTGGCTGGATGAATGCAACCCAGCATTGAGATGAGAGTAAAGAGTAATTGAAAAGGATTGTCATGGTGGGTCCTAGTCAGACTTAACACCCAAGACTGGATGGATGAAGGCTGTTTACTTGCAGTGGGAAGCTTGTACCAACACTGGCGTTGAATTGTGGCTGGTACTGGTCCCAGTCTCACTCCAACTATGGTCAGATGAGAGAGGAGAATCCCAGTTGCCAGGCGCTATCAACGACAGCTACACAATTTGATCCCGTTCTCTGTTCCTCCTCATATTGCCGACATTGTCCTGGCGTCACCATTCTAACAACTTGTCAGCAAATAGTAGGGGAATTCAATTTGGCGTTCTTAAACTTGCGGTCTTAAACTGACGGCCTCAGGGCCACAGGGATTAGCACGTGGCTGGCCCTGCAGAGGTCTGGACCCAATTAGATCCCGTCCATCTTGAACACGTTGGCCATGTCCAACAGTGATGTTGAATGTATCTCTTTTGCTCTTGCCCTCTATCCTCTCCATCCACTTCCCCTCTTGTCTCCAATTATTGACATGCACCTACATCCTATTGAATTCCCCTAGTATTACAAGCTCAAGGGGCCTTCCTATTTGACATGTTGGGATTAGAAAGCCATTACAAATTGTATCTCAGTCACTGATCTATGCATCCACCAAGTATTTGGACATGGTCAGTCAAGTTAGCAGCATGGGTTGGCATGTTGAGAGTAGATAAATGTGGTTGGTGTTTGCTGAAAGGGGAGTGGAAGGGGTGATTATGCAATGGATAGAGATTTTGTCCAATTTGTGCAATCACTGTGGGCAAGGCCCCCCTAAGATTTGGCCTTGTGGCATCCAAAGCAGTCACTAAAATCCCAACAAAGGGCTGCTGCAGCGACGCCTAAATTTCGAGGTTAGGCGCGCTTTTCCCACCTCCAAAATTCAGAGTTAGACGCGCCAAATCAATTCCTAAAGACGGTATCGCCGCAACGGCGCTGAAGCATTCCCTAAAGTTCGGCTACAGAGACTCTTTAGCGGTCACTTCCATGCATTCTTAGAGATCGCTTTACAGATACAGAGAGCCTCTTTGAGCGCTACCTTCTGCTTTGACTTATGGATGTTTGACACCAAATAACACCCCATATCCTCCCCTTTCTCTGCCTGGTATCCCGACGCTTTCCTCCCACCTCTTCTTCCTCCATCTTCCGCCGTCATCCTCCATACAATTAATACCTTCCCAAAGAGCTGGCTCTCAATCCAGATTCTGTCATTTCATCAGCTCGACTAGAATGCTTCATCATGGTCAGTTCCATGCTTCTGCCTAGCCCAAATTTGATAGACACTCACTCACGGGGTTTGTCACAGGTACTCATTCGGAACGGCACCCTCACGTCAATTAGACAGGACGACCCACCACCTCTCCTTCTTCCGCTGCCTTGCCCAATCAAAGCCCGGATTGTTTCAGAGAGTCTCTTGCCGGCATCTACGCTGCCGTCCAGGTCCTCGTTCCATCACCTACGGCATCTGCCAATCAGAATGCAACAGCATCATCACATCTCCCACTGCCTCCTCCCCCCACTCCCTACCCTACACGTTCAAATTGTTGATTCATTGGCTCACAAAGGTGCACAATATGATCATAACTCACACATCCACCAATCCTGCCCCGCTCTCTCCTCACATAGTCGACGTTCTCACCACCATCTTGTTGTATCTGAGGCATGTTGCGGAGGAAGCTCGAGCGACAGAGAACAGTCTGAAGGTGTTGGTGAGCAACCTTGAAGACCAAGTAGGGGAGCTCGAGGATGAGAGTCGGATGCGGCAGGTGCGAGAGGCTGCCTGGGAGGAGCGGCTGAGGCGGCTCGAGGAGGCCAATACGAGTGGCGGGGATTGCAAGAAAAGGAAGAAGAAGAAGGAAGATCTGAATGTGAGCAAGAATGAGAGAGTGAGCATGCGGTTTTGTATACTTATGATCATTTCGACCTACTGACATCTTGTTGTCTCAGGCCTGCGTGAAATATCATATGAACACCCTCATCCGTTGCTTCTTCTCAGAGACCGTCAAGGACAGCAATGGCAATGTCCTCTGGCTTCACGTCAGCTCTGAGAGCAAGAGGCGGCCCGAGACCACGGACGACAATGTGCTGGGAGATGGTGGGGAGGAGGACAATGATGATGCAATGGAAGAGGACGAAGGTGAGGGCGCAGTTGAGAGCGGCCAAAGACGGAAGTCAGCAGGCATAGCAGGAATGCTATGAGCTAGCGTGAAGCAGATATGTGGGGTTGAGAAGGAATGATTCATTCTGGTGAGAGTGAAGACATAATAGAGTGGGGTAGCCTCTTCTGCTGCTGAGCGTATGGCGAAGAGTGTCGGCAGCGGCGGCGGATACAGAGGTGGTTGCTAGTAAACGGTGGCCCAGATGCTGGAGGAGCAATATGTAGCTGGACGTGTCTATGTATGGAAATGGCCAAAATAGAGATGATGATGATGAGGATGATGAGGATGATGAGGATGATGAGGATGTTGAACGAGGAAGATGTATGATGAGGATGTCTGTGCGTGGATGATGACAGCGAGGCCTCCACCGCATGCAAGAAGTCAATTAGAAGGTGGTGTGACAGAGTTGTAATGGGCATTAGGGTTGAGAAGCGACTATTAGAAATGCGACTTAGTCGCCTGACGGGCCGTCTTGACTCCGGTCTCACGGCAGGGGAAGAGACCGCTTCAGCACCCCTTTGGCTGAAATTTAGAGGTCTCTGCAGCAGCTGTTGCTGCAAGCATCCAAAGCAAGCACTGCGGCTGCTCTGCCATCAAATCTCAGCGATCCATGCCAACTTGTGTGCAAAGGGACACCAAAGTCTCCGATTCCTCCACCCTACCTTCAAAATTCAGAGATCACTTCGCGCGTTTCAGACACAGGGACGCCAAATTGATCAATTTAGCATCCATGCCTGCGAAATTTATTTACTCTCTGGCCACAGTGAATTGACTGCCCAAAAGAAACTGTGATGTCACAATGCACACTACCATTACGCACAATTTGGTCGTGACCAGGTTGTGACTCCATCCTTCCTTCATCCCTTGAAAGCAGCCCTATATATTACTTTGACACCTTCTTCTCATTGAAACCGTCCTCCCATCCTCAACTATGCCTGAGCCTTGCAAGAAACCCGTCCTCCAAGCCTACTACAAAGAGCGAGTTTTGTGCTATCGCCGTTTGGCCTTGCTTGGCCCCAATTGCTTTATGCCAGTATTTCTTAAAACACTGGAAATGAAGGATGCGCTTTATCGCAAGCACTGGCTGGCGACCTGCCAGTACAAGCCCAGAGCATACCTGAATGATGCGCTGTTCAACAACATGAGTGACAAGGACTTGAAGGCTTTCATCCGAGTGGACCATAGGGAATTCAATGGCATTATTGAAGAGTTTGGGGACCATCAGATGCTCCATAGCTGGGGAACCAAGAGGGCAGCAACTCCCAAAATGCAAATAGGTCTGGCTCTCCGCTGTCTGGCCACTGGTTCAAGCTTAGAGGCTTTGTCGAGACAATTCAAACTGAGCAGTAAGTACTCCATACTTTGCCTGACAACTACCCTGACTGACAATAACAGATGGTACTGTGATCCTTACACCAAGCACGCATGTACTGCCATTGCATCCAAGCGTGACAAGTTCATTGTCTGGCCGGATGCCTTTGAGTGCTCAGCAATCCAGAAGGCCGTCCTTGGCAAATATGGTCTTCCAGGCTGTGTTGGCTATATTGATGGCGTGTCCATCAATTTCTACCAGACCCCAAATAGAGGCCGTGCCAACAACGCGAGTCTCTGGAGTTACAAGAAAAATTACTGCCTCAACATTGTGGTCACATAAGTGCGTCCGCCAGTTCACTTATGGGCATCCAGGTGCCGCCAGTGATCAGGCTGTTCTGGAGAACTCCAACTTCATACAGAAGCCAGCCTTTTTGTTTTCTCCAGGAGAGTATGTGCTGGGTGATGCTGGAATACAGTGCACCAACTACACTATACCCCTCTATAAGAAGAATCAAGGAGAGACGCATCTTCAAGGGAGAAGAGTGGGCACTTCTTTTCAGCAGACAGCTTTTCTGTATACTGACACAAATCCAGTAGGCATATTTTGATTGGGCAGCCATCCCGGCAAGGGTCAATGCTGAGCACACCTTTGGCAATATCAAAGGTCGCTTCCGCATACTCAAGCATGCTTTCCTGAGTCTCAAATGGAGAGAGCAGCAATCACTGGTGAGCGTCGTTGTTGACTCATGCTTCATCCTTCATAACATGCTTGTGAATACTGTTGATGAAAACATTGACAAGGAGACCAAGGACGCTAGGATGGTTACTTTGGAGAGGGAAGATCAGGATGTTGTTGTGCGTGCTAGGAGGGAGGCTGAGCGTCATGAGGCCGGGTTGATGATGAAGATGCTTGGCCAACCAATTCCTTGGCGTGGAAGCGTTACAGACCGAGGGATCATCCTGTACGCCAGAGGGTTAACCCTGTAAATAAGAGGCAAGAGCACCTTATGAACGAGATGTTGAGCAACAAGGGCCATAACTTTGATGTTGAAAGCTGTGTGCTCTACTGAATTATGTCTCTGTAATATCTGTATAATCATGCATAACCATGTAGCCTTATAAATTTAGATGTTGGGGAACATGTACATATTCACTTCACGTGTCACTCACCAGACTCTTGTACTTCTCTTTTGTGGCTTCAAGACTGATGCCATGCTTCTCTGATATGTTTAGGATGTGATCGAGTCTCCCCTGTAGCAACTTCTCCTGGCGATACTCCTCTGTCTTCGCATCCCGAGCATTCTCTCGTGCTCTATTCTCCTCATATTGGGCATCTTCTTGTACTCGTCTCGCCTCTTCCTGTTTGTCATGTAGCCTCCTGATTTCGTGATCAAAGTCCTCTACATCATCCCCAATCAAGTTGTTTCTCTTACGCTTCTGCTGTTTTTTTCTTGTCTACTGTTGGTCAGAGGATATCATGCCCAATTAAGTCAATCAACTCACGGAACGTTCAACTAGCACCGCTTCTTGGCGTTTGAGGACGGGCCTGCTGCCGGAATTTCCTCTCTGCCAGAGTCTGAACCAAACAAAGCTTCTCTGTTTGCAATGAAGAACTCGTCATCACCTAGAAAATCGACCTTCCCTTCCTCCTCCTAGCCTGTATTGTCCTCCTCCCCAACACGCTCATTATTGGCCTGTGTGCTAAACTCCTGTTCAATCATCTCAATAGCCGGATTCTGATTTCATTGAGATTGGTAGCACAGAGTTGCAACCAAAGGTCTGACGTCTTGGAGGATTACATCCCAGTCCTTGAAGTGGGGGCAGATATCTTCTGCAGTAGCTGGGTTGCATGCAGTCAGCAAAAAATATCTTAACTATTTGGTCTGGACACTCACCTTTGGCGTCGGAGATGTCCTTGATATACTTGGTACAAAGCTTGCTATCCTTTATGTCAGGTCCTGCTTATAGCTGCTCAGCAGTATAAAGTATCTCTTATCTTAAACTAGGAGGAAGGGCTATCTATCCTATGTATATGTTGATCCCAATTAACAATATACGTGTATGTCTTGGGACCAATTAGCAAGAGCAAGGTTATCCTGGACTTGATAGGGACTTGCACTAACCTAAGGCTAAAGACTTCTTGTCGGCTTAGCTAGTATAATCTGAATAGGCCTGTTCGCTTGCGATTCCTAGTTCATAGGCAAGTCAGACGTATTCAAGGTCATTGGGATCCTCGAATCTATGTAAAACTATCTACTTATATAGACATCCAGAGCCCTACTGGCTTACTCAGCTTTCCCATATTTGCCACCCAACTGACTAATTCGTCCCCTTAGCTTGCTGTGCTTTCTCGTGATTTGTTACAGAAATAAGTCTTAGAATAGCTAAGGCTCAAGGTATTTTGGAAGCGGATTCTATATAAAGAAATTGTCTTTTATGTATAGAAAGTATCTTTATGTAAAGAAAGTGTCTATATGTATAGAGAGTAATTAGGCGTCCCCTGAATCGAAATTGGGGTGGAGAAGAATGAGGGTGCTTGGGTATCTAGGTCTTGGTTGGCAATATCGGGTTAAGTCGGAGTTGTTGTATCTTGGAGCTCAATTGCTGCGCAAGTGTGGTGATAGCAATAATTCTAGATATGCGTAGCTCCTGGTACGGGATGATGGTTGTGATGTACTGGAATAAGCAAGAGAGGTGACTCAAACAAAGAAGTAATGATGAGTGTTGAGTGATGAGTGTTGCGATGCATCCAGCTCAATAAGTATTTATGTAATAGAGTGTGTGATGACTGTAAGAGGTGTGGTTCCTCTTCACTGACAATGACGACCACGGCGAACGGCAATGGTCACAGCAAAGGGCTAGCTGGACGAAGAACGGCGAGAAGGACGACAAGAACGGCAAAGAACGGCGAGATTCGGACGGGGCGGTGTGGCCTGAAACAAACAGGACCCCAATTCATATATTTGTCACACAGACAGCAGAAAGCGGTGACTCTGGGCAAGAGTCAGTCCTAACTATTCTCTAACACACACACAGACGCCTAAGCTGTAAAGCAATAGGACACAAGAAGGGGAATGATGACAGGCAAAGAAAGAGAAGCCATGTTGACGTTCCACCAAGTCCTTGTCTGTGCGTGCGGCGAGCTCCGCAAAACTCCAAAATGACATGGCAATACATGTTACGTAAACAAGAACAGAAGCATTTCTCATTCGTCTGAATTCTTTCTGCTCTTCATCCCACAGCTTTATCAGGCCGCCTCCTGCATGCATGCATAGCAGGAGCGCTTCTCATTTGCTGAGTCCAAGCACTCAAACACAACAGGCTGCCTTCCACTCATGCTTACTCACATGCAGTCCAACAGTCAAGAAGAAAAGTCACAGCCAAAAGGGTGGACAGGTTGTATGTCAAGAAGGGTATGAGGCAAGCCTCTTACAATGACGTGGAATCTGGAGCGCGGTTGAAGAGATAGCTTAGGGCAGACACAACTTACCTTCTTCAGGATACTTTTCCTTGGTTGTTTTGTTGGGCCCTTGTGGTTGTACAACCAATGGCAAATGATTGAGGAAAGGGTTTCATGCGTGACACCTGCATGGTTATGCAGGAACACTTGGACATGTACATTAGTATGTTTCAAATATCAAAAAATTGCCGCGGATGATTTTTCATTTTGGACGATATTTGCTTCCGTCAGGCGTTTTTGGCTGGCAGCAAAAACGTTGCGGAGGAAAAAAACGTTTTGCGGGTTTCAGGCCAATGTGATTTCTGAAAAATCACCAGAGATGGTTTTTGCCAGGAACGCCACATGCATACCACATGCATACCACACGTCTACCACGTGATCACCCTTTCTGTTGTTACTTCTTGCCCCCACGCGTACGCGCATGCTTTTGCACTTCATCCATACTTTTGTCAAATCTACATCCAGAAGCCCCATAAATCCGCTTGCTCATATCGCCATGCCTGCTCCTCCCTCCACCCCCGCAACAGCCAACAGGTCCAACAGGAAGACGGAGGGTGATGATGCGTCCGCATGGAGGTGGAAACACAATAAGAAGAACTCCACCATTTGTGTTGGACCGGATGGGCGTACTGGTGAAGATTACCTCGTCGACTGGATGTCCATGCCCAAGAACTGGGCTGCCTACTCGGACTCCAATGATAGAGCCAAGTTTGCCGCCAACGTGATCTACAAATCGCTTTCCGAGAAGGAAATCAAAAATTTTGAAAAGGCTAAGGCCTCTGGAGTCCAGGACCGGGTGAGTTGAGACCAGCCAAGATGTGACATGACGCTGATCTGCATCTACAGATTCAGAAAATCAAGAAGGCGTTCGATGAAGCTTTGGCCCTCCAGAAGCCCACTGGCAAAGGGGTCACAGAAGATGATCTGGCAAGAGGCATCAAGACGTGGGAGGGTAGGTGCTGCAACCAATACAGTCAGGTGCTGACTCAGTCTATAGCAAAGATTGAAGAGAATTGCCCTTTCTTTTTCACCCTCCTCCCTTCTCTGAAGGACAGAAACGCCAACATAACGGAGCAAAGCAGTGTCCATCAGATGGGCGACCGAGAAGTCTCAATCACCCCTTCTATGGCCCGCCATGTGTCTTTGCGCTCCGACATTGAGGAGCAACCTGTTGGAATGGAGGCTGAGGACGTCGAGAATGACGACGTCTTCAGCGTCAGGGCGACCAGAGCCAATTCTCTGTCTACTGACATTACCAGCAATCACAGGGTTGCTGACGAGCCGACTTCTGGGGCAAGGGGTGCCGGCTCTCTCTCCAATGGATCAAGGGCACGGGCGTCCCTCAATGCCCAAGACACCCCAAACTCTGGCAAGGGCAGGCGCGGCAACGCCAACATGAACGAGCAACTTCAAGGTCTTTTTAAGGACCATTCCACAACCAATATCAAGGGGCATAAGGAGATAGCGGAGCAGGAAGCCTAGGCGGCGCTGGCGCTTGAGCAGTACAAGGTCGCTGAGCAAGCAAAGAGATCTAAGGAAGAACTGCGATTGAAGAGCAAAAGGTTGAAGGTAGAGGATACAAGGTATGATGTGAGGTTTGTGATGGAACAAGAGGAGCGTGAGTGGAAGAGGAAGAGGGATGAACAGGATGCCCATTGGAGGAATGTGAAGGCGCAAAGGGAGGAACTCCGGGCTCAGGATGAGATGGCTGCCAAGAAGTGGGAGTTTGAGCGCAAGCTTATAAAGGAGTATGTGGCTGATGGCGATACAAGAGAGGAGGCAAAGAGGAAGGCAATTGAAGACACGAAAAGGCGCTTTACGTATGATTGACAAGCTGTACATAGTTCTGAGGAGCATCATGCAAAAAGCGGTTACTCTGGATCCACATACGCAACGTTCTCTCCCCGCGCTTGCATGCCTTCGATCTGTCTTCGCACAGCCTCACGCCTCCACCCATTATCGTTCCGCTTGGCCTTGGTGAGCTCCTGGATAGCTTCTTGGTCCAGTCTGTCACTAGCTACTGCCTCCTCTCGCATGATCTCCTCCAAATCATTGGGGTCAATTATTTCCTCATCTTCAAGGTTTTCATGGTCAATGACCCAGTTGTGAAGTAGCGCAGTGACCTGATGAATGAGTGTCAGCGACTGCTCCTTCAAAACGCCATATTTCCAACCTGCACATACCACAATCCAGACGCTCATATTGAGGACATGGTGATCAGAAGACCTCACTTGTGGTGACAGCAGCTTGATACTCTGAAAGCGCGCCTTCCAGTAGCCAATGGTGTGTTCTATGCGCACTCTGACCTTCTTGACGTGGTCGTTGAAGACTTTGTGGTCTCTGGCTGCACCTGCATGCCTGTTTCGACCTCCAGCATTGCTCTTGTAGTTTGGAACACAGTTTGGGTTGGGTGTAAATCCACTGTCCGCAAGGAGGTACTCGCCATCAGAAAAGTAGTGCTCAGGTTCCTGGTACATCTAACAGGGTTGTATGAGCACTGCCACATATCAGCTTGCAAAGATTTGAACTCACTCGAGTGTTGCAATAGACTCGCTGATCATGGCTTGACGCCAGGAATCCCAATTGTATCAGACGGATACGACTCTCATGGTCTGCAACTACAAGGACGTTGAACCCATAGGTGTCCTTCCTCCTATACCACAGGCGCTTATCCTCGCGCCCAGGGACATACTCTAATTCAATTAGAGTGCCGTCAATAAGGCCCACACACTTCTTAAAAGGAGATGTCAGGCCAAACTCCCTGCGAATCCTCTTTCTCTCTTTGGGATCAGGCCAAGAAATACACTTCTTGCTGCCGAGGGACCTGTGAATAGCCTCCAGAGTTCTCATAGTCCATAGGAATGATGTACCAGCTGAGGCGCATCATCAGCTGTGTGTCCCCTGTTTGCACCACTATGACTCACCTTTGATCCCCAATTTCTCAGCAACCTCTCCATGGGACATGCCATTCCCTCGTCGTCCCAAGCGAACTAAGGTGGTGTACAATTGGTACGCCAAGTGCTCCTGAGGATTCCTTGAATTCTTGTGGAAAGCCTCGTCGTCTTGAATGACTTCCCAAAGACTGTGGAAGGTTTTCTTGGACATCCTTGCCTAACATCCTCAGCACCATCTCCATCAGTCATCCAGAAGGCTGACTCACATTTCGCTTGAAATCCTTGTCACTCTGGTCGTCAAATATGACAAACCATACATTCTCCCCTAATCTCTGGCGCCGGTCGTATGTGAGAGGGCGCGCCACCGATTGAGTCTGTTGAAGGTATTTCAGATAGTCGTTGAAAGTGTCCATAGCAAGCAGTGTCATCTCGGGGGTGAATAGGCCAAGCCAGCCTATGTGTGACTGCCAATTGGGCAGACCGGGCACCCTGAGGATGATGATCAGCTGCAGGAAATATTCTGTAAACTCTAGGTCGCTAGAGTCAAAGTCATTGGGAAGATCAAGCATCTGCTGGAGCGTAGCCACAACCAGCAGGATGTTCACGATTGTCTCAGCCTCCGCTCTCCTCTGACCTATATCCGACATGTTGGTAGGGGAGTATCAAGGTAGTCGAGAAGATGGAGTGGGACTGTTGGTAAGATGGGAGGGGAGGGAGGGTGCTGCTGAGGGGACAAGTTGCGTGGGTGGTCAAAGATACATGGCAAGTAAAAGATGAGCAAGTAGAGACAAGGATGAGGAGGCCAGCAGGGACACAAAAACGTCGTTTCAAAAAACATCATTTTGATCCCGCATCTCCCAAAAAATGGTTTCAAAGATTAAATCGTTTGAGATAAAAATCCCCAGCCAAAGACTCCCCTCAACGGAAGCAAATATTGTCCCAAATGAAAATTCATCCGCGGTGATTGTTTGATATTTGAAACATACTATTGTCCTTGTGGAAGAAATAGACCAGTAGGTCAAGGGACAACAGTTTGGGGGTCCATGCCTAGTACCTCCTTGACGGGTTTCCCCTTGTTACTGGCATCTTGAAGTCGCCTTCACTCGTTCAGAGTATAGTTGTCTGTCTCCCAATTGGCGCTGCTCTTTGCCCAGAAGCTGTTGCCCTCTGGAGGCTCAGGTGTGCTAGCCTTTCTCACATCCTCTCCTACCTTTGTGGAGGAACCAGTAGCCGCCTGAGGCCTATGCCTCTGGGTACCAGAGCTGATAGAATCTCCGGGAGGCAAAGAGTTGAGCACACTGGCCAGGAATCCAGACATGGAGGGACCCTTGTTGGGAAAAGATGGAGAGCGTCCAGTGGATGAAGCAGTGGGAGAGGGGTGTGAAGGCATTTTGGATTGAAACGGCAGTGATGATGGTTTGTGGGAAGGGCTTGAGCAGTGCAAGGGGTGCTGTGAGGTTGAGGGATTAGGACAAATAGATGCATGTTGGAGCAAGATTGACTGGGAAGAAGTAGGAAATTACGTATTTCAGGTCACCCAAAGCATGCATTGGGCAGTCATCCGAGCTGGACCTATTGTGTATGTCCCAATGCATGCATTGGGTGATTACGTAAATCCCAAAAGACGCAATTGAACCACACAAAACGCGGAATTGACTGTACCTATTGATGAAAGAGGGGTCAAAAACAAGAGAGGTGTCCATATATGTTCATGGTGCTATGGCAGATTAAAGTTGTGGTGGTCAACATACACAATTTATTTGATTTTGGATAAGAAAGGGGTTTGAAGGGTCTGTGAGATTTCTGCTGTTATTTCATTTGAATTGCCTAATTGGGCCATCCTGACATGAGCTCACTTCAGGCTGGCACAATTGCATGACCTCCACTTTAGGGTCCTCAGGGTCTCCCACATGATTCAGATCTTGATTAGTATGTTTCAAATATCAAAAAATCACCATGGATGATTCATCATCTTGAATGATATTTGCTTCTGTTGGGCGTTTTTGGCTGGCAGCAAGAACATTGTGGACAAGAAATTTTGTTTTTTTGTGGGTTTTAGGCCATGCTGATTTTGAAAAATCACCAGACATGGTTTTTGCCAAAATCACCACATGCATACCACGTGCATACCACATGTCTACCACCTGGTCACCCTTTTTGTCATTGACTTCTTGCCCCCATGCGTAGGCGTGCTGCGCCAGCCTATGCAACTTTTGCACTGTAAGAGGCTTGCCTCATACCCTTTCTAACATACAACCCGTCAACCCCTTTTGGCTGCGACTCTCTGCTTTGACTGTTGGACTGCATGTGAGTAAGCATTAGCGGAAGGCAGCCTGTTGCATTTGAGTGCTTGGACCCAGCAAATGAGAAGCGCTCCTGCTATGCATGCATGCAGGAGGCGGCCTGATAAAGCTGTGGGACAAAGAGCAGAAAGAACTTAGACAAATTAGAAGCGCTTCCGTTGGTGTTTACGTAATGTGTAATGCCGCGTCATCTTGGAGTTTTGTGGAGCTCGCCACACACACAGACAAGGACTTGATGGAACATCGATGTGGCCTCTCTTTCTTTGCCCATTGTCGTCCCGGTTCTTTGCCCTTTGCTATACAGCTCAGGTGCCTGTGTGTGCGTGTGAGTTCCCTTCTTCTTTGTCTAGTAGAGTGCATAGCTAAATCCTGGGCAGTTTGTTAGAGTTAGGACTGATCTCTGCCCAGGTACGTATATACCCGTCGTCGTTCCCGGTTCTTTGCCCTTTGCTATACAGCTCAGGTGCCTGTGTGTGCGTTTCGTTAGAGTTAGGACTGATCTCTGCCCAGAGTCGCCGCCTTTTCCTGTCTGTGTGACATATGTGTATTGGGGTCCTGTTTCACTTCAGGTTGCACCGCCCCGCTCGACTCTCCGCTGTTCTCCACCGTTCTCCGCCGTTCTTCGCTGTTCTTCGCCGTTCTTCCATCCAGTTAGCCATAGCTGTGACCTTCACTGTTTGCCTTCCTCGACGCCGCTGTCAGTGAAGAGGAACCACACCTCTTACAGAGGTCCAAGGGGTCCGGATACAACAACGTTGACACTGTCTTCACTCGTACGGTGGAGCGCAATGAGGATGGGAAGCTGGTCAAAAGATCAGTGTGCTCTGTTTGCTCCAAGTGAGTCCTTGACAACTTTGTGATGTGATGGCGTTTCTGGGGCAGATTACTGATTCTCGACTCTAGGCCCAACAAACCCTATGTACTCCGCAGTGATCTTTCCTCCCTCCGAACTCATATTATGACCAACATGTCGCACTTATTGAAGTATAAGGAGGGCTGCAAAGCTCAGAACATTGATATGGCTACAAGGGTCGCTGAAAAGCTTGACAAGGAGATGGGGGTCGTTCAAGAAGACAAGGGCACCGATAAGTGAGCTGCCGTCTGACATACCACGTATATCTTGTTCATCACTGATAACATACTCAGGCAGCAATCTATAGCACAGTTCACAAAGCCTCAGTACTCCATGGCTGATTGTCTCAAGGCTGCTCTCGACTGCCTCATTGCTTTAAACTTGGTATGTGCAGTTGACAGGCTCAGTCGCATTTCGCAATTGTAGCAGACATGACGCTGTCAGCCTATCACGACTGTGGACCGCCCAGACTTTCGCCGTCTCATGCTAGTCTGCGGCAACGGCCAACTTCAAGATGGGGACATCTACCCCCAGACCAGGGCAACTTCAATGATTGAAGACTGTGCAGACATAGCGATCCAAGAACTCAAGGCGCTTTTGAAGGTAAGCTCATCTCGGTGTTTTTGTTGTTTGATTGCGCTGACTTCGTTTACAGAATGCACACGCCAAGAAATCCATAACCTGGGACCTTTGGACCAGCGCCGATTGTACATCCTTTGTGGCTGTCACCGTCCACTGGGTGACCAACAAGTTCAAGATCACATCTGATCTGTTGGAGTTCAAGGAGGTGAAATCAGCTCACACTGGCAGCAACCTTGCCGAGCTTCTGTATCAACTTGTGAAGGAGTATGACATCGCCAAGAGCGTGAGTGCTATACAGCTTGTCATTAGCGTTCTTCAGTGAGAGTTCACAGGTCAACAGTTGATGGTTATCACGTTGGATAACGCTTCTGTGAACAACAAGGCAACAAAAGAACTTGCCTACCTTCTTAGCATTTGCGACAATGTGCACTACACGGAGGACAGGCTGCGTGGAAGGTGGGTCTCGTCCCCCTCATGCCCTTCAGATGAATGTGGCGCCTTTGCTGATCTCTCACACTTCTGCAGGTGTTTCTCTCACATCATTGGGGTCGCTCTTGGTCACATGCTTGTCACATGTAAGGACCGGGCGTGCGGTCCTTCACTGTGTCGCTGGTGTACTTGTCTCAAGAAGCAAGCAAGACCCCTAGTGCATGTAAAAGAGATAAGGCTCACCTGGACAATGTCCGTCAATATATGTATGAGAAGCACACCAAAGAGAAGAAGAGGACAAGGGACAGGGAATAAGGGCAATGGGAAAAAAGATGGATAAAGACCCAAGATTCCACATGCCCGCGGTCCTTGTCCCAGTGCAAGAGCAGTCGCGAACGAAGCACACAAGTCAAACGCCGTAAAGCCAAAGGTGGCAGAGAGACGGAACAGGAACGGAAACGGAAGCGGCAACAGCGGGGATTGCACAAGTGGCAGGGAACGTAACCAATGCACAAACGCCAACAATGGCGATAGCCAAGACGCAAGCAGAAATGGTTAAGTCGCGAGAGGCAACAATTGCCGAAACGCGGCTGGAAATGGCTAAGTCGTGTGAAGCAGCCCGCTGCTTACATCACAATGAATACCCTTCCCTCTTTCCAAGTCTCTCCCCTAGTCAACTCTGATTTCTGTAAGAGGCTTGCCTCATACCCTTCCTGAACATACGACCCGTCAACCCTTTTGGCTGCAACTCTCTGCCTTGACTGTTGGACTGCATGTGAGTAAGCATTAGCGGAAGGCAGCCTGTTGCGTTTGAGTGCTTGGACTCAGCGAATGAGAAGCGCTCCTGCTATGCATGCATGCAGGAGGCGGCCTGATAAAGCTGTGGGACGAAGAGCAGAAAGAACTTAGACAGAATCAGCATTGGAATTTTGCGGAGCTCGCCGCACGCGCAGGCAGGACTTGGTAGAACGTCGACATGGCTTCTCTTTCTTGCCTGTCGTTGTTCCCCTGTCCATTGCCCTTTGCTATACAGCTCAGGTGCCTGTGTGTGCGTGTGAGTTCCCTTTTTCCTTGTACATTAGAGTGCATAGCTAAAACCTGGGCAGTTCGTTAGAGTTAGGACTGATCTCTGCCCAGGTATGTATATGCCCGTCGTTGTTCCCCTGTCCGTTGCCCTTTGCTATACAGCTCAGGTGCCTGTGTGTGCGTTTCGTTAGAGTTAGGACTGATCTCTGCCCAGAGTCACCGCCTTTTCCTGTCTGTGTGACATATATGTATTGGGGTCCTGTTTCACTTCAGGTTGCACCGCCCTGCTTGACCCTCCGCCGTTCTCCGCCGTTCTTCACCATCCTTCGCCGTCCTTCGCCGTTCTTCCATCCAGTTAGCCATAGCTGTGACTTTTGCCGTTTGCCTTCCTCGCCGCTGCTGTCAGTGAAGAGGAACCACTCCCCTTACAGCTGAGAAGGTTGAGCGCATGGATGTGGGCAAGCTCTTGGCCAAAATACGTCAGCTCATTGTCAAGGTGAGTTTGACAAATCTCTTCATGACAAACCACCACTGACATGGTCGTTACTGTTAGGTCCGAGGCAGTCCCAATGCTGGGCAATACTTCCAAAAATGCTGTGTGGAAGCCAACACTCGTCAGCTTGTTCTCCTGCCCTTTTGTAAGACAAGGTGGGGCTCAATGTGTACTGTGATTGAAAGGGTGCTGGTGCTCAGACCCGTAAGTCGCCTCCATATCTCCATGGACAATAGCTGATTTTGCTGCATCTTGCCAGGCCATAAACCAGTTCACCAGCACCTCAGACACGGCTTGCAACGTTCCGAAGGCAGGGCCCAAACGCCAGATGTATTGTGACTTCACAATATCTGATTGCGAGTACCAGGTGCTCGGGATGTTGAGGAAGGTCATGAGAGTGAGTTGAAATCTGGTGATGGTTTGCCCGCAGCCTGCATTGTTTGCTGATTGCCTTGCCATATAGCCTGGCGTCGACATCCAGCAGATCTTTGGCGCTCAAGATCATCCAAGTATTGGGCTTGTGATGATTGAACTGAGCAAACTGCTCAAGACGTGGGAGCAGATGTCAGAGTCGTTCAACAACTCTATCATCCAACCTGCCATTCAAGCAGGCATTGATAGCATCAAGAAGTATTACAAGAATGCTATCATTGCGGGTGTACCAGTCTTCGCGCTTTGTAAGTCCCAAGGCAAAGGATACATGCTGACTGTCCTCTTCTTGTCTATTCAGTCCTACACATTGCTTTTAAGGACATCTAGTCCATGGTTCATCTCGGTGATGAAACGCACGAGGAGTTGCTTGAGGCTTTCAAAGAAGAGGTACGGTGGACCAGGTCGCTCGAGAGTTGAGACTGTACAGTGGCAGAGGCTGACAACCAAACAACAGTTTTGCCGCTATCGAAAGATCTACACCACCACTTCTACCACGTCTTCCCCCGCCTTGCCTACCATCGACATGGATCTTCCTGCCATGAGTGCCTCCGAGATGAAGATGCACAAGATGAAGATGGAGAGGAAGAGGAGGGCGGAAGAGTTGGCGCGATTGGAAGCTGGAGATCCCGAGCTTACCAAACTCACTGACTACTTCAAGACTCTTGAGGAAGAACCGGTGGTTCTGAAGGGTGTCAACAGACACCAATTTGTCTCTGAGTGGACCTTGACATGGTGGTATGTGAGTCTACCGACAACTTCTTCTTGAAAAGGGTCCCTAGTTGACATCCAGTGACAGAAAAAGCAGATGATATACCCGGTGCTCTCCAAGATGGCTCGTGACATCTGGGGTGTGCAAGCCTCTTTGGTGCCTTGCGAGCGGATGTTCTCTCAGGCTGGCTTGGCAGATACCAAGAGGCGCCAGTCCATGACCCTCAAGCATTTTGGTCAACTACAGCGCCTCCAGGCCCATGCCAAGGTAGTCAAAGAGGTCGCCACCAAGCGTAGTGCCTAGATAAGCTACGGGGGAACTGAGCAGCATGCATATGGTATATCATTTGTCCCGACTCTGTACAGCCAGGGTAATCATATCCAAATATGTACAAGAGGTGCTGCATACAAGACACTGGATGATGGACATGTCCCCCACAGTTTGCCGACCGTTTTGAGCACTTCTAGATTGAGGAAGCGACCGCGTAGCGCAGGACTGGTGGATGACCGGTCATGACCATTTATGACTGTGACCTGACCTTATTCAACCGCGACCTTGAGTGACCTTACCTTACAGTCAGGTCAGGTGACCTTATGTAAGGTCATACATATGGTTTGGTTAGGTCACCAAAAAAAAAGGTGCATGACCGTGACCAACCTGACCGCAGCAGCTTTATCTGCACCACAGTCCCCCAGCCTCCCACCTCTCAGTCTGCCGTCCCCCAGCCTGCCATGTTCACCCACAAGATGTTCCAATCAGTCAAACATGTGGTTGATCTTTGGGATCAGTATGTCATTGGGTGTAATGGGAGAATGCCGGTGAGGGAGCTGAGTGAACTGTCTGACTTCAAGAAGGATGCCACGGAAAAGGGATTTCTTCAGAGGCGATCTCCAATCTACAACCAAGTCCGCAGTTTGGCCAGCAAGAGGAGGATCACCGAGACGGACACTGCTCATTTGCTAGAGACCTTTGGATTGGCGCGTAACATGGAGCTCAACAAACTCTGTGATACACTGAAGTCTGCTGAAAAAGTAACTCTACAGATTGACATTTGATATAAATACAAGCATGCTGGTTCCCATCCCATCATATGGCTTAGAACAAGCAGCTGTGAATCTGTGATGATGATGATCATTGGTGCATGATGTTTCCTGTGTCTTTTGTACTTTAGTAGATATTATATTGTATGCATATACTGTGCCGGATTGACCCAATATACTATTTATCCATATTCTATTCATGAGTAGAAGAAGGCAGGCAACCAACCTTTCCATCAGCAATGATGTGAAGAAGGAGAGTACTTGCTGGCGCTGGGCTGAGCTGCTGTACTGTGGTATGCATGCATTGATCTTCCAATATGAACAGAATAGACCCTTGGATTATTTCTTTTGAATGCATAAATGCACAAGTGTATCTGATGAATCAAGGATTGAAGAAGGAACAAGACTGGGGGGGCAGCGCAGGACATGGTTATAGTGAAAGACGTTTACGCGTAAACCCGCGCAGACAACCCTGCCAGGACATGTCCTGACAGGACCAAGTACAGGTGCACATGACGGATTGTTCTCCAAATTTCCCCTGAAAATCCCACAGACCTGCTCTTCCATTGCCCCAAAACCATATTCCAGACGCTCCAATGTTTCACTGGCTGCTGCAGTATGCTAGTTGCCTACATGCCCCATGGACTATCTTAAGCACTCTTGCTTCAATTGTTGTACCTTGTACAGCTGTGCAACCTAATTGCTCACAACAAGACTCCTCTTCTTATTGTCTGTATTCCTTTTTGCCAATAACATTGGCTAGTGTAACCTGTGAAAGTCCTAGTTCCTGTATCAGTCACAGTGTACATTTATACACACACAGATGACCAGAGTGGAAATACATATTTAGTTCCCGTATCAGTTGCAGTATATGTCTATACACACACAGATGACCAAAATGGTGGGGAACTAGGGAGCTAAGCTATGAGAATATATATGGGAGACAGAGCAGAAGAAAAAAGGTAGACAAAGGGGATGGAAGAAAACTTTACGGGACCCTAACAAGCCATGGGACTTCATCTCAAGATAGGACTACCCGTTTCTGTCATCAGTGTATACATTCTGTCATACTTTCATGTACATAGAAACGGCTGGGTGCAGGGAATTGAGACCTCAAAACACTCTCTTGACTCTCTCTTCCCCTCCCCTCTCCTCTTCTCTACCCTTCTCAACTCTCCTTGACCTCAGCCATTTCACATATATGTTATCCTACACAAGAACTTGTTCTGAATCCCTATTACACTTGGTATTTGCCACAGCTGTTTCCCCAGAGTATGTCTTCACCATAGCTGCATAGCAAGACATAAGTGACACACTTGTATGGTGTGGTAATCAGGCCTGCTCAAGAGAAACAGTTACAGCCCAAGTGTCCAGGCAAGCAACATGATCATGCTTTGAAGTAAGAGTTAAGAGTAGTAGTTTGGTCAGGGAAGAAAAGAGGGTAGAGAGATGTTCATGAGAAGAGGTCTCAATCCCAGCACCGGTAATCAGATTAGAACCAAATGAGAATAGTTCAATAGTATGTTTCAAATATTTAAAAATCACCGCAGATGATTTTCCATTTCGGACAATATTTGATTCCGTTGAGGGGAGTCTTTGGCTGGGGATTTTTATCTCAAACGATTTGAATTTTGAAACCATTTTTGGGAGATGCAGGATCAAAATGTTTTTCTTTGAAACAACGTTTTTGTGTCCCTGCTGGCCTCCTCATCCTTGTCTCTACTCGCTCATCTTTTACTTGCCATGTATCTTTGACCACCCACGCAACTTGTCCCCTCAGCAGCATGCTCCCTCCCCTCACATCTTACCAACAGTCCCACTTCATCCTCTCGACTACCTTGATACTCCCCTACCAACATGTCAGATATAGGTCAGAGGAGAGCAGAGGCTGAGACAATCATGAACATCCTGCTGGTTGTGGCCTATTCACCCCCGAGATGACACTGCTTGCTATGGACACTTTCAGCGACTATCTGAAATACCTTCAACAGACTCGATAGGTGGCGCGCCCTCTCACATACAACCGGCGCCAGAGATTAGGGGAGAATGTATGATTTGTCATATTTGATGACCAGAGTGACAGAGATTTCAAGCGAAATGTGAGTCAGCCTTCTGGATGACTGATAGAGGTGGTGCTGAGGATGTTAGGCAAGGATGTCGAAGAAAACCTTCCACAGTCTTTGGGAAGCCATTCGAGACAACGAGGCATTCCACAACAATTCAAGGAATCCTCAGGAGCACTCGGCGTACCAATTGTACACCACCTTGGTTCACTTAAGACGACGAGGGAATGGCATGTCCCATGGAGAGGTTGCCGAGAAATTGGGGATCAAAGGTGAGTCATAGTGGTGCAAACAGGGGACACGCAGCTGATGATGCGCCTCAGCTGGTACATCATTCCTATGGACTATGAGAACTCTGGAGGCTATTCACAGGTCCCTCGGCAGCAGGAAGTGTATTTCTTGGCCTGATCCCAAAGAGAGAAAGAGGATTCGCAGGGAGTTTGGCTTGACATCTCCTTTTAAGAAGTGCGTGGGTCTTATTGACGGCACTCTACTTGAATTAGAGTATGTCCCTGGGCGCGAGGATAAGCGCCTGTGGTATGGGAGGAAGGACACCTATGGGTTCAACATCCTTGTAGTGCAGACCAAGAGTGTTGTATCTGTCTGATACAATCGGGATTCCTGGTGTCAAGCCATGATCAGCGAGTCTATCGCAACCCTCAGGTGAGTTCAAATCTTTGCAAGCTGATATGTAGCAGTGTTCATACAACCCCGTTAGATGGAACCCCAGCACTACTTTTCTGATGGCAAGTACCTCCTTGCGGACAGTGGCTTTACACCCAACCCAAACTGCCTTCCAAACTACAAGAGCAATGCTGGAGGTCGAAACAGGCATGCAGGTGCAGCCAGAGACCACAAAGTCTTCAACGACCACGTCAAGAAGGTCAGAGTGCGCATAGAACACACCATTGGCTACTGGAAGGCGCGCTTTCAGAGTATTAAGCTGCTGTCACTGCAAGTGAAGTCTTCTGATCACCATGTTCTCAATATGAGCGTCTGGATTGTGGTATGTTCAGGTTGAAGATATGGCGTTTTGAAGGAGCAGTCGCTGACATTCATTCCTCAGGTCACTGCGCTACTTCACAACTGGGTCATTGACCATGAAAAACTTGAAGATGAGGAAATAATTGACCCCAATGATTTGGAAGAGATCATGCGAGAGGAGGCAGTAGCTAGTGACAGACTGGACCAAGAAGCTATCCAGCAGCTCACCGCGGCCAAGCGGCGGGATGATGGGTATATGCGTGAGGCTGTGCAAAGACAGATTGAGGGCATGCAAGTGCGAAGAGAGAACGTTGCATATGTGGATCCAGAGTTACCGCTTTTGGGATGATGCTCCTCAAAAGTATGTACAGCTTGTCAATCATATGCAAAGCACCTTTTCGTCTCTTCAATTGCCTTCCTCTTTGCCTCCTCTCTTGTATCGCCATCAGCCACATACTCCTTGATAAGCTCGCGCTCAAACTCCCACTTCTTTGCAGCCATCTCATCCTGAGCCTGGAGTTCCTCCCTTTCCGCCTTCACATTCCTCCAACGGGCATCCTTGTCATCCCTCTTCCTCTTCCACTCACGCTCCTCTTGTTCCATCACAAACCTCACATCATACCTTGTATCCTCTACCTTCAACCTTTTGCTCTTCAATCGCAGTTCTTCCTTAGATCTCTTTGCTTGCTCAGCGACCTTGTACTGCTCAAGCGCCAGCGCCGCCTAGGCTTCCTGCTCCGCTATCTCCTTATGCCCCTTGATATTGGTTGTGGAATGGTCCTTAAAAAGACCTTGAAGTTGCTCGTTCATGTTGGCGTTGCCGCGCCTGCCCTTACCAGAGTTTGGGGTGTCTTGGGCATTGAGGGACGCCCGTGCCCTTGATCCATTGGAGAGAGAGCCGGCACCCCTTGCCCCAGAAGTCGGCTCGTCAGCAACCCTGTGATTGCTGGTAATGTCAGTAGACAGAGAATTGGCTCTGGTCGCCCTGACGCTGAAGACGTCGTCATTCTCGACGTCCTCAGCCTCCATTCCAACAGGTTGCTCCTCAATGTCGGAGCGCAAAGACACATGGCGGGCCATAGAAGGGGTGATTGAGACTTCTCGGTCGCCCATCTGATGGACACTGCTTTGCTCCATTATGTTGGCGTTTCTGTCCTTCAGAGAAGGGAGGAGGGTGAAAAAGAAAGGGCAATTCTCTTCAATCTTTGCTATAGACTGAGTCAGCACCTGACTGTATTGATTGCAGCACCTACCCTCCCACGTCTTGATGCCTCTTGCCAGGTCATCCTCCGTGACCCCTTTGCCAGTGGCCTTCTGGAGGGCCAAAGCTTCATCAAACGCCTTCTTGATTTTCTGAATCTGTAGATGCAGATCAGTGTCATGCCACATCTTGGCTGGTCTCAACTCACCCGGTCCTGGACTCCAGAGGCCTTAGCCTTTCCAAAGTTTTTGATTTTCTTCTCGGAAAGCCATTTGTAGATCACGTTGGCGGCAAACTTGGCTCTATTGTTGGAGTCTGAGTAGGCAGCCCAGCTCTTGGGCACGGACATCCAGTCAACAAGGTAATCTTCACCAGTACGCCCATCCGGTCCAACACAAATGGTGGAGTTCTTCTTATTGTGTTTCCACCTCCATGTGGACGCATCATCACCGTCCGTCTTCCTGTTTAACCTGTTGGCTGTTGCGGGGGTAGAAGGAGGAGCAGGCATGGCGATATGAGCAAGGGGGCTTTTGGATGTAGATTTGACAAAACTACGGATGAAGTGCAAAAGCACGCATACGCATGGGGGCAAGAACAGAAAGGGTGACCACGTGGTAGATGTGTGGTATGCACATGGTATGCATGTATTGTTCCTGGCAAAAACCATCTCTGGTGATTTTTCAAAAATCACTTTGGCCTGAAACCCGCAAAACGTTTTTTTTCCTCCGCAACATTTTTGCTGCCACCCAAAAACGCCCAACGGAAGCAAATATCGTCCGAAATGAAAAATCATCCGCTGTGATTTTTTATTATTTGAAAAATACTAATAAAAATAGAAAACAGTGAAGAATCTAGTATAGTAGTAAGCAGTTGAGAAGGGTCTCAGGATAGTAGCAGTTAGTACACAAAAAGTATATGCTAGGAAAGCCTGGCGGACTTGGAGTTGTTGGGAACTATCTCTGGCACAAGAGAAGGTTGTAGTAGGTTAGACTGTCCCAAGAAGACCCAGAGGGGCTTGATAGGCAAAAGTCAACCAATGCAATGTTTCAAGTGCGCTCAGTTGTTGTGGGCTTGCAATTAGTTTAGAAAGTCTGTGACAAGATATGTGTAGACGATCTAGAAGAGGCAAGCTCAATGTATGTTTGGGTAGTAAAAGGAGAATTAAAGAGAATGTAAAAGGTAATTCCCCCAAGCCTCTGTCTTATATGCATACAGAGACTCTAAGCAACAAACAAGAGAAAACTAGGGACAAAGGGAAAGAAAGCATCTATTGGGGCATATGGCCCTGATAGATCACAAGGACGGGCCTTCGGCGTTACAAGGTGTGGTGGCTTATGGAGGGTGGTGGCAGGCTTGCTGCAAAGGTCAAAAGTCAAAAGATAGTCCATGGGATTGTGTTACCAAGCTGTGGAGCCACGGTTGCATTGTACATAAGCTGCAAATACTGTTCCAGCCACTGGAATGGTGATCTTTTGCAGCAGTTAAGAGGCCCAAGTGATTGAATGTTCCTGTACAGTTGCATCCTTCACAAATTGAGACAAGAAACAATAGGTGTCCAGCACACTGCATATGGGGACTCCCAGGAATACACCTTTTCGGCAATGTGTATCCAGCTCTGCATTGAGCAAGCTCTCTGCCTCTTTCTGTGAGCCATCTTCAGAACACTGTATCCTAGAATTACTGGAGAGCTTGGATGCATATGACCTGCAGGCTGACACACACAGACTACCGTGGCCTACAATGAGCCAGGTAGAACACTTGAGTGATTCAGAGTCCAAAAAAGGTGCAATGTCAACTTTCAGACATCTTATGTGAATTCACACACATGTGGGTGGAGGTTTGTTGACGGATGGCCTGAGGCATGTGGGGGGGGTCGATGGGCAGTGGCAGAGCTGGGGGCCGCAAGAGCTTGTCATGGGCCAATCGGCGATTCCAGAGGAGCTATACGGTCATAGAGGGTGCTCCACTTTTTGACGTCACAGATGCTCATGGCCTACACCATCTTGCCATCTGCCTATATAACTCCGTCTGAGCTTAGAGTATCCCCCCATCACACTTGCACACCATGTCTCCCCCTTCATCCGTCCCCAAAGAGTACTGACCCAACTACTTGCCTACCAACATAAATCTTCCTGGATGTACAGTGTGGATCCGGTGGGAATCAATAAAAACTTGCTTCCTCATTTGAGCTTTGGTTATGCTCATGCGCAGACTAAGCTGCTGATGCGGACTATGCTGGTCCCTCTCATGCATGAATTGTTGAAGCCTCCCAAGACCATAGCAAAGCCATGGGAAGAGCTGTGTTGAAGAAGCCTCCCTTTGTGTCCAGTACAGCCAGGAATGAAAGATCCCGTGTCCAGGCCACTCCAGTTGTTTGGTTTGCTGACAGGCGGTGGAAAGAATCATGTCTGGTAGACATCCTCATAGATCAGGGTTGTAAATCTATATACACATCTGTAAATTTACATACATGTCTGAAGAAGAACATACATAGATGTCGCTGCAGTATGCTAGCCACCTATACACCCCATAGACTATCTTTAGTGCTCTTGCTTTGTTGATTGTTCCCTCACAGAGCTGTGCAACCTGCTTGGTCACACCAGGACTCCTCTCCTTATTGTCTGTATTCCTTGTTTTCAAGATTTCCCAGCATGCTAGTGTAGTATCCAACTGTAAAAGACCTAAATACCAAGTAAGGTCAATTAACCAGATGAGCAGCAAAAGCCATTGCATCACAATTCCAACTCCGGAATCATAATGCATATGTTGGTATTTGGACTTGTTAACTCACTGTAAGGATCCAGTGGTCAGATCCCGGGGCATGAGTCAACAACTCCAAATACCAACATGAGTGTTACAATTCCAGGGTTGGAGTTGTGTTGCAGTGGCTTTTGCTGCCCACCCAGTCAATTGATCTTACTTGGTATTTAGGTCCTTTACAGATGAAACAAGCCCAGGATGCCTCGTGAAGACGCGGTTATTACTACCAGGCCGGCGACCCCACAAATGCTCTCTCTTTGGCTCCAAGGCCATTCTTAAATGGGTTGGGACCAAGGCCGTCCGTTTCTAAACAGGCTGGGACAGCCCTTGCTTCTGGCGCGGGGTGATGTAGTGTGCTAGGCGCCTGCACGCCCCATGGGCCCTTTTACCCTTGCTCGCCTCCATCTTTGCTTTCATTACTTGTTCCTCTTCTTGTTCTTCTCTTCTAGTAGGGCTGTCTGACGTACATTGACACGCCATATTCGCTACCCTTACCTTCTTTTGCCCAGTTCCTATCTTATTGTCTTTAGCCTTTTTGTACGCTTTGCTGGTTGGCATGTATCCTTATTTGCTTCGTGCCATAGACATATCACGTAGTTGCTCCGTCTATTGTCTCGTCACTTATTCATGTATATAAGAAAGGCTGGGTGTTCTCAGTAGAAGAAACCTGGGGGCAACATTTCTAGACACTGCCAGTGAGGCATGGCAGCTACTTTGAATAGATTTTCCTCAATCATTCTACCTTACAATTGCGGGGATGGGCTTGGAGAACCTATAGGACATACCCAGTCAATGGTGGAGTTGCTATATGCAATTCAACGGCTACCACAAAGGTCAACAAGCTGCAGGGCCATGTTTTGGTGTATCGTCTCACAGCTCCTCATGACATCAACTGTAAAGCACGCAGAAACTGGAAGATCAAGAGGGGTCAGTACTAACGTCAGGTGATATAGTCTGTATCTTCTATGCAGTAAATTGTCACCAAGGTAAATAGAGTCTATTGGGAGATATATCTTGAGAAAGTTGGTAGGGTTCTATATGAGATGTTGCTCAGAGATTGTTTGTTTGAGGAAACTGAAGGGATGCTATGAAGCTGTGATTAACCCATAGCATGCATGGGTACTGTAGCATCCTGCATACCAAGTGTTGTGGAAGTAGAATCTGCATAGTCACAGACACAGCAAAGATACAAGAATGATGGAGATGAAAGATTCCGCAAAATGCGCGTGTAGGCAAACCTTTAATGTGGAGATTTATTCTATAATGCCCGGGTCAATATTGTGAAAAATCCAAAATGCCTGGGTCCCAAAAACCGCAACTGTGACCCAGGTTGAAAAATTGTTTTGGGGCGAGGGGGATAAAATGGGCTGGTACCACAATCTCTGGCACAAGTTCAACATCATGACCGTGGGAGACTGTATCCTTGCCTGAGGCGCCTATTGTGCTTTCTGGGTGATTAGGCGTGGTAAATGAGGGGCGTCTTTTGCAGGCCGTAATATTTCCAATGCCCTGGTTGCCTCGCTGCCGTATCTTGAATGCCCGGGTCCAACCAGCCGCGCACCAGGGGCAAGACAAGCTCCCATTATTGCACCCAGAATGCACCGACAGCAAAAGTGTGACCTGCGCTTGTACATCCCCTCACACCGTATGCATCTGTCTTCAGAGGGATCTGACTAAATCATTGTGAAGAGCTCACTCTACACTTTCAAGACATGCTAGATTTGGTCCTCTACCCCCATATGCATCCCTCATACAGCCATGGTAAAGACCAGGGCAGATGGCTAAAATCGCATTCGGACCAGGGCATTTTGGATTTTTCACAATATTGACCCAGGTATTTAGGATATTTTCTCCTTTAATGTGGCAAGTGTACACTTCATTTGTCAACTTGTACCTTTATTAATTTTGTGACACAAGTATCAGACCCGCTTGACAACTTGCGGGCAAGTTCTTAGACTAATTACATAATGCAAACAACATGTATGTACCGCCACCAATATCAGTTGGTAAGTACATGAAGTCAGTCTGGCGGAAACATATACAGTAAAGGGAACAGAGGTTGCCAGACAGGCAAGAAGGATGCATGTGATACAACAGACAAAGGCAGCAAGAGGTTGGATTTCTTGGTGGAGCCAGAGGAAGATTTCACTGGAGACTCATGGGGGAAGGCGACATTGGGGCATTGGCGGACAGAGGTGGCGCGATATGGGGAAGAGGAGGTAGAGGAAGAAGAGAAGGTAAATAAGGTCAGAAAGTTATGGGCTTCTGGGCCTAGAGACGCCTTTCAGTGGGAGAGAGAGTAGTGATATGTATGTTTGAGGCAGAGTGCATGAGCAGGGCAGATGAGGCGTTGCCTTCATGGATGATGTCAGCAGAATAGTAGAAGAGATCATGGCAGGAGTCATGAGCAACCCAGGAGAGGACAGTGAGAGGGTGGACAGCGAGAGGGTGGACAGTGAGAGGGTGGACAGTGAGAGGGTGGACAGTGAGAGGGTGGACAGTGAGAGGGTGGACAGTGAGAGGGTGGACAGTGAGAGGGTGGACAGTGAGAGGGTGGACAGTGAGAGGGTGGACAGTGAGAGGGTAGATTGTGAGAGGGAGAGTGTCTGGCGGTGGCTGGACATTTGCCTGCCCAGTGAAGAGCATGACCTTTCTCGCAATCGCCCTCCAGATGAGACCAAAGGGCTAGAGGAGTGTTGGTGGTGGGTGTTTCTAAAGGACATCCACCTTTGTTGACCTTTGTTGTGGTGCATCATGGGGCTTGGTGGTCAAAAGGGGTTTTGATCGGGCAGATTTCGGCATCTTTGAGGGACAATCTAGAAGCGAGCGAGTGATAGAGCAAGATGATAGTCACGATGGGAGGAGCGAAAGGCGGATTGTGACCGCAGCAGTGTTGAGTAGTTTTTGGAAAGAGTCGGAAGTCGGAAGTTGTTTGGTGTGGGTGAACATGGTGGGGGGTTGAAAGGAATCATTGCTTGATCCGCTCTTCAGCTGGATACTGTGCATGTAGGTGACAATCTGTTGCGAAGAGAGCGCAAAAAGAGCGACGATAAAAGCAAGCAGCGCAAAAAGAAAGGGAATGACGCGTGGCGGCGATGAGCCGGTGGACATGGCAGGGGGAGGGAAGGAAATCCTTGAATGACGCGCTCTGCAGCTACATACTGTGCATGTAGATGACTTGTGAAGCGAGCGCGAAAAGAGCGATGATGAAAGCAAGCGAGAAACACCAAAAGAAGAGGAAGGACACGCAACAGATGATGAGCTTTGCAGCTGGATATTGTGCATGTAGACAACGGTGAGCGAGGAAATGTTCCAAGAAGGTGAGAGTGTGAGAGCGTGAAAAGAGTGAATGATGAAAGCAAGAAATGCCAAAAGAAGAGGAAGGACGCTTGGGGGACCAAGGCAGTACTGGAGAATGTCGCAACAAGGGCCGCAGGGCTGGAAGATGGTTGATGAAACGGCCGCTGTTTTGTGCACAGTAGGGCCTGCAGATGAGAAGCGGCTTCCAGGTGCAGGTTCTTGCGATTTGATGAAAGTGAGAGTGTGGGAGCGCAAAAAGAGTTGGAAAAGAGCAAGGATGAAAGCGAGAAACAGAAAAAGAAGAGGCACGATGCACGGCGGCGATGAGCGACAGGTGGACCCTTGAACCTTAATTTCAAGTCTTCGTCAAGTTTGACATGAGTGTACTATGCATGCATGGGGAAAGAACGGTATGGGGAGGAAGACCGATTTTTTCTGGAGTGCGTTGGGGTGAAAGGTGAAGGGAGGCAAGGTTGGGGCAAGTGCTGGAAGCCAATGGGAGCAAACACCGTCTGTCAAACCTTATTTTAGAGTTTTTTTCCAGTTTGACATGAGTTCACTATGCATGCATGGGTCAAAAACGGTACGGGCAGGAAGGCTAGGTTTTTTGAAGGTGGGTCTTGGCAAGAGGTGAAGGAAGGCAAGCGCTGGGGCAAGCGCTGGAAGGGAACGGAAGCAGACACAAAAGTTTGTCTATTATATGTTTACAATACAATAGTCATATTACATAGTTGCTCCATCTGTTGTCTTGTCACTCATTCATGTATATAAGAAAGGCTGGGTGCTGGAATTGAGATTTCATCTCTCTTCTCTCCCCCCCTCTTCTCCTAGCCTTCACAAACTCCTTTCAGGCCTCATCCATGCACAACAATGCACTCCTATTCAAGTACTTGGACTAAACCTAGCAACATTTGGTGCTTTACTACAGCTGTATCCCCAGAGCAGGTCTGAGCACCATGGATGTGATTTCATAACACCCTAACTTAAAACCTCAACAGTTTGAAGCACTTGCAGTCCTTCAGTGGTAATACTGACAACACCAACTCTGACACCTCTTCTTTAGTTGTCCATGTCCATTCAACTAGCCACTTGCCCTCTCTCATTTCTTTGTCCATCAGGCATTGTGTCATCACTGCACAAAGTCCAACCTTCACAGGTGTATAGACCTGACAAATAGAGTGCTGACACACAAAGTTCAAGTGCTATGTTCAATCTGGTTGCTGACCAGAGAGAGGTGATGTAATTGAATGTTTGTGTTGTTTCTGTGCTGTAGAGATATCAAGGAATGAATGCCAGTAGCAATAGTACAGCAGCAAGGTTGTGCAATAATGATGAGAATTGATCTTAAGAGATAAATCAAGCATGAACAACAAAATGTGGCATGTCATCAATGAGGCATATGTCATCCTATACTCCACACTTCCAGACCAAAGCACTGGAAAGGCACTGCTGAACTTGTCTTGGACTGTTGTAGCTGACAGAGAATGTCATTGTCATATGCAGGACAGGTAGCAGAGGAGTTGTGTAGGAAGGTGGAGTCTAATATGAGGCCATAGCACCCAGCACTTTGTTTGATAATTTAGCTTTCAACTCCTGTTGATCTCTAGTGTGAAAAGACATACCCGCCACCGAATGAGATGAAGTTTGATTCACATAGTGCAAAATACTGATTTTTACCAGTCCATTTGTAAGGTGACACATGTCTGTTGCCATCCACTTTGAAGAGAAATCTAAAGAATGTCAGCATAAAGACAAATGAGATGAAGAACATCAGCTGTGATAGCCTATAGCAGGGTATGTGACTTACGACTCTCCACTCCCAAAATAGGATCCCTCATGTCTTACTATAGGCTCATTCATATAAACACCAAACACATTATCTTCACCTTGCACAATGAGGATGTTGGCCATATTGGGATGTTTTTGGGTATTCTTTTCCACCAGCCCATACAGTGTAGATAGGGAGGCGCCATGTTGCTCCATTGAAACTATGACAAATGAGCTTGAGACTAACTGGATGAGAGATTGACTTACATAAAAGTGACCACTCATTTATCAACCTTTGCCGTGGTGGAAGATGATGCTGAAGGCTATCGGCCATTGGCACAGATAGAACCTCATCAGTGCTATCACGTCGCCCTTTCAAAACCACACGGCCACGATATTCTCTTGGCTTGATATCTTGCACAGAAGAATTGTGCTGACCAATGAACCCCGGGGCACCTGTTGGTGCCACATAGCTGTGAGCTAACTGTTCAGCTGAGGCGAATGGGGTCTTGTGAGTGATGTCTATTGGTACTGGAAGTGGTGGTGGAGATGTTTGATGTGTAGGCACCTCATGGTGGCCTCTGGGATGATACCCAGACATATCGGAGGTTGGAGAGTGAACTTGCGGAGCAAGCGCAGACTTCCACCTTGAGGCAAGCTTTGTTGTTGTTGCCAAAGTATTGAAGAGCGTGGAGTGGGAAGTTTGACCTGCATGATTGTTGGTAAGATCATAAGATGGCTCTTTGCGCACCCGGGAGCTGGTAGGTGAAGTTGAGCTCTTCCGTTGCACCTTTTGTATGGAGCCAAGCGCCGTATTACCCGAAGACTGGTGGGCAGGATGGAACACGGTTTCGTCACCGGTATCGGTGAAGATAGGAGGTGATGTGGGACTTGTCGCAACGGCAAAACTAGATAGCCGTCTAGTGCGGGCGTGAGGTACGTAGTTCGGAGAGATCTCTGTGGGCCGTGGGGGGAGGGAGATATAGGTGGCAGGCGGTGAGACAGAGTGGCGATCTATTGGGTTTGTTGGCAGATGTGGAGGGTCTGGAGGGATCTCTGTACTCCCAGTCGCGAGCGGGTCGAACGCCGACGGCCAGGCTCCCGGCGATGGAGGTGGCTGCCCTCGCTGAGGTTTTGCGACGTGCTGATCGTCCTCGTACGATCCCAGCAGATCCGCCTCCCCCAGATGATGGACTGAGTGAGGGGTGGCTGGGGCAGCTGAAGTGAAGGCGCCAAAGTCGGCGGAGGAGGAGGTCGCGTGGGATTTATGGGAGTTGCCGGGCGACGATGGGGCATGGGCAGGTTCCGGGAAGGTCATGGCTGGAGGGCGGGCGTGATCATGAGCCGTCGATGGGGAGGGGGAGGTGGTGTCTCTGGTAGAGCAGCAAAAATGCCCGTTCAACGTCGACGCCACCCGACTTGCTACCAACTTGCTGCAGAGGCCAGCGCGAGCGCGGCGGACCGCGCGGTGTGTGCCGCCTTGTCAACAACAACAAAAGTTGCAAGTCCACATTTTACGAGTACCCCCACTCACATATATCATCAGCCTGCAACAAACGAACCTTTTCCCAGTCGAATCACCTGCGATACGCCCAGACTCTATCCAGCAATCTCGCTTGTTCTTACACATCGCATCACCTGTCGCCACAATGGGGCCTAGAGTCAAGAGAACGAAGAAACAGCCCATATCGATAAGCTCTTCGGCCATTCGACCCTCCCCTACAGTCTCCCACAAGCTCACTCAAGCCAAAATTGCTACTTTCCACACCCTCCTCAAGAAGCGAGCAACCCTCAGGCGGCAATTAGATTCGAGTTCTTCGGCTACCGCTAGCGAGGCCGTATCGTCTTCTTTGCGAGACGTAGAGCTTGAAATAGCGGAATTGGGAGGCTTGGATGGCTATCAGAAAGCCAGCACTCTGGGACAAGCCAAAGAGAGGGGAGGGGACAGCTCCAAAGTGCTCGTTGACTGGATCAAAACCATGGGGTATGGGAAAGGCGACATCAGGTCAGTGACGTACCCATCGAACAATCTCCTCATATTGACACTCCAAAGTTTATTAGAAATAGGTGCCCTTCGCCCCAACAATTATTCATCCCACAAGTGGATACATAACACGCCAATAGATCTCCACTCGCAACACCCAGATATCCTTGAGCAAGACTTTTTCGAAAGACCGCTGCCTGCGTCCGAATATGAGGCTTTTGACATCGTGAGCTGCAGTCTGGTACTGAATTTTGTTGACGAGCCTTTGAGGCGAGGTAAGCATCATCATGCATACTGACATTGCTGTGCAAGTCCGCTCACTACGACATCAGGTGAAATGTTGTATGCGATGCGCAGTCAGCTGAAGCAGAGAGACAGCTCTTTATTGTTCCTTGTCCTACCCCTGCCTTGTCTGAGGAATTCTCGCTACCTCACAATACCTGCGTTTGTGCAGCTGATGAAGGTAGTCGGCTTCGACCTGGTCCAGGAGCGCTACAAACCCAATGGCAAAGTGGGATATTGGCTTTGGCGGTGGGCAGAAAGCGTCGGCGATGCCTCTCCCTGGCGAAAGAAAGCTGTCATGATGGATGGGCCCAAAAAGAACAATTTCGCTGTAGTATTACCCCAATAGGAACATGTCTTTTTGTGTGTTCTGAGAAGAGGGTTCAACGGGGCTACGTCTACGCTGTTTATGCAGTATTGAGAGTTGCATTGGACGTCGCACTCATTTTGTATTTGCATCTCATCAAAATAGTATAGGGCTGGATGCTGTCATTCAGCATGGCTGATACGCAAGGACCACCGTGTCGTACGTCGGCGCAGCAGTATGTAGCTGTACATATATATGATCAAGAATTTATATGAGGTCACTCGAATCAGATGACCGAGTCGCGCCGACAGAAGGCGCGAGTCCGTCCGCGACGCGTTGTCGTGTCGATGATAATTTGAGCTGTTGCCTTTCACAATCTGATTATGATGTCTCAATACTTTACTCGGGACTACCAACCTCTATCGATCCGGTATCGGTGAAATCCAACCCGAACTTATCCCATAACCCTATCGACTTCATATGCGGAAGGTCAAATCAAAATCAGAAACAGCATCAAACCGCGGTCCCGCCCCTTCCGCCGTCCCTCTTCGCAGCTTCTTCATAATCAGCTGGTTGGGCCTCTAGATTTCATATTCTAGCTCAGTATCTTTGTGACCCCATTCCACCCGATTTTCCAGAATACTGCGTCGTCAAGGCTATGAGCACTCAGCAGCCATTGCGCCGGCGCAAGTACTCTTGGGCGGTCATTGTCTCCTTCGGCTGCCTGGCTATCGCCCTATCCTGGGTTGCCTTCTCGATATATCAGGAAGATGTCCGTGTATCAGGCTCTTGGGGCTGTGAGATGAGCTGGATGTCGCCTTCGTATGCGCCTCTCCAGTGGCCTCAAAGACCCATGCGCCAACGATACGGGCTGTATCGATACTTGGAGCAGGGTATCGACACGGACAGTCCAGTGAGTAAAAACCACCACACAACAGATCTATCTCTCAAACTCGTATAGCCACGCGGTCACCCTGTCATTTTCGTCCCGGGGAATGCAGGGTCCTATCAACAGGTCCGTTCCATCGCTTCGGCCGCTTCGAGACAACATCAGCACCAGGGAGGACCGACAGCTGTGCACTCCAAGTCTAATCATATTGATTTCTATACTGGTGAGTGCTGATTCCACGCGGTCAGAATTCAGATGAGCCATACTGACTTGTGCGTCAGTGGATTTCAATGAAGAGTTCTCCGCTTTTCACGCCCAAACCCTACGCGAACAATCTAAATTCCTACAACTATCAATTGAACGAGTACTGGCCGAATACGGCCACCTCCCAGAGCATTCGAAACCGACTCAAGTGACTTTTGTCTCCCATTCCATGGGTGGCATTGCTACACTACTGGCGCTTGACTCTAAATGGGCTTCTATGGTCGACGCTGTTGTCACCCTATCGACCCCGCACATGATGCCTCCCGTGACCATCGAGTACGATATGGACGCTATCTATACAACCATATCCCGGTACTCTCAGCTTGGTATCCATCCTCCTATCGTTTCGATCTGTGGCGGTATATCAGACACTCAGATCGTTTCTGAAAGCTGTGTGCTTTCAAACACCCCAGGCTCCGAAGAACGTCGCCTTACTGCGTTCACCTCCGCGATTCCAATGGTGTGGACCGGGGTCGACCATCAAGCGATGGTATGGTGCCATCAAGTCAGATGGACTGTTGCCAGCCTTCTTCTTGACTGGGCAAACGCAAATGGCGTGGACAGAATTGATTTCGCCAGAGAAAGACTTGTTGGGCCTCGAGCTGCTCCTCTATCTCTTCCTGATGGGAACATTTTGACATTCCCGATCTCGTCCGCAACTTCACCGACCATGACACTCTTGCGGCGAAGAACAGACGCCCTGTCATTACAAGAATGTGATGAAAGGGGAAATTGTGTTCCAGTAGAGTTCCGATCCGATCTTCTCCCCTTGCCTCGAAACACCTCAGCCCCCTTTCCATCACCGGGGGAAGGTGTCAATCTTGATGACGCAATACTCTCCAGCGACCTGAATATCACTGTGTCGAAGGGTACTTTAGAAGTACGTTCGGTGCAAGGCGCAAAGAAAGACTGGGTTGTATTTGGTCGGCACGTGTATCGTTCGGTGCGTGGTGGCTCCTGGGGTAAGTTCGTTTCTAGAGTTTGGCTCCAACAGAGCCTGACCTTTGTCATAGAGCGGGAAGAGAACGATGAGAACGTTACGCACTACACGTTGAGATTTACGAGCCCTCTGTCCAACTCCTTGTTGACGTACGACCTTGAAGCCAGCATCGGACAATGCGAAGGTGCGTCTATGGATTCCTGCTTCCGTTCATTGGCAAGCTTATGTGTGCTTCCGATAGGTCAATACCCTATCATCAAACATACCTCCATATCTGTGCCGTCGTTGCAAGATACTGCATTAGAAGCGCGTTTCTATCCCATTACATCAATACCCTCTGTTCTTCGCCTGCACTCGCATGTGCCTCTGGGACCCTTCCTCTCGTCTGAGCATGTGAGAGGTGTGGAAATCGAAGTCTTTCAATCCCCCACCTGCCCGATACAAAAGATCAGAATGTCGCCATGGCATATGGGCGTGCTCGGCAAGATTGTGACTCGTTACCGAATGGTCGCGATGGCCTGGCCGGTTGGGTGGGCGTCCGCTGTAGTGTTGCGACAAGTGGCTTCTTTCCATGGGACGGGTGAGTGTTGGCATGCAAGCTTGTATCTCAGCTGACACCAACCCCATAGGCACTATTCCTTCGTACGACCAGGCGTTGACAGACGTTGCTGTGGATTGGCTTCCTAAGAGCTTGGTCGGTATCGTCCTCATGGGCTTTCTGCAGACCGCTCTATCGAGCTATGGAAGGAGCCATACCCTCATCCTGGGCAACACCGATCTTGCCTTCATACCTTTGCTGTTCTTCTTCTGGGTATGGTCATTTGGCGTCACATGCTTGGTGTGGTGTTGTGTCCTTGTCACTGTCTCGTTATATCGCAAGCTGCTTGCAACTCTTCCTTTACGCTGGATATCTAGTACCGAGAGAAACCGGATCAAGTAGGTGGTCTCTTTTCTTTTCCCTCTCTTGATGGCTGACTAATGTTGATCAAGACCAAGCGAAGGCCCGGAAGAACCCCACCGACGCCCTTCCACCGGTCGATCCAACGCTACCGTGCTAGGTGTGATCGCCTTAATCGCAATAGCCAGCTTCTTTGTCCCCCACGAGGTTGTGCATGTGGCGGCATTCATGATATTATGGACCATATCCGCGAATGAAGATTGCGCTTCACCTACGGTATGTCTGAGGTCATCGGGAACAGGAAGGTAGCTGATGATAAGCAAAAGGCTCCCTCGTTGTCGGCCGCCCTGCCCGGCATTCTAGTCATTTTAGCTGTGTTACTTCCGTTCAAAGCTCCTCACCTGCTTGTTTGGGGTCGCAACTTGTATAGCCACCGAGAGCGTCCGGTCTATTTCATGGAGAATCTGTGGTACGCAGGCCCTCCTATAGCAGTGGTTGCGCTCTTCCTTCGAGGCGCCGTCTATCGGAGACGGACTAGGTGCGTAGTCTTGTGATGACTGTGTTTGTGCGCTCATATCTATAAAGTCGGCTGTTGCTTTGCAAGGTTTCTCTGATATGGCTGTCCTTTTCTGTCGCCTTGGCAGGTGGGCGATGGACATGGATTATCCCACCGCTGGCCAATCTGTTCATTTGCACTCTCGTCGGGCTTCTCTGGTAATACGGCCGTGTCTCCTTTTGGGATTGTACCTAGCATCATGCATCACACATATAGCACCTTTGCAAAAACTCTCGTTCAAACTAGATTCTGGTGCATTTTATGAGAAGCTGCCGGTTTACCGCCCGGCTATGTACATCCGGCTGGCGGCGTACGCCGAAGCTCGGGCGGCCGGGGGAGATAGCTTTCTACCGCTCTGGCCAGCTCTTCGCATCTGCTCTCTTCTCTCTCACAGTCCAGATGCTCACCGTACACAGCTTGTTGCCCAGGCTCAGATGCTTCACCGCGCGGCAGCAATACATGTGTGCTCGGCCGAACGCGTACCAGACCCGCACATTCAGCGCAACCAGCCCAGCTGCCGCAAGATCACCGTCTAGTACGGACACACCAAAGGCCACAGCACAAGGACGCAAAACACTGGTGGAGCTTCCAGGTGGCAGAGAGCTCCGATAGTGAGTTACGATACAGTCTATTGTACACCTATACTGACTGCTCCAGTGACAACACTTTTCTGTTTGACCATTGCCGTTGTCCCCAATGTTGTCATCCAGGGACCAAGCAAAGACTCAAGACTCTATCTGAAGTAGACCAAAGTATTTCTAAATTCAGGCAAATACTCATCAGGAATAGATACCCGACGATATTTCGCCCACCGAGCTCCATATGAATGCACAAGGATTGCGAATCTCTTGGTCGACACTAGAACCACACGACTCTTTCTTCCCAATGGAATTCTTAAAGCGAGCCTCTTACGATCCTCCCCTTCCCCAAGTTGAGCAGGACGAGTAAGTCCTGATAGCCTCGCTCACATGAGGCTTATGTATGACCAGCCGGATCCTATGGAGCTCCAAGATTGCGGCGTCTCCTCCTTCTGTATCCTACCATGGTATCATGGATTCTCAGGTCGAACGGAGCGAGGCAAACATCCTCAAACTACTAAACAAAGTTGTGAGCAACAAGAAACTTTCCGCTGCGCACACTGAACCGACCAACAGCATGACTTTGGTTTCTGTTTTGTGACCGGCGTGCCCGCTACTGCTGAGGACACCAAAACCCTCATAGAAAATATCGCTCCCATCAGACACACACACTGTATGCCCGCCTTGCACCCTTCGAAGATGGTGCTGACGGCTCAAAAGATGGCGGATTTTGGTCTTTTACAGCCGACCTCAGTCACGGCGACCTGGCCTACAGTGCACAAGCCCTCCCTGCCCATACCGACACTACTTACTTTACAGATCCCGCTGGCCTTCAGATCTTCCACCTCCTGTCCCACCCTGCCCCCGGCACAGGCGGCACCACCCTTCTGGTCGATGGCTTCTACACCGCCTCTCTCTTATCGGCCATCCACCCCGAATCGTATGATACTTTATCGCGTTTAGCGACACCGGCACATGCCTCGGGCACGGCAGGGACAATGTTACGCCCGCCAACGAGCCAGCCTGTGTTTGTGCATGACGAGCATCAGCGATTATCTCAGGTGAGATGGAACAATGAAGATAGGGGAGTAATCGGACGGGGATGGACGCCAGAGGAAGTCACGGGGTGGTATAAGGCTGCGAGAGAGTACGAGGCGTTGCTGAAGGGCGAGGACGCAGAGTACTGGGTACAGCTCGGTCCCGGGACTGTACTGGGTAAGTCCGACTGGAGCGTGGCTGGTCAGTGGCTGACCATCAGAGCAGTGATCGACAACTGGCGTGTCATGCACGGCCGTTCCGAGTTTACCGGCGCGCGAACCATGTGTGGTGCGTACGTCGGTGCCGACGACTGGCGCTCTCGACGGAATGTGCTTTCAGAGAGACATCGACAGCAAAAGAAAAAGGAGTCCGCTTTAGACGACGTATGGAGCGTCGGCTGGTGATTGCAAATCAAATGCATTGACGGAATCCTCTAAGCGTCTATCACTATATAACTCCCACAAGATCAGAAAGGCAAACTCCCAGACGGAACAATACAGTCTTCCCAGTGTCCAAACAAATGCGTCCTGTAAACGCCCTAACATGTACAACTTGACCGGCATCTCAGTCATGTTCCCACCGAGATGCCCCTATTCACCCTCTCAAACTCATTTCCCTCCTCTATGCCCGGCGACCGCACATTCACAGACGGTGGCAGTCGAAACTTTTCTCCTTCCGCAGACAAACGCCTCTGCCTGTTGCGCGAATGGTGCAGCATGGCCGGATCACTCGGCGGCGATGATGTTGTGGACGCCGGCGGTGAGGGGTACGGCGCATTGGTATATTGCGCTGCGGGGAAGGGGGATTGAGAGAACGAGCCCTTCATGGCGGTGGTGGTAGAGGAGGGCAGATTAATGCTGTAGCTGTTGTTATAGACCGGCCGGGGCGAGTTGTGCGTGGCCTTGAAATCTGACTCTGAGTCTTGCTCTTCAAGAATTCGCTGATCGCCGATGGTGGTCGGGAGCATCCCACCTCGCACAGCCTCGACATGCCTCATCTTTTTCTCTCCCCGGTCCACATCGCGCTTCGCGCTGTTGTACATCCAAAGGCCAATGCCAGTCATGATGATACCCATGGCTTGCACCGAGTGGACAGGTTGCTTGAACCAGATGATGGCCAGGCAGATGACGGCGATTCTCTTGACAAGCGAGGCGATAGAGTAAGTGACGGGTGAAGTAGACGACAGGAGCGCGAAAGCAATGATACTTTGGGCAAAGTGCACGGTACCGTTGAAGAAAAAGTAGACGAGGACGGAGGTCTCATTTTTCTGTACAGCTGGCGCGCTCCAGAGGTTGAACAAGCTCCGAGCATCCGAGTAGACCCACAAGGGAAACATCAAGATGAATGCCATCCCACTCGAGAAATAGAGCAGATTGATCTTGTCCAACTTGGCCGAAGAACCCCCGCTCTCGCTCGCGCCCGAGCTAGAAGTAGGCATGATCTTTTTGAAAAAGATGTTTTGCGAAACAAAGACGAGGGTAGAGCCGAGGGCGCAGATGAGGCCGAGAAAGTTGGAAAAGGAGATGTCGAACGAACAGGCGAGCATGACGCCGAGGGTGAGGGGAAGGAGGGAGAGGTAGGTGGAGGGGGAGTAAGAGACTCCAAATAAGAGAGAGTAGGCCATGACTGTGAATAGTGGTGATAGCGCCTAACAAGTATGTGAGCCAAGGAAGGATGCTTGAATTATCCCGACACTTACCTTGATGGTATGCACCGTACTGACTGGAACTCTGCTGATCGCCATACTTCCAAAGATATGGCCCCCGACCTGAAACACCGCGAGAGGAAGCGTCCCTCTCATGATTGCTTTTGTAGGCCGCCTCAGTCGCCCCGCCCATCCTATCGACTTGTGACTACAGATGGCGCAGCACAGCGCGACAAAGAAGAACTGCACGAGCGTCAAAGTGACTGGGTATTTGAACCTGTTGAGGATGACTTTGCCCGTGTTGTTCGATATGGCCGAGCAAGCGTACCAGAGGAAGCATAGCGATATGAATCGGATGGTCGCTGTACTCGGCGCGGCAACAGCTGGGAGGCCTGCCAAGAGGGATTTAGAGTTTGAGGTGAGATATGGGAGGGAGAAGCGGCGGGAGGGGGGCGAGTCGAGGGGACAGGCTCCGGTGGGGAGGAGGGGTGGGTCTGGGAAGGAGGGGGCGTTGTCGATGTTGCGGGGGGATGTCTGGGGATAGAGAGGGTGGGAGGGGTGGGAGGGGGCGATGGCCGAGCGGTAGTGGGCGGGCGGGAGGGGGGCCGTGCGGACATCGAGGGAGGAGGACTGGTGGGCGAAGGGGGCGCGGTGGCGGGAGGGGGGTGGGAACGCCATCGGAATTGAATTTCAGGAGAGGGGAGAAACTACCACTGTTAAGAAACAACCCACTCAGGTTTGCGCCATGTACGTTACTCGCATAGCGGTGACCCCCGCCCCCTCGCTCTCCCCTTGTTTGGCTCCCCTCGCCCTGCTCTCTCAGCCCCCGTCCCAGCCTCCGTCCCTCCAATGCAGCCTTCCCTGCTCGTCCTGTATGCCCAGAGGAGAGGGGCTTCCTGCATCTTGGGCAAAGGCGGGCATCTCCGAGCATGCGGGCAGCGGTCTGCAGCTTAACTCACCCCGCCGCCCCGCGGGTGCTCTTAAAATTATTAGCGTGGTGAGTCGTCGATGAGTCGTGGTCGAGTGCACCAGTCGTCCTCTGCGCCTTCTGATTTGCTTGTGGGCTTCCTCTGAGCTACCACGCGCGGGGAGAGCAGGGCTGAACCCAAAACGAGCACAAACATGGAACACGGAAGGCGCAACAGATCCATGGATCCCATGGGCCGTCTCCATGGGCCATGAGCTGATCCACACTGCAGGGCGACATGCGCAGACATGGGGTGTGCTGCACTCATACACAGTGGGCATGTTCACAAGGCGGGTGGACATACATAGGCCACGGAAGGGGACAAACAAAGATGGGCGGGCTGCGGCCAGGCGCGAGGTCTCCCGTGTCGTACTACCTGTAATTGCATTGACGTCCTGTTCTTCAGCGCTCGCCATGTTCTATTAATACTTGTGTTGTCATTTCCATCTCCTCTTCCATCTCCCTCTCTCCCTTCCGACGCCCATCCCCCCTGGCCCTTGACACACACAGACAGCATCCCACACCGGCTCGCCACACAAGCCATCCCTCGCACGCCACACTCCTTTCCCTCCCCCGCTGCTTGCGGTGTCCTTCGACGACCCTTAGCCCCTTCCGTCCAGATCCACAGGGCTATACTCTAGGACCTTAAAGTACCGCCATTCAGCCACCATGCCACCCGCATCTCGCACCATCATGCCTCTCGAACCCACCTCTTATCCCTTCCTTGGTAACGCGAACAACGTCCCCCCTTCACCCACCTCGACCACAAAGTCCCAGGTTCCCATTCTTCCCAAGCCCGACATAGACAACAACGACATCAGCAACAGCAGCAGCAATATGAGCGATATCAAAGCAAACGACTACGAGTTCTTCCACTCCAAGAAGTTTGCATTGTGCTTTGGGGCGATGTGGTGGGTCTCTTGTTCCAGGATGTACGCAATGTATGCTCACTTGTCACAGTCTCAATGTCATCCTTTTCGCTTTGGACCAATTCATCAGTGAGTGCATGGCGTCTTGCCCTTGAGTCGGGGCTGACGCGCGTGCAGTCACTGCCGCCGTGCCAAAGATCATCAATCAATTTCAGTCTCTGGACAAATGTACGTCATCCTCGACATGTACCAGGGCTAGCTAACGAACGTATCAGTGGAATGGTATGATTGCGATGCCCGAGAATGGATCTTGTACTAACCACTTCAACCTTTACTCCAGGCTCAACACAGCGTGCGTCTCAAACCTCTTCACAATATGGGAACAAGGACGAGGCTGACATGTCTTGTAGTTTCTTCGTCCCATGTGCCGGCGCCATCCTCATCTACACTCAAGTGCGCATCCCTCCCACGCTCACGAGACAGGATTCTGACCAGCTCATAGCTCATGACTATCGTCAGCCCCCGTTGGATCTATCTTTCAGCCATTGCTACTTTTGAAGCTGGAAGTGCCATCTGCGTGCGTGCCATCCCCGAGACAATCAGACCTTGACTGATAAGACTTCTCCAGGGAGCAGCGGGTAGCATGAACCTATTGATTGTTGGTCGAGCCGTAGCTGGCTTAGGAGGAGCTGGAATGTGGAAGTACGTCGATTGCTGTTTGTCTCTCCGAAGTCTACTGATCTTGTGTAGCGCAACGTATCTCATTGGAGGCGAGCTCATCCCGTTCTCCAAACGCCCTGGCTACTTTGGTCTTTTTGGTGTCGTTCGTTTTGCGAGCCCAATGTCGAGTGACAAGTGCTAATCCCTCACGTAGAGCTATATCCTTGCCTCTGTGATGGGACCGCTTGTTGGAGGTAGGTCTACCTTGAACCTACATCTGCTTCAAACTGACACCAATATCAGGCGCTTTCACTGACATGAGCGACGAAGGGTGGAGGTGGTGTTTCTACATCAATGTATGTATCTCGGCTTTCAATGACTGTATTAGCTGACAGACAATCAAGCTCCCCGTCGGTGGCGTTGTCCTTTTCCTTCTTCTGATCTTCCTCCCCGATACCGCCAAGCTCATTCCATTTGATGGCCAATTTGACCATCGACCTACATGGCTCAAGCTCCTCCGCATTGACTGGCTTGGCGGGGCGCTCTCTGTCGGATTCGTGACCTGCTTGGGAATGGGCCTTCAGTGGGGAGGGGTCACGGAGGACTGGGATGATAAAAGTGTCATCATTGTGAGTGAACCCCATTGGAATATCTGAAAAGCCAAACTGACCATCTAAATAGAGTCTCTCATTCTCCCTCGGTCTCTTCATCCTTTTGATTTTGTGGAGTCTTTGGTTTGGCTCGAGGGCCATGGTTCCCATGCCGTTGTTCAGGAGCCTGCATTTCACGTGCGTATATCGTTCACGAGAAGAGATGTGTGAGCTGATATAGAGTAGTGCCGGAGCTTGGGTCGCTTTCTTTGGTATGTCGGCCGCAGATATGCAGGGCGCCTCAGCTAATGGGCGTGATAGGATATGGAAATGTGGTTGTCTACCTGTACTACCTTCCGCTCTATTTTGAAGCCATCAAAGAGTACGAATTCTCCCACTACTCGAATGGGAAGAACTTGTGCTGACCATGGGTAAACAGGAAATCAGCTACCGCCGCCGGTGTGCTGCTTCTCGCTTTGCAACTTACAAGTATGACACATCTGATATTGCAAGAATCCACACTGACTAATCACAGTGGGTGTCTGTCTGGTCTTTTCTGGCAAATTGGGCGAAGTCACGGGTCAAGCCAAATATGTCATCGTCGCCGGCTCCTGTCTCCTGGCCACCGGCGGTGGTCTTTTCACCACCCTCAAGGCAGACTCGCCCATCGGCCGCGCTGTCGGCTTCGAAGTCGTCTCGGGCGTGGGGCTGGGTCTGGTCTTGAACATCAGTATGTTCTGCCCGATGAAAGACGACAGGGGGTCGAAGCTAACGGGGACTCACAGTGGTCGTCCTTGTACAGGCAAACTATCTCGATCGACCTCAACTTGTACCGCATGCTACCAACCTTTTCAACGTGAGTCCCGGCGGCAGTTGGTCTTGCCCTTCGTTTGCTAAATGACTGCAGTTCTGGGGTTTCGTAGGCCGCATCGTGTCCATGTCGACTGCTACGAGTATCTTCAATAACAAGGTCAGTCTACACACATTTGCTCAGAGTACAGATACTGACTGTTTCATAGCTTCGCATCGGTCTATCCTCCATCGGACTATCCGAAGCTGTCGAGGTACAAATCGCGGCCGCGCCCAGTGCCATCTGGGAGCTGGATGCCTCTCAACGAGCTGAGGTGTTGGTCCAATACACAGCTGCTCTGGTCAAGGTGAGCTCCGTCCGCTTTCGTTCATCTCGAGTCCTGACTGACGTTGTACCCAAGCCATTCTGGTTTGTCTTGGGACTGGGTGCCATGTGCTTGATCTCAAGCCTCTTCATGAAAGACATTGATCTGAAGGCGGTCGCTCAGCAAGGGCAGCAAGCGGAAATCAATGGCGGGGATAGAGATGGACACGAAAACTATGCGATGCAGGGGAGCGATGTGTCGTCCATGAGAAGAGATACGAGCACGCAGGATGAGAGGAAAGGAGATTTGTATCGGGTGTCCACAAATGAGACTGGACGCGTATAATACTTTTCACAAGGTGTTTTCTATACCTTCACTTCATGACCATACATATACGTAGACAAAGGACTTTTACATAGTTGAACGACAAATGATCAGTATTGCGAACGTCGATTTCTGTACGAGTAGAGAGTACGAGTGCCGTACAATCCTGAAAGCTGAAGGCGCTCTCAGAGCGCTGAGCAGATGTACAACCATTCATGTATCCTGACACGATCTCCTGTCCAAACTCGAGAGCTGAAAGAATGTCCTTTGTTGACAATCTGCGGTCTGAACCACAAGTAGAAAGGAAGAAGGGCATCCGACGCGTCGTCCCCCAGGGATCCGTTTGACTGTGGTGAGAGGAAGGCTCGGAATCTGATCAAGACAATCAGCACTTGTATCCATATCATGCTTCAGAGGTCAGAGTGCTGACTCTGCCACCCTACCCCCCTAGCTGTACCCTTCCTGCAACTGTCTATTTGTTCCCAACGCGACGGGCGTCAACAACAACACACTCTTTTATTCGCACCCCACTTGAATTCTCAATATGTTGTCGGTAGTAATGTTCCTGGTTGCTATCCATGGCATAGGGTTGGGCTGGGGCAAGGCAATTGAACTCGGCGCTAACGACCAACAACACTCCCCAGAAGCTCGATGGATCACGCAGTCTTACCGCGTCGGGGAAAGCTTCACTTACGATTCAGACATGCTTGCCATCACCAAGATCTCTGAAGCCAGTACCGTCAGTCCGATCATAGTGACCTCAACGCTGTATATTTCTGTGTATGCCGGTACCACAGACGAATCCGCCCACCCCACCGCATCATCAAAGGACAATGATGAGGGTGTCGTGGCTGTGGCGATCAGCACCAGCAGCGGAGCCACGTCGTTGATCGACGTGTCTTTCACCGATAGTCATGTGACCCCACCTAGTACAGCATCCACAAATACGCATAGCAGTGCTTCTTCGACAAGCAGCGCTACTGCAGACTCGCAGACTTGGGTGGATGCTCACAATAAACCTCGGAATCAATACGGAGCTGCGAATCTTGTCTGGGATGATCAACTGGCAGTCGTCGCTCAACAGCATGCGAAATTGTGCAACAAAGAGCACACGTAAGTCTACAAGCCTTTGATCGAGTTTCTTTGGCTAGCTACTGACCTCGCGGGCAGCAAAGCGGCCGAAAACCTCCAGTGGGGTTCCGGTACAGGAACTCCGCAAGGGGCAGTAGACGCTTGGATGGCAGAAGCAGGGGAGTGATATCAGCCGGTCCTCCAACGACACCAGGTGCTGACGCTGATTCCGTTATAGCCAAATACAATTGGAACAAGCCAGGGTATTCAGGTAAGTTGTCACCCTTTCTTGAGAAGCTACTCGCCCCCCACATGATGATGACGGGAAGAACACTGACCAATTGTCGTAGAGGCTACCGGTCATTTTACCCAGCTTGTGTGGAAGGTCCGTCATTCTCGGCAAACTCATGTCAACTCATCTTGTATTTCGTCCTGACTTTACTGTAGGATACCAAGCGCGTTGGTTGCTACATTGCCCGGTGTCCCCAAGGCTCAGTAGTCGATGAAAAGTACACTGTAAGTCCTTCGCACTGAAGCCTTTTTGTACAGGAGATACAAAAGGATACTAAGTTTTCGTATTCAGACGAGCTTCCAAACAGCATGCGAGTATGATCCCGCGGTAAGTAATCCTCCACAGTTCGTTGATTTGAAGCTGATCGTGTGATTTTGTTAGGGAAATTATGTCAGTAAGTTAAGCTGTCGCTGAATATCCATTTTAGCTGACGTAAGTCATAGATGAAGGGGAGTTTGCGCAGAATGTTGGAACAATTGTTAGCTAAGGACTACCCGAGGCAGATGGCGGATATGGCAGCGAATAGAATGCACAGCATACCCAGTCCGCATTATTGACATATCTTCCGATTTCTGATCATCTGCAGTTCATCTCGCTCAGCTCATCTAGCTTCCCTCTCTCTGTTGGACAGATGATCTGCGAGTCCCATACCAGTCCTGACCAGGTCCAATCTAGTCGAAAAGGTTTCGGCCAGAACGAACGCCGCGAACGAAGGGTCCGTCCAATAAGATAGATGCGCCGTCAACATGTCTACGAAATATCATCAGTGACCGTGCTGTAGCTGCTGAAACCACCATTTACCGAGGTACTCGCTCACGCCTGCTGATGGCAAATAAAAGTCTACATTGCCGTGAGGATTCAGAGCTGAGAATCTTCTCTCACCACGACTGCCTTCCAGACGCTCCTCCCCTGCAGGACCGGCCATCTGAGTTGATTTCGTCTTGTCAATGGCACATATTTGTGGTGTGGTTTACTGACTCACCTCGATCCCACTTGGCAAACGAACAGCACCTGGCCTGACTGATGCTGCATCGCCCGTACGCCCTCCAAGCGCGCTTGGCAAGTATCGCGATATGGAGCTGATACTGTCTGTGACTGGTGCATAGAACGGTGAGGTGACTGAAGTTATTGCAAGGGGTGAGGTCGTGGAAGCAATATTGGAATCGACCGCCGCGTTGAGTTGATAGCTGACACACAGTCAGTCATGTACGTTTTTGGCATATCCCTGACACGACTCACGCGATGGGATCGGTGTGGTAGAAGATGTTGTACAATCTGAACAGGTCAGCGCTGGGTTTTCTCCTCTGTCCAATCCGATTGCTTACGAATCGATCGACAAGCATCCGAATTTCCCAGCTCTATCAAGCTGATAAGTCATTAGCACCTTACATTTGCGCGCATCGTCTTCCGATAGCCTACAGCTTCGTCCGGAGGCGAGTCTAACAACAAAAGTCAGCTGTGTAGGATGGCTGGGGATGGTCCGCTTCTCACTCATTGTTCTTTCCCTTCCCTTTCTAGGCATAATTTGGGCTTGGTCGAGGTGCAGGAAGATGCCCAAGGGACTCCCGCAAAGGAAGAGATTACTGGTGTTGAACAAAAATCTGTCTCTCGTCTCCGAAAGAATAGACTTGGGAAGATCAGATATGGTAGGGATCTTTGTGGGTTGGTCAGACAATATGTGAGCCACCAAGGCTGAACCGAGCTACCACCGTCATTAGCAAAGGCATGTCACAGCTCGACCAGAAGCTCACCGAGTGTCCCACGATATGCACCCTGCCATTTTTCTCAAAGCCCGGATTACGGGCGATCCACAGGCGATACAGCTTATTGGCTTGCGTACAGACAGCCTCGATCATCTTCTGGCGATGATGCGACATGAAAAGAGGAATATCCAGCAGCACCTGGTAGAGGTCGCATCAGTGTCCGCTTTCGGGGGCGATTGTGACTTACCGCATTGGTGAGCTCTCTCACATACGGAATCGATCGATTAATGGTGATGTCTGGGATTCATCAGCAACAATCAGATATATTTTTGATCTCTCCCACCGGCTATCGTGAAACGGTTGTCCATTCCGTGAGCTGCATCTTCTGCTGTCTTCTGGTCGTCGAGGTCAAGGGACGCCCGCCATTGGACAGGCAAGACCTAAAACAGACACTGAAGTGTGAGTATCAATCTCATGACCACGACGGAAGTACTGACTTGACAACGGCGATCTCGAATTATAGACGCCAAGGCTGGATTCGAGCTCTGCTTTCTACGCAGATCAGTCAGCTTCAACGCTACCTGTTCCTGATTAAGCTTACCTGAGTGATTGTCGAAGCTGATTACCTGCGTATCTGATCATTATGATAGTCAGATCAAGGCTTTTTATCGTCTTCATCTCTATACGCACACAAAGTTATAGGCCTCGTATTGGGCTGCCAACTGCTGTCCTACACCGAGTGTCAATCGTAAAACGACACAGCAATGACAGGCTTACCGATACCATGGACGACTAGGATCAGGTCGGTACACGGCGAATAGTCTTCTGTATCATGGATCTACATAATGTCAGTGGAAATCATATCGCCAAAAAGAGACGTACTAAAGGGGCGTTTTCCTCTTCTCGGGCTCTTCTGTCGTCGGGAGACAGGCCGGGAGGTCTTTCCCCAATCTTCTGATTATGAACCTCCTTGAGATCCTTTTTCACTCCCTCAAGCGTCTGTTTCGCATCTTTCGTGATCCCCTTCATAGCTGCTTCTACGACAGTATCCTGTTGTGGTCTTTGCTTGGGCAGGCCCGCGAGTCTAGTAGACGGTGACTTTTCGTTGACACTCGAGCGATTGCTGTTGTGGCTTCCTCTTCTAGATGTAGCCTGACTCTTGCCTGGGGAGTTGACGTCGGTAGGCTCTTTGCCTGAAGCAGCGCAGGCTGCCGCAAACCCTCGGTAGATGTATGTTCCCGAGGCTTTTGAGCGTATAGAGTCCCAGAGGGCCCGAGCCATATAAGTCAGAGTCCCTGAGCTATACATATCATTAGTAGAGTCAATCATAAGTCGTGATGATGTGACTTGCGTGATGAGTCGACCTCTGTTCTCGTTCTCGAATATGACACCCAAACCTTGACCAAACCTGGGCGGCAGCGAGTATTTCAGCTTTTCTTCTCCAGCTTGGCCTAACGACAAGGCCGTAGATAGCTCGTGTTGGTAGGACGGCTGATTGGAAGTCAGCGCCTGTCCTCCGTGTGTACGTGGGGAGTGTGACAAACCTGCCAAGGTTGTATTTCACTGTTGACAATGTCAGCCACTCTGCCTGACATGAATAAGAGTTGACTCACAGATACGCCTTCTCCAGCTCTTCCGCAAGCTCCCAGCAGCAAGGTTTAGTCTCATCGGTCAAAAACCAGGTTCCTCTCAGTACGGCAACTCTGGGGCCGGTATGGGCCCAGAAGACGGGGTGAAGCGATAAAGTGCGCAAGGAGACTTCGAACAACGAGTCCTGGTAAAGTGAGCGAGGCCTCTTGTTGAGGAAAGATGTAGCGGCGTACTTGACTGACGGGTACCCCTTTGATGACTCCCAGATCTTGGCTGTCCCAGGAGGGTTCTGCCATCAACTGTCGAAACTCCTCTTCCAACTCGAGCTCGGGGGAGCTCTGATCTGATGTTTCTGATACTTCTGATGTTTCTGACCGAGCTCCTCCTTTTCTCTCGCTATTCACTTTTGCATCGACTGGGTGTGTCTGTTCCGCGACATTGCCTTCACTACTTGGCTTCGGTTTCGCCTTGTTGCTCCCTTTGTCACTTGAGCCACTGCGCTCTTTCGCGCGAGTGGCAGGTACACCTTCTCCGTCTTTGGCACCCCAGACTTTGACGAGACTGTCCCTCTCGTCGGGGGGTAGGGCGTGCCACTGTGCATCTATGCGCTGAGACTCGGGCTGGGAGAATGCCTTGTAGACGGTGGTTGTGGTGGTGATGGGGGTGGGCAGGAGATCGAGATGCTGGGCGCCGGCATGGACCCAGCGGGTGTCGAGCTGCGGGACGGGAAGGAGCGGGGGGGACTCTGGACGGGGGGGCTCTGGGGCAGTGGCGGCCATGGTGCATACGGACACTCCATCACCATCCACTGCAGACATACAGTGCATCCGCTGACATCATCACAACCACTGCTTATGTAATACAGACTCACTTGGTTTTGTCAACAGAGGGTATCTCTCTCGTATTCCTCGCCGTCTCTCCAACTCGCTGCTTCCAACTCGACAGAATGGTCAGTCCACCCGCCAGACTCGGGCGGCTAGTGCTGACAACCATCGTGCCAGTCCAAACACCATCCCGATCTGCTCATGTGCCGCCGACAGCCCGGCATCGGTCAGTCCAACTCTCGCTGTGGCAACTTCCTTCCGGATGGCTACTGATGTCCTCCCTTTAGCTATAGGACGAATGTGCGAAAAATGCGACGGAAAATGGTCGGTATCAGCTTCCACGCAAAGTAATATGGACTCACCGTCGTCTGTAGTCCCATCTGCGATTCTTATGTGCGACCTATGACTCTGGTCAGGATCTGTGATGAATGCTCCTGTGAGTGGCGTGTAAAGGCTGTAGGAAATATCACTCACTTGGTGTCAGTCGGCACAACCGCGGGCAAGTGTATTGTTTGCTCATCACCAGGTACGCCTAGCCTTCCCTCATGTACCACGTATCACAAGCTTACCGATACAAAGCCATTTCGGATGCATACTACTGTACCGAATGTACGCGCCTGGAAAAAGATCGTGACGGATGTCCAAGAGTTGTCAACGTGAGTCGTGCTTCCAACTGCCATCTTATACGGCCTTGCCCTCTTGACAAGTTTGCTGATTCATCCTCTTTTGGCAGATGGGAGCCAGTCGAGTGGATGCTTTCTACGAACGGAAAAAGCTAGGGTATGTCAATCAGCGTTAAATATGGCTATCAACTGACAGTTGCTCATAGGATGGAAAGTGGAGGATTCAAAAAGGGATAACGCACCGTTGTCGCATCATGAGATGCAGCATTCCAGATATATACAGCCTCATAATCTCGTTCTGTACAAATGACACTAGTTCACAAATGGCGAGCAAGATAAGCAGTTTGGATCAGGTGGGTACCGCGTGTCAAGGGGCGTTCCGGAGAGCAACTACTTGGTAAGATGGTAATTGCCAAGTATTGCCGGGGCAGAACACTGCTGTATTGGAATAGACGTATCAATAACCAGTCTGAGGCAAGACCACAATACTTTGTACATTCGGCTATAGAATATATGTGCCAACTATCCACTCGGAGATCCGAGATTCTCCTGTCTCCTCTGCTTTTTCAATAATAAAAGATCCGTCAGAATGAACTTTTCCCTGACCAATTACAGCTACTGCCCCGCAAGCATGACAACATATGGCTTCTTAACGACTGAGGTCGCCAATAGGAAGAAGGAAGTAGCTCGTGTCTTTGGTGAGCATGCCGGCCAGAGCGGTGTAGGCAGCCGCGGCGGCAGTGATCTGATGTACAGCACATTAGCACAGGTGACTACTGGACCGCGGGATATACGTACAAGACCGAAAGCACCTCCAGCAGTGGTACACTTGGTGCTTGGCCCGAGATAGCCAGCAGCCCTGGACAACATCAGCTCCAGCTCGACAATGTGGGAGGTGAGATTGACGCACAACAACCAGAAAGTGATGTCGAGGCAGACAAAGACAGTGATAAGAGCGATGGACGATCGAAGACATGCAAGGACAAAGATAAAGGTGACGAGAGCCCAGGTGACGAGGTAGAGACCCAAGGCGTTGTCAAGCATAGTAGGGTCTGTGTAAGAGTCGAGAACCGCGAACTGAGGAATGTAGAGAACTGACGGCCGGTCAATATACAGATGACCCGCGCGTCACATGTGCAAGACTCACTGCCGAAGGAGATCCAGAAACCACCGTAAGAGCAAAACGCAGTGGCCTGGGGCGCCAGTCAGCTTGAGATCGCACGCGTCTCTGAAGGCAGCACTCACACCAAAGGTGTTACCACAAGCCCACTCTTCGATACTAGTAGTTGATGAGACGCAAGTAGCGTGAAGAAAAGTTGATGCCAGGGTGTAATAGGAGGTGAGAAAAATCTCGTCAGTGAGATCCTTTCAATCTAAGGGCTCAGTGACATACCCGACAATGATCTGGGAAAGGCCGCCGTAGCCCATAGCCATACCGAGGATGACGTTGTGCACAGTGATGCCTCGGGTGCTAAGGTTCAGCAGAGAAAGCAAGAATGTGGTCGCAGCGAAACTGAGATGGCGTCAATATGCGTCTCGAGAGCGTTTGGCCGTAGATCTCACCTGAGAAGACCAAGGGGGGCAGGGTTACCAAACTTTCGGTGGAAGACTGGGAAAGCGGGCCTACGATGTGATTAGTGTCTGAGGAAGACGAACCGGTACCGTCATCCACACCCCTTTTCCACCCTCTGCCCGACGTCTCTTTTTTTTGGAGAACTATCACAAAGACTCACTGAGAATTATCCTCAGGCGATCCGCCGGGGGTCACAAACCGCCTGAATCCCTCGCCTCCACGATAGCCCCCTCCGTTGGCGGAGGCGGTCACGCTAGCGCGGTCATTGGTGATGGTACGATCAAAGGTCGCGTCGTGAGGCAATTTTGGGTCGGACATGGTGGGGCGTGGATCAGGCGGTGGTTGCTGGTGGTACGACGGCAGGCAGCACGGGTAATGGACAGAAGATGGGAAGCGGAAGATGAGATGCGAAAGAGATATTGATATGCGATTTATGGTCACCGTGCGATAAACACGACGGCGGTACCCGCGATACCCGACTGCATCCACCCCAACATAGAAATGCTCCCGCGCAGCTGACCTGGGTGGCCTCACCGGCTCGCAAGTTGGCGATCTTCTCGTACACGCCGGTGACCAAATTTTTATCCCCCATCTGGGCTACTTGATCTTGGCTGCCACCGCGAGATCGGGCTCCCCAACAGGCAAATCAGGAAACCCCTGTTTGCCCCTGTCGCTTTCGCTTATCGCGTTATCCCCCGCAATAGTATGTGCCTTGCCCATGGGCTCTCCGCATCCGGCTTGCGGCTATCCTAGATCACCGTCATCCAATCAACATGTATGGCCATTGGCCATCGCCGCTCGCCTATGATGCATGTACTATCATGCCCATGACAATGGCACTGTTCTGCTCGTGAGAATCCCACGTACTGCACAGACCAGGGAACAATCGTTGTATCTCATCGTTTGAAGGATGTTTTCAGCTGCAATTTCACGCATGGACTCTCGCCCTGTATTTTGCGTCATGTACGATGTGCAAGTGCTCCCAGCTCACAACAGCTTTCTAGATGTGAGACGGACAGGACGGTCATGCGCGAGTCCAAGGTCGTGACGGTATCTTCGGTAAACGCTCAAACTGCGAGCCTGCGGTGCAATGGTGCTCTGTATCTATAAATTATACAAATATACTTGCTCTAAGAGTACGGCTACGGAGAAAGCGAAGCAGCGAACGGGACGCTAGGATTTATCGGGTCGCCTGGCTAATGAGAAACCCGGAAAGCGTTCATCAGTACTTGCCGTCGGGCGCCGGCGACCGGCATGCAACATCGATTGTGGCATCTCGGTCAACATAATTACATTCATGTGAAGCGTTTTCCACCCGGAAAGCTATTCCTATTCCCGGGAGGTGCAGTCATATTCCGGCATCCCAACTGTATGTCTCGAGCTCGACTATATCCCTCAAGGAGCGACGACCCGCTGCTCTTTGGGGTTTTTGGGGTCGGTCACTCTTCCACAGCTCGTGCCAGCTTGCTAGTCCTCAACGTTTGGTCTGGTTCCTGTAGAGTACGTCTGTGGCCTCTGTAGTATCCGTGGGCAGAAATATTCATGAAGTCAAAGACACCCGTTTGGTCTCTGAGACGGTATTGATCGATAGCTACGATCGCTTGCATGGACTTTATGGTACGGAAGCCCATAGAGTATCAAGAATCAGACCGTGGATACACTTCCTTGCCGTACGTATCACTTCCTGCGATCCAGGGGCAGGTAGAAACATTGCAATATACCGAACAAGTTGGAACGACCCCGTATGACATGACGCCGTTGCGACGACTCGTATACTATTTACATTCGTTATGGAAACTACTAAGATGAGAATGAACGGTAATCATTCTCCAAGATCTCTCTGCCTCCCATCTAGATCTTCACCACATCCATCCCCGCAGTCGTATGCGAATGACCGGCGCCCCCTTCGGCTTCCCAGCACACCTGCACACCTGCCAACCACTTGTCCTTCAACGCCTCCTCCACTGTCCACCTCGTCTTGGGGTCGGGATCAAGCATATGCTTGACGACGTTCCTACATTCTCTTGGGATGAGATTGTTGAGCGGAGCAGGAGTGCCATGATGGACGGGAGTGTGGGAGCCCTCAACAGAGGCAGGAGGCTTGTAGGCCTGTACGTAGGCAGCAAAGGTAGAATCGCTGGGTTTGGCGACTCTCCAAGGGAGTTCTTGGAATTGCATACAGTAGAAGACGACGGCGGCGGCCCATACATCGACCATACGCGCGTCGTATTCTGAAGCAAGTCAGCAAAGCTGGAGGACGCATGTGGCTACTTACCCTTTTGCTCGAAAAGCTCTGGCGCAATGTAAGGCTCTGAACCGCACAGACCCTTACTCAAGTGGGTCTTTTTCTCCCAACACATCCGGAAGACGTCAGATACGCCGAAATCGGTGATCTGGGTTATATCAGCATCAAAACCTTCCGCACAGAATAAACTTACCTTGACATGTCCTCGTCCATCGAGCAACAGATTCTCAGGCTTGATATCTCTGTGCGCTACACCCATGGAATGAAGGTAGGCAATACCCTGCAGGATCTGCTTGAAAGAACATTCGACTTCGGCACTGGACATGCCTCCCTTCTTGATGGCAGCGTAGAGATCGCCACCCGGGCAATACTCCATCACCTCACACCAATGATGCGCCTCGTCTTGGACAAGATCGACAGTCTCGACGACATTGACGTGGTGCAAGGTGGAGGAGATGCAGAATTCCGAAGTGAGTTTCTTGACATAGTCCTTCTCCGTCTCATTCTTGCGCCTCTTTCTAAACTCCTGTTTTGGGTCAGCGCCAGTTCATGACGTTGAAGCACGACTCACCTTGACGGCGTAGAGCTTTTCCTCTCGCCTGTCCCACTTGTGTGCCAGACGAACGATGGCAGTGGCACCTTTCCCGATAGCCGCTCGGTCACAGACACCATACTTTTTGAGGAGAGAGGCGGTGCTGGCATTATCGCCCGCTTCGCTTCCTCTTGTGGATCCACGGTCTGAACCCCGTGCGGATCCGGCCCCGGACGCCTTTCTCGACATCTTGTTGCTCTCGCCCAGCCCAACAAGGTCCTTGAGGGTGAATTTGTGAGCACCAGCGTCATCCTTTTTCGCTGCCACAGGCGCGGCCGCAGGTTTGCGGTTGGGCGAGCCATTGGAGCGTTGCGAGAGACGTCTTTGTGGTTGAGGCGGCGCAACAGGAGGCGTAGCTGCGCCCTTGCGGTCGATAACAGGCTGGACATCGCCGATAGCCGAGTTTTGTCTTTTAACGCTAGGCGCTCGACTGCCAGCCCGCGAAGGCGGCCTCGAGTCGTCAGAGACATTGGGGGTGAGAGGAGGTGATGCACCAGCAGACACACCAGGGCTGGGACGCCCGCTTACGCTTCCATTCGCAGGCGAATCGCGAGGCAAGTCCAGGTGCAGCTTGGACTTGTCTGTGGCCTTTGCGTCCCCAGGGTGAAACATTTTGTGGAAGAACGACTTTTTTCCATCACCCGCTTTGGCGACTGAGCTAGACCTGCTGGGTCTGGTAGAGACCTCGGGTTTGCCCTCGCGCTGTTCGTGATTACCCGCCGAAGCGGAGCGGACACTGGGGGCGGAGGCGTCATGGCGCTGGGGCATGGGAGCAACCACATGCCCCTGTGCAGAGTTGGCGCGAGAGGCTCGTGAAGAAGGGCCGTCTGAAGTCAATGACCTCGATGTAGGCATATTGGGAGTATTTGAAGCTGTAGGGATGGGGCGGACTGTAGAATGTCAGCATGGAATGTGAAATGTCGATCGTGACGTACTGTTGGGGAAAGGAAAAGTGCCCTCGGGGCCATTGCCTGCGGGATGAGGCTGCTCGGGGTTTGCAGACGACTGGCTGGATGGAATAGGAGACAAGACGTGATGGTCGATGACCCCGCTGGGGTTTGCCACAGCGGAGGCGAGAGGAGGGGCGCCATTCGAGTGGCCCTGGTCAGAGTCTGAGAAGGTCGGCATGGGGGAGAGTGAGGGGGTGGCGGCGGTGCTGCTGGTCGTAGACTGGCCTCGGTAGGAGGGAGGGAAGGCAGAATCCAGCATATAGGGCAGATCCTTCACATTGACGACACCTCCCTGGGAAGGGAAAAAAGAGGGGATTGTTCAGCATGTGGATGCGTCGGCGGGCGGGGACGTACTTGGGGTATATCTGCAGGCTTGACGTCTTCCCCTGCGTTCTCAGCCGCGGCGCCGGCCTGGCCATCTTCCTGGGCTACTGACATGGGGGAGGGAGGATGACAAAGACGCGGGCTGACTAGGGGGTGGGTGGATGGATGGACAGAAAGCGGTGGTATGAGTTGTGCTACTATGTACGGGGGATGGACATGTTATGTGCGGGAGGGCATGTGCAGGCGGGGAGGGGGATGCGTTCAGGATTCACCATCCATTATAGTGGTGACCCGCCACAACGCCGACACAAATCTCCCTTTTTTAACCCCAAACTAACCCTTAACCCTATTTTTAACCGCCACAAACCTCTCCCGGCGAGCGCTGACCCGGCAGATCCCTCAACATGGCTTGGCTCGATGCAGCAGGAGTCATCAGAGATCTCGGCGAAGGTACCGATGTACGACAGCCATTTGATACAGAAAGGGAGTACGTTCGCAGTGCAAGTTGAATGACAATCACGCTTGGCCGTTTGGCGTTGTGTATTGCTCGCTTCCTGGCACTGACTTGCCATATTACTAACACCGGTAGAAACACAATACAGAGTAATATCAATCAAGTGCTCTCGGCCACCTCGAGCGCTTGCTGCTGTCAACTAAAGCGCCTCAGCAGGCGAGATGAAGGCCAGGAGGCGAGATGGGCGATGGGGTGGTTACGTCAGCGAGTGCCACCGAGCACAAACGCCGCCGAGCACCGCATTGTTTGTGTCGTTGGGTGATGTCAGTCGTCAGCCTGCGACATCGCCCAGAGGCTGCCTCCTAGCATTATATACCTTGTATGTCATCTCCAATTACCCTGCGCTCATCACTGACAGCCATTGCAACAGTCGCGACATCCCAGCCTTCTCGTACCAACACCATGGATAGAATCAAATCGGCCTTATCTTCCTCGTCAGAAGGTGCCAAAAAGCTCTCCAAGGCGTTCCGCGCCAAGACCGACCACTCGGCCCTGGGCGGTGGGTCTCGCTTTGGGATGGGCAATCCATTTGCGGACAATGCAGATAGAGAAGACGTGAGTTTGTTGCCTAGAAGTGCGGTAGCTTACTCTGAGTGCGATCCCTTGTTTCCTCGTTCTCGATTCATGTCTGCACCGACGAACACAGACCTCGCTACCTAGACTTCATCTGATCATTCACGGCGTGGCTGTGAGTAATCTGGTAAAGTCTTGTTCGATGATTGATGCCATTTTACAGCTCTTTTTCACTCTCCTCGCAGTCTGCACTATTGCAGCTGTGGCAGGCTTTCAGGGGAAATGGTTTGGCGTCAGTACGTCAGACGCTGCGCTATCTGTAGGATGCTCACAGCTTTTTAGCTGGCGGTACCGGCTTTACTCTCTTCCTCGTCCTCCTCTCCTTTTTCCTCTCGGCTACGCTGCTGGGTATCCCTCTCATCTACGACCGGTACGTCGAAGCGCTGGTACTAACGGCAAGCTGACTCGTTGACAGATGGGACAAATTGAGGCGATCCGCCCAATTCCTATCTCATACCCGATCACTCTTGATTCTTCACGCTTTCGGCACCTTTCTTATGCTCTTGGCGGCGTTCATCGTTACTATCTCTGGTAGGTTGCATTGGCTGAAAAGAATGTTGTCTAACACTGTATCTCAGCCTGGACAGCGAAAGGATGCAAGAACGCGGACGATGACCCGCACGAGGACCTAGGAGATGACTACAAGAATGGACTGGCAAGCTGGTGCAGGACCAAAAAGGCTTCGGCTATATTTGACTGGTTCTCGTTTGGTACGTGTCGTCAGCCATCCTCGAAACGTCTCTGACGTTTCATAAAGCCGCCTGGGCGGCTCTCCTGGTACTCACTGGTCTCGCCTTCCGAAAAGAACAGCGCAACAACCGCCGCGATCCCTCCTTCCTTCCTCCCGAAACCAACGGCATTTCCTACTCGAACATTGTGCCCGAAGAAGAACGCTATGGCGACAAACCAGACTCGTACCCTATACAGGGTACCATGCCCACCACGAGTAACGACAGCCGCCGCGAGGAGCAGCCGTACGACCCGGCGACGAATTTTGGATACTCGCAGCCCTCGCGCCCTGCGACGCAGCAGCAGCTGGGCAGGCCGAGTGTGGATGCGTATGGGGCTTTCGACGGGGATGGGATGCCTGGGGGTGCACAGCCTAGTCGGACGATGCAGATGGCGTCGTATTCGGATCCTTGTGAGTATGATGTTTGAATCTCTGATGGTATCTTACGGGTCGCAGATGCCCAAATACGATCATCACTCCAAACCGGACAGGCTGCACAACCCGCCTACAGTATACCTCCCGGTCCCCCTTCCTATGCGGGATATCGACAGCACTGAAAACATGATCTGACTATTACGATGTGACACGACTTTGATGACTGAATGGTAGATCGTCTCGACATGTATCATGGAAAGCAAGTATATATTGATCGATGCATGCAGTAGCACTTCTTTACTTTCCTCCCCTCTTAGAGACTGACAGCCAAGCCAAGGGCACCGAGAGCCAAAAGGGAAACGGTGTCCAGAACGGTGCTGATGGTGTGGTAGGTGGCAAACTTCTTGTTGTTGGCGGCCATCTTTTCGGAAGGCTGGGCACTTGGTCAGCTTGAGCCGCTGTACATGAAAAACAACTCACGTTCTCGGCGTCATAGTCCTTGCCATCGACCCTCTCGAGCCTGGCCCTCTCAAAGGTGGAGCTGGTGGCCAAGGGGCCGACGACGAGCCAGTTCAAGAGCTGGGGCACGAGACCGGCGATGATGAAGAGACCCTGGCGACCTTCCTCGGACGTGAGCCAGTGGGGCGGGACCCTCGGGGACGAGATGAGGGAGGGGTGGAAGTAGAGGTGGGTGAAGAGGAGGGCAGAGGTGGTGAGAGAGGAGAAGGAGAAGTAGGTGGAGGTGAGCTGAGACTGGAGGGTGCCGAATGTCTGCCTCGGGAGGACTCTGTAGGTCTTGTAGGCGGCCTGCGGGGATGAGCTGGGGACGGGGTGCAAGGGGGGGGGGGCTTACGAGGGTCTTGTAGACGTTTGCGCCGAGGGCTGTACCCCATGTGAGGAGGTAGAAGCCCTTGAGGGAGAAGGGGGCGAGTGCTTGCTGGAAGACGGCCATCGTGGTTTGCTTTATGCAAGGAAGAGAAAGGAACAGCCCCTCAAATCAATCAAATGGCCCCAATGACGCAGCGGCACCCCCCGCCTCCACTGACGTCACCCAACCCAACCCTGGCTCACGTCACCTATATATATGCTGCCTCCCAATCCATTTCTCTCCCCATCACACCATTATGTCTGCTTTCCGCTCCCTCACCACCGTGCCCATCGCCAGGACATCCTACCGCGCCTTCTCCACCTCCGTCTTCAGGCAGAAGACCCTCACAGAGACCGTCAAGGAGACCGCCGACACTGTACGCCGCCGCCACGATCGATCCCCCTTGGCCCCGCTGACATCCCACAGGTCAACAAGAAGGTCGGAGAGACTCTTGCTGCCGGAGTTGGCGCTACCCAGAAGGCCACCGATGCCACCAAGAATGCCGCCGGTACGTACTGCCCTTCGTTTTCCCCGGCATCGCTGACCGGACCCCAGACAACGCCCCCACCGAGGGCGAAGTAAAGTCTGCCGCCAACGACCTGGGCAACAAGGCCGCCGAGACCGCCGAGTCGGCTCGACAGCAGGGCAACCACAAGCTGGGCCAGGCCGCTGGGGCCGCCAGGGACGTCAAGGACGACGTCAAGAAGAACCTTTAATGTAGCAAAGCAAATAACAATTCGGCATATAACGTCACATTGCACTGATGTATTACTATGACAATACATTCATCATGCTACTACACTTGTCACTGCTATCTCACCCCGGCTGCCCCCGACGCAAAATCCAGCATTTGCCCTGCCGTCTTGGGCGCTTCTCTCCCAAACACACTGTAAATGTTTTGCCCCGCCTGCATCGGTTGTGGTACTGGTGGTGGGTAGGATGGCTGCGAAGAGTAGATTGTGGGCGAGGGATGGCGCGCTGCGTGTACGGTGTTGGGCCGCCGTCCCTTCAAAGTGTCAGCCTGCTGTTCGCACTGCTATGCAATCCTTACCATTGCCAGCACATCTTGGTACGCGGCGTCACGGGGCAACGGCGATGGCACTGCATCCTGTGCCCAATCAAAGTCGCGGATATTTCTGTGAGGCGGTATTGGTTTGGCTGCAATCGCTGTCAGATATACCCCGAGATACGCTCTGCAACTCACTCGGCCGATGCGTCTCGACAAGCCCCTTCTCTCTCGCCAGTTTCCGACGCTTACTCCACGTCGCTTGAAACTCTTCCCAGTGTATTCTTTCGCGTTCATCCTAGCATAAGAGTCAGTCGCGCGTCACATGCGCAAAGTAAGGGCGTACCGTCCACGACGACCACACCAAGTGCTTCTCTGCGTCCTTCATCCGCCTATACTCTGCTACTTGCGCCTCATACCTCTTTGACGCTCCTTCATGCAGACGTTCTCTACGTTCCGCCAGTGTCTTGTACAGATAGTCCAGCGCAGGGTAATTCTCTGTTACCGAGCATGAGTCTACAGCAGTACAAGCGAACACGTACCATTCAAGATCATGTCTTCCTCTGCAGCTGCCTCCTCCATCTGCTCAAGATATAGGCAATTTCTCAACTCGGCAAATTTGACCTCCAGCATCAATAGCTCCTTCGTTGCTGCTGCAGGAGGCGCGGGGCCATGTGGCAGGTGTTTGCTGTATCCCACTATTGGTATGGGAACTACTGTCCAGGACGTCAGGATCTTGCTAGACCGCCTGTTTGAGCGACTCACCCGACTCCAGATGGTCCCGGGAAGCTGGTTCTTCCTCCTCTTCCCCAGCCATATCGGCGTCCTCTTCAGCGTACCCATTCAATTCCGGCTCATCTGCTCCTTGCCCGTCCATGGCGGCATCCGAGACCTCTACCTGCTCGACGTGTCCATTCGCCTTACTGGCGTCTTCTTCCTCGTCAACAGTGTCCTCGGCGGCACGCATCGTCACGTCGCCATCCTCCTCTTCGCCGTCATCCAGCAATCTCTCCGACGTGTCGTTCTCTACAGCACCATTGATGGAATGGCCATTCCCGTCAGGTTGGGGTGAAGGAGACTTGTGCGGGGCATCCGAAGGTGGGGGGGTCAGGGAAGCTGATGATATCTGAGAAGCGGCTCGGCTCGGTCTGTTGTAGCTTCAGCGACAGCTCTAAATGGGTGGAAACACGATGGGGCCAGAGTCCTGCGCCCATCTGCCCGACGCGCCCTGTCACTCACAATCCACCCTGTTCCTCTTCCGCGTCGTCTCCCTCTTCGGCTCTCTCTTCCTGCTCGCCCTCGCCTTCAGTCGGGTCTCCCTCCTCCTCTGTCAGCTCGCTCTCGTCGTCTGTGAGTGGGAGGGTGGAGCTCGTTGCTGGGCTTCCCTGCTGTGGATGGGAGGGTGGTATGTCGGGGGCGCCTTCTGAGCTGGGGGAGGAGAGGGGGGAGGGATGTGCGGCGGGGCGGGGTGATATCTGAGAAGCGGCTCGGCTCGGTCTGTTGTAGCTTCAGCGACAGCTCTAAATGGGTGGAAACACGATGGGGCCAGAGTCCTGCGCCCATCTGCCCGACGCGCCCTGTCACTCACAATCCACCCTGTTCCTCTTCCGCGTCGTCTCCCTCTTCGGCTCTCTCTTCCTGCTCGCCCTCGCCTTCAGTCGGGTCTCCCTCCTCCTCTGTCAGCTCGCTCTCGTCGTCTGTGAGTGGGAGGGTGGAGCTCGTTGCTGGGCTTCCCTGCTGTGGATGGGAGGGTGGTATGTCGGGGGCGCCTTCTGAGCTGGGGGAGGAGAGGGGGGAGGATGTGCGGCGGGGCGGGGCTGGGGGGGACGGCATCGGGGCTGAGGGAGGACGTTCGTTGCAGCACGAGATGCACGAGATGCACCAAATAACCTCCCCCCGCGCCTATCTCCACAATCAGATTTACACAGGTAGGCGCGTGAGGACCGGAGGAGGGCGCCGTTCGTTCGGCCCCCGAGAGCGGCCGAGATTCCTTCTTCTGTGCAGCGGCGGCGTCCACTTCTTGGTAGCTTCTTGGCCATGCATGTTGACGCTGAGCTCATAGAATTCATCAAAGAGATACGCATATACCGGGCACATAACCGAGCTATAGCCCGAACACCACTCGTGAACTACGGGGTCCCCCCCCAAATCCCATCGGCAGAGCCGTCTCTACGCAAGGGCCAACGAGGGAATGTCGCGTAAGCGAGACTTGTCTGCTTTCTTGTCTCTCTTTGTTGCTAATCTTTAGCCCGAGATTTCAAACCAGGCTAATCGTCCTATAGCAATCGCCCCGAGTGCTGGGTAATCCGGCTTCTACAACAGGTGCGTCGTACATGCCGGGTCTACAAGCCGATGACGGACCGGATTGTTAGTCGTACAGCTTTTTGAATAGCCTTACCACTGTCCTTTTGAATCATTCCACTACATCTCTGTGTATAGACCCCAATTCCGACCAGCAAGCCTCGCGATCCTTCATGATGGGCTCCGACGTCGAAATGTACGGCAAGAACACGAATGGCAGCGCCAGCGTTGAAGCAACCGCCTTTCCTGTGTCCTCAAATCCCGACAAACTGCCAGAGTTTGATGATCCCGAGAGAGATGCAGTCTTTGGAGCGAGAAAAGAGGGCGAGGTCGACTATAGATCAGTTGGAATGTGAGTGCAGAGGAAGTCTTTTCCTCGAGTGCAACACCTCGCTTGCGCTGAGCAGTCTGACGATCGTCTTTTCCAGGCTCAAATCCATCGTTCTTATGGTAAAGCTTACCATTGCCCTCGGTGTACTGGCTATGCCACAAGTTTTGCTTGAAGGTAAGCAGTTCATTGCGTGGGGCTGCTCCTTTACTAACTCTATCATAGTCGGGGCAGTACCAGGCGTCATTAGTAAATTTTCTTCTTCTCTCCAGTGTTCTAATGCTCACCTGTCCCAGTCATCGTTGTCATTTCAGCATTAACCACCTGGTCGGGGCGCGTTATCGGCGCTTTCAAAGCCAATCACCCCGAAGTGTACTCTCTGGATGGCGTGGGATACGTATTGGCAGGAAACTGGGGCAGGGAGTTTTTTTCCTTTGCCTATGCCCTCTTCATGATTGTCAGTGTGCCCTTTTTCGTCAGTATCAACGCCACTGACTGTTTCCCACTAGTGCTTGTGCGGATCAGGTTTCATCACTACGTCGCTGGCTTTCAACGCCATCACAGATCATGCCGCTTGTACAGTGGTTTGGGCGGTTGTCGTGAGTCTCAAAAATTGCATGACTCTTGATCATTGCTGATGCCTCTTCTATAGGCTGCTGCGGTCACTTTTGCCTTTGCTTCACTACAGACGCTCAATAAAGTCTCCATCCTGGGTTGGATTGGGTTCTTCTCCATCCTGTCTGCCATCCTCATCATCACCGTTGCTGTCGGTGTCGAGGATCGTCCTGAAGCCGCACCTTCCACCGGCCCTTGGGACAAAGACATTCATGCTTTCAACTCTGAAGCCTCTTTCCTGAGTGGCATGGGGGCTGTCTCTACTACCGTCTTTGCCTACTGCGGTACCCCGGCCTTCTTCAATGTCATCGGCGAGATGCGTCAACCCAAGCGTTTCAACCAAGCTCTCTTTGCTTCCCAGGGCCTGTGCACGGCCCTCTACATTACCATCGGCGTTGTGGTTTACTACTATTGTGGGCAGTACATCTCGAATCCTGCTCTTGGATCCGCCGGCATCATCATCAAAAAGGTATCTTATGGAATCGCTCTGCCTGGTCTGTTCGTTGGTTGCATCCTCTATACCCACGTCGGCGCCAAGATGTTGTTTGTTCGTCTCCTGAGGTGCGTAACAGCAATTTGACCCCTGACGATGGCTGACGATGTTTAAAGAGGGTCTGATCATCTCACGGGAACCTCATTCATCCATTGGTCCGTGTGGCTCGGCACTGTAGGCATGAGCGTAGCTATCGCCTTTATTCTCGCTGAATGTAAGTTTCGGAACACACTTTCACTTTCATCGCTGACTGCAACCTTACCCAGCCATTCCATTCTTTGGCGACTTTGTCTCTCTTGTCGGCGCAACCCTCGGCACCTTCCTCTGCCTCATCACCCCCGCTCTCATGTGGTTAAACGACAACTGGGCCCTTTGCAAGGAGCGCACTTCTATCGGCTTCCGGTCACGTATCGCACTGAGCGTGTTCACCCTACTGGCAGGTGTCTTTATCGTCATCACGGGCACATGGTCGGCTGTGCTCAGTATCAAAGATTCATACGCGGATGGTTCAGTCGGAAGTGCATTCTCGTGCGCCGACAACAGCAATTGAGACTGGCTGGCCAGTGCAGAAGGAAAGAAGAAAATCATTATTGTACAATACTCCATAGCATAGGCATTGCATGCATCACAGAAGAGAATAACTATCGTTGCGTGTCTATGACGTCATCTCCATCTGAGCTGTATTTGTGCACTGCGAGCCTGCGAGTCTGCGAATCGTGATTCTTTCATCTACATTCATCACCAGCGCCCCCTTCTGCACCATGTCTGCGCCCACTAGCAGCTCCAGCAACACTGTTCAGCCGTCCATCTCTTCGCCCGGAGAAACTCCCCCACCCTCCATCGTCGCTGCTGGTACTTTCGTCCCAGCAGCCCCCGTAGAGCCCGCAGAGCCACAACAAGGTATGTGTATCTGGGCTCAATCGGTATAGACTGACGGAGAAACAGCTGCCACTGGTCCTGGAAGCGGTGGCGTGGTTCCAGACCAGGCGCACAAGCTGCCGTTCAAAGAGCAAGTACGTCGTCTGGGCGCAGATGATCGAGTATGTACTGGTGCTGATGAGACTTAGGTCAATGGCTACGCTAAGAAGTTCGCCGGTGCCACATTCGGCAATGAAGAAGAGAGGAAATGGGGAGAGAAGAAGCTCGCCGGGGAGCTGTGAAGGCGTTTCAGCAATCTCTAGAACGGTAGCGTGATGGTTATTATTCATGCACGAGGGTAAGAAGTGTTTGGTAGGCGGTGACAATACGCGCGTCCATGCTCTAACACAAGTGATCTAAAGCCTGTAAATCCTTTCCCCATCTCTCCCTCAAGTCTTCATCTTCCCAAAGGACCTTGCAAATGCCCTCAGCAGATTTTACCGGCCCCCCGGACGCTTGCCTCCTTTTTGACTTTACAGACCTCGAATGATCCCTGTCCGAGGTGTCGACAGGTGCGAGCAGAATCAATTCAAGCTCCTTGATGATCTGTCTCAAGATCCGGTCTCCGAACTGCTCGCCCCAAGTCTTGGAAACAAGAATCATTGAATCTTTGACCAAGGCTCCTAGCTTGCGATGATCAGAGTTCGCCAAGTCTGGCCTGTCAATACATGAATGTATCCAGTGCGGTAGATCCGCCGCCAGAGGTCCGTTGCCATCTACATCAATCGCTAAAAGGACCGGCACGAGTGGTGAATACCACTGTCCGGCGATGATGGGCGCTTCAGACGGGGCGTTCGCAGACGAAAAGGTTTTTGACAATATGGAGCTGATAGCGGCTGTGCGACCTCTGTATGTGGACAGTTTGGCTCTAAGGGCGATGATGAATGAGCAAGGCCAGAGAGGTGCGGAAAGCGGAAAGTGGGAGATGGTCTCCAAGGCTACATCCAAAGACAGGTCTTGGCCTGCTCATCTCTTCAGCTATTACTGATCCGATGAGACATATGACTTACGAGAATCAGGTGCTGTCACACCGAGGCTTGTCAATCTTGTCCTCAAGCCCTCCGCCTTGAAACCTGACGAGTTGATGACATCTTGTAGATCATTGGAGGGGCGGATGACGTCGAATAGTGCTTGGTCATTGACCCTCAGGAGCTGGTCTGGGCAGGCATGCCCAAGAGCTAGAGACTGCAGGACCACAAGATGCAAAGCTGATAATGGTCTACAAAAAGTAAGCTCGATGGGCAGACTCACATCAGCGAGACTCACCCTAATCGGAATATTTCGTCACATAACCACGCAATGACACCGCCCAGACACCAGCTCAACAACGGCTGGGAGAAATAGGAAAGACCGCTATGCAAGGTCTCTAAATCCATTTGACCACATGTGACAGCAGCGATGGCCTGCTGAATTAAAGTCGGAACCAGGACAGCCAGATCTTCTGGTGGAGTTGCAAGTAGAATCTGATCTTCAATGCCATCAGATCCAAACTGGAAGCTTTTAGCGAGGGAAGACCATGGGAGATACACAGAGACTCACAATAGCTTTCACCCATCCATTAACGCAGTCTTGGTATGTAAGAGTCAATGATCCGTATCCGAAGGCCCTCCTTGCGCGATGAAGCAAAGGTGGAAGATCCAAGTCGAATTCACGAGCGAAAGACTCGATCAACACCACGCCTTCTCCAAATCGAGTCAGGCAGCCTTGAGGGTCCTCTGAACGTGTGTACTCATCCAATTCCGCATACGCTGTCAGCAGCCGCTGCTCCATAAGAATAAGGAGCGATGTAGGCGATGATTGCGAGATCAATGACCCAAAGAAGAAAGGTTGTGAGGACATGTATATGAGTATGTCCTCAGCTGGAGGTGTTTGGGGTATTGCGCGTATAGTCTGAGACATTGTCAGCATTGGAGCAGGACATTATATGGTTGCTGAGATACCTGGATAAACTCATGACTAGCGAGTGATGCAGAACCACAGGCGTAGCTGATGATGAATGCAAGTGGTTTGATATGATGTCTTGACTCGGATCCCAGTCTCTCCTACCGAGACATCAGCGGAGTTCATTATTGACCATCGCTATGCGCATACCAGTAACGATGGACCATTTCTTGAAGATGCTATCGTCACCCCAGGCAAAATAGCCAGAGCCTCGTCTGAGTTAATGATATCTTCGTGGACCAAGCTTGCAATTAGGGTATCTTGCAGAGGCAGCACGGACCTGATTCAACATTAGCCGGAACTACATGCACTTATCGGGCCACGCACCACCCGTCTGGAGGAGTAAAGCCACTGGATTCCTCCTCCTCTTCTGCAGCAGACACTATTGAAGAATAAGTCTGCAGGAGTGTCTCTGAGAAGGCTTGCATCGCCGGCAGTAAGCGGGCGATAGCTGACGCCAAGAGCGAGGTTGCATCCGACTGGTCATTGATGATGAGCTTTCAATTGACTCCGATAGTCTTGACTCACCGGAAACATCCATTTCTCAAACTCCCCATCAGTGCTCTGCATCTTCCACCATTTGAGTAGTTTTGGTAGTCCCTCCACTGCCCATCCAAAGTCCCTGACATTGTCCCCGGTCCCTACAGCATGAGGTCTATCACCACTCGGACCATTGAGGACTCTCTCAATAGAGATCTCAACCAATGCGAACAGGAAGTCACCGGCGACAGGGCAAGCATTTCGACCCAGTCGAAGAAGACGAATGTGAGGGGCAGGTGGTGTCATTGTCGCTTGGTTTTCTGACGGTAAGGGGGTGCGACTGTATCGGAATGAGCTATGCGTCTGCTCTAGAAGCAGCGCTGCTATTTCTTTTAGGGGGAGAGCAGGTGCCGCGGAGGTGCCTTGGCCTGCCATGAGCACGGTTTGGGGTTGCGCCGCTGTTTCAGACGCACTTCCCTGTACCAAATCCTCCATGAGCCCACCGAGAGAGACCCTCAGTGGGTTGCTGATTTCTTCGGGTAGCAGAGGAAGAAGTTGACCTGCTTCTAGCCCCACATCCAAGGAAGGGGCAGGAAACGGCGCAAGCACGGATAGTAGGCGGGCGACGAGGGATACTATCGCCGAGGGCGGTGAAGGTGTAGCGGCCAGCCGTAGAAGAGGAAGCATTACTGATAGAGTGCTTGTTTCCCGACTCTGACCAAGGGACGAGGGCCCGGCAGAGCTGCTCTCGACAGAGTCGCTTGCCGGCCCACCCAAAACGGCGGGTAGCAAGAGACCATCCGTAAACCCCGTAAAGTTGTTTATTATGATGTCTGAGATCGGTATCAGGGTTGATATAGGAGGGAGGTCTCTTTCGGATATTTGACATAGCAAGCTGATGCAAAGCGACCTTGCGGTGATTGTCGACGATGATAGAAGTTGCGACAAGTAAGACAGGACAAGCGATGGAGATGATGGTATCAAGAAGTCAAGCAAGGCGGCTATGGATAGGCGGTATCAGCGCATTCGTCTAGTACGTCGTAGAGCTCTTGCGTACCAGAAATCTGGTCCTCGGTCAGCTCTCCACGTTTGACACTGCTCTTGAGCGTCTTGCTGAGCTAGAGGAAGCGATCAATATAATTCCTGTTGGGTATCGGAGAACCCACCTTGAGCGGAGGGGCCGCGATGGCAAACGCTCTGGACACGATGTCATGGGCTGTGGGGGGGAGGTCGTTGGCCATTGCCGCTGCCAGAGGGGATGCAGAAAGCACAGTATAAACTAGTATAAACCAGTATAAACCACCCCGGTTTGACCCCGGTGCGCCGACAACACCCAGTCGGCGAACGCCGACCATGCCCGCGCCCGTCATCACCACTGCACCTAGGTCACTTTGTGCATTGTATCCCGGTCTCTCCTTTCTCTACTCTGACAATCATTATCATGGCTGCCACTACCAATAACCCCAAAGACAGAAACCTCATCGCCGTCATTGGAGACGAGGTACGTTCGCCTGCCGTCCCTCGGCTCACGATTTGAGCTCACGCCCACCCACAGGACACAGTCACAGGCATGCTTCTTGCCGGAATAGGCAATGTGGATAAAGATCACGAAAAGAACTTTATGATTGTAGACTCGAGTGAGTGGAAGGCTTATCGTCGAAGGTGTTTTGCTACCGCCAGATCTCCCGTTAACTACTATCCCTATCATCAGAGACACAAGAAGGTGTCATCCAGAGCACATTCAATAAATTCACAGAGAGGAAGGACGTTGCCATTCTCCTGATCAACCAGCACGTTAGTTGGCCGAGTATTTGAAATCACAATGGGACGGCCACTGACTAGCTAAAAGGTTGCTGAACGGATAAGGTCAGACGTCGACAAGTATACAGCTGCGTTCCCTGCACTCCTAGAGATTCCCAGTAAGGACCACCCATACGGTACGTGGTCGAGAAAATGAGGTCGGGTCATGCTGTATGCTCACAACCGCCCGTAGACCCCGCCAAGGACTCGGTCTTGAAACGTGTACAGAAACTGAGAGGAGACTAGACTGGAAGCGACGTGGCTGTCACACGTACTGTAATATACTATGTATGCGAACCATTCACATATAGCTACAACACTATAAGTCGAAATCGCACGATTCCAATGTACATTGTTATCCCTCTAGCTGGGCGACCTCGGCCTTCAATTGCTTCTCTCGCCTTTCCAACGCAGCCACTTCTCCGTCCATAGCATTACACGCCATCTCCAGCTGGGTTGTTGATGAGACTAGATCCGACCATCTACCCTCTAGTCTTTCGAGATGAAGACCCGCATCCTCTTGAAATACACGACGTGTGCGGTTCGTTTCTGTGACTTGCTCTTTCAAACCCGAGAGCGTCCTCTGTAGTTCACTAAGCTGAGCGTTCAGCTGGTAGTTACGGACGAGCCACGCATTAGGACCATATGTGGAAAGGATGGAGGTGTTCTCGACTCTGCAAAAACATCAGCTCAAAAACATACTTTCAGATGCGCAACGCACCTCAGTCCCATATGCCCTTCCCCTGTTCTGCCCTGCTTTTCGGCTTTTTCCAACTCTTCTAGAGTGGCGCCTTCTCTGACAGTTGGTGGTTGGTATTTTGTGACATCGATCCCTTGCAGAGGGGCAGATGGGTAGTTGGCGAGCAATTCCTGAAGACTCTTTGATTTCTATGTCACGGCGTCAGGAATCGCGCCTGAGGTCACTCACTCAAGACATGACCTACAGAGAAAACATCCACATCGGGCGGTAAACGCTGATCATTGTCATCTATTTGAGGGGTTTGACGAAGCTCCGCCTCGATGAGTGCTTGAGCAGCGGCCTTGACGGCTTTTTGTAGGTCAGGATATGACTGGGCAAGTATGGGGAGGGTGCGCACCTGGGTCTTCGACTTGCTTGTCGACGTAGGGTAGGGCATCGATGTTCTGATCAAAAGACATGGTGTGGGACTGGTAGACAGGTGATTGCGCGAGAGGTTCTTGGTGAATGCAAGAGCTTGTAGCGTTCGTTGAATGCGGGATCAAAACCAGTCGGCTTTAAGTTCCGTCGTTGTCTCCTTGGGCAATTGCGTTGGGCGACTCTTCTGCTTCTCTGCCTCCATCGCCCATCCTCCTCTCTCCCCCCCCCCCGCCATCCCCGCGCCTGACCAACTATGGGAAGCATGGAGCCCCTTCTCGGGGAAAGCAAACGACGAGTGGTAAGTCCACTCTGCAGATGTGGCAGTGAGGCATCCCATGCCGAGCTGCGTCATGAAGCAGTCTAGCTCATCTGACCTTCTATAGTGCTACTTCTTTGACTCGGATATCGGAAATTACCACTATGGTCCAGGTAAGCTTTCGGATGCTCTCGAGCGTTTCGTTTTCGGCTCCCCATAGGTCTCGAAAGCACCGTTGCACGTCAGGCATACTAATCGATCTATCAGGACATCCAATGAAGCCAACTCGTATCAGGATGTGCCATTCGCTTGTTATGAACTATGGGCTATACAAGAAGATGGAGATTTTCGTGAGCTCGGTCATATGAAGCGCTGAAAGAAAGGTGCTGATGATTCATCTAATAGCGAGCGAAACCAGCCACCAAGCGTGAAATGTCTCAATTCCATACCGACGAATACGTGGACTTTCTCTATCGTATAAATCCTGACAATGCTGCTCAATTTGCCAAAGAACAAGTTAAATGTGAGTATGGATTACAGGTCATGAGAGGGTCCACTCACGCCATCATCAGACAATGTTGGTGACGATTGTCCCATCTTTGATGGACTGTTTGAGTACTGCTCCATTTCTGCCGGAGGGTCCATGGGTGCGTCTTATCCTTCTGATTGATGGACAGGGGCTGATGGACGTGAATAGAGGGAGCTGCGCGATTATCTCGAGACAAATGTGACATCGCTGTCAATTGGGCGGGAGGACTCCATCACGCAAAGAAGGCGGAAGCGAGTGGGTTCTGCTACGTAAATGGTAAACATACAGGGTCAACTGATACGACACAATGCTGACTTATATTTAGACATTGTTCTGGGCATCCTGGAACTGTTGAGGTGAGTTTCGGATTGCAGCATCTGACTCGTAGCTCACCCGTGATCAGGTATCATCAGCGAGTCTTATACATCGACATCGATGTCCACCACGGAGATGGTGTCGAGGAAGCTTTCTATACCACCGACCGAGTCATGACTTGCAGCTTCCACAAATATGGAGAGTTCTTCCCTGGTACTGGTGAGGTGCGGGATAATGGTATCGGTAAAGGCAAGGGGTAGGCACTTGACATCACCCCCGTTCCATCATCAAGTTGATCACATTACAGATATGCTATCAACGTCCCGTTGCGGGATGGCATCAGCGACGAAAACTACAAGAGCATCTTCCAGCCAACCATACAAAGAGTTATCGAGTGGTACCAGCCGGGCGCCATCGTCCTTCAATGCGGCTCCGACTCTCTGTCTGGTGATCGCTTGGGCTCCTTCAACCTGTCCATGCGCGGACATGCGGCTTGTGTACAATTTGTCAAGTCCTTCAACCTGCCGCTGCTGATGCTCGGTGGGGGTGGATATACCGTCAAATCGGTCTCGAGAACTTGGGCGTATGAGACGGGTCTGGCCGCTGGTGTACAACTCGGCCGGGGTACGATTTTTCGGTCTGTGGATTGGCATGGAAGCTGACGCTTCACTCAGACCTTCCCAACAACGAATACTGGGAATACTATGGCCCAAACTACGAACTGGATGTGCGCTCCTCCAACATGACCGATCAGAATACCCCCGAATACCTTCAAAAGGTCAAGGAGGCTGTGTTCGAAGTCCTTCGTGATAAAAACGCCGCGCCCAGTGTACCCATCCAATCGGTCCCCAAAATGAGGCATGATAATGAAGACGAGAACGAGGGCGAAGATGATGAAGACAAGGACCAACGTCGGCCGAGTGAGTCAGACACAGCCGTCGCTCGAAGCGATCAGCTGATTGAGTGGTAGTGCGACTTTGGGCTCGGGAGAAGCAGCCAGAGACATCCTTATCGGACTCTGAAGACGAAGGCACCGGCGGCAGGCGACACCGCAGAAACTACAAAGAGGCGTCCCAGAAGAAACGACGTTCAGAAACACCCCTCAATCTCAGCGTTCCAGGTTCCGTCGTTCCAGCAGCCCCTGTGCCAGCACCTGTTACACCTTCTGAAGTCGCCCCAGCTCCGTCCGCGGATGCTAGTGCGCAAGCGACAAGCTCAAATGGGCCCGACATTGAAACCTGGGCTGCGGGAGTCCCCGCCCACGAGAGCCAGGCAATGGAAGTTGATAATGCTGCGGCGTCTGCACCGGCCCCAGCCGCAACAGCCACGACGACAGGCGGAGAGCCTTCTGAGACGCAGCCGACTGTTGTGGCAGCAGAGCAAGGCGATGTTGTAATGCAAGAAGCAACCAATGGCGAATGACAGACCAGTGAGGCTGCGGTAGACGGTGCCCAGATAATCAGATATGTATGATTGTATACCCTTGGTCTTGGCTTGAATCCGAGTTGGCTATTGGCGAAACTAGAACGGATAGCTGCTGATTCCCCGCTGTCCATTGAGAATAACTCACACTGCTACCTGGCCGCCCATTCGCCAGAAGGTCACAGATCGGTGTCATTCCGCCGGCGGACGAGCCAAGTCAAGAAAGGACAATCGCTGACGCTATAAAGGCACAAATTGCCATGGGAATGGTACTCATACGAATTGTATGTTGACTTGCCTTTTCGCCTGTTTTTGGTGTTTTGGTATGGAGCGTACAAGCGTGCAAATGAAAATCGTGTCTACATTCTGCCGAGCCTGGAGTGGACCATGGCTATACTAGATGATACAAGGAGATTATACCAGCAAACACCCAAAAGCAACATCTATGGATATGTATGAACGTATAGCAGGGCATAACAGCACCCGCATCCAACAACACTCTATAAACACACAAAACGTCATTAATCTCTTTTACAATATTCTGCACGATGTCCTACACCAATTATAAGGCAATAGGTGGTGTGTTACGCGAAAAGTCTGGCGCAATTTGAAGGAGAATGGCCGCCAACATTATAAGCGCCCATGTCCTCCGGGGCCTCTACCTGCTGATGCAGCAGAAAACCATCTTTTGCGCCCTTCAAGCTATGCCCGCACCTAGCATAATCAATAAAATCGTTATTGGCGAGCCCGGAAACGTCGACTTTGAAATCCCAAACATCGGGTGTGAATAACATGGACCCATCACTCGAGTTTGACCGTGAAGTCAGAAGGTCGAACGAGTTGTTACCATCGAGGAGCTGAGGGGTAGACATGTCCATGACACGCGGAGTTCCGGAGCTGGGGTCATATGTGGCAGATTCGAGTGGCGCGAAAACTTCTCCATCATCCATGTCTGATGACAACGATGAGGCCGCAGACATGGTCGACCAAGTGGGAGAAGGAGGAGAGGATTCAGATATAGAAGAGCGGTAGTCGGATTGCTGTAAAGCTCGTATTCTGGCATTGTCGTGCCCTTGAGCAAAAGTATCCAGGGCCTCGTCATCGATTTCGTCCACCTCGTCGATGGGGGAGATGAGCGAGACCTTGGGCGGCAGAGCATCTTTCACGGACGCAATCTCCTGACCACTTGGCGTCGGCGGGGGCTGACGCACAACCGCCGCCGCTTGCCTCGCCGCAGTATGGGCAGTCCTCAACTCTTCGTCCGTCATGGTGAACCTCTCCACGTTCATGACCATCTTCTTTAGCTCCCTCAAGCTGATCCTATCTTCGGGCTCCAGAGCAAACAACCCTTTGAGGATATTGTTGGTTTCGACAGAGATGGGGAGGATGGTTCGCAGAAAGTCATGGTTGTGGACGTAGGCGCGAAATGTTTCGTCAGACGGACAGGCTTGCCGCCAAGGATTCCTGCCACAGGTCAAATTGACGAGAATGACCCCTAATGACCAAACATCGGTCGTCTCTGTTGAATATGACTCTAGCCGTTCGAAGAGACCACCTTGGCATTCAGGGGAAAGGTAGAAGGTGGAGCCGCTTGGGTGGCGTCAGCTGTGATACTCTCTAGGACAACATGAACACTCACCATCCAAAGTCCGTCGACATCTTCTCGGACGTTGCTAGTCCGAAGTCTGCCAAGCATATCTTTTCTCCTCCTCGTAGGCAGAGGATGTTCTCGGGCTTGAGGTCTCGATGATAGATGCCCATTGAGTGACAATATTCAACCGCGCTGATTATTTGAAGAAAGATCTTTCTGATCAGAGCATCGTTCCCCAGATACTGGCTATAAGTCAGTAATGTCCCTTCAGCCAGTGGGATGACGCACACGTTGTTTTTCCGTGATCATTCCAAAGAGGTCTCCTTCATCGCAAAAGTCCATCACGACAAAGACATACTCTCCTTCTTCTATCACTCGATGAAGAGTGACGATATTTGAATGACCGCTCGCCAGTTGATGCAGAGCAATTTCTCTTCGCTGAAAGTGCCTCTGCCGTTCATCGAGACCAGCTCGGAGAAGACACTTGACGGCAAGGTACTCGTGGGTGAACTCGTCAAGAGCGAGGTAAACGACACCGTACGCTCCGACGCCCAGCACAGCTATGAAGCGTAGTCTCCCGTTGTCGATGGAATGGCCCACGAGATCCGTACCGGAGGTAGCGAAGGTTTTGGATGGCATCATGAACAGATACTTCTACGCCGCAGGGGGATGCTTGCCAATTAGTAGTGGCCGGCGAGTGAAGAGACACTTGGAAGATAGGCCGCGGGGCGCTGTTTCGAGCCGAGGGCCGTTGGTGGTTGGTGGGTGACGCTTGTGTGCTGCTCTGGACAAGAGTGTGACTGGGATATATTTTGTGACAGCGTATGTGGCGGGCAGGAGGAGGGAAGGAGAGTTGAATGGGGTGTTCTCGCCAGCAAGTACACGAAAGTCGAGGGGCGGTTGGAGATGTGAGGCGCCACTCTTTTCAGATGCCCGTGAGGACGTTGAATGAAGGCGAGGGCGTCGGTTGCCGAGGTGCCAGCCAAACAAGTGTAGAACAAAAGAGGGGTCGCAGGACAAGTGCGGTGATATACAAGTGTGGAGTAGAAGAGGATCTACAGGGACACTCTTGCTGCATATGTACATCCAGCTGCACCAGCTGCTCTGGCAGAGTGCCTCAATTCCAGAACAAGAATTCCGCATGGAAGAAGTAAGGTACGGAAATCCATTAACAGGGTTCAGGGTTGATTGAGTTTTAGGCTGCGTTTAAATGTGTGCATGGTTCCATGACGTATTTTTTTGTTGACTCACTCCACTGCTTCCTGAAGAGAAGCGCTACATGGGAGGCGAAACCGAGAGGTTGTAGCTGGTGAAGAGATAATCATCGAGCAGAACTCGCCACTCTATATCTTACGTAGCGGGTAACAAACAGCTTGGCCAGCTGCAGCTGGCGTACATATACGATGAAACTCAGGCAGCAATGAAGAGAGATAAATGAACGCCCGACCTTTTTCTTTCCTGGATGCGTCAATGTTGGAGATAAGATTGGGTCTAATCATTTTGCCTTTTCAATTTTCAGCTTCAATTTTTTTGGGCGTCCCTCAAAAGGGTCTGCGCAGCCGGTAGCCGTCAGCTGGTGACGTTGCAAAAGCGGCTACCTCCGCATTATAAAGTGCTCACCAACACGACTCTTGTCAATCGTCTATCCTCCAAATTCCCCACCACCGCGATGCTGCTGACCAAGATGCAAACGAGACGAAGACATAGTCCGCTGGAACCACGGTCCCTTCCTGCCTTCCCCCACAAAGATCCCGCTATGCCCCATGCCCTCCTTGAACATTTCGTACGTCCTCACGGAACAAACAGTGAACAAGTAGCTCTGAAGAAAGAGAACGCTTCTACAAGAAATTGAGACTGAATTACCGAAGGATTGGGTGGAGGAGGCGAGAGCTGCGAACATGCAGATCAAGCGACGAGAGCAATCGCAAGAGGACCAGATGTGTTGCCGCAAGATTCGACGTATAGACGCGCTGGAGGACGTTTAGTAGAGTGAACGTTGCTGAGGATGACAGTAGGAAGCGAGCTGGCGCGGGCCGTGTCAGGCGTGCAGACACTACAGTCGACACCAAGTATGAGGAGGTTCAAGCGATAGGGGGCCAAGTGGGAGCTAGCCAGGATGAATCGACGGTTTCGCTCAATTACATTAGCCCTGCCACACATGTCGTTATCACATAATGAAAACCTGTATGATTTGAGGGTCAACTCCCTTGAATTGGTGATCATCATCATGAGCAGTGACTGCAAGATGAGGAAGAAGGGGGCTGGGTGAAATCTGATACTTTAGCTATGGTAATACCTGGCATAGCACGGATGATATGACACGTCTCTGCGCCAGTTCAGTAGAATAGAGTACTCGTAGAGCAAGACAACGAGTATTCGACAGCCTCTTATAGCCTCGATATGAACATCTCGAACCGCCGTAGACTGCGCATCTTGAGGACATATCGTACATCTTCTACACGTGAACCCCCACTGTACAGAACAGTGCGACAACACCCAGACCAGCCAGTGAAGAAGCGCCAAGCGCGGTGGACAGCTCTGCTATCGGAAGTTTGGATCGAGGAAGACTGAGCTCAATTGTCAGTCACGGAGCCATCAGCACGGATGCGACTTGCGTAGTGAAGAGAAAGGCCAATGCAAGGAATGCGAGGAGGAAGACGAGGGCAATTGAAGGAAGAGTGGAAGTGGGGATGGGTGGCTGGAAAGCGGGGAGCGAGGCATGGAGGTCCTGCGGTGAATGTCGGCATACAGCCTTGCCTCGCTGACGAAGCGACGCACCTTGATGGACGCGTAGGTCGCCATGGCTGCGATGCTCGGGTGATTAGGTCGAGTAGAGGTCGGGAGAATGCGATAGAGGGAAGTCGAGCACGGGGAAGTCTTTGAGATGAGCTGGAGTCACAACATACGTTGCTGTACGTTGCAATGTGCTGGCGCGCAGCGTGTCCTCTGCGCGCCTTTCTTGAAAAGTCGCCTCGAAGGCCGACGGGGACTTTTGCTTCCGTTGCTGCAACAACGTCCCGAGCATCTTACAAAGCATCCGAGCCCTTATCTCCCCGCCATCCTCCTCTTTCCGGCAGAATGCGCCCCTCAGCATCTGAATCCGCCCTGTTCCAACACACTCCTGACCTGAGCGCGACCCTCAAGCGCGAATGGGAGCCAGGATGCCAGCCGGACGAGGTGTATGGAGAATACCTGCCCACCTGGAGAGCCTGGATGCGGAACAAGCTCGTGGATAGGCTGCGTAGGGAGAACGTGTGGATGGCAGAGTGGCAGAAACGGGTACGGACAGAGCGCAGGGACAAGTTCTTCTACTATTCTGCCGTCTTTGGGAGTAAGTCTTGACGGGCGGGTGGTGTATGATGAACGCAAAGCTCATACCCTGGACCCCCAGCCCATACATTTTTCATGATGTTTCTGCCAATCTTGTTCTTCTTTGGACGCCCGTGGGAGGCTCGAGGGTAAGCATGCCGGCGCACTGGAGATGCCAGCTGAAAACAGCCCAGATTGCTGTATGTGGTGGGAACGGGAATCTACGTGTCCTCGTATGTCAAAGACCTGGTCTGTACTCCTCGTCCGTACAGCCCTCCCGTCATCCGTCTCAGTGAGTAGCGTTCTTTGTACAAGTGCTGCGCTGATTGGTACAGGTATGAGCACCCACCATCACGAATACGGTACTATCATCGATATACCCGCACTATCTCAGCTCACTCAATACAGGCTTTCCGTCTTCCCACTCGACCAACTCTACCAGCATCGCGCTCTTCTTTGGCCAATGGCTTTTCAATCTCCGTCATGACGTAGGCTATCTGTCGGTGGTTGTGGGATGGACCCGTGAGTGTCTTGTCTTTGAGATGGCTGCTGATATTGGACACAGTGCTCGCCATATATGCGGCAAGTGTCATTGGCGGAAGGGTCTACACGGGTATGCACTCTACCGGTACGTTGCCTACTCGTGTCGCGTGGCTATACTCATGACGTGTCAAGCCGATATCATTGGCGGCAGTATCATGGGCATCGTATGCTGGATCTTTTGGATCGTCGTGCGGGAGCCGTTCGACCGCTGGATCATGACTGGATCCTGGACTGGTACGTGAATGTTGAGCGAGTCTGATCAAACCTGATTTTTCACAGTGCCCGCCGTCATCGTCCCCTTCGTCCTCGGCCTGATCCACTTTCATCCCGAGCCGATGGACGACTGTCCCTGCTTTGAAGATGCCATTGCCGTCCTCTCTGTCATCCTGGGGTGTATTCTCGTCGAATGGGTACCGCTGGGCGGTGTCGCTCCTTGGCTGCAGGCTACCGATCCTGGAGCATTCTATCGATACGACATTATCACGCAAGTCCTTGTCGGCATCGCGCGTCTGGTACTGGGTGAGTGCATTGAGCCCGGTCTGATATTTGCTAAACGTCGTGTAGGTCTCGGGATTATGTTTGCCTGGCGATTGATTGCCAAAGCCACGCTCTTGCGCGTACTTCCCCCCACTTTCCGAGCATTCTCTCATATCCTGCATACCCAACTCCCTACTCGACGCTTTTACACTGCCGCCACGTGAGTGGCTCTTTCTTCTTCATCGACTCTCTTTGCCTGACAGTACGCAGCGACTATAAGGATGTCCCCCGCCAGGCATTCCGACCGATCCCCTCTGTACTGGACCTCCAATCCGGGACGTCAAGCCCGGCCGCCTCGTCGCCTACGCATTCGCCCCTCCTCACACCCCAGCGTGTCCCGAGTTTCAACGGAAAAGGAAGAAGCCCGTCGCCTATGGCGCTTTCGCAAGCTAATCTGCGGCTGCGTGCGCTGAGAAGGGAGTCGGGGGGAGCTGTAGCGTCGAACGGTGATGTGCGCGAGAAACCGCTGAAGGTGCGGACGATGGCGCTCAAGTACGACGCTGAAGGTGAGTGCGATTAGTGATGGAGGGCGTTGCTGACTGGAGATAGTACTCACAAAGGTCGGAGTGTATGGCGGCATAGGCTTCATGGCCTGTGGTGTCATTCCCTACTTGTTTGAGATCATTGAGCAGTCGATCTTGAGCTGATAGTCTGTGAAGAGAGGAGTATAGTGTTTACAATACATACAAGGGATCTACTGATCAATGCCGCCACTTGAGAGTATCTGTACGATTCACCAGCTGTTCATGCATGCTATGCGTGCTTTGGATCTCAGATTGCAGGGCGCGCAGGGCGCAAACTGCCCGTTGGAGTCTCTCTGGTGTGTGTGTATAGCTATAGTTTGAGCCGCCCTTTTCTTCCGACCCTCGTCCACCGAGTAAGGCCCTGGGGTCCGGCCTTTACCCCTTGCCCCTGGCTACTACCTCTGGCTAGCTATGTATCGACCCTATGGGAAAGCACTCAACCCCGCAAGACGAGTCATCACACCGTGACGACCGAGCGTAGCTCCGTGCCGTAGCGCGGACGATTACAGACAGGGTGAGTGCGCTTTGCGTGAGTGTTTTGGCGGGGGAGCTATCACCAGCACCCTCCTGTCGCATTGGGCTCGGTCGGGCTTGCCCACCCGGACAGTGAAGCATGCGCTGCATTAGGCCATACGACATAGGGTACAGTAAGGTATCTGTGCTTATCTCGGCGGGGTACAAGATGGCTCAACTGAGTGTGTGCCTTATGGCCCCGACAATGTGAGCGGAGAGCGGAGACAATGCGTTGCCTGGCACCACAATTGGGCGTACCCGACGATTAAACTCTATCATGCACATGGCGGCCAGCCGACGAAGAGTTGTCTCATCCATGTTTTGGACCTTGTACAGCGGGGAGAGCTGGGGGAGGGACCTCGCTTTGCTTCCACATAAAGTACAACATGGCCAATGCTGCATGCTGGACCCTGGAACCTACTGCTGAGATTGGCTGACGAGAAGACTGGCGATTGACGGGAGAGTGCCTTGGCTGGGACTGCGGTAGTGAGAGGCGACAGAACTGGGAAGCGCGCGGGCCTGTAACATACTACACACTGACCGCCTCGCTTGGAGGACGACAGGGGGAAAGGCTATGAGAGGGCTCGAGCTGAGCCGGGCTGAGGCGAGGGAAGAGAAAGAAAGAGGACATGGGCGCTGCTGCTCACTTCTCTGCTGACCACATACATGGCAGAGGAAAGCCTCCATGCGACACCCGACTGCATCTCGGGCGTTGTGCGGGCAACGACGGACGGCCGAAGGGAAAGGAGGGGGGGCATCAGTTGCTCGTCGGTCTGTGCCTGGGGAGATCGACGGGTGATGGGACCTCCCTCCACTCTCCCTGCGCCCGCTGTTGCCAGGCCCCTCATTCTGCACTACCGCCTGAGCCGCATCGCGTGGTCCTCAACTTTCCCATCACGCGGTCTTCAAGTTTATTCCGGTCCCCCTGCCGTATAAGTTGCCAGCCCGCGTCCCATTCTCTTCTTCGTCCGTCAACCTTCCTCTTCTTCCTCCTCACCCCTCCCGCCCCTCCCCTCCCTCAAACAGTCCAAAATGGCCACCACCAACACCTTCTTTGCCCAGCAGACCGGCGAGATCGGTGGCTACAACGAGACCATGGCAGCCGCCGCTTTCGAGAGCCAGGCCGTACGTCCTTGCCTCGTCTCCGAATCCTGTACTCACTATACCTGCAGCTCTTCTTGCTCAGGTGCCAGTATGCTTCTCTTGTCATAGAAACATTCTTGGCGTAAGTCCGAGCGACCACACCCGGCTCATCTCGATCGTCGCGAACGCCGCATCCCAGTGCTAACGACTCGCAGCGGTGTACTCGTCATGCAGCTGTGGACCTACTTTCAGTACCAGAAGATGGACAAAATCTGGACAAAGGCAATCGTTGCTTGGAGTGCCGTAAGTAACTTCGTCACAACACTCTGGTGGTGCCCGTGCTGACGAGATCATAGGCTTGGACCATGGGTACGTCGATTCATCCCTCGAATTCATCAGCTAAACATTCTCAAGTCATCACGGTCTACTACTGGGTATACCTGAGCTACCTGTTTGTGGACAACTTTGGCCTGTGGTTGCCTTGGCTCGAAGTCAGGTGAGTATACAAGACGATGAAATATTCACCAGGTCTGATTGCTTTTACCAGGTGGCTCGCCCTGATGCCTTTGTTTGATGGTACGTGTTTGCCATGTTCATCCTAGACCGATCTCACTTGCACACAGTCCTCGCCGTTATCCCCGTCCAAGGGTTCTTTGCCTACCGAGCATACTTGTTGATGAACCGAAATAAGATCCTCATCGGCATCCTTGGTGTAAGTTCATCTCCGCATACAGTGCATGTTTGCTGACCCGTGTTCCAGTTGATGCTCCTCGTTGCGTGAGTCTGGGTAGATAGAATTTGAACATTGCTCATGCTATTACAGCGCGGGTGGTGGTGTCGGCGTTACAATCGTCTTCGGTGGCCAGGAAACCTTGTTTGGAGCTACCGCCAGCGGCCCTACGTTAATCAGTGAGTCTCTCCCCGTTTCTCCTCAGCTATCGCTGATGATTTCAGCCTGGACCGCTGTCACCACCGGCGCCGACGTCATCATTGCCGGTTGTATCCTTGCTGGTCTGATCCGTTCCAAGACTGGGTGAGTGTTTCTCTCTACTCCTCTGGCTGTACTGATGATTTTTCAGATGGGCTCACACCGACAAGCTGGTATCTAAGCTAGTCCGAATGACTTTCGAAGCCCAACTCCCCCCCACGTTCCTTGCCCTCGCGTACTGTATTGAGTGGTGTACGTGCTTTCACACCGGGTGGCTCCCATGCTTCCTATACTGATCAAACCTCAGCCCAAACCCCCTCCTCCCTCCTGGGGGCAGTGTTTCAGTGCCTTCAGAGTAAAGCATACTTAATCGGCCTCATGTTTACCCTCAACTCCCGTATCGCCTTCACCATCGCCAGTGATGAGAGCCGCAGTCACCAGACGCCCCAAGTGTTTGGCATGAGTAATGTGAACCGCAGACCCACTGACGGGATCCACGTCGATGTCCAGACTTATGTCCACGTACGTTCTTGTTTTCTAACTGATCATAGCTAGGCTGACGGTATCGCAGGACGACCAGCCGTACGGCTACGACGAGACCATGAAAAACGGCCACGGCAAGATGGAGTCGATCTCGGACGAAGAGACTGAGCGAGGCGTCGTGCTGGAGAACAACAGCCGGTCGCATCTGACTGCTCCCAGCGCCGTCTAAGCAAGACGCGCCATGTTGACTGATCTTCATCTTAATCCGTGCACTTGCGTGCGCTGCATCATAATGTATACTGTTGGGCATAGCTGTGATAGAGTGGTACGAGATGCATGTCTAGGCGAGAGTCTGCTATGAGAGCGACACACCTTACCTGAATGCTGCCCTATTGAGGATATCCAGGTTGGCATGTGGAAGGTGTTGTTGTGATATGTGTGGGAAGAAAGGATTGCTGAGATTTGGCGGACATGGCCGCCGGACGTCCACGCTGCCCGGCTGGAGCGTTCCATTGTAGTCTTCCATATGTCTTCTTCTTCTTCTCTATCTATGAAACCTATTCAACCTTTCAACAGAAGGATCCAGTGGTCAGGTCCCGGGGCAACATATGCATTATGATTCCAGGGTTGAAATTGTGATGCAGTGGCTTTTGTTGCTCATACAGTTAATTGATCTTACCTGGTATTTAGGTCCATTACAGCATGCCCATCCCAGCCCATGCATCCCCCAGCCCCATCGAGTACAGCCATGCCCCCTGGGATCGAAGGAATGGGTGCACATGCGATGACGAAAGTTGGACCTGGACACACACCACCTTGGACACCCTGCGCTGTTCCATCATGTCAACATCTTTCACAGTCTCCTCTCCTCCATCCCTCCCCCATCCCAGCATGTCCTGTGCGTCTGCCCTCCCTGCTCTCCCATGCGCTGACCTCCCATGCAGTGCCCCCCTCGCTGCTCTACCTGGTTGTCTTCGGTCTCTTGGCGGGGGACACCTCTGCCTTTTCATTCAGCACAAGCACCCCAAGCCAATGCGGCAACTTTACCGTCCAGTGGTACGCTCCCTCTCCCGGCGTGGCCCAAAGCCTGACCAGATATATAGGACCGGCGGCACCGCGAACCCTCAAGATCCCCTTCGAGAGTCCTTTACGTTCTGGGAGCTTGACAAGCCCTAACGCCCCCTCCCCGCGTGCTGTGATTGTGGCAAGGTCTTTTCGACGAAGGGTAACCGGGATATCCACGTACGTACGGGTTGGTGAACTGCCCATCATAACGCTAAAGGAAAATCATAGAAGGTTGATGTCCATGGGCCAAAGACGTTTGCATGTCAGCATGATGGTTGTGTGAACAGGTACGCGAGCGAATGGGAGCTGAACCAACATGTACGTATCGGCCGGTGGATGGACCATCGAAACGCTAATGGGAAGCACAGATTAGACGGCGACACACTAAGAAGAGTGTACCGTGTACAGGCGAGGGATGTAAAATGATGTTTGTGGGTATCGGCGAATTGAACGCACATGTAGGTATCGGCCAGTGGATTGCCTATCAAAACGCTAATGGAAAACACAGAGGCAGAATGCCCACGGAGAAAAACAACACGCGTGTGATGGGTGCGACAAAAAGTATGGGACAAAAGGAAGGTTGAGCTATCATGTATGTATTGGCCAGTGGATTGCCCATTAAAACGCTGATGGAAAGCACAGAAGAGAGAGAAACACGGAAAAAAGACGGTACCGTGTAGCGAACAGGGGTGCACGTCAATGTGGGCGACGAGTTCAAAAATGAGGACTCACGTATGTATCGGCCGGTGGATTGCCCATCAAAACGCTAATGGAAAGCATAGGTCAAGGAAGTTCATGGGGATAAGGCGGTACCGTGTAGCGAACAGGGGTGCACGTCAATGTGGGCGACGAGTTCAAAAATGAGGACTCACGTATGTATCGGCCGGTGGATTGCCCATCAAAACGCTAATGGAAAGCATAGGCGAAGGAAGTTCATGGGGATAAGACGGTACCGTGTAGCAAACAGGGGTGCACGTCAATGTGGGCGACCGAAACACAAATGAAGAAACACGTTCGTATCGGTCGGTGGATTGCCCATCAAAACGCTAATGGAAAGCATAGGTAAAGAAGGTCCACGGAAGATAAGAGGCGTGTGTAGGATAGAGGGGTGTAGGACACGAGAATAGACAGAGCGTGGTGGCAGAGGAACCGGAGCGGAGATTGATGCAGCATGAAGATGCGGGACAAGTCGAGTAAGTCGCAGGTGGTCGTAGTAGCCGAGTCTGACACGATGCTACAGGGAATTGCCTCCAGCATACAACCAACTGCGGGCGAGCAACCCTGATGAAAGGGCTTGAGGCTGTGACAGGTGTGGTGTAGAATGTAGACGTATTTGGTTGTCATATAGTTGGACGGGATAGAGAAGCATCTGGAGCACACTGAACGAGAATTGGGGAGATTGTGAATGTATAGATGCAACGATAAAAGACGGGAAGGATGAGTGCCACATTCGGTGCTTCGGAAATTATTGCTTTGCCAACGTCTCAGCACCTCGGCGCGGTAAGCGTCATGTCCTCGAAGCAAGTCTCTTCAGTTATATATTATATACAGCCCTGGCGTCTCCACCCTCCCATCCCACGACAGCCGCAAGCATCGTTGAAGCCTCTGGCGTGCATCCCGAAATACCCAGCAGCGGAAGATCGACCCAGCCATGTCCGGAAGACCAAGTGTTGTGAGTGTGGTCATCCCTCTTGAGGATCGTATGCTGATGCCCTATCAGGCCCGTGTGTACGCGCCCGTGAACGAGAAGCTGGGGAGATCCTGGTGGGACTATGGTGAGTGGCATTATCAAGCCGAGCTGGGCATGCTGATCGATCCACAGACAACTTGGTGGTGCAATGGGGCGTCCAGGACAACTATGAGATTGTGAGAAAGGTCGGACGAGGAAAGTACTCCGAGGTGCGTATGCTGCATGATGGCGAGAGTATGCTCATTTTCCACCAGGTCTTTGAGTCCATCCACCTCCCCTCCGACTCCAAGTGCATCGTCAAGGTCCTGAAGCCTGTAAAGAAGAAGAAGATCAAGAGGGAGATCAAGATTTTGCAGAACCTGGCGGGTGGGCCGAATGTTGTCGGGCTGCTGGATGTCGTTCGAGACAGTCAGTCAAAGACGCCTTCGATCGTCACCGAATATGTCAACGTGAGTCTGTCAAACACGAGACGAATGGGCGCTCATCGGGCGTGTAGAACACTGAATTCAAGACCCTCTACCCCAAATTCACCGACTTTGACGTGCGGTACTACATCTTTGAATTGCTCAAAGCGTTGGATTTCTGTCACTCCAAGGGCATCATGCACCGTGATGTCAAACCCCACAACGTCATGATTGACCACGAGAAGCGTACTGTGAGTCCGCCGCGTGTTTTTTCTTGTATCGTCTTGACGTTCTCTAGTTGCGGTTGATCGACTGGGGACTGGCCGAGTTCTATCATCCCGGTACAGAATACAATGTCCGGGTGGCCTCGAGGTACTTTAAGGGTCCTGAATTACTCGTCGACTTTCAAGAGTACGACTACAGTCTGGACATGTGGAGTTTAGGATGTATGTTTGCGAGCATGGTGAGTCTTCTTTCCACTTGCCCAGGTGCATATGCTGACAGGCAATCAGATCTTCCGCAAAGAACCCTTCTTCCATGGACACGACAACGCCGACCAGCTCGTCAAGATTGCCAAGGTTCTTGGTACTGACGAACTTTATGCCTAGTGAGTGGTACTCTCTTCGTCACCTGGATTATGCTGACATGGCTCAGCCTTGAACGCTACGACATTGAGCTTGACACCCAATTTGACGACATACTAGGCCGATATCAGCGAAAGCCATGGTCGCGGTTCATCACTAGCGACAACCAAAGATATATCTCGAGCGAGGCTATCGACTTTTTGGACAAGCTGCTGAGGTATGACCACCAGGAGAGATTAACAGCCGAGGAGGCCATGGGACATGCGTACTTTGGTGAGTTGCCTTGGAAGTTCGTCGATGACTCGCTAATCTTGTACAAGCTCCCGTGCGAGAAGCAGCTGCCAAGGCTGCTGCCGGTCAGTCTTAGAGTGTACGAGGGGAGGAACGGGGGTCGGGCTCAGCCTCGACGTAGAGTGTATCAGACGATACAGGATGTGCGGTACCGAGGGAACGCGACTCGTCTCGGATCTCGACTTGGTCTTTCCGGCTTTTTTTCAACCGTCGTGTAGGCCGTTACGGTATATACAATACAGCTTTTTGTGCCATTATCATCTCAACTTTGGACTGTCAGGGATTTCATGCATCAAATACTGGCCAGAGAATGGTCCCCATATGATACCAAGTTAATTACTCTCGTGTAAATAAGCGGTCTGGTGTTCCCATGTTCTCAACTTCGCAGCCGCATCCTCCTTTCTTCTCCATCTCTCGCCGCCAACAGACCAGGATGGCCTATGCCTACCCTGCCCACCACCCCATGGCCGGCGACTCCTCCACCTCCCTCGACATCAGCAGGCATTCGCGCGAACCGTCCAGGAAGAACTCGGGCGCCCTCACGGACGTCATTACAGAATTCAGTGTATGCTGCGCTTGCTCCACTCTCAGATCATGATGCTGACAGCTTTCGGCAGCACAAGGTCGCTGAAGATGACATCTACATCAGGTTCTTGGAAGAGAGGTGCGCAGGTTCAAGCTTGGCGCGCCAGAGCTAACGTGCGTGTAGAGTGCGTGTAGAGAGAGAGTATATCGATGGCCTGCGCAAGTTGTATGACCGGACAAGGTCCATCGACTCGCTGCACGACGAGTGAGCTTTCCGCTTGCGGTACTGCAAAGCTGTGCTGATCGGCAACACAGTGCTCCCCCTCCACAAAAATGGGAAAAGCCTACATCGAGAATAGCGTGGGCAGAGGTCAGAGATTACACGCTGCGCGAGATTGATTCAAGGGATGCTATGCGAAACGCGCTGGAGGAACACGTCGTCAAGGAGCTGGTTCGGCTCAAGGTGAGCCACTGGTCATTGGGTGCCGGGGTGAGCTGACCTCTGGTAGGACCAACAAAGCAAGATCAAGAATTCTCTCAAGGAAAACATCAAGTTGGCAGAGAGCGCATATGAGGAGCATGCCAAGCATCATCTTCCAAAGGTCAAGAAGAGCTACGTCCAAAAGTGTCAGATCCTCGAAGTACGATGATACTAGGAAATGTGGTTCATACTTACACCTAATAGGATCATCGGCGACAAGAAAATGCGATTGCAATGCAAGCTCGATTATTGTCTACCCCCAGTCCAACTTCTCCCACGACTGCCAATTTGCAAGAACACCCGTATGCGGCCCCAGCTGGCCCCTCCTACACCACTCCTCCCAGCGCAACCCCGCCTCTTCCGCCCGTGAGCAATCCTGCTCTGATCTCTGTCAATGAGACCGGTCGCCCTGGTCATACCCCAAGCTCATCCGTATCATCTCCTGGCAAAGAGAAGGAGAGGGTCGGGAACAGACTTCGCGCTGGGTCAGGTTCAGGACTGGAAAACAAATCGAGGGACGTATTCAACGACATTGCCGCCTCGGGCAAGAAAGGGTTCTCTGCATTCATCCAGAGACTTGGGGGAGACAAGGAGAGAGGGGACGACGTTTCTCTCGCAGGCGGACTGGAGGGTGAAGGACTGCAGAGAAGAGGGACCACGGGAAGCTCCAACTCCAAAGCCCAAATGGCGATGCGTGGTGCCAAGGTGAAGCGCGACGCCGATGAAGCAGGTAAGTGTTTGCCTGATCTCACCGGCGATATTGACGCCCGTTCATAGACAAGGCTTACCGGACTGCCATCTTCCACCTCGAATCATTGCGCCTCAGAAGGGAAAAGATGCGAATCTCCGCAGTGACACACCTGGAAGAATTCAATGACGAGCTCAGCAAGACTTTGAAGACAGCTCTGCAACTCTACATGGATATCATGCACAGTACAGCCGTTACAAGCGCCCAAGCAACAGAGGTGGCTCAACGTGCAGTCAATGCTATTGATGCTGATCATGACAGTAAGCTGACTTGCTGAGGGAGTATCTATTGCTGACATCATCAAAGTGCGCATCTTTCGCACAAAGTTACACGCGTCTATGCAAGACATGTCTCGCGCCCCAGTACCGTATGAAAACTTTTATGTACGTGGTATGCTGCCATGATCATCACCTACTCACCACCGATGACAGGTCGGCCCTTGTAGATCCCTCATCTTTGGTGTCAGTTTATCTGACTATGACTTTGCTCGGGCCGATGGCAATGACCATGGATCACCCCCGACCATTGTAGAAAAGTGCCTCGCGGCTATCGACGCTCGAGGCCTGGACTTGGAAGGCATCTACAGAGTTAACGGCAGACATGCTGCCGTCCAGAAGATGATCCAAGGGATCGAAAAGGACGAGGCTCTATTCGAGTTTGACGAAAAGGATGATGTCTTTAGCATTGCCAGTATTCTCAAGCAATGTGAGTCTGAGAGACTTGGGTTATATGTGCTGACACGACACAGACCTCCGCGAGCTACCGGAACCCGTCTTCAACCTTCCCCATGCAGAGCGGGTCAGGTACAGTAAGAGCCGAGGTGAGTAGCTGTATCTAGCGCTGGATGTTTGCTCATAGTATCCTCAGAATCCCATATCTCTAGCAGCTTCAACGCCCTCCGCGGACGTCTGCGCCGATTGCCACCCATTCACCAGACTACATTCCAGGCTATCATCGAGCATCTTGGTCGAATTAATGCCAATTCTGCCACCAACAAGATGAGCGCCAAGGTAAGCAATGATACTGTACAAGGCTATACATAGGGCGCTAATCAAGCGAAAACAGAACCTTGCTGTAGTATTCAGTGTGTACTGCGTGGTAACTATGTTCCAAGTACTTACTTTTCAACAGACTCTGTCATTTTCGGCCAAGACTTGGTTCCCACTGATGGAAACGTCCTAGCCATGCACCATGAGCAGGTGGGTAGCTTTTCACCACACTAGACTGCAACTGACCACTTCTAGGACACCGTGCTCGAGGATCTCATCACCTACTCTGAATTGGTAAGTACAATAGTCCATCATACAGCTCATTGCTGACAAAAGCAGCTGTTTGGCCCCGATTCACCTCTTCAAGCACCACGAGTACTGCCCCCGGATTCTGGTCTCTCCCACTCTGGTGTTCTCACCCAGGATGTCGGTATCGATGGACCTCGACCTGGTACATCACGGACCAAAATCCGCATTGCACCCGACGATGGCATTCCTCCAGAGGTATCTACTCGGCCCGTTGCCGAGCGCCTGAATTCAGGTGGTCATTCTAGCGTGACCGTCACTGGTCAGCCAGAAATAACTCCCGTGGCAGAGTTTGGACCGGGTGCTGCCCGTGGAGTTTTCACTCGGGACGAAGACTTGACGTTGCAATTTGACGCTTCACTGATCCCCGCTTCCATGAAAGAGGGGTTACCGGAGAACATTCATGTGCGACCGCTTGCCTCTACTGATCTGTTGCGGCATCACTTCCAGCTCCTCAACGATCTTCGTCCATCCCCCGCTCTTGCACCTTCCGTCTATAACGCCATCTTTACCCACTTTCAAACGGCCCCTGGCATGTACTACGTAGTCGTCATGGTCGACAAAACCACAGATGAGCTTGTTGCGTCTGGCACACTCATTGTGGAGCGCAAACATATCAATGGGGGAGGCGCATCAGGCCACTTGGAGGATATCGTGATATCTGGGAAAATGCAAGGGAGGAAGCTCGGGGTGAGGCTGGTGGTTGGTCTCAGAGAATTGGCCGTCTTGCTTGGGTGTTACAAAGTCATTTTGGACTGTCAAGATGCCAAAATACGTGAGCCTTTTCGCTTTCCACTATATACAAAGCTAAAGCGCAACAGCATTCTACGAGAAATGTGGCTTCTACCGGAGGAGCGCAGGTATGGCCTATTACGTCTCCTCAGGTGAAGTCTCCCATCAAGGATCTCCCGGTGCTCTGGGCGTCCCTGCAGCGTCCGCTAAACGCGGTTCTGGTGATACCCTTGCCCCTCCTCTCGCTAGCACCGGCGCCATCACACCCCTGTCGGATCTCACAGACACGGACGCGACCCCGCGGTTGGATCAGTACTCGCATTCGAACGATGCTTTCCTTGGCGAACCTGCGTCCCGAGACCGAGCAGTGTCCGATGCGTCGTCTGAAGGCGGCGTCCTTTTACCAGTCCCGCCTGAAGTTACCGCATCTGACGGCTCAACTCCTGGGACCCCTCGCACATTCACCTCAGCATCCTCTGGAACAGGCACCGGTGTGACCTACAGCTTTCCAACCTCCGACTCGAGTGCCCTTCCAGCCTGGGCCGCCGAAGGGCTGGGGAGCAAAGCTCTCAGGCGCACTTCCGCAACCAGTTCTTTGACTGGCTCGCCCGAATCCCTGGGACAGAGGGGCGGGAGCAATGGGGGAAGGAAGAGGATGGGGTCTGGCCTGTCCGGTCAGGGCAAGGGGGAGTCAGAGGAAGGAGAAGAGCTGGATTATGCAGCGCGGAGAGAAGCCGCTGGCACGCCGTTGCCCCCTGGGGCGGCGCCGCCTAATCTTGAGACTGAGCCAGAAAGGATTTGAATAGTCGGAGACTGAGATTGCAGACGATCATAGAATTGGACAATATACCTAATTTACGCCGCCTTATCCCCTTTGGTAAGGCTTCCGAACGTTCTAGTTGTTAGATTGAAATACGTATATATACTTTACGGAACTCTGGTTCCTTGTTATAGATTCACGAACACAAAGTGTAATTTACATTAGTCATGCCCATGTCAATGTTAAAAGCGGCTGAAACACATGACTCGATCGCATAGAGTACAGCATACATCTGTTTCGGCAAAGATAAGATAAGAGACCAATCTTAGAGAAAGAGAAGGAAGAAAAGAAAAAGACTCTAAGTCATGACCCAAACACTGCCCCAGCAATGTTACCATATGTATAACCAGCTGCCCATACTGATGCTAAACTTTCTTTCCGTATACCTTTTTTTAGTGATAACCTGTACAAACATTTTGTCTCTCAGAGGCAATCACAAAGAAACGCCGCCACACGCTGAAGCCACGCTTAACGGGCGATCTCGGCTGTGGGCTGCTCATGTCCCTAATCAAGATCGTCAACTCGGTACCTGGCAAGTGGCACCTTCAGAAACTCACAAAATCTTCCAGAGGGGCAGAGTCGACGAAATCGGGCAAAGTCTGGGCATCGGACAAGTAGCTAGGCGTCTCGTTATCCCCAATAGGTTCATCATCGAGGCCTATGGCGTCAAGTTCTGTGCGAGGTGTCAGCTTCCGGTCAGAATGGTTTGAATCTCTAGACTTACCGGCCATAAGATCGGCTTCATCCACTTCGTCGGGAACACCGTAGCTCCTGCCTAGAGATTCTTGGATTTCATTGGCTTGGTCGATGAGGTCTTCCATATCGTAGTGAATGTTCTTTTGAGATGGCGATACAGGTGAAGTTTGATGTGGCAGTGACAAGCAGAGACAAGGACAAACGACGAGAGTGGCGATAATCAGTGAATGAACTGCTTGATAAAGGAGCTCAAGATGATGGGACTCACTTCAATCTTGTCAATGTCGATGCCTTTATACTGTTTCTTCATCTCTTTGTTGGCGACCTTCATCGCATCGACGGTGGCCATCTGCGCCTCATGATGAGCTCATAGTTCAAGACACTTGGATCTGCGCCCCAATTAAGAGAAGCTTTCGTGTCAAGTTCCATTCCGCCTTGCCAAAGGAATTTGTTTACTCGGGCAGAATCATCCGGATGCGGACTCCTTTTCTTTCTTTGATGTGAACGTGACATACCGTATTCTTGAGATTCTCAGTCGTCATAGCAGCCTGCTCCATATTGAATGTCTGCTGCTGTAGCTGCCCCAGCTGCCCCTCATACATCTTCTTCTGCTTGAGCACTCTGAGCGCTCTCTGTTGCACTGCGGCTTTCCCTGGCCCTTCGCGCATCTTGGACATCTGGTTCTTGAAGACTCCAAGTTCGGCATCGAGTTTTTTGAGCTTGACTTCCAGGGATGAGATGCGTGTTTCCGTCTGTGTACGCGTGTCAGTGTGGGCAGGGAGGAGATGGGGAAGGGGTGTACCGAGCCGATTGCGTCTGTGAGAGAGGGTTTGGGCTTGGCCCGTCCTGATCCGAATATCTGTTGAGGTCAGCATTGGCCCACGGTACCGGGGCTGCTCACTCTGTTCATGGCGATGGAGAGATGGGCAGATATGGAGACAAAACAGACTGCAAGGACGGCGAGCCGATGGAGGATACATGCGGAGGATGCCACGTGCGGCCTCCACTTTCCTCGCCCACTCTGAGCTTACTTTGGTTCCCTTATTCCGGATCATAGCCTTGTCGAAGGACGGTGACATCCCAGAAGGAATTCATCAGTGGGCCCCACTTTCGAAACTCTCCTCCGCCATCAAGCCACCCATCAATGATGGAACGGCCGCCCCAAGAGTTTCTCTACCTCGCTGCGACTCTCCTTGATGCCTTGCCAGCCTCTGAACCCAGTGAGTTCCGCCCATGAGGCAGTGAAAATGCCGAGTACATCGGATCAGATTTACGTACACGCCTAATGTGACACATATCAGTCAGTGATGCGCTTCTATTGCAATTGCACATGCTCTTTGGGCCCATGTTGATGTCAGCTCTGCAGCTCGTCGATCGGCGGGAGGGTGAGTAGCCTCGGTTGGCCAGGATGACGCTGATCCAGTGCAGTGGTGAGAGTAGAGTATCCTTCTTCTCGGCATGTCTATCAGGTATGTGGCCTGCAGTGCAAAAGTTGTTCATCTGATACGTGTGCCAGGTTGCGTCGTCCACAGGCAAGAGCTACACTCTCTACATAGATCCTCCCAGCCCCACCGTCCCCGGCACTCGGGAGTCCTCGCTTGAGCTTGCGGCGCCCAAAGACGATCCTCCTGTGCACAGTTCGATGCCTGAAGAATCACACGAGGAGCCGCCTCTTGCGCCCAACGATCGTGTGACCTCAGCTGCAAGCGTTGAGGACACGTTGAAGGAGGAGGCCGAGGCGGGGCGGAGGGACAGAATTCGGCAGCTTGCAGTGGACCTCGAGGGGTATTACTGCCCGTGTGCAGGATACGGGCACAACACGCTGGGAAGCGGTCGCACGGTGGTGGTGAGTGGATATATGCATGCACTGGCTGTGGCTGACGAGAGGTGCAGTGCAAGCATCTACTGGCAGTTCTGATAGGCAGCAAGACGGGGAGAGTGGTGGCGAGTGCCGCCCAATGACGAATTACGTAATGAGCCATGTATGCAAACACTGCGCTGGGGTCGGTGTTGTGATTTCATTTCCTCTTTCATTTCTCCTCGTCTTTCTGTCATGCCGCCCCCAGACCCCCCAGACCCCCTTTCCCACCTCCCCTACGACACCTCCCTCCCCTCCGCCCTCGCCCACCTCGTACACCACCTCGTAGACCCCCTCGCCCGCCACTACCCCCAGCACACCACCCAGTACCTGCTCGAACAACTCAAGCGCGACCTATTCCGCCATTTCCAGCCTACATGGGATGAGGCTCATCCCCAAGTCGGAAGCGGCGCCCGCTCGCTTATCTGCACCCGCCATCTAGGTCTCCCTATGCCGATGCGCGCTGCGGGAACCAGGTCCGGTGTTGAGGAGCGGGTCTGGAGAAAGGCCATCGCCGAAGAAGGGGGCCGATCAGGAGACGTCAGCATGGGAGAGGAGTGGGAGGTCTGGTGTGACCCCGGACAGGTCGTCTGGAGGTGGGGTCCTTGGGAGTGGGAAGATCCGGAATTTGAGCCTTCAAAGATCGTTAGAGGTGAGCAATCTTGTCGTTCTCTTGTTCCATTGTACTGATGAATGGACAGAATCACTCCAGGTGATCTGGCAGTCTGCGGCAGACGGCGACAAGCTTTCTCCCACCACTCCCGCAAAGACGGCCCAAGGCACTCCCAGCCGACCGTCCTATGCTGTACCTATCCGTGCCCCCACACTTCTCGCCATACCCCCCACCCCGTCTCGCGGCCAAGGACAGAATGAGGCGATTTCCGTGCAAGAGTCCCTTTTGCCTGCCTTCTCTACCCTCGGTCTTGGCAGACCTTCGGACGGCGGGCAAAATCGGGTCAGCTCGGGCTGGTCGAGTTCGGAAGAGGCGTCGTCCCGTTCCACCTCGATGACTTACTCTGAAGAACAACCCGCTTCGCCCGAGCACCGCTCGGCGTCTCGTACCTCCCACAGAGGCTCCGAGTCCCAGAGTAGCATCTCTTCATCTGTCTCGGACAGCAACTCGGGTCATACGCAGTTGCTTACTCCTGCCACCAGGCCAAGCACCGCGGACCCCTTTACCGTTTCCATTATTCCCCTCAGAGAATCTTTCCGCCAGGAAGGTGTCGATGTATTCGGCGACAGGGGGAGCAGCGAAAAGCTCAAGACCACTCCAATCTCCCAGTCCCGTGGGCGAGCTTCTCCCAACGCCCTTGGCGAGTCAAATGTTCAGCCTACTACCCCCAACACCGAGACCACCATCACCCCCCGTGTTCCCACTCCTACTGTAACCCCATACGACGGCGGCAACGTGACTGTCCTCGGTGGTGGTATTAAACTTGGCGGTGGGGCGGGGTCTCACTCCCGTTCATCCTCTGTGCAGTCTTCTCACCGCACCCCCATCGACCGCACCCGATCTCCATCTGTCTCCTTTGCGTCTCGTGCTCTCTCCAGCGCTACTGGGCCCAATGGAGAACCCAGGAAACAGAGGACCAGGAGGAGGATCATGCCCACCTACCTTGGCCACTTGGGTCAGCCTGGTGTCGGTGGACCTGTCATGGGCGCTTTCAACGGGGTAGTCAGCCCCGGCGCTAGTGGCGGAATGGGGTACGGGTTTGGAGCTCATGTTGGTGTTGGAGTCTCCCCCCCTCAGGTTGGAATCAGGGGACCTATGCCGAGAATGGGGCATTAGCCGTGTTTTTTATGCTTCGTCTCTTCCTGATTTCGAAGTGTGACTATCAGTACCGTCAACTAGCATATTTCATTTCCATTGTTCACATCCGGCAGGCTTTTCCAGATTCTTCATCAATAACTTCGTCTTTCGCTCTTGCTCCTTTCAAAATATTGTTACCTCTTTCGAATTCGCTCTCTCTTTAAAATTCTTAAATTCATTCTCCAAGCCCGCCACTTCTTTTGATTTTGGATCTTATTTTAAAAACACTTCAGAGGAATGAAATAGTCTTTTATCACCATGTCAAACATGCTTGCATATACATACTATGTGAGACAGCATGTTGTTTACGCGCCAAGTAGTAACCCCAGCCCCTTCCATTCGGCGACTTTCGGCTTGACCTCTCCCATGCTCTTTTCCAAACCACCCTCGAGCCCGCTTCCGCCACTCTCCAAGACCTCCCTCAGTACAGTCTCTCGATCCTCCCATGCCATGTCTATCCCATTCACCAACTTGACCCTGAAAGCCTTGATGGTCGACTGCAACGACTCTGCCAGGGCTCTATGATCGTCTGACGCCAGGACCAGGTATCTCAATAACGCTACTGCCTCCCCACTCTTCTCCTCCACTCTCGTCCCCAATCTCCCCAAGCTCATCACAAGATACTCCCACTCGTCCACCGTTCCCCTCCTACCGGTAGCCCTCTTCTTTACCTTCTTCTTTGACGTCGCCGACGTGACGCCCGTCTGGCCGGTGAATCGGGTGAGATGAGACATGGTGGAAGGCGCGACGGTGTAGCGTGTAAATTGAGAAATGCCGGTAGCTGTTGTAGCATTTGTGGCCACATCGACACCCTCGAGGTCAAGTTCGCGTTCAACAATGTAAAAGGAGTCTGGTATCGTCAGTCTTTGTCCGGATGGAAATTGTGAAAGAATTTACCGGGATCTTTCTGACGGATGCCATTCAGCTCCTTGAGCCTCTTGACTTCCTTGTCCAGTTGACCTTCCATCTCCTCAAACACCTCGATCAAGGTTTCTTGGGCCTCTTCCAGACCAGGAGCAATCATAGCCTCGATCAGGTCCGAACGGTCATAGTGAGAAACGAGCCTGTAAGCCTCAGAGAACTCGGCGCCTCGGCAACAAGTGTCGACAGCACTGTCCACATCTTGGGCATACTCGACGAATACCCGGGAAGCTTCCAGGTGACGCCCTCTCGAAGCAAGGTAATCTGTGCTTGTTCAGTGATTTTCGTGGGCGATTACATATAACATACCTGTAACTCTCTCGACCAGGTCCTTCCGGGCCTCTTCCGATACACCCTCCTTCTTTGCCAGTGAGAATAGTTCGCGCCAAGCGTGAGCACGTTCATACGCTCTGAGAGCCTTTGTAGGCTTATCCGCCAGGAGATAGGCTACGCAGAAGTCAGCCATATCGCATGTCAAAAATGGGTGTAATACGCGCCAAGGGCAGCATCGGTGAACTCTCGACGGTCATAGAGGTAATCGCCATAGAGGTCATGAATGATTGTTAAATGTTCTGGCTCGTTCTTGTAGAGCTTGAAGGCGCTGTCGTAAAGCTCGTATTTGGCAAGATAATTGGCGGCGTCTTCGAACTTTTCTGGGCCTATCCTATGGTCAGCATGTCTCAAAAGGATGCAGCGGTGAACCGTCGTACCTGCCTGCTTCAAGTTTGACAGTGCACTCTCTCGTCTCGCGAGGTGATCATCGATCATGAATCTCTGGTCCCACTTGTCGAGAGCCCTGAGTTCTCTGAGGAATGGCAAGTATTCCTTGGGATCCTGGATCATCGTTAGGTATGACATTTCAATAATAGGACATGCGTACCTTCTGAGAGTATTGAGCAACCATCAGGACCAGCTGGAAATTGTACATTCCAAGAGCGACGTCATACAGTTTGTTGACGTCTGACAGGAAGATGATATACTTGATAGCGTCTTCGACAATCTCAGGATGGTTTGCTATGTATGGAATACGCAGTCAGCGTCCCTTTACCTATCCAGTCGATGAGGGTGAGAGCATACCTTGCAACTGCAAAAGCACCCTCAACCCTGCCTCGTAATCCGCCGGAACCTTGCACACATGTGTCGTGAGGATGGTCTCCACGTACTGTTCAACCCCGCGAGCCTCAAGCAAGCCACGAAGGGTATCACAAATGTCGTTGACTTTGTTGGTTGGCTGGGCAGATGTTGACGGCTCTGTTGCAATGGTAGGGTAGAGTGTCTTGGAAGAGTCCTCGCCGCTGAGAGAAGGTAAGCATGTGAGTCCATACTGGAATAGGGACATACTTCAAAGATGAGACGAAGAGGTTGAGGTAATCAACTTCAGGGACCTGTTTGACAAAGTCTTCAAGGTTGCCCATAAACTTGGCGGGGTCCAAGTCATAAAGTATGTTGACATCTAATCTGTGCTTTCGACATGTCAAGAATGCTGCTCGATAAGAGCCCCTTTTGAAGAGTGAGCACTTGCGCCAACAACAGAAAGAAAGACATACCCAAGCACACTGCGTCTTACGACCTGTAACACCATTGCTCTAGGGTAAAGGGTCTCCAAATTACCCCTCATGGCCTGCAGCACCAAGCTCATTTCACTCTCCGCCGCCACGACCACCTTGGCTCCCCGCTCAATCCGTCTCTCCTCCCACTGTTTATCTTGTTCCGGGACATCTTCCCCTTGGGTGAGCTTTTTGAGGATAGGGAGAGGAGCAAAGTGGCAAAAGTGCGCTGTGGTGGTGTAAATGAGGTGCGAGGATGTGAGGGTGAAGGAGGTCACGGGTTGTGAAGAGATGGAAATCGGTTGGGGATCGGCGGATGGAGAGAGGGAGGTGAAGTGGAGCTTGGAAGTTGGCGAGAGTGTAAAGAGGAGGTCGTTGGAGAGCATGATGGAGGTTGGCTGAGAGGGGATAATAGTGTCAATACCGCCTTCGCTCGCGAGGCTGAACAGCCTGCTTTCCCCGTCAAGCGCTAGGATATCTCCTGAAGGCGCCCACAATATCCGTTCGACCCCACTCTCGACTTGCAGCTCTTCATCCTCCTCTCCGCCAAACACATTCACCCTCCCGCCTTCCTCTCCCGCAGCGAGACTGAGTACGGCTACCTTTCCGTTCGGCCCGGTAGCGACAAGTCTGACCACCCGTCCATCTGCAATCTTTTTCTGGAGCACAACCTCTGGCTCGGCGACTTTGCCACCCCCTCGCAACTTTGACCCCTTGGGACCCGGCAATCGAGTGTTGAGCTTCCAAGTGAGGACCTCTCCATTGGAGAATGCAGCAGACGCTGTATCGTCCCAGTCCGATACACTGACGTGCACCGGCGTCGAAGGTAGCTGGATCTGGTACGAGCTCATGGGCGGTGGGGTGTTTTGTGTCCTGAACGGGGTCACCAACAGCCTATGGCCGTCCACCACCGCCACCGATGCCGTATCGTTCGGCATACCCAACCTCGAGACATACGTGTCCCAAGTGAATGTGCGGTGTTGAATACTGTCGGCACATAGAATGTAGAGAGATAGAGGGTCTTCCGGGTGCCATTTGAAGGATCGAAATCGAGGGGAGGAGGAAGAGTGGGAGAATAGCTCTTGTTTGAGATAGTAGTGGTAGTTTTTCATCGACCAGAGTTGCACTGTTTGAGGTCAGAGCGCCCTTATAGGTCTCTCGAAATGACTCACAGACATCACGGTCTTCCCTTTCGAGCCACACTGCCAACACTTCCGAGTCTGAACTCCAGCTTAGTCCTCTAACCCTTCCATTGCCCCAGCTCTTTCCGTCTTCCCTCAGCTCGAAACCTCCATGTCTCAGACCATTCCTCTCGATCATGGCCACGTCCCACCTTCCTTCTCTTCCTTCCCCGCCTCCGGGATATCCATATCTGACCAAAGTCGATATGAGATTCCCGCTAGGCCGCCATGACAAGGCAGGTTCGAGACCGGGGAGGGATTCGGAAGTTGCTGAGAGGGTGGGGGCAAAGCCAGATGCGGCGTCGCGAGAGTATATGCGGATCTGTCGGCGGGCGCTGGGCTCTTGATCTTGCTCGGATGGGAGGGGGTCTAGCGACGAGACAGCAAAGAAGGACGCATCGCCCCGGAAAGAGATGGTAGGCAACCCATGATCTGTGCCATGTGCCAACGATGGAGCAGCGCCACTAGGCAGCTTGGCAGCAGCCTTGCCCAACGATCCATGGAACTGGGTCTGCTTGGACCCCCATCCGACGTTGATAAACTTGTCCTGTCCAAAGTCTTCAGAGCGGAGGGGTTCTTCGTGGATAATGTCGAATGTTCGGGTCATGGCCATGAGGGTATCCTCGCCGGTAATGATGATGATCTGCTCATCGTCCGGAGACCAAGCGGCAGCCTTGATTCCGCTGTCTACGCTGCCAACGACTTCGACCTGCTCTTCGTGAGCACTCTACCATTCGAATCGTACTGGGTACCTACCGGTGCAGGAGCCCCATCGGGACCTTCGAGGGCGAGAATCGCAATATCACCACCAGCCAGGAGAATAATGAGAGTACGGTCATCGGCAAGGTAGTGCAAGGAAAGGGTTTCGCCGATATAGGAGGGTTTTGAAAAGGGCGCAAGGACAGGGGAGTTGAAAGATGCGATTGCCTATACATTTATTAGCCATAGCCCAGCTCATGGGCGTATACGCACCTCGACCTCCTGGCCGTCCACTCTGAGGATGTCAATCTCGACACCCTCCTCGTCTATGCGCTCTACTGCGACATATGCTGCTGCTGTCTCTGGGTCGATAGCGAGGTTTGCTGGGGACCCCTGGAGGCGGGCGATTGCGATCGCGAGGGGAGCGATGTTGCGCATGCTGGGGTGGCTAGGGAGTGTCCAAAATTGTTGAAAAACAAAAACAATCGATGATGAGGGTCGGCGATGGCCGCCCGGCGTACGCTATCACCCCGTGTTGTTTGTGTACGTAATGCCCCGCCACGAGGCTGGAAGGAGTGATGACGACATGCCTCCCCCGCCTCCACCCTGCGTGACCGCCACTGCCATACACCACTTGGTGCATCGCAGCTGCATCTCTTCCCCACCCCGCCACCATGACACACAAGAAAGACAAGAACGCCAGCCCCCAGCGCCAGAGCAGTGATGAGCCCCCTTTTCCAGAGAGTAGCGACAGTCCTGATATCATTCTAGATGGCGGCGGCGTACAAGGAAAGCCCACTCCCACCTTCACTCAATCTTGCTCATGCCCCCACAGACTATGCCAAGCTTAAGAAGGAAGGCACCGGTCTCGACTCGGAAGCAGTCATCGACGAGGCCGGCAACATCAAGATCTTCCTGACACTCAAAAAGCCTCTTCCTGAGCTACCAGCAGACTATGCTCTGCCAGTGGAAGAGTATGCGCTTGATCTGCGCCCCGAGGCACCACCGGTGGGGCCAATGTACATTGTCGTCTACCTAGTGGGTAGCAGAGGCAAGTTTGCGATATCCGTGGCGCAATGACGACTGACGGATCCATGTCAGGCGATGTACAGCCATATCTGTCTCTGGCTCTCCGCCTCATCTTATCGCACGGACACCACGTGCGCATCGCCACCCATACCACCTTCAAAGACTTTGTCCTCTCTGCAACAAAGTTTCTCAAAGGCAAGACTGGCAAAGATGGCGAGAGCTTGGAGGAGCATCTTTCGTTCTTTGATGTCGGGGGTGATCCTCATGAGCTCATGGCGTACATGGTGAAGAGTGAGTGTCCTTGTATGATGGAGACACATGTGCTGATAGCTACAAGATCCCGGACTACTGCCAGGCATCGAGTCTCTCACGAATGGTGACATTGGGTCAAAACGCAAAATGACGGGTCTTATGCTCGAAAGGTTCTACGAAGCCACCTACAAGCCCGACCCTCTCACTCAAAAGCCCTTTGCAGCGGACGCTATTCTGAGCAATCCCCCCGCCTTTGCACATATCCATGTGGCGGAGGCTTTGGGCATACCTGTGCACCTAACATTCAGTAAGCAACTCGCTACCGGGAAGCCAAGCACTCACGCAAGATCTAGCAATGCCGTGGTCGCCGACGACTTCATTCAGCCACCCCTTGGTCAAAGTGCAGCAAAGTAACGCTGAGCCAGGCCTCACAAAATACCTCTCTTATGCTTTTGCTGAGCAAATGTACGTTGTCTTAGCCCGACAAAGGCATGCTAATATGGCACAGGACATGGCAAGGTCTCGGAGACGTCATCAACAAATGGCGCCGCCAGCAGCTCAACCTCGATCCTCTCTTGGGACTCTCAGGGCCTTCAATCCTGGATCGGCTGAAGGTGCCTTGGACGTATTGCTGGAGTGATGAGTTCATTGCAAAGCCAGACGATTGGAAAGAGCACATTGGTATGTCGCATCTCCATCACTCGGACTGAAACTCATGTTGGGTACTAGATGTATCGGGGTTCTACTTTATGCCCAGTGATGCCGATTATAAGCCGACTGCTGAGCTCAAACGATTCCTGGCTGCCGGACCACCTCCCATGTACATAGGGTACGTGATTCTCCTGCACATCATGCACGACTTGCTGACGATCGATGTAGATTTGGTTCAGTAGTGGTTGACGATCCCCAGGCCATGACAAGGACGATATTCGAAGCTGTTGAATCCAGCAAGTTGAGAGCTATCGTCAGTGCCGGTTGGGGCGGACTTGGCAACACCAATGTCCCCGAAAGCGTCTATATAATGAAAGGTAGATTGTGCTACACAGACAAGCGATCATTGCTGACGCGCAGAGTAGAAAGTGTACCTCACGATTGGCTTTTCGCAGAAGGAAGAGTATCGATGGTGTGTCATCATGGTGGCGCTGGGACATGCGCTATAGGTCTCAAAGAGGGATTGCCCACCATCATCGTACCCTTCTTTGGGGATCAACCGTAAGCTTTGTGTACATATGGTCTCCAGTCCCTAACCTGTTTAGCTTCTGGGGCGCCATGGTCCACCAAGCCGGTGCTGGTCCCAGTCCTATCAAGCCCAAGGACTTCAACGTGGAAACTCTCTCCTCGGCCATCCGCTATGCCCAATCTCAATCAGCCATCACTGCCGCCCGCGCCATTGCCTCCAAAATTAGCGCCGACGACGGTGAAGCCAAGGGTGTCGAATCTTTCCACAAGCACTTGCCCCTCCTTGCCATGCGCTGCGACGTCGACCCCTCAAAGATTGCAATTTGGTGGTCTGATGATTTTTTTTTGCGATTGTCGGCGGGCGTCGCAGCGGTGCTGGTGGAGCAAGAGATGACGAGTTGGGAAAAGTTGAGACCGTATAGGTCAAAAGAGTATGATACGAGAAAGGCGATCACGGACCCTGTGAGCGGGGGAGCAACAGCTGTCTTGGAGATTGTGGCGGATGCTTCTGAAGGCGTCTTTCAGATCTTTAGCACCAAACCGGTAGGTTTTTCCTCACACTTTACTCTGCACTCGCGCTCATGCAATCAAAGCATCTTGGCATAATCAAAACAGCCACCATAGCTCCACGTGCCATTGTCACCGGTGTCCGACTCGTCCATGAGGGCATGGAGAACATGCCCCGCCTCGTCGGGTCCAAATCCCGACCCCAGGCCAATGTGACAGATACCAGCAGCGGGTTCCGTGAGGGCCTTCGAGGGTTTGCATACGGAGTCGGAGATGGCATCAGTAGTCTTTTGACTGAACCGTTCCGAGGCGCAAAGGAGGAGGGGGCCGTGGGGTGGGTCAAGGGGATGGGAAGGAGCTGTGAGTCACGCGCTGAACACGATGGACGTGTCTAACGAGATACTAGATGTCAGTGTAGCTATGCTGCCCGCCGCGGGGGCCCTTGGACTCGTCGCTTTGCCCATGAAAGGGGCCTCTAAGTCGCTCCATACCTTCATGTACGGCCGCCAAGAAAAGGTACTCAAACCGCCTCGCCAGGCTATCAGCATCGAGCAAGGCTATAAACTTCCGCCGGCAGAGAAGAAGAAAATCTTGGAGTTGTATAAAGATGCGCTGGAAAGTGACGAGATCAAGGAGCGGCAAAAGGTGATGGAGAAGGTCGGAAAGTAAAAGTTCAATGTGTGTGATTTAACATGTACTTTTAGCATGTGCAAAATCGACTAGGTCGTGGAAAGCGACAAGATATAATAGCGTTGTATGCTAAGGATGTATAGCGGAGGGGGCGGTCCAGAGATAAAGACCATATTGGCGTTAGATGCTTACCTGATTTGACCCTTCAAAAGTTACCAAAGCAAAGGAAAAAGCTGGTTTGATGACCTTGACAACTACCAATCTTTCGCCCGCACAACTGTAGACATGTTGCATATGACCATTTTGGCCGTCTATCACCATTGAAAAAGGATTAATGGACAATTTCGTTATAGTCGATCGATATGTGACGCGGTGTCTGCGCGGCTTAGATGGCCGGAAGAACGCCTGGGATGACATCAGCAGATACTGTCAGAGCGCTCAAAGTACCTACAATGCCTCGCTTTGAAAGCCCACCACGACCCCTCCTGGTCCTCTTCCTCACCTAACAATCCCCACCTCCCCTGCAATGCCATTCCCACCAGTTGGTTACCCCCATTGACCATCAGACCATCCCCCTCGACCCATACCACGATCTCATCCGGCTCCTTGTCTTCCTCCTGGTAGCTAGCAGCGGGAGATTTGATAGTGACCAAGCGGTGAAGCTGAGTGCAAAATCGAGGCGCGTCGGGACCGGCAGGGAGAGGTGGCAAGGCAGCGACGATGATTCGGCTAGCATAAGGGATGCTTCGGAGGAGGCGAATGTTGGAGTGGGAGCGAGGGGAGAGAAGGTCTTTGACGACAGGAAGTACTGCAATATATGAGACTACATCTGGCAAAATGGCGAAGCGACTGACCTTCATTGAGAGTAGGAGCAGAAGGCCTTCTATCGACGGCTGGGCAGATAAGATTAGATGGGCTCAGCAAAGCAAGGTAAGACATGCACATACTGGGTTCAACTGCCCATGGAACCGCGTCTTCGTCATCCTCTTCTTGTGGCTCCTCCTGCGCAACCTGTCCCTCTACCTCCGCCGGCTTCTCCGGTCCCATCTCCTCAGGCCCACTGAACTCACCGCCCCAGACAGCCCAACAGGCTCTGTTCCAGCCATCTTGCTTGGTCACGACGTCTTCCAGCTGGGTGGCTTCTTTCCATTTCTTTGAAGCCGAACGAGCGATGGAAGCGACTTTCTTGAAGGACTTGTGCAAGTTGGCTTCGGGGAAAACGTTGTAGTGGGCAATGTAAGAAAAGTAGGCGGCGACAATCTCAAGAAAGTCGAGGACAGGTTCTTCATCCCTGGAATAAGCATCAACATCCCTTCCTCAAGTATAGAATCATGCTTACCATGGACTCTCAAGCTTCATTCTTGCGAGTGTCAAAAGTCTCCGAACACTCCTCTCCGGTTCCCTCAACAACACACACGCCTCGTCCACTCGCACACCCTGTGGGGTTGGAAGAAGTGTTGGCGCATTATCATTGACATAACGGCGTTTCCTGTGGGGGTAGAGAGCTGCATTGGGACCGGACCCGGGCCAGTGACGGCCAAGGAAGAGACTTCGAATGCCAAGCTGGTCACGTAGCTAGAGGCGGAATCAGAGAGCGCATAGAGAGGTTTGAGGACTTACAATGCCAAACAGGCGCCTGTTCTTCCGGGACTGAATCACGGCGTCACGAGAGATGATGAATTCTCGGGTGGCATCGATCACTGTTCTACGGCGTTAGCACAAGCCACTTGCAATCCGGCCAAGGCGAGCCTTACGACGCGTGAATGGCGGTATGGAACTACCATGCTATAGTCAGCCGCTAACCACATCCAAACAAGACAGCAGCTTACATGTCAAAGTTTCTCGTACTGGTAACAGAGGGCTCCACCCATCCAGAGTCTGGGTCTCCGATCTTCCAGCAGTCCTCAGGATCCAAGCGCGGGGACTGGCTCTTGGTCTTCGGGGGGTTGGGCAGAGTAATGGGAAAGTCTCGTTTGCGCTTTGTCGCAGCCTTGCGCTTCTCCTTTTTGTGTGCCTCACGTTCTTCAAAGGTGTGGTTGATACCCGTGTACGGCCTTTCCATAGCCACAAGGGGAACGCCGAGGGTGTCGTGCGGTTGCGAGAGACCTGCGTGCACATGTCAGTATCTTTCGCAGGTCGTCGCTTATGCGGCGTACCTGCTTCGCTGTTGGCGAGTCCAGCCTTGGTCCATACTCCCTTGTGCTCGAACTGATCAAACGAGACCAAAGCAAGTGCGGAAGGAAGTCTGGGGAAGGGAGGGAAGTTGAGCTCTGGGATGTCGACGTCGAGGTAGTCTTCCTGGTTGTCCTCGTCAAAGCCATCGATGGACCCGGGGGCGGTGTCGGAGGGAGACTCGAGGGAGACAGCCATTGCGGGTGTATGGTGGGTCCGTAAAAGGGAGATATCTGGAAGTTGTTGAGATACAACTAGACAACAACTAGAAACCAGTCGCTTGGAAACCACTGACCAGCTGGCGGGCATCACCGCTAGTACAGCCCGCCGGCTACGTACACCGTCCAGAGTCTCCAGACACCGTCTACTACACATTCAACCTGTTCGATCTTGGTCTGGTCTGCCAATGCGAGTATCATCCACTGATATTCTGCGACGTTGCTCGTACTGCTATCGACAACTATATGTCGTGAGTCTCTCTCGACTCTGGCAGAATTCTAGACGGAAGACGGTCTTTCTTCTCCCAAATCTTTTTGGGATACCAGACGACAGCACAGACACATACCACAGATATGGACTGCATATATTAGCAAAGGTCTAGCTGAGTAATGGTCAACGTTCCGGAAGACGATAGCTCGCCACAACAAGCGTGTACAGTTTGTATCGTAATCCGCCGTTCTTTTCGATGTATGTGTCGTCTTTGCAATCGTACCCACCCCCTGTCTTGTAGCCCTTTGGCCCGGGCTACTTGGATCAACATGCTGCATTCTAGCTTTCTTGCGTGTCATCTGATATTTGCTCCTGTTCAACTACAGGACACCCTTCTCCCAGTTCTTGCACTGCGAAGCAAGCTCCACAGCAGCAAGACCCCAGTCTTCTCCGTGGTCTACGTATGATTAGTGCATGTCCTTGCAGCCCAAACATCAACTTACTATGTCCCTTGTCACCCTTCGTTCCAGCGCCAGCCCTGACCAACGCCTGCTCATCATTCAGCACAGTCAAAACACCGAATACCACCGGGGTCCCGCTGTCCAGCTGCACTCTCATCAAGCCCTGGGTGACCGCCTCACAGATATACTCAAAGTGCATCGTAGAACCCTTGATAAGGCAGCCGATAGCAATGACAGCGTCAAAGGGTGCGGTAGAGGCGGTACCCGCAGCAGGGGCAGGGGTGGTGGACTGGGGGGTGGTGGGAGAGGACGAGTCGACGAGCGAGAGGAGGTTGGTGGTGGAAGCGAGCATGGAAGGAGCGGCATTGGCGGATTGGGTCTTGCCGGCTTCGATCAATCTGGTAACCATGAGTCATCAGCCCCTCTTCATTTCGCTCCCCCATGCCATACGGACAGAAGCTTACTTTTTGCAGGCGAATGGAAGCTCGTAGCTCCCCGGGACACTCTTCACCACAATGTTCTCCTCTTTGACACCTTGGGCTTTGAGCTTGGAGATGGTGCCCTCGAGGAGAGCCTTGATGACGGCGTCATTCCAACGGGCGTGGACGATGGCGATGCGGAAGTTGGAGCCGTCGTAGGAGACGGGAGGAGGGGGGAGACCCTTGATAGTAGCGTCGGCCATGATGGTAGGTGTGCGGGGGAAGTTGTAAGAAGGCAAGGTGATAGAGACAACGAAGGATGCGAGCGAAAGCAACCCCGGAAATCCGATCCCGTTGCATCGAGCCGGAGACCACCGCCCTTCACATCATATCAATCCATGGTATTGCTATGTCGCATCTGTACTCTATCCCCACGCAATCATGGTTGTGAGTACCCGGCTCATACTCTGCTGGATCGAGCTGACGGCTGTATCCTTCCCCCAGAAATTACGCGTCTCAATCTCCATGGAGTTGGAAGGTGTCACCAATGTCCGACCTGCCGATGATGATTACGAGTACTTTTTCACTGTACGTCCCGCCAGTTTCGTAGATGCCGAGGAGTGCAGTGCGAGGAATTATTTGGTTGGTCAAAAGATATCTGACACGGCTTCAGGTGATGTGCAGCTCATGCAGAGAAGTACATCCCAAGACAGTCGGCCTCAACCGTAATGCAAGTGCTCTTTCAACAATCTACACCACGCCAGGTGTGATCGAAAGCTTATGGTGAATGCAGGATGAACACGAAATATCAGGGTCCAAGGGAAGTGCCAACTTTGTCTGGAGATGCACAAACTGCAAAGTAAGCCATCCAAGCGCGATACAACGAGCAGCTCACGCCTCGTGCTGTTACAGAAAGAACACTCGGCCTCATTCCTTCCTTCCGCCCCCAAGTCCAAATCTACCGCCCCTCTGCCTTACTCCAGCTCCTCTCAGTTTTCTTCATTTGTCACGTTAGATTGCCGCGGGCTCGAATTTACCGAGTTCCATCTGCGTCGCGGAAAGTGGGTATGTGAAGGGGAAGACAGTGGCAAGGCCTTCCAGATTGATTGGGACGAGCTCGCGCAGGAGGGCGAGGAAAGGTGGGACGATTATGACGAAGATAAAGGGGAAACTGTCGGGGTGAGTGAGCTGAAGAGCAAGGTTGAGCGGGCCTAAGTCGCCAGCGTCATGTTTGACCATGTCATGCATTAGATATGTATTTCAGTAACGGTAGCAACAACTCGAAACATATGTACAGTCACCTTCCTCTTTGTTCTTTGTATCTATAATAGGCTTCTACTGCCATTGGGACTTGTCCCAGTTGGGGTCTTGCAAGAACGCACAAAGCACTTTGCTGCCTGTCTGCAGCAACGGATGTCCAGATACGATTTCCAAGAACCTCTGAAGCCCCTCTCTCCTTTGTTCAATTACTTCGTCCGAGAATCTGTTTGTAAAGACCTATTGCTTGACATCAGCCTCACCAGACTTGTGATCTGTCAAAAGGAAAAGGGCGTACTTTGCCAGGTAAAGGCGGTAAGTTGACCCTCGTACTTTCCCTTTCCAATATATCCCGGAAAGCTTCAAAGTCCGAGTAGCGGCGGCGAACGACAGAGTGGCGCAGTTTGAACGCTGGGATGTTGGTCTGAACAAGTGGGTCAGCTCTGAGTGCGCCAAGAGATGAAAGGAAGGCGCACCATGCAGACGATCTCATAGTCGGTATACATTTTACGGCCCATACCGTGGGTCATGGCGTTGCGGATCTCGATCTCGAGGAATGACTCGGGGACAGAGTACATCTCGTCAAACTGCAAAGCAAGTGAGCACAGGGGGTTCGACCATGGCAGCTACCGTTCGCTGGCCATGTGGCCATGGGCCGAGGTCCGGGACTTACAGTCTGGGGTCTTCCAGCCATCCTTGCCATCTCTGAAAAGCTGACATTCTGAGACGAATCCGTCCTGACGAACGGCGAATGTGTCACTTGCACTATGATGAATGTCAGCCATTCCTCGTCGGATCTTGGATCATCTGAATGGCATATACCTGGAGGAGATTGGGGATGGTCAGCAGTGCCTTGCTGATATCCATAAGGATCCACATAGCCCTGTGGTTGCTGGGGTTGTTGCTGCTGCTGATAGTCGATGAATTGCTGGGGTTGCTGAGCTGGCTGTTGCTGATAGCCTTGATATGGCTGCTGCTGCTGATGGTAGTATGCTTCTGTCCTCGGTGTCAGTACGTGGCTGAGACTGGTAGAGACGTACGGTTTTGGGAGTACTGGTCCATGGCGGGCGAGGATGCAGGCTGATGGAGGAATGAAGGAAGAATGGCTCTGCGCGTTCGGGACTCGGATCGCCCTGGCCGTTCCCTGAGCGTTTGCGTTCATGACTTGACGTGGCACACGGCCGTCTGTCATTCAACTTGCTCTTCATCTTGGTATCGCATGCATACATGGCTCGTTGCCCCATAGACACCAGCGGATATGTGAGAAGTGCAAGGCAGACAAGGGGATACGGAGATGCACGTCGCGCCAGCGAAAGTAACCACCACACCTCCCTTCCGAGTAGTCTGCCTCTGGCCTCTGAGTACACAATACCTTCGACCGTTCTCCGCTTCTGCTGCTCTTTTCTGCTGCTCTCTCTGAAGTGCGCGAAGGATGCATACAGAGGAGGGCTGGCACAGGCCATGGTAGAGGCTGTCCTTATTTCTGCCCCACGCTAAGTCGCGAAGATCTAGTTCCGCTGAGATGTTTCCTGTAGGCTGTTATGCACAATCCCTCTCTCTCCCTCATCCTCATCTGCCTCTCCACCCCGCCGCCGCTGCCCACCCCCTGCCGCCCCGCCCCGCCACATCCCGCCACATCCACCCCCGCGCCCTCGCCGCTTGCAACAAACATCAACACATCCCGCGTCCCCTCCTTCACTACCAGCCCGACGCCCTACACTGCCATCGGTCCGCCATCCTCCACCCCCGACATGTCCTCCTCCTCAAACCCGAGGGGGAACGCTCCTATACCAGGCAGCTGGACGAACCGACCAAGTCTCGACGACCCTCGGCCCAGCGCTGGCGCTGCCCCTTCCACCTCCCGAAGGTCCATAGACCAGCGCCAATATAACGCGGGGCTCGATGCGTCAGAGGGATCACGGAGAAATAGCTTGGCGAGCAACTCGATACACAACAGCCCGTCAAGCATGAGCTCGATGCGGCATCTGACGCGATATGACGACCAGCCTGCTGCCCCTCCTGGGTCCTACCCACAACAACCCGTCGGCCCTTCCATATCGTCTGCAAGACTACCCCGAATAACAACATCCTCAATGGACGATGCTGACAACCTGAGAGGAGAGGAAAGCGGGCCAAGGAGCGCCCCGGCGGGACATCAGGCTCGAGCAGCGAATGGGCAGGGGTCAGCGCCGATACGGTCCAGTTCATCGCCTGATCCATGGGCTAACAAACCGCGCGACAGCTCATCAACAATCTCGCCGGTAGATGCTCGTCCGAATCTTGCTGGAGGCGTCCCAGGCGGGGGGGCGGCTCGGCAACAGGGTAGTCTACTGCCGTATGCCCCTTCAATAGATCGGCGCGCCAGTCCTGCTTCTGCCGGACGCCCTCTGCCCCCTCGACAGGGCTCCGACCGCTCAACCCATTCTCATTCCTCTGCCGCAAATGCCGAGACGACCACGCCAAGCGGCGAGCCGTTACTGCAGTGGCCACAGCCGCGTACGACGCGTCGAGAAGGAGGCTCAACGAGCTGTGGCCAGTGTGGGCAAGTGGTCCATGGGCAGTTTGTGAGGGCGATGGGAAAGGTGTACCATTTGAACTGTTTCCGGTGCAAGGTGAGTCGCCTTCACGGATGCGTCTTTTCAGGCGATGTCTGTGCGTCGACACGGAAAGGGCGTGTGCTGATTGTTCCTCTTTTCCCAATACAGGACTGTAACAAGGTCGTCGCGCAAAAGTTCTTTCCGGTCGAGGACGGCGACGGCATGTACCCGTTGTGCGAGCGGGACTACTTTGCCCGTCTGGATCTCATCTGTGCAAAGTGCGATCAGGCGCTGAGGGCGAGCTATATAACAGCATGCGGTGAGTCCAACCTTCGATCCCCACGAGCCCTGGTCATCTAGTCCGGATTCCCATGCGGAGCTGATGCGCGTGTGTTCATAGGCGCCAAGTACCACGTTGAGCACTTTACGTGCCACGAATGTGACGTATTGTTTGGCCCGAACGACTCTTATTATGAACATGCTGGCAGAGTCTGTGAGTGGCAACTACCTCAAACCTTTTTCGGCAATGTACAGATGGCTGATCGACCGATTGTGTTATATAGACTGCCATTATCACTACTCTACGCAATTTGCCGTCAAATGTGTCGGATGCGAGACGGCTATTCTCAAGCAGTTTGTCGAGATGAACAGGAACGGAAGGAATGAGTGTTGGCATCCGGAATGTTACATGATCTCCAAGGTCAGTTCCAGCGGTGCCCGTTTGTCCACACAGTGCTAAAGGAGCGTGCAGTTTTGGAATGTCCGCCTCGCGTCCAAGACGTTCAACACACCCGCAGCGTCTGCAGTGGCCTCGACGGTATCCCTCCTTGAAATGTCCTCCATCACAGCACCCGGTGCCCCCGTCCTCTCGACTGACCCCGCTTCTCCCCTGCTTCATCAAACCCCCAAGCAATCTGAGTTTAGCCTGTCTCCCCAGGAATTGAAGGAAAGACAAGATGCGATGGAGCAAAAGGTGCAGCAGATCTGGCACGTTCTCTCGGGATACGAAGAAAGCTCTGCGGCCTTGATTGGCGATATGCTGAGGGCAGTGAATGAGAAGAATCTGCTCGATATCATCTTGTTGGCGGAGAGGTTCATCTTGCATGTGGAGACACTCTTCGCGGTCATTGATGATATCGAGGCGCAGTTTGCTGTGACGAGAGCCAAGGGTAAGTGTCTCCGCAAGGCGTATTAGGAGCCGTGATCAGCTGCACAGCCGCTGACGTTTTTCTCAGGCATGCCTCATGCACGGGAGGCCAAGCAACTCTGTAGAAAGCTTGTCAATCTCTTCTCCAACATGTCTCAGCTTTCGCCATCTTCATCAGCACCATCACCTTCCAGCGAAGAGCTGTTTCAGCTCATCACACAGCTCGCCCATTACCTCAAGATACTGATCAGAATAGCCTTGACGGGTTCTATCAAATTGGAGAGGGACTTTGGGAACAAGAAGGCGATGGCCAATTGTTTAGCGAGGCTGAACTTGCTGGCCATGGACGGGGGTGATCCTAGCGTGAAAAAGCGGGGCGATTGGCCCGAGATCAACCCCAATGCCATTGGACAGATGACTCCGGCCCCGGACGATGAAAGTGGGGACGAGGAACAGCTGAGGAGGAGCATGGAGGCTTTGACACGACGACCGGAGGGTTTCATTCCTAGCACGAGGGGTGTTGCTTATGGCTATCGCAGTCTGGCTGTGAGTATACTTTCTGTGCCTGGAAATTGAGCTCATGTATCATAGCCCGAGTACACTGGCGAGACGACTCTACGCGGACCCCAAGGCGAAGACTTTATCCCTCCCGAGGGTTGTGCCCGTTGTCGTGCTCCGATAGAGGAAGACTGTGTACGGCTCGGTATGTTTTTGCGGTGGCATTCATCCTGTGTCGCTTGTACGACTTGTGGCGATACTGCTCTGCAGACTATCACCATTCGAGACGACACCACCGACGACGGCTCTGCACATTCCCATACCGACAGCAATAACGGTATCGTCGCTCGAGCGACTGCATCTATCGAGAAACGCGCACCACCCCGGGTCGATTACTTTTGGTATGCTCCCAAGCACTTTCCTGGTGCCACTCAATCACCTAGTCAGATGTGGTGTACTCCGCACAAAAAGGGCGAGGGCGAATGCTGGCAAGGGTTTGAAGGTGTCTCGCGGCTGGAGCAGTATGCGTTCTTACTGCACATTGCTCTGCGGCGGTTATACGTTCATTTCCGCGTGCACCATAACCTCAGCAGTGGTCAGTGGGAACAGAGTATGAATGGCAAGGCAAGAGCTGACCAAGCTTCCACAGTTCGCGACCATGGCATGTCTGACCGCGCGGAATCCGAAGTCAAACGTATGAAGTCTGTCACTCTCGACCGCAAACTCTCTTCGACCGCCCGTCTCCCACAGAGGTCAATGGTTGTCGAGTCCCCCGCCGGACGTATGGCCGACGAGAATGGCCAGGTCGTTTCTGCTCGAGTCGAAGGTGATTCGCCAACTCCCCCGACACCAACGCCAAAGGAGAAGGGTGCAGCGGACAAGTTTGGCATAGAGGCCCAGCCGATGGTGGTCACGCCCAGCAATGTTGACGTCCTACGGCCGCCCTTTGCGCGAAACAATACGAATGTCATGATTGTCAAGGAGAACAGTGGAGAAGGGGCTTCGTCTCCTCCACAAGCGATGTTGGGTATGCGCAAAGTCAGTGCGCCAAAGGATGATGATGCCATCACACTGGCGGACATCTCTATGCTGGCAGGTGCAGGCAAAGACCGGCAGCCTGACAGTCGCCCTCTCATGTCAAGTCTCACCAATGTCCAATCTGTCATTATCCGTCACTTTGCCCTTCTCCAGCTCCAGAAGACTGCCCTGGCTCCGCTCTTTGACCTGGATGAGATGCTTGATCTACTGGATGGCCGCAAAGGGCAATGGTGGAACAAGATCTTCAAGGGGAATGCGAAAAAGGACACCAAGAAGAAGGGGCTGTTCGGAGTGCCAATCGAGGTGCTCGTGGAGAGAACGGGGTCGGATAGTAGTCTTGGCGCACCAAACTCTCAGGTGAGGGTGCCAGAATTCATCGAGGACATAATTTCAACCATGCGGCAGATGGGTAAGTGCATGAATAGAGAAAGAAGCGACATGCTGATTGTCTTGCAGATATGGCTGTTGAGGGTGTATTCCGAAAGAATGGCAACATTCGTAAACTCCAAGCCTTGTCGGAAGCTTTGGACAAGGACTCTACTGCCGTCAACCTGTCGGAAGAGAACGTGATCCAGCTTGCTGCATTGCTAAAGAGGTTCTTGCGAGAGATGCCAGAGCCCCTCTTGACATTCCGGTTGCACAAGTTATTCTGTGCTGCTGCTTGTAAGTGTCTATGAGCCCTTTGAATGTCATTCTGACGTCTTTCTAGCTCTACCAAAGTCCGACGAACGGACCCGATGCTTCCACCTTCTCGTGACTCTTTTGCCACGCTATAATCGAGACACCGTGGAGGTCCTGTTCACTTTCCTCAAATGGGTTTCCTCGTTCTCCTACAGGGACGAAGAAACTGGTTCACGTATGGACCTTGGCAACCTGGCAACTGTCATCTGCCCTTCCATTCTGTATGCCAAGGGCTCGAACGTGGTCAAAGATGATTCCTTTACTGCTATCGGAGCTGTGCAGGAGATGTTGGAGAACCAAGACGAGTTCTACCGCGTGCCGGGAGAATTGCTGTTCGTGATTCAAGAGGGCATCTGGAAGATCTTTGCAAAAGATCTGGACCTCCCACCCAAGGAGATCCACAGACACTGCAGCAAGTACACTCAGGCCCGAAGCGCCGCCCAGCCCCAATCTCAACGGCTAGGCATTCCTATGTCCACATCTTCGAGTCAAATGTCCAACCAAGCAACGAATTCTCGATCTGTCGAGACTTCGCGGATGAGCTTGGTACTGAATGCTTCTGGCTCTGACCCTACTGTCGACAACGTGTTTCGACCACCACCCGTCCCTCTGAGTGGCTCTCGGCCCACAAGCTGGATTCAGCATCAGCAATCATACTCCCAGCAGTCTCTCCAGTCTCTGCCTGGGCAACAGTTCCCCTCTCCCTCTCCAACCCATGCTGGCCCTGGCCCCTTGTGGGGTCGCCCACCTGCGGCGCCTTTCCAAGGGCCTGCCGGTAGCAGCGGTTCACGTGGGTCATCTCGCGGGTCTGCTCCTAGCAGTCCGGCACCTGGCGATGGGGAGAGGCGGAGCTTCCAAATGGATCGCGAGAGGAGTTGGACACCGACGCAGAGCGAGGGTCACGAATCGCATTTCCCGCCGCAGGCGTATAGCGGATCAGGGCTGGGCCTCGTGCCCGGCCAGGCAGCGCCGCCGGCAGTTGTCTCACGACACCCTTACGCGCAAGGAGGAGCTGGTCATCCTCACTACAGATAGCCCAGGTGGGCACTGAGGAGCGATCATTGTCATGACGGACATTTTCAAAGTGTATAGCAGATCAGCGGACAATAATATTCCCACCCATATACCCCCTTATTTTGATACTTTTAACGATTCACGCCCTTTCGCACTTTCGTCTGTCTTTCCATAAGAGTCATCTCTACGAGTCTCTGAAAGTTCTCTTGATTTGCCCCTTTGAGTGCAGTCGCTGCCCAATGCGCTTCATTTACATAACATCTTGCTGCCTTTCTTTTGTTCATCGTGTCTCTTTCTTTCTCTTTCCATATCATACTTTTTCTTGCTTATACTCACCGGGAACGAACGTCATGCATATTGATCATGGGCGTACAGGTATACAACATATGTACAATTGAGGTCATTATTGCCCAGCAAAAGTGAATGATGTCGCAGCTATGATCCATATCACCCTTTCGCCTTCGTCCTGTTCGTCTGCCCACCCGAGCCCTTCTCTCAAGACACAATCATCCAGCGCCACGTCTAGCCGCACATCCGACCACCTGGTCTGAGTCTTGACCAAGCCCCAACCCAGCTTGCCGCCTGTCGTCGCTGCGATGGCCAACAAGGTTGATTGATCGGTGTCTAGCGACCGTGGGATGGTGCGGACATAGGTGGCAGACGGCGTTGGGTGGTGTAGGGTATATCCTGCTTGTAAGGGATGAAGTAGCTTGAGAGTGCGCAGTATATCTTGGGAAGTGATACGCCCCGTGTTCTCGGGGGAGTCTTTGTAGCTGCTGGCGGACAAGGGGAGGGACGAGAGACCACCTGAGCGAAGGTGCTCGATTCGGCGTATGAGGTCTGACATCTCAATGATCCCTCCATTTATGGTCCTCGTAGACACACAGACGTCTACCACTTGCACAGCAAGCTCATACTCCCACTCTCCGATGCCTAGCACTTCAGTCCACCACCCTTTGCCGGCTGCGCTCCCGCCTCCCCCATTCGCAGGGCCAACGGCTAGGGGGTCCACTCCGATAGCCGCGCACATCTTCTGGAACTGGTGCCGGAATGCGGGGTCCTTGCGGATATCATCGCGGTGTTGGGACGCAAAGGCGACGAGCTGGGTGCGAAATGACTCGAGGGAGGATAGGAGGGAGGCGAGCTGGGAGGAGGTGAGGGTGGATGAGAGGGAAGAGTAGGAGTTCTGGGTGTTTGTGTGGCGGGAGAGCGCTGCGATGCCTGCTCCCTTGCGCATGGTGGCTGGGTGAACGATGGAGATGATAGAGAAGGATGGCGCGTCCCGGACATGTCTCTGTGTCCGCGCTGTCCGGACATGCGTCTTCGGCCGCCCGTCATAGATGTTACTCTCCTCTGACTTTTATTGATTTTCTATTTCTCTGTACACGATGCCCCCCTCCCTCTCCGCCCCCATGGCCAGGCGTGTCTCCCGCTCAGCACGCTATATCTCTTCAAACACCCCCGGGGGCGACGCAGATCCAGCCATCCTCCTCCGCCAAGTCATGCGCAATGTCGCCCAGGTCAGTCTCTCCAGCGCGTACGACTCGTAACTCACACTCCCAAAGCCGGTAGCTGTGGCAGTCGCTTATGTCCCTCCTTCTTCCCCACTTGCAGGCGTAGCAGCGTACCACGGAGCCACACTCACTTCCTTCACCTCCCTCACCCTCCACCCTCGACCACTCGTCGCCTTCTCGTTGAGATTGCCATCCCGTATGGCGGATTGCCTGCGTCCATGGAGGACAGGAGGCGGTAGAGACCCAGGGCTGCCGGAAGACGATAAAGCGGGGTCAGTCGGAGCTGCAAGTGGCGATAGTGGTCTCCGGTTACCGCCCAAAAGCGATCTACCATGGCCTCTATCCAAACTGCCAATGCCGGAAGATCCTCCCATATGGGCTCAGTCTCTCTTCTCCCAGATCCCTAATCCACTTTCGCCTCCATCAAATCCGTCTTCGCTACCGCCATCGTCCAAGATGGTGGGGTCTGCAAAACCCGTACCACCGACACCCCTCACCATCTCTCTCCTCTCGACCTCCAACTCTGCCATCGCCGACGCCCTCGCACAACCACGAACAGACCACTCCTCTATCTTTTCTCTCCCGGATACCTGGGTATCTCCCTCTCCCTCTTCCCCTACGCACCCACCATCGTTGAAAGGGTGTGTCGGTAGTTTGCAGTGCCAGGTGGTAGGGAGTGTGATGTTGGGAGACCTCTGCGGACCCGGGGAGGTGGATGGGGCGGGCAGTGAAATGTTCATCTGTAGAGTTGTGGGGGTGGAGATGGACAGCGAGGTGGACGAGGACAGCTTGCTGCCTCTGTTACATTGGCGGAGAAAGTATGCTGGAGTAAAAGAGCTTGAATGAAACACGACGTTCCCACGACCAGACATGCATGGTATTTCTACATTGGCGAGAGCAAGAAGTACAACTAAAATCATCTTCAAAAATCATAGCTATTCATTTTCGTCAAATGTCGTAGATTTCAACGCCGGCCACGGGCGCAAAAGATCACAATAAAGATCCCTTCAGCCCCTCACGATTCTCCCACACTCTATACCCCAAAATAGCCAGGCAACAGTCACCAGTAACAAACCTCCGACTCTCCAGCCCACCTCTCTTGCCACGCTATCCCAGTCCCACCTCCTTCCCCACAAAAACTGCTCCCACCAGCTCAGGTGAGCTGGGGGCGGACCCATTGGCATGGTGACAGAGGGCGCACGATGATGCTGTTTAGACCCCCGACGTGAATATGGATGTATGTAGGAGCTGGGCGAGTCATTCGGGTGAATGCCCAAACCCAATGCGGTGGTGGAAGCGAGCGGCGACAGGTCGGAGGGAACGACGTTGGACGTGACCCACATCTGCACCGTCCGGGACCATCCGGTAGTCACGCCGATGACGACCCAAGCCAAAAGCGGCCTAGAGTTTCTCGCTCCAAGGACCCATAGAGTGAGGTAGGTCATCGGCCAACACAGACATTGAAGGGAGGTCAGGCGGGTAATCGTCGATGGGAGAGAGTAGTACGATAACCATCGGTGGGTCAGACCGGTGGTTAGGCAAAAACAAAAGTAGCCTGTGCAATATGCCTAAAGAGATGTTAGATCCGCACTCCATTAATTGATCAGAAACATACCCATGCAATACAAAGCAATATGTCTCCTCTGTTTACATCAATCCATTTCCCAATCATCAAGTCGCCCCCATTGACCAGCCTCTCCAACGCCTCCTTACTCAGGTCGATCCCATAAGGCCAGACATCCACATAAAGCCCACCTGTCACAAACGCCTGCAGTAGCACACCTATACTCCACGCGGCAGGAAATACGGCAAGCAGACGTAGATAGAACAGGGAAGAGCGTTGGAGAAATTGGTCAAAAGACGGGGGCATTGGGGTCGATTGGCTCTTCGGAGTGACATCGGGGGCGTCGTGAGCGCCGGATGAGCCCAAGGCCGAGTTGAGAGGTGAAAATGACTGGCTGCTGGGTAGAGAAATACTCTCTGTAGACGTGGTTGTAGGAGCCGATGAAGGAGAATCGAATGATAGCCCGAGGACATCACTGCGACTCGATGAACTCCTTCTCAAAAACCTCGCTCCGCCATCCTGCCCCAGTCGCTGCCTCAGCTCGCCCCCCGGCAAGACCCGTCTTTTCGACATAAAAGACAAGCTTCCGTCAGACTCTGAGTCACCATCTCCCTCCTCGCTCGAGATATCTCTATCCGCAGAGGCTACCACAGGGAGAGCCTCTGACTTGAGAGACCTCGGCGAGAGGGACGGCTCTACGAGATTTTTCTTGGAGGTGATGGGCGACATGGTGGGAATTGCCAGGGGAGTCGAACGTGGGGATGGACTCTTCCGCATAGAAGTCAAAGACGCGTGCGAGCGGGAGTGGGGCGACCTGGAGGGAGCTGCCGGAAGCCATGGCTCGACTATCTGGCTTGATGAGACAATGATAGGTTTGGGTGCGTCGGGCACAGATTTTGTCCGTCCCAAGCTTGGTCTTCCTTTACCCTTGTCCATGTCCTGTTTTGGTTGATCTTGTAATGTTTGTTGCCGTTGTCCCCTGTCGACTTCGCCCACCCAGCCTTCGACCTCTTTCCTTCCCATTCTTTCTCTGCCTTCTCTCTCCCGCCCGCGAAGGGCTGTCAGATCAGGCTGGCTCATTGAGCCTTTGCTGATCGCTATCCCTTCTTTTCCCCCTTCTCTTTCCAGTTGTCCGATAGAAACGCTCATAACCCTCTCTGTCCGGGCCAAACCAGACGACGAGGGCGCTGCAAAAGGAGCAGCCGGTCCACCTCCAGGCCGCACCGTGGCGTCTGAATCAAACCCCTCTTCCGACATGTACCCTTCTTTTCCCCCTATACTAGCATGTCTGGAATGCAGTCTCGTCCTTATACGGGGCTTGAGTTGTGGCTGCCGCGGTGGACCATTGTATGGCAGATGTGTCTGCGGCAATGGTTGCGAATATGCGGAATAAGGGTGTTGCGGAATGTGTTGTTGGAGGGGCGCTCGTCCATGGAGCTGTGGGTCAGGATGCTCTCGCGCACTTGTGTAAGGGCCGGGGATGTTTGGAGGAGGAAAGCCGTGAAAATCGCCTTCGTATGGTCGTTGGGATTTTATTGAGCCTACCGGCTGGAACGGCAACGTTCTTGACCTGATCGGCCCGCCACCAGCGGCCCTGGCGTCTATTGCGACCGCCTGTCCACTGGGTGCCCACGGGGATGACGGGGGGGCTGCGCTGGAGGAGGCTGGGTTCGGCGGCGGCATGGGACATTTGTAGGGGCGAATAGAAACAAGGGGAAAGCAAGAGATTATGACCTCCGCGGCTCCCTCGGCCCCCGGAGATGCCTCCACCTCCAGTCTCACGGCCTCCTACGTACGTATCATTCCTACGTAACTGCATTCTACCCGTGTATAGACAGTCCATTCGCCTCGAGCCAGTACGTGTACAACCTATCCCAGTCTCATACTGCCTCCCCAGCCTCTGCACACGTCAGTCCCTGTCTCTCCTCTCGCTCGCTTTCCTCCTGTCTATCCTGCTCTTCCTGCGCCCGTTTCACAGCCTGTTTTGCAAAGTACGTGAGGTAGAAGAAGAGCGTAACGCAGAGCACAATCCCCACCCACGTCGTCCACGTCTTGGCGGCAGCAGTCTCGCCGTCCTGCGCCGGTAGGGCATCTTCACCCGAGCTTTCAGAGCCGTGGTGAGGCCACTGACCTTCAGGACCCTCGCCGTCTTCCTGCCCCTCACCACCTTCTGCTTGGCTGTGCCCGTAGCTCTTGGAAAGATCGTGGATACCGCTTCCGATCCAGGTATGGAGGACAAGCTTGAAGAGCGCCAGCGCTGTACAGCCCGTGTATGTCTGCAGAGTTAGAGTGGGAGAGGAGGCGAGGATGACGTTGAGCAGGTTGTAAGGGTACGGTGCGATACGAATCAAGAGGAGCAAGTGGGGGTGCGTCGGGAGCACATGGAGGAGGGACATGGATATGGATGATCCCGCCAAGCTTGAAAGCGTCAGCACATTGCCAGCATGCACAACGAGTACGCGCACCTTTTGACGATGGTATCTTTCAGAGTCTTTCGAGATACTAGAAAGACACAAACTGCTCCAGAGAGACTGGCCACATAGCTGACGCAGAATCCTTTCCAGACTCCGAACGTATAGCCGCTCAACACTATCAATGTCGAGTACAACGGCAAGGGTGGTATTGTCGTAGTGAATATCATGATGTAAAATGTGAGTGGGCCAAATATTCCTCGATTGGCAAGATAGTGAGAGAGGTCGTCGAGAGCTGACACCTGTCAGCTACCGGCCACATGTCTCTCATGCGCCAACTCACCTCTAAATAGCTGGCCCCTCCAGAATGCTATAGCCAGAAAGAATCCGATGGTAGTAGCCACCCATCCCCACATCATTGCTTTACCCAGCCCTCCCCCGCCATCTTGCCCGTCCGCGTCGCCTCGGCCATGGCTGCTAGAGCACAAGCTCGCCCTCCAACCTTCCACAAAGTCAACCACAGACGGTGGGAGCTTTTCGAGTATCGCGGAGAGGGCCCCCGTCGTTTGCGAGCCATCTGTGGGAAGTTGCGAGGAGGGTATGAATTGTTGATGCGGATAAGGATATGCCCCAAGCTCATTTCGGTCCGGGGGGTAATAGACCACGGAGCTCTCTTTGCTTCCATATCTCTCTTCTTGCTCCGCTCTGTTTTCCGGCGTATGAAGGGCTGTATGACTCGCCGACGTACCCCCCAAGGACGAGTGATAGCTCGTACTAGCATGAATGAAAGCCGGCCGATGGCTCATACTCGTCCTCGGTGTCGGCCCGCCCCCGACGCTGCGTCCTGCGACAGGCGACGGCGTGTTCTCCCTTGATATAGACAGGGACGGCCGAGCACTGGTCGACGAGGAGGAGGGGTGGAAAGACATGACGGGGCCGGTGTTGGTGCCCGTTGTTGTAGCGGACAGGGAGCGGGGCGTGGGTGGTCTTGGCGTGGTGAGGCGGCCTGGGGGGTGCATGGCGGGGGCCATGCTGCGTGGTGCAGGGGGGAAGATGGGAACGGGTAATGGATGGAAGATGAGAAGACGGTGGTGAATGTGGTGGACAGAGGCCGAGAACGCGCCCGGCAGCTGCGCAGCGAGATCAAGATGGCATGTGAGCGGAAGGTCTATGGCCCAGTGTCTCCCTGCCTCTCTATCTCTGCTGTCTCCTTCAGAGCCCACCCGTGCACCCACCCAACACCCCCCCTGTCTACCCGCGACTGCCAGCATAGCTACGCAAAACATAGTGTGCGAGGGCGCAATAACGGATGCCCGAGGAGTTTCGCAGCCCGTGTATGCATGTTTCCCCTTCCCCCTTGCATAATGTTTTGCGCGATACGATACAGGCTCACTATGGGATGCAATATTTGCAACGAGGAGGAGAGTCAGAAGTCAAGCTTTGCCCGAGATGCTGCGTCAACCATCATACCATAACGGTTGGGCTTTTGACAACACGTTCGAACCCTATCGGATCTTATACGCCATGCCCCGGCTCACACTCTCTCATACACATACAAGTAGGCCAGACCTCTCAACTCCTGCCCACCGTCTGGCCCAGCTTTAACCACCTTTTCATCGTTGAACAACACCCACTCGTCCTCCGCCTCCGCATGACCCTCAATCCCGGCTTGTGGCTGTCTGATGGTGGCAACGTAATGGCCCGAGTGGATGGAAGGACCCTTGTGGGAGATGAAGGCTTTGAGGCGGTACCTGGCTGGGAGAGTGGCAGAACCCGGGACGTGTTCCTCTTTCGTAGACTCTTCCACAGCGACAGCGGCAGAGGCTTCCTCTCCGGGATCATCAGGGTTGGAGAACAGCCATTCGATAGCCCGTTCAGGGTTTCCGCCCTATGCGAGATCAGCAAAGGTCGTAAATCCTGGCAAATCACTTACAGATTCCCGAAGCGCCTTACGAGATTGGTTATGGTTGAAGCCCATGTCCACAATCATCGCAATTTGCTCATCAGATGGCCCTATCTGACTAACGCTGAGTGACGAAGAGACCTCGATGGGAGCGTCAATATCTACAGTTTGTCAGTACCGACATGAGCTTCATCTCACAAAAGTGACGCACCAGGATCCTCCATATGTTCAAATAGCCATCCCATGGCCACCTCCGCATCATTATTACCGGTCGCCAGCAACGCCTTTTGACACCTGACAGTAGGGAAGCCCATGGCCTCGAGCTGCGCCATAGCCGTTGCATTAAATTCTGGCACACCCCCATTGCCCCCCGATGAAGGAGCAGAGATATCCAGCGCTTCTTCACCCGCTTGGAGGCCCTGGGAAAGTAGATCGTCAAGGGTGAGGTCGGAAGGGACGTTGACAGGGATCTCGAGTTTGGTAGGGAGCCAGTTGACGAGCTGGAACTTTCTCATGTGAAGAACCAGAAGGTCGGGGAAGGTTTTGAATTTGGAAGACCTCGATAGTGGGTCAGTCTTGCCCCATGTAGGAGAAAGACTACTCACTTGTAGGCGGTAGTTTTCTCCTTACAGTTTGAGCACTCATACCCCGAAACTTCCTCCACCGCGCATAGCCCTTCCAAGCATTTGGTAAGCTCCACTCTCTTGAACAACTTCTTCCCGCCTTCACCCACCCCTTCCTCTACAGCCTCCACAGGCAAACTCGCCAAGTCCGCCGGCTCAGTCTGCAATCCAACTCTCTTGCACTTTCCGCACTCCAGCCTCTGTTCCATTGCAAACGACAAGGTCCTCGTGGGGTCGATACCTTGGAGGCCTTGGCGTTTGCTCTCTTCCCGCAGCTTGGTGATGAGATACTGCAAAAACTCTTCACTGTCCTGTTGGCGCATGGTGGAAAATTCTTCATGGCCCTTCCCCACAAGTGCCTTGAATTGTGCAGGACGGACGCCTTCTTGGAACTTGGGCGCTTCCTGATTGACATCTTCGAAACCAGTCGAGGGAGGAGGAGCACTGGCAACATGCGAGTATCGACCAGACAGCAGACCATCGCCCAATTTGAGCATCTGGCACTCGAGGCATGTCGCAGGGAGTGGATTGGGACACTCCTCAAAGTGCTTGAACCGCTCCTGCTTTGCAAACCTCTCTCTGAAATCAGGCAAAGAAAAGAGCGTTTGCAACACCGACGCCATATAGCAACTGTTACCCAGATTCTTGAGCCCAGTCAGGCCTTGTCCAAAGACGGGCTCGAGCGCATGCCCATCGGCGTCAGTCATCGAGAAATCAAACTTGAGATTGTGCTCGAGCTGCAGCTCGGTCATCGACTTTTCAGTCTTGGACTGGGAGAGGATGGGGATACCGAATGTGGCCAGATGGGTCGAGAGGAGAGGATCGGTCTTGGCGTCATCGCAAGCGTAGCAGTAGATGTCTGTATGTCGTTATTAACTCTGGACTCAAGAACAGCTGGTCGACCTACCGGCATTGCCTTCCGGCGTAATGGTACCAAGCTTGACACCCAGCATATGTCCAGTCTCGTCAAAATGCTTGAGAGCATGGCCATTGCCTCCCACGCCGCCAAACTGTTGTCGGCCACAGTTTGCCAAACCGCAAGTGAGACAGAGCCAGAGATTGGCGCCGAGGTCGCAGGAAGTGCAGTGCTTGGGTACTGGAGTGGATTTAGCTCGATACTCGAACAGAACACGAGCGCATACCTTCTCCGGGAGCAACGAGAGACTCTTGTTGAAGCAACAGCGTGTGTTCACAAGCGACAATCTCCTCCTCCCATGCCTTTACCTCGCTCTGCTGGGCCGAAGAGAGTGCTTTCAAGACACCGCGGACAAGGTCCTCCGCCTTGGAGTTTTCGGTCTCGATGGCTTGTCCGCCAGACGAGGGAGAACAGGCAAAGCAGTAGAGTGACGTTGAGTAAGAAAACAATTCCTCATCAGAAGGAGCTGAGATGGCGAGCTTTTTCAATGGCGGCTCGTTCGAGTCCTACCTCCGATTAGCCTTCATCTCTCATCAGCTTGTGAGGGAGCAACATACCCGTTTCTTCAACTCCTTTCTCGTCCGCTTGACAACGACACCAAGCTCATGCCCGGTCTTCTTGTAGTGAAGCTGTGCGTGCGCTCGGCCTGGGGCAAGACAACCGCCATTGAAGCAGGTGAGGCAGACAAGAACGCCTTCCGAGCTGTCCTGAGTAGCCAAGCGTCAGTCACCATACTATACGGCAAGAATGGAATCGAAACATACTTGACCGTCAAAGCACAGAGTACACTCCTCTCTTCGACTCTGTCAGCGGAACTCGTGAGCAGTGGGCTTCCCTACACACCTGTGGACTTGCTGAGAGGGGTAAGGGGGCTTCAGGTTTGCTATAGCCGTATCGAGGTGGGAACAGGGCATGGTGGTATATGTGGTAGTTGAAAGAGAGAGAAGGCTGGATGATGTAATGGCTGATAAGAAACAATTGGTTCCGCTAGTCCTACAGAAGGTCCCGCTAATGGACCAAGACTATATGAGTTATGAGGCTGTCCGTCGGCCTGCTTGCTCGGCCTTGGGTTGCCGAGATCACTCATCTTGACTTTTTCTGCCTCCATACTGCCGCCAACATGTCCACCCCTGTAGAAATCCCAGTCGATCTTGTGGGTCAATCCAGCCTATACAATGTCCCCGACCCCATCCTCAGACGGTATGTCCACTGAGCTCTTCATCGCCGTGATTGACTCATCAAGCTGATCTTGTATGACAGTCTGAGATTAGAGGACCAGCACGGCCAAACAATCAAGGACCTTGACAAGTATTTTGCTGAGAAGGAAGTCCTTGTGTTCTACGCTGGGGCAGTGTATGGAGAAAGTTGGTTTCTTGCCTCATCCTTGCGACGCGTGCTAATCGTGCGACAGTCAATTTGAGGCCCTTCCACAGAGTATGGATGCACCCAGTCCCAGAAGCGGTATGCTGACCTGGCGGTAGGACCTGACCACATTCGCTCAGCAGTACAAGTCGGCTGCCGTGATCTATGTGTCTGCCGACACGGACCCCCTCGCTCCCGCAAGCGTTCTGCAAGGCAAACCATGGTTGCGCATGATCTTCAACGACGACTCGGATTTTGCTGTTGTCGGCAAAGAGAAGGATGGTGGACCACCAAGTATACAAGAGGTAGCCCGAGGGGAAAACTTTATCCAGGCTGGGGAGATCGAGTTGGGAATGGAAAAGGTCGAGTTGGGCGTGGAAGAGTATCAGAATGAGTATGTGAGGCCGCTCTCGAGAGCCGGGCTCACAAGCATTATGGATGTATTTGCTACACCCAGTGTCGCTGTGTAGTAGGTTCCGTTTTCCAGAGGAGTGATCATTGACCTTTAGCTGATTAATGTCAGTCACCTGGAATCACATCAATTTGTGGCCAAGAATGTCAAGCCGGCAGCATTTAAGCCTACTACGATCGACAAGACCTACGATACGTGGCGCAAGGGCGGAGAGCCTTCGTTGCGAGTGATTGGTGCGCCGCAAAATCATGCTCAAGTCGAGTACTCACTGACAAGGTGTAGATGTGGTGAGGACCCTCAAGCTTCCTCTTATTGGACTGCTCTTGGCTGTCATCTACCGCCTGCTAATCCTCTTTGGTGGTGGTGAGCTTTTCCTTTTCAGATTCAATCGCGCTAATCATGCAGATGAATACCATGTCATCCCGAGATGGCTTGATGGCATATCTTGGAACCAAGGTGGACGAGATCTCAGCTCTGACGCTCTTCACTAGCTGCCATAGATTTCATGTATCATAGACCTACGTCACATCTATTGGCCACTCAATCAAGCATAACGGTGCATATTCGTTGAAAGGGACTTCGTACAGTAGCGAGACGCATAAGGTCGTCGATGGTGACGGATAGGGCATTTACTACGCATAGTCAGCATCATGCACGACTTGCACGCATGATTACTCACCAAGCTCTCCATCTGAGCAACGACCTCGTCGAGCTCGCGCTTGGACTGCTGGTACTTTTCGACCGCCTCTCCATGCTTCCTCTCCCAGTCGTCCCTCTCTTGCTCGAGGCGCTGCACCTGGCGCTCAAAGTGCTCGGCCTTCACGTCAACCTGTCTCAACCTGCTCACTGTCAGCATTTCCGTCTCATGTCGGGGGTGCAAAAAGCATACTTCTCAGTTGTCTCCTTCAAGTCCTTCTCAGCCTTGTCCAACTCCTCTTCCAGAAGTTGCACCTTTCTCGCCAGGTTCTCCCCGGTAGTCCTATGCGTCTCGCCCTCTTCACTGGCCGACTTGAGCTCTTTGACCTTGTTCTCATAGTTTTCGACTTCCTCTTCAGCCAGCTGGAGCTTGTGCTGGGTGGAGGCCAGTTCTTGGTCGCGCTCGAGAAGAGATTGGCTCAGCTAAGGGGCTCACGGTTAGTGGAGCTATGACGCGGCAGGGGGATGCTCTTCGCGGAAAACACAAACCTTCTTGTTCTCAGTCTCGGCAGCCTCAGCGCGAGCCTCGGCGGCCTCGATCTTCTGGCCGAGAATGGTGAAACGCTGTACGGGCACCGGTCAGTGTGTGGTCTGTTGTGGTAAGTGACGCCACCGACCTCCTTGATCTTGTCCTGTGGGGTACTCTGGTCAGCACTGGGTGTATGGCATGGGGCGGCGGGGGACTTGCCATGATGTAGGGAATGCAGCAGGGGGGGATGAGATTGAGATGGAAGATAGAGATATAGAGAGACTGACTGGAGGCCCCGGCGCGTCCATCCTCGACGCGTGAATATTCCCCCCCCCCATTTCTTTTCATTTCTCCCGCCAGCACTCCCCGCCAAATTTACATCCTCTTCTTCTTCTTTTCTCCATGGTATGCTTCGTCGTCGACGGATCCATCCCCCCAGGAGTACCCTCGCCGGTCACTCTCGAGGTGCTGATGGTGGACGATGCGAATGACGGAGCTAGATCGATCACAGCAGCCTGCAGGACCGCTGCTCCAGTCAATGGGGCTGCAGTTGTAAGGACTTGAAATGCTCACATTCTTCATAGCCATGCCTTTCCAATGCTCGCATGAATTCCGTCTTCATGCTGTTCTTATCCGTCTACAAGTTGATTCGCTCTCGACCTATCCGCTCTGCATGCCTCTTTATCTACTTTCCGATTCGTTCACGTCGGCAAAGTTAAACTAGGTGGCTAGATCAATCCCTCCAGCTCTTTTTTCGAGACTTGCAGCTGGGCGGGCTACAGAGCGTGTCTCTCCCTCACAGAGGTGTAAATGAGAGATGGGTTTTGAAGGCCTGCGACAGATAGTATCGTAGATCAGAATGTACTGCTGTTGCTTGCAAGCCTCCCTCTTCACACATCAAATCTTCAGCGTGGAGCATATAGTAGCTGCCACCAACGAGAGAGTGAGTGACAATGGCTAAAGGAAATGTCTCTACAATGGGGTTCAGGGAGAAGATCACGCCCATAGTTGATTGAGTGAGCAAGCGGGACGGTTGGGCCAGACTCCCAGTTACCATGACTGCGTAGGACCGTTACCGTACTACAGCAGCTAGAAGTACATACGAGTCCCAGCTTGAATGCACAAAATATAGTCTCACAGACCAGCCACTCAGTCACTCCCGCAGGACGCGGCCCCTCGTAAAGTTGCGACGCGTTTCATTTCGCTCACACCACTCGACCACTCACTGCCCCATGAGGTTTCTCGCCGTCCTCTGCCTCTTTGCGGCCCTCACTGTTGGCACCCTTGCGTGCGTACTCTCGTCCCTGCGTCTCCAGCCAGCTCATCCTGCATAGCTGGACCAAAGAAGACTATGAGATCTTTGACCTTGTCAGCGCCCTCGAGACCGCCGAAGGTTCGCACTTTCTCCATTCCCCTTGCTTGATCTCACTCAATACCTCCCAGGCAAAGGAGTAAACTTTTACTCTCATCTCTCCATCTCCCCGTCCGCCACCACTCAGCAAATTACCAAAGCGTACCGCAAAAAATCACTCGAACTCCATCCCGACAAGAACCCCGGCGTCAAAGACATTGAAGAACGTTTCGCCAGGCTTGGTCTGATAGCAGGTATCCTCCGAGGCAAAGAGTCGAGAGAACGATACAACGTCAGTCAGGATGGCGCTCTAGCTGTAAAGGAATAGCTGACTTGCCACAGTTCTTCTACAAGAACGGAGTTCCGCGCTGGAGGGGCACGGGCTACTACTATGCTCGTTACCGCCCCACTCTCTCTCACACCCTCGTGTTCCTCGTCCTCCTCTCCAACCTGTTTCATCGACTTGTCCTCCAGCTCAACTTCCAAAAACATCGGGCCCGTATCTCTTACTTTGAGACTGCCGCCAAGAGTGCTGCTGGCGTCTTGTCTGGGAGTGGGAAGGGAGGTGTCGATGCCGGCGCTATTCAGGGGAGAAGGAGAAAAGTAAAGGTGCCCATGGTAGAAGGCAACGACTACTCGGGAACCCTCGAGTTGATTGTTAGCGGAGACCAAGTCTATCTTGTAGGTCATCTTCTCTGCCCCCATTCCTCTAAGGGCCTCGCTGACCTTCTTGGCAGCCCCAAGACGACGGCCACCTGACCCCTATCTCAACCCTTGCCCCCCCTCCCTCTTTCTCTCAGACCTGGCTCCCCTCTCTCGCCCTGTCTCTCGCCCGCCGTGCCGTGTCTCGCCTTCCTCCTTCCACCCAAGAGTCGCTTCCGGCGTTCTTGAGGGACGAAGAAAGCGCCGAGGCAGACGAGCTGGAGCTGGATGACGAAGAAGATGAAGATGCAGAATCCGAGGTCGGGAGAGGGACGCCGACACCCATGGGCCGTGCCTCTAGGCGGGCGCTCCAGAGGGGTAAGGGCCGCAATGGAAAGGGCTCCAAGAACAACACTCCCAAAGATTCCCCCGCGGGCACGGAGGCTGAGAGCGATATTGCTCTTGACAACGAAGCCCCCAAGAAAAAGAAGAAGCCTGGACTCGGCAAGGCTGCTGCCATGCGACAGAGGAAATTGGCCGCTAAAAATTAGACGACTGACAATCAGCACGTCGAAACATGATCATGTCATATAAGGTATGCATTTGCATGGAAACCGTCTAGCAGTCCTGCTCTGTACCAGTTTTACACAAAAAGTCTGAAGAAATTGTCCAATGCGCGTATCAAAACGAATATCTAGGTTACAAGCAGCATAACTATAGCTGTCACATACCCAACAGCTCCCTCAACTCCCTCTCCTCTTTCCTCCTCTCCATGGTCGCCTTCATCTCCTCCTTCCTTCTCTTCATGTCTTGCTCCTTTTCTCTCAAATCTCCTCTACTCTTGACAGCGCTCAGCCCGTTCGACCTTGCCCTGTTTCGAGCAGCGACAGCGGAGATGCTCGCCGTCGATCCCTTCTTCATGAGAGTGGTTTTAGGCCCAGTGCTTGATTTTCCGTTCAAGCTGCCCTTGGTATTGGAGGGCGAAGGCTTGGACATGAAGTTGGATTCGAACGCATTCTCGCGAGAGGAAGCGTTGCCGAATGGCTGGATGGTATTGATAGAGATGTTAGGACTGATCACCTCTATATCCCTATTCTCTCTCTTGTTCTCCTTGGCCTGGGTAGGCTGGATGGCAGGCTGAACCATCGCAGAAGGGGTGGAAGGCAAAGTAGGTAGGGGTCTGTCGGCACGAGGCTTGACTGTCGCCTGCATCCTCGCGAGAGAAGCTGCAGTGGGCTGAAAGAGGGTGGAGTGGCGATTAGGGTTAGAGGCTGCCTGAGGTCGGGGAGCTGCTGGAGTCATCAAGCTTCGAGTAGACGAAGAAGAAGTGACTCTCGGATGTTCCTCTGCCGTTTGTGTGGAAGATGACGGCAGCTTTGGCTTGGTCTCGGGCGCCAAGACAGAAGAAGACGAGGCTCGATTCAAGGAAGCTGAAGTAGCAGAAGACGCCTTGCTATTCTGCTGGAGATCGTGGACGGGCGCGGGTGGGAGAGGAGCAGGCCGGGCGTTGCGGAGTAGGTCCATCTGGCTCTGCCTCTTGTATGCCCTCGCAGCGGATGTAGAAGACGTGTTCGTCACAGACGATGTGGTCGATTTGACCACAGATGAGGGTTTTGGCAAGCCCAAAGTGTTGATAGCATCCAAAGAGGCCTGTTTGTCTTGCTTCGAGCTGGGGAGAGGCGGCACAAAGTCAGGTATTCGAGATCGCTTTGGTGTTCTACCACTCGCTTGAGACATCATGGTCTGGGCCGAAGTGGACCTTCCTCTGTCCTTCTGTGACTGACCATTATCGGTGCTATGCTGCACCAAGCGCTTGTGGGTACTAGAGGACAGCGGGGTGTTGGACGCCCCAGTCTCGGGACCCGACGGCAGTGTCCTTGGCAAAGCTCGAGGATGGGAGATGCTGGGCAGGGAAGACGATGCAGAGAGTGAGTCGGGGCCCAGAGTGCTTTTTTTCTTCAGAAACGGGAATTTCATCGAATTACCCCGTCCGAGCATGCTTGCGCGCTTCTCTTTGCGGTCCTTTTGCTTCCGGAGCGTGTGCTGGGATAGCCCTTTCTCTTCCCCGAGCATGTTGGCGAGACTCTTTTTGGCGCCTCGCAGACTACCCAGAGGATGTGTAGAGAGACGGGTTCGCTTGGATTGCCTGGCATCGACGTCCTCCTCGGCAGAGTGAAGAGGCAAGCCATTGGGAGCAGACGGTAAGTCGAGCGTGGAAGTAGACCCTGCAAGTTTTCGCTTGGCGGCCTTGCTGCCCTCGGCGAGAGGGATCATATACGGCCGGGTGACAGATCCCGAGGAAGCCGTTCGAGAAGGACCTGGTTTGATAGATGATTTTGAAATGGACCTCATTCTAGGCAAGAGCGTTAGTTGAATCAAGTCGAGCGCTTCTGCAGGACTCACTTGGCAAATTCCTTTTGGTGGGCCTCTGCGTATCGGTCCCGTGTCGATCCTCCACTGCTCAGCCCCCACCCCCCCGTACCGACGTCCTTATTCACGTGCACCAGCTTGGCCAGCTCTGCATCTCTTCCTTTCAACAACTCTTCATCGAATTTGAAACTACCTTGGGGCAACTTGGCGTTCATTTCCTTGAGCACAGCCTGTGCGGCTTCCGAGAACTGGTGATTGGAGACCCCAGTACCTTTCCTGTCGCCAAAGAGCATCTGTGCCCTGCCGGGTGTAGGTGGAAGGGGAGGGAATGCCCCAGGGATCGGTGTGGCATCAGACGCCGACTCTGATGATCGTATGAGAGAAGCATATTCGACAGGCACCGTGGGCAATGAGGGATACACATTACCCACACTAGCCGAGTTGGAATGGGGAAGTGCCGGCATTGATTTTCGTTCGAATGCGCCCTGAGATGTGGCGCCCGCTGGTGATCTCAGCGGAGCCATGGATCTTCGTTCCTTGAGGTCTCTAGCCTTTCCGACGAATGGAAGGTCGTCATTGCTGTGATCAGACGTGCTGTCGCTAGTTGCTTGGAAGGGGGTAGGGGAGCAAAGCCTAATAGTGCTGGGCCTTTCCTGCAGAGTGTGACGAGAGTGGCGTCTAGGTACACCGACTGTGGACGCCGGGGAGGGAGGCGTATCCACGATCATCTCCTGTTGCTCCTCTGCGGGCTGAGACTGAACGGTCTCAGGATTCGTTGGGGGCTCATATTCCGGTTCGCCGTGAGCACGATTGGAGGAGGAGGATCCACTTCGGCCAAGTAAGATTAATGACCCTCTTTTCGAGATTGAGGATGCAAACGCTTCCATGGAAGAATTGCGCTTGACGTGTTCCGGCGCCTCACCTGGATGGAATCAGTGGATGCCGCGGAAATAGAGATACTCATCTTACCTCCGAATTCATTGAGAGGCTCTCCATTGTTTGCACTCTTCCAGCTACCCATACTGCCATACTTTTCCTCACCTTCCTCTTCTACGACGTCCTCCATCTTTGAAATGAGACTGGCGTTACCTTCAGAAAGAACATCCCAAGAGTTTGAGAGACGTGAGGCGGTGCTCATGAAGGACTCTTTGTGATTGAGCGGAACCTTCGGCTTGAGCGATATCTGTGGCAGATGATCGGGGGACGGGGCTGGACTTGTTGCCGACGGGGTTGGATGCTCGGCAGGAAGAGGTCGAGCTGGTGTAGGAGCTGGTTCTGGGATATAGAAGTCGAGGTCCCCAGCGTGGTCATCAGCATCTACAGACTCATTAGTACCGTAGCTTGTCCTTTGTTTATAGCCATGAGTACTCACAAACTTGCAAGCGCTCAATCATCTCCACATTCTACTATTTTGTCAGCGAATCGCCACCCAGCCACATATTCCAGACGCACCTTGCCACTGGCCCTCAGTCCATACTTTTTGGACAGGGATACGAGCTGATGTCTCTTGAGAGCATTGAGTGCTGCTGAGCTATGCAGCGCCGGTGTCAGCAGAGGCCGCTGCTACGTACACCCGAGACCACTCACTTGCGGAGAATGTCGTCGCTCATGGCAGTTGTGATGGGGCTGCTGGAGTGGGTGATGGGAAGATGGAAAGAATATACAGCTTTGTGTTGTGACGAGAGGCTGTTGTCATACGTGGGCTGTTGAGCGAAAGGAGCCTCGAGATGTGCCATGTTTGGTCGCTGCGAAAAGTCAGGCGCGCGGCCCAGCGGCGCGGCGTAGATCCATTCCTTCAACCCTTACGTAAGTACTCTTCGCCGCGGCGATCCGACGACCGGCGAAAGTAGCGAGCAACGACGAAAAGCTCACAGATCTTTTGTCTGCCAACGACCGCCTGTGCGCTCAAACCAAGCTATCGCAGAGATGCCTCCTCTCAGCGTCAAAGACCTGACAATGCCGTGAGTACTTCTCGCTGCGGATGTCACTCGCAATAGCTAACCAATAACAGCGCTGCAGCCTTCACCATGGCTATCGTTCTCAGTACGTTGCCGGTAGGGGGCGACAGCGATATATACACATACCTTTACTGATACCCTGAATCTCAGCTGGCCATGTGTACTCTTCTATCGGCCAAGCGCGTCAAGAGGCAGATATGAAAAGGGCCAGGATTGTTCAAGAGGAACAAGAAAAAAAGACAGCAGCCCGACTACGGGCTATCAATCGTGGCGCACCGGTGTCTTCGCAAGCTGGACCAGAAGAAGAGTAAAACCGCCCCTGCTTTATCGTGGGCAGACTTATATGCCTGAATGAGTAAAGAGCATTCCTCGTTAGGGTTTCGACACTGATAAGCTATACAAGTAGATACTTCGTTTTGTTACCAACAACATGATGCCCCATTATCCGTCCGCTGAAATGCTTGCTTCGATGGTCTCTGCATAGCTAGACTACAAGAGATGCGAAGACCGGGGTAACTATCATTACACATGGGCGGTACGCGTAGGTACAGCTCGACCTACTAACGGCCGAACCAGGGATTTATGATACAAATTGTAATTGACTATGTAAATGTGCGTGTATGCTATATGCTGGAGAGTGAGATGAAGATCAGTCTGAAGATGTGCTAGCTATACTCTCAAGACCAACGTGGTAGACCAAATCGGACGACGTTTTGGTTGTTGAAATGCCGCGTGAGTGGTGTCAAAGCTGGATAATCATGAGTTACAGTTTTCAGGTGGAGCTTCTGCGCACGTACGGGGGGCAATATAGTCTTTGTTGTGGACAATTTCGAACGTCGGGGTGACGCAGACATTGATTGCAGGTCCGCTATGAGCAACGATGTTATCAGCCGCTATCCACAATCTGAAAGGCGTCAAGAACGAACCCAGTGATCCTCATCAGCATCGCTTTCAGTCTGAACCTTCCAACGAATCTCACACTGACGTCTGGAAAGACGAAATACACCCCTGCGCCTCCAGTCATGTCGTCCATCTCAGCTGGAGCCGCTACCAATGTACCGTAAAGCATTTGGACTGCTTGACCAGTGGGACCAAGAACCATGGACGCGTCTCGTCCATCGGGCGTTTCAAGTGCGAGGTGACATACCAGAAAGGGGAGCTCGTCATATCTATCAACAACGTTAATAAGCCGTCCAATCAGAATCAAACCCACGGTATCATCAGCTCGCCCGTTGAATCCCAACAGTCCATCTGTAGAATCAACAGCGGCGCCAGTGGCAGTCTTGAAAGATGCTGCCCTTCAAAAGCGGCGGAGCGGATGGGGGTCTGTATGGGCGTGATGCGATACCGCCTATGAACTCTGGTCAGCACGAATGCAGCGCTCACTTTCACAGCAGTCTGTCATGACACGTGCTGAGGATGACACCTGGCTTTGACCAGGATTACATGTACCGACCCGCCGAAAGGAGTATATTATAACTCACCTGTTAAGATTCCGGAAATCTCTCCTCCCAATATTCATTTTGAAGGTAGTATAGGGGTAGGGACGATGTGTGGCGATGAACGAGGGCGGACGGCGATGTGGATACAGAACAAATCGAGTGGCAAAAGTGCAATCCGGGCATTCACGGCAAGCTATAGCACTGGATCGTTGCTGAGAAACGCTGAGGACTGTGGAAGGGGCGACAAGAGGTTTTAGAGAGCTGGGGAGTCGGACCAAGGTAAGGGCGGAGATGGAGCCGTTCATGAAAAAGGAGGCGTTGGATCAAAAAGCACGCGTGAAGCACGAGGCAAAGGAGTATCCATGAAGGGAGGTTGGCGATGGAAGAAAAAGAAAAAGGATGTCGGACGTAGCACCATCAACCCGATGTATTCGGTTACCCGAGAGAAGAGACCGACGCAACAGAAGGTGGACACGAATGAGCGGTAGATGGTAGTAACGTCGGTGGTGGCAGAGGCGCGGGGGAAGCATCAGGCGGGAGCGCCATGTCGGACAAGAAGGGAGGGCGGGGGTGGCAGTCGGCGTGATAGGACAACCAAGCAGGGCGATGCGCGTTTAGAAGACAACGCGTTGCATCGATCGGTGACATCGGCGGAAGCACAGCGGGGGTTCGAAAGGGAAAGAGAGAGCAATGATGAGCGCAGGCGTGCCTTTATGGGCGTGATGTGTTGCGTACCTTGCTAGTGATGGCTTCTCGGACTGCCTGTTGTCACCTTGTCACTGTCACTCTTCTATTGTTCCCGGCTCTGAACTCTCAATAATACCGTTCAGACTTCAATTAGATCAGCCTTCAGCGTGCCCCTCGGCCTGCCTTGACTACTGAAACCCTTGATTGGACTGTGCCCTATGTTTTCCTCGCAACGAGGCTATGCAGGCCCTGCTATGGCGGCTCGAAACGCGGAAGACCGTGAAGGCTGGGGGGGGGGGGGGAGAGCAAGATTGAGAGCCAGTAGTATATGGAAGGCGATCGGCTACACAACCATATAGCGGTCAGCGGATGCTATGTGTGGACGTGACAGGTAGCCAAAGATGAATCTACAGTGGCTGATCATGGCATGACGTTGCACTCACAAGATCAAAGTCTTTCGAACGATGCGGTAGAAAAGGCGGCTGTAGATTCAGCGAGGCACAACGCAGTAGGGTGGCTATGATGTGCTGGAGAGGAGTCAGGAATGTTTGCTGGAGGAAGCCATGATACGCACCGAATGGAAGATATGGAGCACTGGCGGCTGGCGGATGATGATCCTATAATTAACGGGAAGGAAAGTCTGTTCGCGGAGAAGACCTGAAAAAAACCGGAGACCTCGAGGGATGACGGAAACCGGAAGAGCGATAGTTCCGATTGTAGTCAAAAAAGGCGGGAGGGTCGAGAGGCAGGCAGTGCAGCCGCTTCTTGAGTTGATGATCAAGTATGGCCGTCAAAGAGGGGAAATGCCCATGTAGCTTTGCTGTACAGCTTTTAAAGACCTCTTTTTTATTATTCCGAGCAGGTGGTCACCAAGGACTCATTAAATCATCCATGCATCCTTCAGGCGTCGGGCCCTTCTTTAATCAAAAGTCTTCGGGGCAGGAGACAGCGTGTCTTACGGCGCCGCAGGGCGCCGCGAGATTGGAAGGCGTTCGGAGAGTTTTAATCGCGGTAATAGACCAAAAGAAGGGTGAAGAAGCAGCCGGAAGCTAGGGAAGATCAGCCAGAGGCCCCAGATCCCAGGCCCCAGTGGACAGAGGCCTCAGAGGATCCAGAGGATCAGCACCTCTGGCCGCCTACACCGGCGCAAGCAGCAGCCATGCAGCGCCGGGCTGTACTGCAGACTGCGTATGTCTTATGGAGTAGATACAGATAGATCTCGCCGACACAGGGTCTGTCTGGTTTCTGGCGTCGTTCACCCCCATCTGCTGTTCTCCGTTTACCGCCTTCCGCCCTCCTCTCTCAGTTGGTCCTCCCCTTTCCCCTTGTCAGCCGCTCGGTCCTCACTTGAGTCCAGAGTACGAGTAGTGTATGTAGCAGCAGTCTTACGTTTCCGGGGTCCGGGGAATGGTTTCCGGCTATTTCGTCACTGCCCTTGATTCTCATTACTCTCTCAAAGCCTATATACTTGAGACTCCGATACCATTTTCTTGGTTCGTGGATCGGCCAAAATCGGCCTCGAACAATAAAAGCACCAATGGATTATCGCATAGCGCACATAGATCGCATACAATCCCCAACGTCTATATCATGTATCTTTCTGCAATCGCCGTGACCCGCCGAAGTGACGGAACGGAGAGCCCCCAGAGATAGATATTTCCTCTGGATTTTCTGGGCTTTGAGCTCTGGGCCGGCTCTTTGGTATAGAAACGCAGATACGCTAAAAAAATCCGCCCGGTATTCTAACCCCGACGTAGATCATGATGCGACGAGGCCTGCCATATCCACCGAAGGATAGGTAAGGGCCACGAAATTTTCAAGCTCGCTGCACTCGCCGGATATACTGTAATAGGGTACTTGACTCTCCCGAGTCCCGGCCTGCTTCGCCTGAGTTGCTAATCTCGCTGGTGATTTTACTGCTGTACTTTTGCCCTCGGCCCTCGGCATCTGCAAGCCGCAAGCCCGCAAACAAACCGCAAGGGCCGCAAGCTGCAAGACATCACTTCCCAAAATGACGTCTTGAAATACCTCGCATAAGTCGATCATATCGTTACGATGGTGCGCCATAACCATGCTTCTTGCTTATTCTGTGATACTTCTCAAAGAAGGTTGCGAGATCAAGCAGCTGGCTCGACACAAGCCCTTCCTGCCCCAGGATCAAGCAGAGGGTAGAGGGTAGAGGCCGAGGCTTGATTAAACAGTTTCTCCTTTTTTCCCTGGAAGTTGTAGGCCTTGTCTCACCCTACCCTTACATACCGTCGCCAATTTGCCAATGCAGCCAAGCGCCGCCTCAGAGCTTTTTATTTTTTTCGATAGCGATAGCAAAGATGTTATTCAAAAAATGTGGTAAAGAGTCCGTACATAGAGTAGTATCCGATTGACTCCATAGATTACCCCCGCTGCATTGTATCCGTCTTGGAAACGCGAATAGTCGCTCGTTGCTCTGCCGCTGGGCTACCTGCATGGCCTGGCGCCTGTTCCGTAATCGTAGCTTAAGGAGTAGAAAGGTAAGCAAGGAAAGACAAAGCATGATAGAAGTACATCCGGGAGAACAGGACAGATTGAAGAGATCGGGTGCGGACTCTCATCAAAAGGCCCGAAAGGGATATCAAATGCCGAACAAGCAGGGATTTCAGGGTCGTTTAAACACATGTACCGGAAAAATGCAGGTGAGAGACGTCACCGGTTTTCTTCGGATGCCAACGTTATTCCTGGGCAGCCGCAGCTGCGTTGGATTACCGCGATTCGGATCTATGCTCCATACATACACTTACAGTACGTACTTGTGTACTAATCTGATAGCGGCTGGAGTGCGATCTCTGCGCAGACTCTAGTATCATTCCCGAAGCGATGGTGCATCTTCATGCAGTTTTAGTCTGCTGTCCCGATTTATAACGTACGCCTGTCGGTCGTCGGAAAAGACGAGCGAATTATTGTGTAGCATTTGCACTATTGTGAGAGGGAGATCTATTGCCTTTACTTTTCAGAAAATCGATGACCCGTCATTCTGTGTGCATGTAAAGCGTCCCTTCTGGCAGGTTCTGGCGGCTTCTTGGACCTTTGATTACACCATTCAGGCTATGGTTCTCGGCATCTGCAAAGTGATTGTGTGACAGGAGTTGCGCCACTGTGCTGCGTGATGAATGATCTGTCATGTTGATTCAAAATCGACGGAAAATCAGAAATAAACGTTTGAAGGGAGTGGAGTCACCGAGTAGAGTAGTGTAAAGGCCGTGAAGGAAGGCTAGAAGTGGACTAAAACGAACAAGGTGTGAGACAAGTCAGGTTTGATCGAGGACTCACAACTGGACTGTTTTCGATCATGAAATCGTGGTCTTTGTTGTGCCGGCAGTCGAACTCACAGTCGTCGGGCGGGGTGCACATCAAGGAGTACAGAGTCTTGGCATATACAGATGGATACATAAAGTATGAGGAGGGCATCAAGCCTGTGTCAGATCACATTATTGTTGATCTATGAGTGGAACCTCATCATTGCGTGACGATCCGATGATCTTCGCGTCTGGTTCTTTCTGCAAACCATTCGAATGCTCCGAAATGCGGTGCACGCGGATACCTTGGCTGGTCCCCGCACCCGCGAGTGATATGGTGAGCAGTGCAATCATTGCGAAGCTAGAGTGCAGGCTACTTGTTGTGTACTGTAGATGTCAGTAGCAATCAATGCCGGGTTTTATTACGAGTATGCAGTTGTAGATTATTATAGGGTTACACGATGATGAGTTCTGTCCTAAAACTACCGTCACGTTGAATGATGGACCTGAGAGGGTTTGTCGAGAAAGCCGTGGAGCGCTTCGTTGACATTTCAAGGATAGACATAGATCCATGGGCGTCTTTTTCATTCATGTAGGGATACTGTCCAGACTTCTTCTTCGAGATAAGATTGATCTGAGACCTGTTTATGTCGCTGCTACGCAAAGCTGTATCTATCATCCGATCGCACTGCGAGAGGCGAGCATCAGTAGGAGGATGGAGCGCCTACTGCTACTGTTCGCGCACTATCTACAGGGGGACCGTGATGATTATGAGCAGTTCGGAGTTACTAGACATTACAAAGGGACCGGCGAAGTCCAGCCTAGCATCCAACGCCATACAGCTTTTATATACTGCCGACTACCGCCGTTCTAGCCGTCGCGATCTGCATCCTTTCTGTGGATCTGCAGTCAGCTTGATAACCTTTTGACACCCAAAGTCTTCGACATCGGTGAATCTGAAGCCAGAAAGAAGCAACTGCGGCGCCAATGTCTGAAAGTTTGCTTGCATTTGCGTTATCAACGTATCAGAGCCCAGTAACATCTGTATTGGACAAGTTCAATGCCTCGTCGACACTCCACAACTCAGTACTCTCGCCCCGACAAAGGTCACCGCAACGGTCATCGCCAACATCGAAGTCGTCGCCATAGGCATGAGCACAGCACAGGCCATTTGTCCCAGGAAGCCGCGGAGGTCCTAACAGGCGAAGTACAAGTGAGTACGACAAGTAAAAGTGTTTTCAGGGCTTTTGCTCACTCTCTAGCAGGGGGATCAGCTGGATACTGAGAGATCGCCGCACGGACACTCACCGACGAGATGTTTCCCAGAGTCGGGCAGGAACGATGTACCCCCCACATCATCTTGGGAAGTGCCGGGGGAGCCACGAATGAGAAGGAGGAAGAGCGAACCTCAGGATAGCCTATGGTCTTCGTTGTGTAGATTTTGTCTTACTGTCGGAATCCCTCTCATCATAGAGGGATTCGCAAATTCACGCCGGCGGCGCCGGACGACCTCTACAAGGCACAGAGGGAGGAGCGAAGAGCCCAAAGAGACCACCCACTTCCGGGCCCCGCAGGAACATCATGACTTTGGGTTAGAACCTGACGCTCGTGTCCAGGACTGGGCCGAGCAAAGAGCAGAAGAAACGGAAGAAATTCCAGTTGAAGCGCCCCCTGATACTTTGCCAAGTGTGCCGGACCCCTCCCAGGAGATTGAAGGTGGCGAGGAGAGACCAGCTGACACCGACCTATCCCCAAATGATGATCGCGAAGCAGCAGGAGCTACAAGTTCTTCGTTAAGTACCTACTACCATGTGTTTACTCTGAGTATGACTGCCGAACGCCTCGCTAGCCTAGGAGGTAAAACTGGAAGCCGCTGGTCACAACACAAATCATCACGTCCGAGAGGCTGGAACAAGATTGTCAAGATTCCAGACACATACGACTCGCTCCCGCTCGACGAATGGATGAGGAGCGTGGGGTGGTCCTGGAAAAATTCGGAGGTAGAGGGCTGGACGCCAGAGGATAGTATGCCGGAGGAATTGAGATTGGGCAAGATAGACAAGTCAAGGACATGTACAGGGCTGTCTAGACAAGACATTGACGATGTCAAGAGTAAGGCTTGGACAGGGTATGTGCGCTTCTACCAGGACGTGATAAGAGCATCGTCAGGGCAAGCCGCCGGTGCATCTTCAAAAGAGGGGCAAGAAGTGGATGTTGCTGAACAACCCGGGACGACACTGAAGAAAGCCACCGCGTGAATATCAAGATGCTTGCACACAGCGAGTCAGCATGCATGCTGCCTGGCTGGTGCAAGGGCGGTCGAGTCGATATATATGCATGCATGAATGATGCATGAGAATGCGGTCTGCACGAGGTGGGTTGCCACATTCGGCGAGACGCGGTGAGGGTAACACCGGTAAGTGGGGGGAGAGGGGGTGTGCAAAGAAGACGTGGTGGCTCAGGGAGTGGTCGGGCTGCAGCTGTATTGTTGCTGCATCCTCATTCCATTCATCTTCCCCGTACCGACCTGTGAGTCCCCCGCCCCATCCCCCTCCGCCCACCCGCTGACCCGTCTACCCCCCTCCTCGAATTTGCAAATCGCCACTTGTCGCCTACCTTCTATCGCCTTGTCTCCCATCCCTGCCGTCATCGCACAGTAGACCCAGTCTTACGAATCATATAAGATGGCTTTGAAGCGCATTAACAAGGTGCGTTCAGGAGAACCCCCCAATGCTGCGCAATGATACAAGCGGCGGGGTGCGCACGGAATGGGCTCACACGACTCTTGATAATAGGAACTCATCGACCTCGGACGTGACCCGCCTTCCTCTTGCTCTGCCGGCCCCATCAATGAAAACCTCTTCCAATGGCAGGCCACTATCATGGGGCCCGTGCGTGTGATTCCAGGGACGATATTCGGAAAGGTGCTGACCATTGCCCAGGCTGACTCTCCCTACTCTGGCGGGGTCTTCTTCCTGTACGTGTCTGATTATCATTCGCAGAATCACTTGTTGATCATCGCGCAGCTCTCTCACCTTCCCCACCGACTACCCCTTCAAGCCTCCTAAGGTGCAGTTCACCACCAAAATCTACCACCCCAACATCAACGCCAACGGTTCCATCTGTTTGGACATCCTGCGAGACCAATGGAGTCCGGCTTTGACCATCTCAAAGGGTTAGTGTCTATTTAGTGCACGGAGGTCTCAATGGGCGTTGCTAATACATCTACAGTGTTGCTGTCCATCTGCTCAATGTTGACGGACCCCAACCCCGACGACCCCTTGGTTCCCGAGATCGCCAACGTGAGCTGCCATTTTGAAAGGGCGTGTAACACTGCTGACATGCTGTCACAGACCTACAAGACTGACAGGCCACGATATGAAGCCACAGCGAGGGAGTGGACAAGGAAGTGAGCTGCTCATCCGCTTTACATGGACACGACTGATGATCCGCAGATACGCTACATAATTGATGTGTATCTCCCTTTCCATGGCCTTTTGTGTACCTTATCATTCTCGACCAGTCATGCGATCATTACACACCTTCACCTCCAACATCTCTCATTTTATCAACACGTTGTTTTGGGATGTTACCGTTGTGCATCTACTTGTCGTCTCTTGCTGACCCGTGGTACTGACCTCATTGTTGACTGATGATAGTAGATGTTTTATTTGGCAAGTCGTCGTCGTGGTACAGTACACTGAAACGCTATAGGGCGGTTGGGTCCAGACATGGATTCGACAACAGTACTGTCGCTCACGACCATGTCAGGCGCCCTACAACGCGACTCCAGCGAGACCCTTGACACCACTCATAAGAATCATACCGCGCCTACGATGTCATCTCGGTAACACGAGGGACTCTACTGAACTGAGGATATGACGCCCCGCTTCTGTCATGGGCGGCCATTGAGTTTGGTGGCTTGATATGGAAGGCTTCTCAAGATGATTCTTTTCCATGTTGCATGCTGCATGCTTATTGACCAGATCTCGAAAGGCTCATAGTGAATACGCCATGCCGAACGAGCCAGACTGCGTGACCCGTCGAGCGATCGGGCAGAGGGCGGAGGCCCCGAGCAAGTCGAGGGGCACGTCAGCAGAAACGTTCTGGTGGCTCGGTGGCTTTGTAACTTCGTGTCACTCTGGAACCGAACATCCCCCTCTGCATATATAAAGCAGAGCTCGATTGCTGCTCGTTTTCTCACTCCCAACTACCCTCGCCACTCGCCACGTACACCGCCTCGCCACCACATACACTTCCATGGGTCTCGCCTCCAACCTCACCGTCACCGTAAGTGCCAATGTCGCAAGAGACAACATGATCAATGACACATATTATCAGACGGGCGCGTGAGTGTTTGGCATATCTGGAGGCTAAGAGCCCAGCTGACTTGTGCGGCTAGCTACGGCCAGCAGCTCCAGCCTCATGGGTACGGCGGACAGTATCCACAACAAGAGCCCCGGGGATTCATCGGGCCTGGTTCTCTCCAGGAAGGTTCTGCCCAAGGCCCCGGCGGCAGCAACAACACCAACACTCAATACCTTATGGACGAGTTGCAGCAGTGTGTTCAGGACGTGCGTGTTGCACCTTCTCTTCACACTCACCTAACCTTTTCACTCACTGGGTAATTGTAGCAAAACCTTCATGCATTTTACACCCCTCAAGCGCTCAACATCGTTGCCCAAGGCGTCGCCCAGTCTGGCGCCCTCAACAAGATCGCTCATGAGTGGAAGATCCCCATGGAACTTGCCACAGAGATCGTCCGTCTCTTGTGTCTCTAAAGGTCTCATCTCATCTGCTCCCAGGTCAAGCTTGCCTTGTTTGATGTGATCATCTATGTCGATGACTCTGGATCCATGGCCTACGAGGTGAGTCCATATACCATGACCGCCCCAGGGCTAATCTATCACAGGACGGTGGGGAGCGCATCGAAGACCTCAAGCTGATCCTCTCCCGTGTCGCATACGCCACCAGCCTCTTCGACAGCGATGGCATCCAAATCAGGATGATGAATTCGCAGGTTGAAGGCAACCACATCAACTCCGAGCAGGAAGCTTTGCGTCTGGTCTCGCGGTCTCAGTTCTCTGGTGCGTCTCTCCTCACTAGTCTTGTGCTTACATTGGGAAACTGTGCTCATATTGCACACAGGGCTTACTCCCCTTGGCACTTCGCTCTGGCAAAAGATCCTTCAGCCTTTGGTCGTCGGCCCTGCGCACCAGGGGCGTCTCAACAAGCCCGTGCTTGTCCTCTGTGAGCTAGTTCATTGACCAAGATCGCCGTCCTCCGTAATTGACTTGCTGCAGGCATCACTGATGGGTCTCCTGCTGGCGAGCCCAAGGGACACCTGTTCGATGTCATTATTCGTGCCGACCACGAGCTCAAGCAGACTCGTTACGGTCCCGACGCCATTTCCTACCGTGAGCACTCTTCGCAGCAGCATCGGCAACGACTGACCAATATCACAGAGTTTGCTCAGGTTGGAGACGACATGAAGGCTTCTCGTTTCCTGGCAGAGCTTGACGCCCACCCTGTCGTCGGCTCTCTTGTCGACTGCACCTCCAACTTTGAGGCCGAGCAGGAAGAAGTGCATCGCAAGACGGGGACCATCTTGGACCCTACCATGTGGATCGTCAAGCTGTTGATGGGGCCTATCAGCTCTTCCTTTGACCACAAGGGTGAGCGCATCCACCGGAGCCTATACCTGGCCAGCGTTGACAACTGTTCTTCAGACGAAGAGTTCCACAAGCGATACTACTGATCAAATCAGGCACTGCAGCTCGCCGTGAGCTGGAATGTAGACAAGGACTAGGAAGAAGGTCCGAACGACATCACTGCTCTATTGTGTTCATAAGACAGACCGTATCATTATGCAGTCATCTTGTCATTCCGTGCAAGCCGGAGCTTACAACGCCGGCTTGTTGAATTTCGCTCCCCAGACGCTGCGGCGGCTACTGTTGCAAAGGCGCACGGGGTACTCCAAGGTTGAATGACATCTGAACGCACAGCGATCGGGACACCTGATTACTGATTGATGCGGAAATGCCAAAATCGGCAAAGTGCATGCTGCTTCCGCCGTAGGGACTGCGGATGGCGCCGGCAGGCGGAGGGTCATGGCTTTGAGTGATCGACGCTTGAACTTGGCTTGAACAGTACATCAACTCACAGTCTCTCGTGTAAGTCAATATCCAGCTCAGGGTGGAACCTTCGGACGAACACCCAACTCAGTCTTCTACCAATTCGATCACGACCCACTGCACCCGCCACCACTCACTTGCACAGCCTCCGCCTGCTTTCCGCCTTCCGCTCACAAAACCACAAGAGATACTTGTACAAGTACATACCATGGGCCTTGGTTCCAATTTTCTTGCCACTGCAGGTACCGCAGCGGTCGCCGGGTACATGAAAAACAGCTCGAAGCCGCAGTCCAACGCGTGAGTGTTTCGCCGGTAAAAGTGAAAGACAGGGCTTACTTGCCGGGGCGGGATACAGTCCCGGTCAGCAGTCCCAGTCTTATGCACAAGGTGGGCAGTACGGTCAGCAAGGCGGGCAGTATGGTCAGCCTTATGGGCAGGGTGGGCAAGGCGGGCAGCAGTACGGTCAAGTCTACGCGCAGGGCGGACAATACAACCAACCTCAAGGCGCTGCCAGCCAGTACTACTCTCCACAGGGTCCACAAGGTGGCACTGCTTCTGCTTTCGCCTATGGAAGCTCTGCGCAAGGTGCAGGATCAAATAACAGCAATGTCCAATACCTCTCGAGCGTGTTGCAGCAGTGTGTCCAAGATGTGGGTTTTCGTTATGCCAATGCAGCCGAATCTGACGTACTTTCCAGCAAGGTATCCAGGCATTCTATACTCCCCAATCTGTCGGCAATATTGCCCAGAGTGTGGCTCAGTCTGGAGCTCTCAACAGGATTGCTCAAGAATGGAGGATCCCCCAGGAGCTTGCTACTGAAATCGTAAGACTTCTCATGCCTCAATTGTACTAATCTGACTCGTTACTAGGTCAAACTTGCTTTGTTCGATGTAGTCCTCTATGTCGATGACTCTGGATCCATGGCCTACGAGGTGTGTATACGTGTATACAGTCACGCTCTACTATGCTGACATGTATCACAGGGTGGTGGCGAGCGCATCGAAGATCTCAAGCTCATCCTTTCTCGAGTTGCATACGCCACCAGCCTATTCGACCACGACGGGATCCAGGTCAGGATGATGAATTCGCGTATTGAGGGCAACCATATCAACTCCGAGCAGGAGGCGATGCGTCTCGTGTCTCAGATAAAGTTCTCTGGTGAAGCACTCTTGCATTCTTGATGACTAGGTCAATATGATACTCCGGCTGAATACTTGCAGGTCTCACTCCTCTCGGCACGTCACTCTGGGAGAAGATACTCCAGCCCCTGGTCGTAGGTCCTGCCCAGCAGGGGCGACTTGTCAAGCCTGTGCTTGTCGTCTGTAAGTGACACTGGTATCGATCCATTCGCCTATGATTGACTACTTTAGGCATCACGGACGGATCTCCTGCTGGTGAACCCAACGGACACCTCTTTGATGTGATCCTTCGTGCCGACCAAGACCTCAAACAGACCCGCTACGGCCCTGACGCCATTTCTTACCGTATGGACTTTTCAACACCGCCTTCGACTGATCACTGATAGCTCATGCAGAGTTTGCCCAAGTTGGCGACGATATGAAGGCATCCCGTTTCCTGGCAGAGCTTGATGCCCACCCTGTCGTCGGCTCTCTTGTTGACTGCACATCCAACTTTGAGGCCGAGCAAGAAGAAGTGCAACGCAAGACGGGGACCATATTGGACCCCACCATGTGGATTGTCAAGCTCTTGATGGGGCCTATCAGCACGGCTTTCGACTTCAAAGGTGACTCGACTTTGCATAAAGTGGTAAACAGCATATGCTGACGATGCGTTTAATGTAGACGAGGCTTTCCACAAGCACTATTAGTGACCGGCTTCGCGTGAGCCAAAGCGTCATTTGATGACCTGCCAACGGAAATGAATTGAAACACGTATCGAAATGTCTTTATGCAGCCGCTATCATGCCCCTGGATAACTGGATGACATACATGATATACAACTGGACAAGTCACGTAAGGTGGTTTATTATTGTGAATAATGAGATGCTTCGCTCCAGTCCGGGCTGATGCCAGGCCCCGACGACTGCTTCGCTTCAATGGGTTGTCGAACAGTCTCATCTGAAGAAGAGGAAGACGTGGAAACAAGAGACACTCTTGCCTCATGCCCTTTTGACTTTTCTCCCAACAATCGAGCGCCCTGGCTGATATCTCCCTCTTCACACTCGCGATGGGCGCTCCCAGTTTCAGTGTGGCTTTGGCCACCCCAGCTCTTGATTCTGATGTAGCCAGTCTCCCCACCCTGCTCCCCTAGGCTGTAACTGTTCCTCCGACTCTCGACGCCGACGTAGCTGTCTCCCCACCTTCGTTCACCGCTGGACCTTCTGCCATAGTCAAAGTCGACTGTGTGCCACGATGATGTCGACAGCCGAACTTCGCGCGGTTCCCTCAATGAACCAGCCTCTTCAACGCTCATGGAAGCTCGACGCTCTTGAACTGTAGGGATCTGGTCCCACCACTTCTCCACACTTACTCCATCCACTTGACCCATCCTTGTATAGTCGTGCTCTCCACCGAGCAGGTTCCATACGTTCAAGTATATTTTGGGGATGCCATGAGGGGACGAGGTAGAGTGGGCGAAAGCGAGATACAGAACAAGGGCGAGCCAGCATGTGACGAGGGTGAGATGGGAGAAGGCGAGAATGGGTACGGCGGAAGCGACGCAGAGTCCAGAGGCGGGAAAGCTTCCTGAGGGGCTCATACAGAGGGAACGGTCGGCGACAGTGATGCTGCCAATGACTAAGCCAGGAGTCAGCTGTATCCTTTGTTCACTCGTCATTGCTTACCAAGAAGCAGCGCAGCATGGCAGACGTGATAGGCCACTTCGACCACCACTCTGTTCGCTGCCGAGTCTGTGCTTCTGTTCCGGATCACAGTGGCACTGTACACCATGGAGAAGGCGAGACCGAGGGCAGATGGGATGATGGCCGCCAGGCTATGAGGGCGGACGGCAGCCGATATACTGAGGGTGGCAGCCCAAAGTAGTGCATGGATACTCTGATTTGGTGGTCAGCCCGGCTCGGGGGTCATGGGATAACTTACCAGTGTGGCATACCTGGCATACTTCCAGATGGAGTGTGCGCGTCCGTCCTCTGATGGGCGTCGCTGTCCCCTGGGAGTGAGGGGAGTGCGCTCCGTGATGCTGTACGGGTTGTGGGGGGTGACGATGGCTAAGGCAGGTCTGGTCATGGCTGTATGTGGGCGAGGAAGGGGTCAGCACCAGTTATATATGCATGGTGTCCCGGGAGGCGATGTAGATGCGATGTACTTTAGATGAGAAGGCTCGAGGACGCCGCAATGCGATGCCGCTGTGCACACTTTGGTCCCGCCGGAAAGCCGACTTGCAAAATATTTGTGGTTGCCAGTTGGCGTCGTATACTCACGATATCTTTCATAACAATGATCGAAACTCACTCGGCGGAAAAGCAGGAGGCCATGGACTGGGACATGGACATGGTAGACGACCCCTTAGAAGAAATCAGTAACCTCGAGTCCAAGTGAGCTTGATCTCTTTCGGGAACGATCCCCAAGCTTATCGTCCGTTCAGATTTTACAACCAAGGTTATGATTCTGGCCACGCCCATGGTAGACTTCACGGACTGTTCGAGGGCCGAGAGCTGGGAAAGGAGAAAGCGTGGGAGCTCTGGGAGGAGGTCGGCTTCTATGACGGTTGGGCTTCTATGTGGATTCAAGTACTGCAAGCAAAGGCTGCTGCGTCTGGTACAGCGGGTAGCAAAAGAGGGAAAGAGGCGAGGTGAGTGCAGCATAGTATTATCCAATATGGCTGACATATTGAAGGGCTCTCAACCATGCTCAAGTCCTGGTTGAACTGATCAACACCTTCCCCACCATCAACCCCACTCAGTCTATCAATTCCAACGCTGTTTCCGAGATGGTCGACGACACCCCTGCAGCTGACATTGACCTGGCTTCTCTCCTGTCTCTCATCCGTGCTCGCTACCGCCTCCTCTGCTCCTCCCTCGGCACCAGGCCTCGTCTCGCGAGCGCCACCATCGTCGAGGCCAATCCAGGCTCCGGTGCTGCCGCGGCGGGAGGAACAGGATCGGATGGCGGTGAAGCGGAGGGAGTTGTACAAGGGATTGAGGGGCCCATGAAGGGTGTCGATACTAGGCAATTGAGGTTTTGATGGGCGCCAAAGGCGTCAAGAACACCATCAATGGCCATCTTCCACCTGGCCGCCTACGCAGTGCCAAACAGTCCTCCAGAGACTGGGGCCCGTCGGGAACATGCTGCGTGCAATCCCGGCCCTACCTTCCCTTTGATCGGATGACTCCTGCGTCTGACGGCCACGACGTGGGGTGGATGATTCCAAGACGCTGGTGAGGGCAAGATGCTCAAGACGGGGCCCACCGGTCTTCAGACATCATATGATGTGCATGCCAATGTGTCTACCTCACATCTGTCTATGCATCTATATTCAACAGTGATCAACCCAACCGACAGGCCCTTACACGTCATCCCCTCGACAAGTATCTAAACTTTGCCGCTATTGATCAAGTCTGCCCAGCCACCAGATGGTCGTTTTGGCAGAAACTCCATACGACCCGCCATGCCAGGATGTGCTTTCAACACCGCAGCTTCTACCTTACTTGCGTCATTATAAGACCAAGGCAGACCTCCCGATCTCGCAGACTCCCACGTAAAACACCACACCGTCTCGTCCCTCTTTGCACACTCTTCGGTCGAGAGTTGCCATCTCCAGTGCTGCAGTTCGGGGTGCATGAATCGCACCACCATAACTATATAGCTGATGGAGCTCTCGACGTTGGTGGTAAACATGGCCGAAGGCTTGAGTACGTTCCGAGTGCCATAAGCGACAATTGGAATCACGTTCGAGCTGCCTTCGGGGGCATGCATGACCTTGGCAGGTTTATGCCCACCGGCAAATTCGAGCAAGCGCTGGGGGTAGGCATCAATCTTGATATCGGGCAGAGAATAGCCACTCTTCATCACCATTTCTTCCGGCCGGCAGACTGAAGCGAGAGCCAAGTCGAAATTCCGAATGATAGGACGGAGTTCGGCTGGAGGTGTTGACGTCTCCAAGTATTTCAAGCTGGGGAAGGGTTCAATCCCAGAGGCGCGTAATTCTTCGAATACACTCGTAAACGTCAAAAATACGTCCGAGTTTCTGCTCGGCCGATCAGCGACTATGGACCCAGAAAAGCATGCAGACTCACCTATACGCGCTGGGATTCTCGAGGTTGATGAAGGTTACCCTTTTGAGAAACCTCAACTTGAGATCTCTGCCGAAAGGTTTCTCTTTGGTCGGCTTTGTGTTCTGCAAGCCCTCGAACAGCTTCTCGGGGCCATACCCTGGATGGCCTTCGCCCCGCCGAGCTATCAGACGGCCATCCCACAACATTTCGCCAGCGATGAATCCGATACGCTGAAAGACAGTCAGAGATCAATACAAGGCTCGAAACGCGCTGCTCACTTTACATGTGGAGACCAGGCCGAGCCTGCTCTCTGCCGGGACTTCCGAGACTATATGTCTGATGAGTTCGTAAGGCAGGTCCTGAAACGCCAGCCGGTTAGGGGATCGCGAGATGGCCCCGGGCAGGACTTGAGGGGTGATCTTTCCCGACTCGCTGGCAGAGTCGTCCATGGGTGGTTGTGGGCGATTGCTACAGTCAGTCGCTGCCAGCAAGCATCAACGTGGACGAGCGCGGTTGGTGGCGCGGCGAGGGCCGCCCGTCGGACGGCCGTCATCGGAGCTGGCCGGCGTACCTGTGCACATGGTGATGGTGCCTATCGTACCGAATCTCGCGAGCCTGACAAAGCGGCCACTTGAACTCGACTCATTGCGGACCCACTCAGAGACACAGCACTGCCCACTCGCCACCTAGGGAGCGCACCATCCCCTCCCCATGTCTGCCATCATCATCCAGGCATCAGCGTACCCCTCAGAGAGGACGCCTCTAATATCATCCGACTCTCGGTCAGCAATCGCCCCTCCCAGCCCCGCCAACGATGCCTCATCCAAGGCGCCACCTTTGAAAGACTCCATATCTTTCATGAGGTTTGTCACCGTACTGATAGGTATATGGTCGGCCAACTTGGTTTTTGCTTTCCAAAGTACCGCGATTCCTACGTTGGCGCCCGAGATCGGCAGCTGGTTTGAGCACGCAGAGTTGGCCTCTTATCTCGGGAGCATGTTTACTTTGGCAAACACTGCTGGTGCGCAGCCTTCGTACTACCTTTGAGCTTGCTTACACATTTATAGTCATACCAATATATGGCGTCCTCATGGAAGCTTTGGGAAGGAAAACGGCGATCGTTATCGCATGCGTTTTGTTTGGCTCTGGAACGATATTATGCGCGCTCGCAGGCAACATGTACACTCTGATAGGAGCTCGAGTATTTGCAGGGGTGAGATCAGCCAATCTAAAATGCCGACAACTTTGCTCATTCATGATAGCTGGGAGGTGGGGGCCTCTTGACGGTCTCTAGCGTCATCGTCACCGACCTGGTTCCTCTGCGAGACCGGGGATTCTACCAAGGTGAGTCTTCCTGGAATGTCATGATTTGCGTCCAAAGCTCATACCGCGTCTTGAGGCCTTATGATGACTGTCTTTGGAAGCGGTTCTATGTTGGGAGGGCCAGTGGCGGGATGGTTGACGGACAAGGTCGGCTGGGAATGGGCGTTCTGGGTTCAGGTGAGTTCCAGCTCCGGTACCGTCTTCACTCTGGCTGACCCTTCTTCGAGCTACCCGTCACAGTCTTTTGCTGCATCATAGTCGTAACATTCCTTCCATCGCCTGCTATTCCACCCACCCACACCTCCCTCCTATCCGGTCTTGCATCTTTGGATTGGCTCGGCACCATCCTCCTCGTCACCTCCATATCAGCACTGATACTTGGCTTCTCCTTTCACACCTCATATCTGGAGCCACTCACGTCACCCGTGGTGTGGGGGCTACTCTTGGTTGCGATTATAAGCGCGATCGCGTTCTTGCTTGTGGAGATGAAGGTTGAGAGACCAGTGCTACCACTCCGGCTTTTCAAGTCGAACCATCTGGCTGCGGTCATGCTGAGTGGGTTCTTCTTGTCGATTGCCAACCAGTCTTTTGTGAGTAACATCTGTTTGCTCCTGGAAACCACCAACTAACATGCATCAGACGTATCAAATGTACAGCAGCCCGCCCCCATGGTCGAATACGGAAGCTGATCACATTGCAGCCCCGTCTACTTTCTAGTGATACTCGGCACCACCACTGCCAAAGCCGGACTCATTATTTCGCTCTGCAGCGGTCTAGGTCTTGCCACAGGATCCCTACTTGCCGGACAGTCAGTGTCGTTTTTTTCCTCCTCTTGTCGCCGCTGATCTCCATCCTCTTCTAGATATATCAGAAGTGGATATCCCTACAGATGGCTAGGTCCCATTGCCCTTGTCCCAGCCGTGACAAGTGCTCTGATAGCTGCAAGCTGGACGGTCCAATGGCCATGGTGGGGATACTATGCGACGGTCTTTCCGTCCGTGTTGGGTTATTCGACCTTTCTTTGCGTTCAGCTGGGCAAGTCTTCCGTCTCCTCTACCATCCCAACGGGAGACTTACGCAAGGGATACGTGCTGACTGGCGATTGTAGTGGCGATGGTGTCCAGTGTGGACAATAAAATCATGGTACGTAACGCTGTCCTTTAAGGCTCTTTCGGCTCATCATCATTAGCCGAAAGCCACCGCTCTCTTGTACGCCACGCGAAGTCTGGGTGCCACGCTCGGTGTGAGCATTGGAGGCTCCATTCAGCTCGGTGCCCTAGGGACTCAGCTGCGCGCCCAGTTTAAAGGGGTTGATCATCAGGAGCAGGTGAGCTGCATACAGTACAAGAGGAATCGCGCTAACAGTGATGGGCGACTAGATCATAGACGCCATCCTTCATTCAAAATCTGCCATCTCTCTCTTGCCCCCCTCCCTACAGCCCCTCGCCCTTGCTGCATACTCCAGCTCCCTGTCAACCGTCTGGCTCGTAAGCTCCGCGGTAGCCGTCCTCACTCTGCTATGTTCGTTCTTCATACAGGTTCATCATGTCGACGAGGAGGAGAACAAAGTATCCCAAGGGACCGGAGGAGGTCTGAACGAAGGTCCGCCTTTTGGACAGGCGTTGGGAGAGGCTAGCTCGCAAGGTGAGAGGCATTAGAATAGAGTGGAAAATGCGCATGGCGCTTCAGTTCAGACATGGTGTATAACCAGTAGAGGTACATTGTTGCAGTATGATATCATCCTATATATACGAAGCACTGATAGAACATGATTGTCTCACATTCGTCCTCATGAAAGATCCTCTCCAGCTTCTATCCTCTCCAGGATACTCTTGGATAGCACTTTCTCTTCCGTATACAACCCCTCCATCATCTCCAGCATCGCCTGTCTCTCTGCAATTGCTCCCTTCTCAGCCTTGAGTTCCTTGTCCAGCTTTTTCAGATTCTTCAACCTTTTCTCCGCTTCCTGGACCACCCTCGTGCAGATATGCTCCAAAGACGACATGACAGCGAGCTCGTTCGACGGAGAGACGTAGGTCGAGTATCCTTGTTGGATACCGGTGAGCTTGGGTGAGCCTGTAGGGAGGTGCAAGACACGAAGGGTCATGAGAAGGGAGTGGGAGGGGTGTGGAGGAGAGGGTTGTGCGTGTATGATGTTGGCGCTATTGTGGGTCAGCAAAGCCATGTAGATAGAACAGAGAAAGTAAACGCACCCCCAGCATCCGATACCCTCCAGCGCCTTTCGCTTTCCACCCTTTTCTCCGTCTTCTTCGTCCTCTTCCAGAGACCCTACCTTTTCCGCCCACAACTCATCCACGATCCACCCCACATCGAGCTCTCCATACTTTAGATTCAACCACTTTTGATCATCGGCCCCATCTGGCTCTTCCAAGAAACCATACTCTGCCAGCAGAGTCGCGTTGTCATGCCCGCCGTATTCAAACATGACTTCTTCGCCTTGTGCCATCTTGCGCTCCGGGGCGATGAGTTCGAGATCAATCTTGCCTGGGACGAGGTGGAGGCCGTTGCGGGAGTAGCGGGTGGCGTGACTGGCCCAATCGTCGGAACTTGTAGACTTGTGGGATTTCTTGGCGCGCGTAGTGGATGACGCTGGTGTGGGGGTGGGAGCAGGGAGTTGTTTTACACGTGGGGCAGTAACAGAGGGATCTGAAGAATGGTTGATCATATCGAGGATGGGGACCAGGGTGTGGTTCATCCTCTCTGTAGGGCCTGGTAGGCCGAGAGGGATGGATATAGATCGAGTATTGACTGCCAGTCAGATTAGCGAAAGATGAAATGATAGAGGGAGGGGGGCATACTATTGAGCCATGCCCAGAGTAAATCTTCTTCGGTCAATGTTGTTGCTAGAGAATGAGATTTGAATGGTTCCTCAGTACGCTTTCAATATACGTTAGCGTATGCCTCGGGCCAAGTAAGAGAGGCTAACCAGAGTGGACAATATCACAGCCTTGTCCGCGTCATATCGCTTCTTCACCTCTGCCACTTTCGATTTCAAAGTCGGTGATGCGTGATTTTCGTACAAATCAGCCCACCAATTCCAGCCTTCCACTGCCTCTTTTGTTCCGGGGTCTGGTTTGACGAGCCACGTTAATGGGTGCCAAGGCCTGAAATCTTTGGGAAGTGTTTCGAGGTATACCTGCCAGTCTGATGTATATCTCTTGTGAGGGTCTCGGCTCAGAGCGAGATGGAGCGTGAGAAGCTCGGTGGTGTCTAGCTGCTTGCTTTGCGACGAGTCAGTGCCAGCAGGCGAGGTTTTGAGGCGCTTTGAAGAGTTGACGGCTGATGTGACATGTGATGGTTGGGGAAAGAGGTGTCGGGGGATGGAAAAGTTTGGGCCTTTTGATAGGACTTTGGAGGTCGAGTCGGAGGCAAGGAGAGTGAGGGGGTTGAGCATGGAGGCAGCTGGGATGTGCAGTAACGTGGCTCGCTCCTGTGACAGGTCAGGGGTGTCTCTTGCCTGATATTGTTCGTACCTTTACATCTTCCGTGACAACAAGACCACGAAGGACACCTGGTGTGCATCAGAAGCTGTAGAGGTGAGGGTGCTGCATGGGACTCACCTGGGGTATCCCTCAACTCAATGTTCATGCGAAACCCCACATGGCATTCCTCGAACCATGCCACAAGACTGTCCCAATCCTGCGATGCTTTACTGGGCATTATGCTGGTTGAATGAAGTTAGGGGTTGGAAAAGCAGGGTATCACTGAAGAGTGCAAGATATATGACTCGAATGCATCCACCGGATTTCGGATTGCAGAGTATTGAGTCATCGAAGTGGTGACATGGAACTTTTGCGCTTGGTTCTCGCGCCTTCTCTCCGTCGGCCTCCTGCCGTCTTTCTGCACATCAATATGGTCAACCCAGACGAGGACACAGAATTGTAGGTAGACTGCACCACAATTACCGACATTGCTGACGCATGACAGTAACGACGCCCTTCGGCATCATGGTATTCTGCCCCCCAAACCACCCTCGCGCTCGCCCTCCCCCGACATCCCCCACATATCCCATACCGACGCTGTGCGAGCCGTAGCAGCCACAGCCGATGCGGACCAGCTTGTCACACTACTAGAAGCAGATAACCTAGATTCAGACGATGAGAGGATGTTTGAAGAGTACAAGCAAAAGAGGCTGGATGAGATGAGGAAAGAGGAGAAGAGGGGCAGGTTCGGCACGATGGAACCCCTAGGTCGAGAAGACTTTGTGAGGGAAGTCACAGAAGGAAGCAAGGTGGATCCTGATGCTCCGGCTGAAGAGGAAAAGGAGGATGAGGAGGACAAGCCGTCGTCGAGATTAAAAGGCACTGGCGTTGTTGTCTTTTTGTTCAAGGACTCGTAAGAAGCCACTTTCAAATGTACAATGACTAACAAATGTACAGTGTGCCCCTGTCTCAGCATCTCCGCCCCCTTCTACACCAGCTCGCTGCGGTCCACACTTCTACAAAGTTCCTTTCCATCCCTGCCGGTCTCTGCATCGCCAACTATCCCGACAAGAACGTCCCGACGTTGTTGATATATCGAGATGGAGAGCTGGTCAGGAATGTGGTCGCTGGTGCCGGACTCAAGGGAATGAAGACTACTGTCCGAGGTGCGTTACTGGACACATTGTCTTGATCGTGCTGACCATCGAGAGTAGATCTCGAGGCGCTGCTGTTGTATTTCAAGGCTATCGAGAAGCCTTCGTCGGCTCTTCAAAGAGCGGAACGTCAGGGCGATGATTCTGATTCTGACCTGGATGACGACTTTAATGACGGGGTGGGGACTATCAATGGGAGAGGCGGGGGTCTGAGAAGAGGCGGAACGGGGGTGGGGACGGGGCGTGGGAAGGCGGAGAGTGATGAGGATGACAGCGATTTCGACATGTAATAACGCAGCTGGCTTTCAACATCCCATGCATGGCACGAGCATTGATCCATAGTACATACTTGTAGTGATGGCCACGTGGGCTGCACGCGAGAGCCACGCGCGACAGTGGATCCGGGTACTGGTTGGCCGGTGGATGTCGCCTCTTGGTTTTGTTTTTGGCTGCAGCATCATTATCTCTTTTCTCTCTCATCACCATGTCCCCCCTCGACTTCTCAGACCAGGTCGTCCTCGTCACAGGCGCAGGCAGCGGCATCGGCAGGGTGTAAGTCATCCCGCCCCCACGCTCCCCGCTCACTTCCCCCAGCTACGCACGCTTCTATGCCGCCAGGGGCGCCAGAGTCGTCGTCAACGATGTCTCTGATAAATCCGCACAGGCTGTCGTAGACGAGATCAACAGCGGTACGTGGTCACAGACAGCGTGCGATCCCTACTCATAGGCCGTAGCTGGAGGCAAAGCCGCCATCGCCCCTGGATCTGTCACGGAAGGCGACAAGATCGTTGCCCAAGCCGTCAAGGCCTTCGGGACAGTACATGTACTCATCAACAATGCTGGTATACTGCGTATGTCATAACTGCTCTCGCCACCCTGCATGGGTTGCTGATCTGTATCCAGGCGACAAGGCGTTCAAGAACATGACCGATGAACAATGGGACCTTGTCATCGCTGTCCACCTCAAGGGGGCCTTCTCTTGCTCCAAAGCAGTATGGCCTTTGTTCAGACAACAGAAGGTGCGCTCAGTGTTACTGCGAGAAAGACATGTGCTGACTTGCTCAGTTTGGACGAATCATCAACACCTCTTCAGCAGCTGGGCTTAACGGCAACAGAGGACAGGCCAACTATTCCGCAGCCAAGAGTGAGTCTCGCATCTCGATTGTATCGTTAAGAAGTTGACCCTCCCAAAGGCGGACTTGTCGCGTTCACCCGGACTTTGGCCAGGGAGGGCGCCAAGTATGACATAAAGGCGAATGTAATCGTACCGGTAAGTTCTTCACTCATTTTCACAGAAGGTGCTGATCCTCTACAGATAGCTGCATCGGCCATGACCGAGACTATCATGCCACCCGACATGCTCAAAGGCCTGAGGCCAGAGTTTATTGCCCCCTTCGTCGGGCTGTTGACCGCCAAGAACGGGCCGGATGTGAATGGACGCATCTTTGAGCTTGGTGCGGGCTTCTTCTCTGAAGTTCGTTGGGAGAGGTCTAAAGGTTCGTTACACCCACACTCCCACGTGCAAGACCGCTAACATGAGACAGGCGCCATCTTCAGAACCGACGACACCTTTACCCCCTCCGCCGTTGCTCTCAAATGGGACCAAGCGAGCGACTTTACCCAATCCGACCATCCCCTCAATACTACCGACGGGGATATGACAGGTTGGGCTAAGCAGGCTGCTACGTCTCCACCCAACAAGCAACTTTCGCCCCCTATCGAGTTCAAGGGAAAGACTGTCATTATTACTGGGTCTGGTGCAGGGCTTGGTAGAGCTTATGCTTTGATGTTTGGCGGTCTCGGCGCGAATGTGGTCATCAATGATGTGGTGCAGGATAACGCTGCCAATGTCGTCAAGGAAGTCGAGGCTCGTACGTTCTCTTTCATGCTCAGCGTACGTCGCTGACTCGATATAGTCGGCGGAAAGGCTGTGGCAGCAGTGTGCTCTGCTGAAGAAGGCGAGAAGATTGTCAAGGCCGGTGTGGATGCCTTTGGCACCATCGATGTGCTTGTGGCCAATGCCGGTATCTTGCGAGACAAGGCTTTCGTAAACATGACTGAGCAATTGTGGGACCAGGTCATCCAGGTCCATCTCCGTGGCACTTTCAAGGTGAGATCCCTCCATCAATGCCAAGCTCGAAACTGAACGACTGGTAGTGTGCCAAAGCGGTCTGGCCCATCTTCGAAAAGCAGGGACACGGTCGCATCATCACCACCGCCTCCCCTAACGGCATCTTTGGCACAGTAGGCCAAGCTAATTACTCTGCTGCCAAAGCCGCCATCATCGGTCTCACCAGATCTCTTGCTGTTGAGGGCGAAAACAAGGGCATCCACGTCAACTGCATCGCTCCCAGGGCTGCCACAGCTATGACGGCGACCGTCTGGACCAAAGAGTTGATGGACATCTTCAAGCCCGAGACGGTGGCGCCTGTCGTGGGATTCCTCGCCTCTGACGCCTGTGAAGATAATGGGACGTTCCATGAGGTGTTTGGCGGTTATGTGGGAAAGATGAGGTGGGAGAGGACTTATGGCGCCGTCTTCCCAAATGACAAGGAAGTGACGCCCGAGCAAATTCTCGGCAAGTGGAAGCAGATCACCACCTTTGACGATCGTTCCAGTCACCCCTCTTCACCCGCTGAGGCTTTGCAGCAAATCGTCGAAAATTTTGAGAATACTGCCCGAGAAGCGAGCGAGGGTGTGGAAAGCTTTGAGGATCCAGAAGACACGGAGGAGATCAAGGCTGCCAAAAAGGTGGAACCAGAGGCGCACGAGTTCCCTTACCAGGAGCGCGATGTCATCCTGTACAACCTCGGAGTCGGCGCCAAGGTCGAAGAGCTCCAGTGGGTCTATGAGAACGCTGATGGGTTCACTGTGAGTCTACTGCCGTCGTACGCGGATTTCGGCTGACGCCAGCAGGCTCTTCCTACTTTCGGAGTCATTCCCCAATTTGGCAGCTCCCACACGATCGACATTGGCTCTATCGTCCCCAACTTTAACCCCGCAAAATTGCTCCACGGCGAACAATATCTCAAAATCAAAGCTCCCATTCCCACATCTGGCACCCTCGTCAGTTATGCCCGCCTTCTAGAGGTACTCGATAAGGGTAAGGCTGCTTCGGTGACTTATACCATCGAGACAAAGGATAAGGGGACGGGCGAGGTCATCTTTGAGAATCAGAGTACCACTATTTTGAGAGGCAGCGGCGGGTTCGGCGGAAAGAGGAACGGTAATGGTGAGCTTGCACTATCGTGCAAAGATGTCTGGCTGACGCGTATCAGACCGTGGCGCAGCGACTGCTCTCAATGCGCCCCCAAAGAGGAAGCCTGACGCGGTCATCGAGGAACAAACAACTCTCGAGCAGGCCGCCATCTACCGTCTCTCTGGCGATTGGAACCCTCTGCATATAGACCCCGAGTTTTCCTCTATTGGTGGCTTCCCCAAGCCTAGTAAGTCTATCCCTGTCTCGGCTGGGGATTATACTGATGAAATAAAGTTCTTCACGGTCTTTGCTCGATGGGAATTGCAGGCAAGCATGTACTCAAAGCTTTCGGGCCTTATGAGGATATCAAAGTCCGTTTCGCTGGGACTGTCATCCCGGGAGAGACGCTGGTCACCGAGATGTGGAAAGAAGGCAACAAGGTCATCTTCAGTAAGTTCCAAACAGCTCATCCCGAAATTGGCGCTGATGAGATTGACTAGCCACCAAGGTGAAAGAAAGGGGAGCACCTGCTTTGAGTAACGCGGCCGTTACCCTTGTGGAAGGGGAGAAGCCCGTGAAAGCCAAATTGTGATCTTGTTGGAAAGTGTCTGCAAATAGTCTCGAAAGGAAAGGAGGAGTGGGTTTGCCTGGTAAATGTTTGGTGTCCTGTCTGGTGATGATTGTTCGCTGCTCTTGTATCCATGCATGTGTTTTTCTAGTCACAGTAGTTTGGTGAGATTGAAGAACATCGTTTGACTTGGCCATATATCTGGTCTCACCCAGATGACCACTTCCCTTACGGTGTATCTTTGTCTTTTACTTTCTACTCCTTGTCTTCATTCATGATAGTATCGCCATTGTTCGCTGTCACATCCTTACTCGAGCACTCTACTGTAAGTACGAGTACGCTGTTCAATTGTCTCCGCCCAGCTGGCTCGGCCGCCGTCCGCCGTCGCGTCAGTCTGCATATGATGTCAGTGTGCTCTGTTGTCTGAATGCGCTTTCTGACGGTGAATACAAGCAACAACTGTATCATGTCGACTTCATCCAATTACATTAAGGCTCTGGTCGTACCACAACCAGGCGTGTCAGTACAGCAGATTCCTAAAGAGACGAGTTCACTGGGCTAATTTGGGCCGGTCAGAGAGCATTACCACCTCCAGCACCTCCCCATCCCCGTTCCTAAGGCGAATCAGGCTCTGATCCGCCTCCGGGCATCTGGACTATGTCACACAGACTCGATAGTCCGTGATGGCAGCTTTGGGGCAAATTGGCCGTTGATAGGCGGCCACGAGCCTGCAGGTGAAATTGAGGCGCTCGGAGGTTCAACGAGTGGGCTGAATGTCGGCGAGAGGATTGTCGCACTTCTTCCTAGAGATCTCTGCGGTTGGTCCATCTCATTCTGTCTAAATACGAGGACATACAAAATGAGGGACTGGGGGTTTATATAGAGCCGATACTGACAAAGATTTCGCCAGGCAAGTGCCCCGATTGCACACTAGGGGACTGGAAGTGGGTGACCCTTCTATCTCGTAGATACCTTGTACGCTTATGGTGTCAGATACTGCAAAAAAGCCAGCCTTGGTGGTATCAACGCCGACGGCTACTTCAGTCAATACGCGGTCGTGGAAGCCAAATTATGTGTTCCATTGCCAGCCAACATGACTTTTGAGCAGGTCTGTGGTTCTGCTTTGTATACTGTACAGGCGCTGATCGTGCCCATAGGCAGCCCCGCTGAGCTGCGCGGGAGTCACAGTATATACCGCTATCAAAAAGGCTGGCCTAAAAGCAGGAGACGTCATTGCGATCAGCGGCCTTGGAGGACTCGGGTACCTGGGTGTACAGATGGCGAAAGCTTTGGTACGTATGTTCGAATTGAACTGAGGGATCTCGCTCATGCATGAAATCAGGGGCTGAAAGTTGTAGCAATCGATGCTCGACCAGAGCCGTTATCACTCGTCGGTAAACTAGAGGCCAGGCTTCGCCCAGACCTTATTGTCGATGCCAGCTCGACAAACGCAGAAGATATCGTGCAAGCCATCAAGACTCTTCGGGATGGCAACTATGTTGGTTGGGAAGGGGTTGACGGTGCGCATTGCCACGGGTGGCGGAAAGAAACTCATCAATATCTTAGCTTCCGTCCTCACATCCCCCGCCCCATCATCCTATGGCTACGCTGCCAATCTCACGCGGTCTCACGGTCTCTTGGTCCTTATAGCCCAACCGCCAAAAAAGCTCGACTTTGAATATCCTCTTTTCCTCGCCAAAGATCTGACTCTGAAAGGTTCACTGCATGGCAATGAGGTTGATCTGAAGGAGACAGTGGAATTGTGCGCCAAGTTTGGCATCAAATCGGACGTCAAAACATTCACGATCGATCAGCACGAATTAATGTTGGACGAGGTTCAGCACCACAACTGGAAGGGAAAAGCTGTCCTTTTGTTCTGATAGGTTGATACTCAGGCTAGTCCTTGATCATATATAGTCCCATGTACATGAACGACCTAAATGAAGACTATTCTGCAATCTCCGTAGCTCATGATGTGCACTTTAAGCACCCTCAACCCTCTTCTTGTATACAGTCGTGGCAACGACGATGGCCTCGTCAATCTTAGCAACTTCGCTTCCAACACCAGTAGCACTGTCGTCTCGTCCACCGCCCTGTTGATTATGTCAGCTGGACTCCAAAAAAAGAATGCGAGGCTTACCTTTCCACCAAGAACCTTGGCTACCTCGTTCAACCAGATCTTTGCATCAAGCTTCTTTTCCGCAACGACCTCCTTGGGCAAGTAGTTGATATGGGCGACTTTGCCAGTCTCGGGATCGGCGCTGAAAGCGTAGATGGCTTTACCGGTAGCCTTACCAGCGGTAGCAGCAGCAGCCAAAGTTTTGGAGTTGCCTCCGACGTCGAACGAGGCGGCAAAGACGTTCTCATTAGGGTTCTCCTTGAAGTAGGCTTTGATTGTCTCGGTCACCTGTGCGGTGTGAGTCAAGCTGGACGATGGAGAGAAAGAAAGACTCACAATCTTGGAGTCGGCGGCGATCTTGGCTTTGGCAGCAGCCGCAAGCTCTCCAGCCATCTTCTCAAATTGCTCTTTCAAGACGCTCTTCTTGATCAGGGAGATACCGCTCTGACCGAGTTCCTACACATCGTTCGTTAGTGCCGGGTCGTGACCTCAAAAAACAAGACTTACAGTCAAGAACGGTTTCATCGCAGCCTCCTTTTCCTTGCCCTGCAGCCCTCGGATGGTCTCCAACTTCCTCTCATACTCGACAGCCTTTCTTGAGACTTCATGGGCATCGTGCCCGGTAACAGCAACTACACGCCTGATACCCTTGGCGATTGAAGACTCCTCAACAATGACAAAGTCCTTGATGTCGTCCGTCTTGGCAACGTGTGTACCACCGCAGAACTCGATACTCGTGGTCGCCCACCTCTTGTCCTCGATGTTGGCAGCGATTTCTTCCAGAGGGAAACCAATGGAGACGACTCGAACAGGGTCGGGGTAAGCCTCACCAAAGACCGCACGAAGACCAGGAATCTTCTGCGCCTCAGCCAAAGCCATCTCCTTTGAGTAGACAGGGGCGGCCTTCTTGATCCACTCGTTGGAAATCTCCTCAATCTTGGTCAATTGAGGAACGGTGATGGATTTGCTGTGGGAAAAGTCGAAGCGGAGCTTGGTGGGCGCAACAAGGGAGCCTCGCTGGTCGATGTGGTCGCCGAGAACCTCACGGAGGGCAAAGTTGAGGATGTGAGTACCGGTGTGGTTATTACGGATGGGCCATCGTCGGAGCTAGACAGTGTCAGCGCAGCGCTATGCCTCTTTCCGCGTGACTCACCTCGTCGTAGGTGCAGATCACCTCGTCTCCAACCTTGATCTCACCCTCTTCAAGCTGACCAACGTGCAAGACATAGCCGTTGTATACCTGCACGTCGGCGACCTTGAACTCGGCCTGACCATCGATGGCGAGCACACCAGTGTCATACTCTTGACCACCAGACTCGGCGTAGAAGTTGGTCTTGTCCAAAAGGACACCAAAGACAGAGTTGGGAGGGAGTTCAGAGGTGGAAGAGTAGAATTTGGAAGAGTGGTAGATGCTCTTGACAGTGGCGGTAATGTCCTCGCGGCCGTACTTGGCAGAGTCGTCGGTTTTGGGGACGGCGTCGTTGGCCTCGAGAGCACCCAAGTCGTGCACATCAAGCTTGACCTGGGCACCAGTCTTTTCCTTTCCGCCAGCCTTACTCGCCTCGAGCGACTCGAGCCTGGCCTTTTCGAAAGCTTCCTCGTCGACCTTCAATCCACGCTCCTCCGCCATAATCTGAGTAAGATCGACGGGGAAACCGTAGGTGTCGTACAACCTCCAGATGTCCTTTCCAGAGAGAACGGTCCTCTTCTCTTCGTGAGCAAGGGCGGCGTACTTGTTGAAGAGGGCTTCGCCTCGAGTGAGGGTTCGGGCGAAAGAAGCCTCTTCCTCGTCAAGAATCTCGATGAGCTCCTTGCGCTTGCTGTTGACCTCGGGGAAGATGGGTTCCTACACAATTTTAGCGAGGCTTCATGTGATAGAAGGTACGCACCAGAGACTCGATGACAGTAGGCACAAGGGAAGAGAAGAATGAACCGATCTTGACGTTGAACTTGCTGCTCGCGTATCGCACACCTCGTCTCAAAATTCGTCGGAGGACATAGCCTCGGCCGTCCTTGTCGGGGACACCGCCGTCAGAGATGGCAATGGTCAGGGTCCTGATATGGTCGGCAATGACCCTGTAGGCAGTGTCGATGCCGTCCTTGTCGGCCTCTCCAAGCTTGCCCTCGTAGGCTCGCGCACCAGTCAACTCCTGGATTTTGGCAAAGATGGGAGTAAAGACATCAGTGTCATAGTTGGATCGGACATTGTGGAGGACAGAGACGAGACGCTCGAAACCCATACCAGTGTCGACGTGCTTGGCAGGAAGGGGACGGAGCTCGCCGGATTGTTCTCGGTTGTATTGAATGAACACATTGTTCCAAATTTCGAGGACGTCGGGGTCGTCTGCGTTGACGAGATGGGCAGCTTCACGGCCGCCGATGCGGTCAAAGTGAATTTCGGAACAGGGACCGCAAGGGCCAGTGGCACCCATTTCTACAACATGTCAGCATTCTCGTTTTCTGGAAGCTCTTTCACGTACCCCAGAAGTTGTCCTTGGCGTTACCGGGCAAAATATGGCTCTCGGGAACACCGAGATCTCTCCAGAGCTGCTGAGCCTCCGTGTCGGGCTCCAGGCCCTGTTTAGCATCACCTTCAAAGTAGGTGACATAGAGTCTGTCTTTGGGGAGGCCATAGACACGGGTGAGGAGATCCCAGGCCATGGTGAGGGCGCCGAGCTTGAAGTAGTCGCCGAATGACCAGTTGCCCAACATTTCAAAGAATGTGTGGTGGTAGGTGTCCTTTCCCACATCGTCGAGATCTGCACCTTATCAGTATCGGCCCAAAGGATGTCCGGGTATTCCGGGTACATCGAGTCGAATTGACTGACCGTTGTGCTTGCCACCCGCGCGGATGCATTTCTGGCTGTTGACCGCTCGGACCAGCTTGGACAGGTCGCTCTTGGGGTCGGCGGTGCCCAGGAAGAGCGGCTTGTACTGGTTCATACCCTGTGGGATGTCAGCGAGATCGAGTAGACGGGGAAAAGGAAACGTACAGCGTTGGCAAAGAGAAGGGTGTCATCGTCAAAGGGGATGACTCCACTCGATTTCCAGAAAGTGTGCTCAAATTGAGGTTGCTTTTGGAAGTACTCGATAAAGGTCTGCCTGACCTTTGCGGCGGGCCACTGTTCGGGCACAGGCCAGGCGTGTGGGGGAGTGGTAGGGACAGTAGGCTTGTCGTTGGCGCCCATTCTGAGTCTGGTGGGGTGGGTGGTGGTAGTTGTAGCAAAAGACCTGAACGAGAGGCGAGGGAAAGAGCTAAGCTGAGTGATGACTGTGCGAAGTGTCGAAGGGGGGAGCATGCACCGATGCTTTATAGGGCGTGACGATGTTTGCCGGCTCGAAAAGTGGCCTGGAGAAAAGCGACCAGAGATGGAGGACGAAAGGAACAAGACAGAAGTGATGTTCGAGAGCAGCGAGGAGTCGAAAGTTCGAAACCTTTGCTCGCCGGGTGTCCCGATCGGGCCCTTTCCCCGGAGCTTGGTTGGTGGTCATCGTTCTCTCGTCCTTCCTCGTTCTTTCTTTCTTTCTGCAAGGAATCAGGTTCGCCACAGCATAGTCCCAATGCTGCAGCCTCCGTAAGGCATTGGTAAAGCACATGTAGTTGACCCGAACCCCTCATCTAGTGATAACCGGCTTGCGCCGAAGATAAGATACGTTATCAACTCTCGTCAACTGACACGGGTTCCCGTGGTATTGCTGCTTGACAATTGCTCGCAGATTCACTCTCATACTCTATAAATCGCCAAATATCTCGATCTGTGGCAACCGGAGCTCCTCAGACATGGCCGACGCCTGGCAGTCCAAAGCTGCCCAATATCGACAAAACCTCCAAGAGTCCATCCCTCCCGAATGGAGGATTTCGGTCACCCCATCATGCTACCCCGTTTCCGAATACCTCTCCCAAAGCTCCCTCTTTACCCATACCGAGCAGTCGATTCTCAGATTGGATGCCACCGGCCTTCGAGACGCCATCGCAGCTCGTGAATTCTCAGCATGCTCTGTTACGGTTGCATATGCCAAAGCCGGAGCGGTAGCCCATCAGACGACCAACTGCTTGTTCGATTTCTTTCCAGAGGAAGCGATCCAGAGGGCAAAGTGGCTCGATGAAGAGATGGAAAAGGGCGGACCTGTGGGGGCTCTGCACGGGGTGCCGATATCGGTCAAGAGTGGGTCTTTATGGCCAGTGGATATTCAAGGCTGATTTGGTCGATAGGTTCTTTCGGCATCAAGGGGCATCGAATGACACGGGGATTCCTCAGCGACGTCGACAGTGCGCCCGCAGAAGAGGATGCTACCATCATCTCCATCCTTCGGAACGCCGGGGCTGGTACGTATCCTTCTCGGTCTATCCCAGAATCATGCTCAAAATCTACAGTGTTCATCCTCACCACCGCCCTCCCCCAGTCCATCATGCACCTAGAAACAGACTCTTTCCTCGGGCCTTGCTTGAACCCGCACAATCCCAAGCTGACTCCCGGCGGAAGCTCGGGAGGGGAGAGTGCCATTATTGCTGCTGGGTGCAGTGTCCTAGGGTGAGTCGCACAAATAGGTATCAACTGCTGTGACTGATGTGTTATAGGATTGGATCTGATATCGGTGGGAGTATACGAGCTCCCGCTGGAGCCGCTGGCATATTTGGATTCAAGCCCACTGCCATCCGTCTTCCCAAATTTGGTTGTACCGTACGCCTCTTTCCCCGCTCAAGTTCCCAGCTCATCAGGTATAGTCGATGATGCCTGGCCAAGAAGCAATCCCAGGTGCCTTTGGTCCGATGGGTAAATCTCCTAGGGACATGGAGCTGTTTGTCCATACTGTCCTCCAAGCAGAAACGTGGAAGACGGACCCCACCCAAGCAGGGATGCCCTGGGTTCCTGGACGGGTGAACTGGGTGGGAGGGGACAAACTGAGGGTAGGGGTGATGTGGGATGATGGAGTGGTCGTGCCGCAGCCACCCATTCAACGAGCACTAAAGACGGCTGCAGACTCGTTGAAGAAGGCAGGGTATGAGGTGGTGGATTTTGAGCCATTCAAAGCTGCAGAGTCTTGGGAACTCGTCGTAAGCACTCGCGGTCTTGAGAGCATTCTGATGACATGATAGTCGTCGCTCTACTTTACTGATGGGGGAGCTCGAATCAACAAATGTGCGGCAGAGTCGGGCGAACCGGTCTTGCCTCTTACCAAGTGGATCATGTCACAGAATTCCCGAGAGAGGACGATGGAAGAGCTTCATGAAGTAAGCTCTTTCATGTCTACTCTACTGAGCTGATTGTACAGCTTGTGAGAGCACGAGATAAATTCCGAGCAAATTTCAACCACCACTTGTCAGCTTCTGGCGTCGACATCATACTATCTCCCACGGGCTATGGGCCGGCCCAGCCCTTAGGCACGACAGCCTACTGGTCCTATACATCCATGTGGAACCTCTTGGATCTTCCTTCGGCAAGTTTTCCCACCGGCCTCTTTGTAGATGTTGCATTGGATGGGAAGCAGACAAGGGAGATGTATCTTGGCGAGAAAGATGCAAAGATTCATGCTAATTGTAAGTAGGCAGTCACCCTTTAAGACAATTTTATGATTGACTGCCGCGTCAGATGACCCACACCTGTTGGTGGGTGCACCTCTGAGTCTGCAAATTGCAGGTAGTCGATGGGAGGACGAGAAGGTAATGGAGGCATTGGACATGGTATCTCGGGTAGTGCAAGGGGATACACAGTAGGATGGACGATGTATCTGTCATAAGATGTCCGAAGCTCAAAGAGCGTTTGAAGAAGCAACGCGTCACGCGACGCGTTCATGTTTTTGCTTTTCGTCGGTGCCTGGTTTCAGTGTTGCTGTCGTTGGGCATTGACGCAGCTTTTCGAGGGCCGAGGGGGGCAGCGGGCGGGGGCGGGAGGGGCATGGGGCATGGGGGATGGGCAGATGTGCTCCCATGCATGCATCCCACAGCCCAGCGCCCCATGCATCCCCCCTGCAGCATTCCTCTTCCACTAGCTCAGGGCGGCGTCGTTCGGCGAGCGCCCCCTTTTCTCCCGTCGTCTTGTCCCTTCAGTCTTTCATCCCTCTTCCTCCTCTCTTCTCTCCATCGTCTGCACCTGTACCGCCCCACGTCCACCCTCGCCTCGTCCTTCTCCTTCTCCCTTCTCCCCCTCGACTATACCCCACCGCTTTCTTTCGCCATCGCTCGGCACAGCACAGATCGGCCCTGGCAAACAAAGCTACCAACCTCGCGATCCTTCGCGATATCACGCTCTCTATCCCTCCTCCCGTATATCCGCCATGCCTAGGCTCCCCCTCCTCCTTGCCACCGCCACCCTCGCTCTTCTCCCGGGCCTCTCGGCCTTCTCATTCTCTTTCAGCCACGGGCCAGCCTCTTGTGGTCAGGCGGTAGTCAAATGGTCGGGCGGCCAGTCGCCCTACTCTTTGACCATCATAGTAAGCTTGAGCCGACAGGCGGTAAAGTATAGCTGATGCGAATTCAATAGCCTGCGTATGACTATCCAACGACCGTTAGTATACCCGACAGCGCATACGATGATGCATCGGGCACTGGTTCATACAATTGGACGGCCAACTGTTTGTCTTTCCAAGCATTGAGGAGATCGTGTTGCTGATTCACATCCCAAAGATCCTTCCGGAACGCAGTTCGTCGCCATGATGTCTGATAACTCTGGTACCGGTGTAGGTCGCCTCATGGACTAGCAAAGCAACCGCTGACGCTCGTAGACTGGGGGCGTGTCTGAGCTGTTCAACATATCTAGCGCATCTTCAAAATCCTCGTGTGATATGAGGTCAGAGGAGACTGATTTCTTGTAAGTGACTAGCTTTCCACTATAGACATAGCTAATATGCTCTAGGTTCTATCTCAATGAGACTTCTCTTACTGTGAGCCCAAGCGATGTCAAGATTGGGCTGTGCTGATGACTGTGCAGCAATGTCAAGGTGTAGAAGTGTATTGGGACGATTCTGCTGTGTCTCCCGTGTCCATCATCGGTGCCATCCCTGGTGGACAAGTTTTTCAGCTCGTGTCGAGTGATGAAAAGACCACTTCCATGGGTAACTCGGGGCATTGTGAACACGGCGATTCAAGCTGACATTTTTACTAGTCTGGAGTACCAACGTCCAAGCTGGGACGGATGTCATATTTGCTGCCTTCGACTCTGGTACTCATCTCCAAGGAGGCACGAGCGACATCCTGACCATCCAAGGATCTGGCGACAATTCTTGCATAGATGACTCTTCGCCTTCGTCAACGCCAGCGGCTTCAACGGCAACGCAGACTGGGGCGTCAGGTGGTACAAAGACGAATGCGGGAGGTGTCAAGACGGTCACTGCTGTTACCACGCAGACGGCATCCGCAGCGAGCGGTGCTGCAGGGTAAGTCTTGAATACTTGCATGTCATATCTCTGACGTCCCCACAGCCTTTCCACTGGCGCCATCGTCGGTATCGTCATGTCTGCTGTAGTCGTTGTCGGTGCTATCCAGATTGCTCTCCTCTGGTTCTGCTGCCGCAAACAGATTCGTGCGCTCATCTACCACCGCAAAGAAATGCGCGGTGCGGAGATCAAGCCTAGTGGCGGTGTCGATCTTGGGCTCGCTTCTCGCGCTTCCTTTGCTTCAGGGCGCGAGAACGATACGGGCATGGGTGAACTGGCCGGTACTGAACGTCGAGGTAGTCGCTACAGCACTGTGCGATCTCACAACGCTGGTGACGATTTCGACGCTGCGTCCTCCATCTCTCCATTCTGGGACGGCGCCGCCGCCATCCCTCCCTCTGGCTCTGTCATGTCTCTGAACGCCCTCGGCAACGGCCGGCCTCCCACGATAGGCTCACTGGGCTTCGACTCTGACGGGGAATCCCTTCGCCCTCCCCGCGGCCCTTTCGGGAGAGATCGCAACGACTCGCTCTCCTCCTTCACCCTCACCATCCCCGAAACCATTGACGAATCCGGCCAGCCCTCGCCCGCATACGAGGCCGCCCATCCCTCTCCCGCCCTATCCAACTCTTCCAATTCGCCTCTTGTGCCCACCTCTGCTGCTCTTGGCGGCAGGGGCAACATGTCAAAGGCGCAGATGGCGGCGAGTCTCAGCGCACAGAATGCGGAGAGAGAGGGTGAGAGGGATGTGTACTTTGGCGCTAGGGTGCCGCCTCCGGAAGCGCCGCCCGGTGGATTCAGGAGACACGTTGATGCGGGGGCTGTCGAAGATCTGCCGCCCATGTACCGACCAGAGTGGGAAAACAGTCCCAGGAATAGCCAACACGAGCGAGAATAGCGGCGCGACGTGCAAGTCAGACCTTGATGGGATGTGTATTATCTCACTACTATATAGACGGGAGGTTTGGAAACATGGACCTTATAGTATACCTTGTAGCTATCTTTATTATGACGAATCACCAACGATGAATGTTGCACACGCTCTTTTGTTCTGCAACCAAGCTTGTACAAGGACAACGTAGCATAGCGTTTCATAGATATGCATGACCGGAAAGTACAGATGCAAGGTCTGGTTTTGGAGAGATGTGTAGGGGAAGAAGAAACGGAAGGAGTTGCTTAGAGCTCGTCCTTGTTGGCGTCGGGCTGCGGAACGATTAGCATCAGATACAACTGACTGACAACAAGCAACTCACCCTAAGAGCTCGGACGGTCTTACCGGCCCTCCAGATCTCCTGGTTGTCAATCTCGTCAAGCTCCTTCTGGAGGTCCTCTCGGTAGGTCTTTCGGCCGTTGAACTCGAGGGATCGTCGGGTCTCGGAACCGTCCTTGACGGACTTGTAGAGAGCCTCAAAGACGGGAAGGTTGGCCTCCTTGAACCTGGGGGCCCAGTCGAGGGCACCTCGTCGGGCAGTGGTGGAGCAGGCGTTGTACATGTAGTCCATACCGTACTTGCCGATGAGGGGGAAGAGGGACTGGGTAGCCTCCTCGACGGTCTCGTTGAAGGCCTCGGAGGGGGAGTGGCCGTTCTTTCGGAGGACCTCGTACTGGGCGAGGAACATACCCTGGATACCACCCATGAGGACACCTCGCTCTCCGTAGAGGTCAGAGTAGACCTCCTTCTCAAAGGTGGTCTCGTAGCAGTAACCGGAACCGACGGCGATACCGAGGGCAATAGCCTTGTCCTTGGCCTGACCGGTCACGTCCTGGTAGACGGCGATGGAGGAGTTGATACCTCGGCCCTCAAGGAAGAGGGTTCGGACAGTTCGGCCAGAACCCTTGGGGGCAACGAGAATGACATCAACGTCCTTGGGGACCTCAACGTTGGTCTGTATAAAGTGTCAGCCGGGACTCTGTGCTTTGTATATACAACTTACGTCGTTCTTGTAGACGACGGAGAAACCGTGAGAGAAGTAGAGAGTCTTGCCCTTGGTGATGAGGGGAGCGATCTCGGACCAAGTCTGAGACTGGGCGGCATCGGAAAGAAGGTTCATGATGATGGAACCCCTGTGGATAGCCTCAGGGATGTCGAAGAGGGTCTCTCCGGGCACCCATCCGTCCTCCTGAGCCTGCTTCCAGGACTCACCACCCTTTCGGACACCGACAATGACCTTGAGGCCATTGTCACGGGCGTTGAGGGACTGACCGTGGCCCTGAGAGCCGTAACCGATCATAGCAAGGGTGTCGTTCTTGAAGAACCTGCATAGTGTTAGTCGGCAGTTCAGTGTAGGTTGCGCTCGGGCATCCTTATCAGAGCGATTGCAGCAAGCGAACTTGATCGCGAATCCGCGACCGCAGAAAAAAAATCCCCACGTCAAGAAAAAAAACAATGCTTACTCCTGAAGCTTGTCGAGGGGCCAGTCAGCACGCTCGTAGACGTCCTCCTTGGTGCCGGCAAAGTCAAGAGTCTTGACACCTCGGGTGGCCTGCAGAGTTGTATAAGCGGATGAGATGACGAGATCTGGCGGTGACTTACACCGAGTCGGGTAGCCATGGCCCTGGGGGCAGCGCCGGTGAGGAGGGAGTAAGACCTGACGGCGGCACCTCGGGAAGCCCTGGGGGCGGTGGTCCTGAGGGCCTGCTTGAGGGCGGAGGCAGAGGATCTGGAGAAGGACATTTTAGGAGGATTGGTGGAGAAAGAGAAATGATTTTTGTGAATTTGGACACTCCCATAGGTCGAGTCAACTTCGGCCGCAATTTGCTATCTGGGGGGCCGTATACGGTGCGGGGCTCCTACGGAGGCGGCAGGCCCCGCAGCGCTCAGGCGGCACCTGCCGCGCAGTGTTCGATGGATGTTCTGTTCTCTCTCTGTCATACCCAGTAGAGAGATGAGCGTGAAGGCTGAGTACGTAACACGCACCCCGGGCCCACTGACGCTCCCAGACAGGACCTCTATCTCGACCCCTCCATCAGGGTACGCACTCCCCCTCCACCCCGTCCCCGCCGATGCTGACCCCGAGTAGGACTGGGTCCTCGTACCCATCACCCTCATCATGGTCAGCAATTCCCACCGCCCCCACACCCATACTGACTCGCGCAGCTGCTCGTCGGCATACTCCGCCACTATGTCACCCAGCTTCTCAACTCTGCTCCCAAAAAGCAGTCCGCGGCTGCTGTTCGCGAACAGTGAGTCCCATCGTGCTCTGTATGATCGGTCTCACCGTGGCTTGCAGACGAGCGCTTGGCCGGTCAGCAATCCTGAGAGGCACATCTACCCTCTCTCCCATACCGCCTGCCGCGTACAAGGCCCTTTCAGCCTCTCTCGCCGCGGCCCTCTCCTCCGACGAGTACATCAAGCCCGAGGATGTCAAGAAGGAAGGCGATGCTCCGCCCAATCCTCTTGAAGGTGCGGGTATGGAAAGCGCCATGGACGGGATGAAGAAGCAGGCTGTTATGATGTGGGTTGTCTTCGGTCTTGGCGACCACCAGCTGATCTAGCAAAGGGTGCCCAATATGGTGCTCATGCAGTACATCAACATGTTCTTCTCTGGCTTTGTGCTGAGTGAGTGAATTTGATTCATAGTCGCTCGTCTAATTCTTTCTTAGTGCGATTACCTTTCCCCTTGACTGCCGGTTTCAAGTCTCTTCTTTCCCGTGATATCGCCATGGCGGATCTGGACGTGAGATGGGTCTCGTGAGTTGCCAGTTCACAACCAACGTAAAGCCTGACGCATTCCAGCGCTCTCTCTTGGTACTTTCTCAACCTCTTTGGTCTCAACGGCGTGTTCAAGCTCATCCTCGGGGCTGACAACGGTATGAACCTGTTCATCTCCTGTGTCCCTCATCTAATACACTCGTAGCCGCGGTAGACACCCGTGACCTCACTTCCACCGCCTCCCTCTCTGGTGCCGGTGCAGGCCCTATGGCTGGTCCTGGAGGCGCCCCCGATATGACCAAATTGTTCAAGGCCGAGGTGGAGAATCTGGCGCTCGCAGAGGGGTCGTACAAGTGGGTCGGTGAGGGGATTGAAGACAGGGTTCTTGCGGGATGGGGAAAGGTTTAGGGACTGTGCATGTATCGCACTCTTAGGGATCGCGCGCATGGCCAGGTTTGCGAGTCGAGACGTGGGCTTAACGTTGATTGAACAGCAGACCAACTGCGACGAATCGTGGCCAATAATCACTGAAATAGACAACGGCAAAGCTCGTCGCCATCCTCATATGAAGTATGTGACGTGCTATATGCTTTCTTCTTTCGCCATTGCTTTGCGTCCCTCGTAATTCTCGCGCAGAGAATAGGCCGTGAGGACGAAGCCTGATGTCTCATGGGCACGACATACACAAGTCGGATTACCATGGCGCTGGCGACGTCGTTCTGATCAGTTGGCACGTATAGGAGCGGTAGCTAAATAATAAGGCTATGGATACTGACCCCGACTTTCCAGGGACTGCGTACAGAACTCGAGGTCAATGACTGCCCGGGAGGTCTACTTGTACATGGCAGATTGTGCGCGCTTCAAATCTGTTCCCACTCGATCACACGATTGCTGGTAGGTAGAAGAAAAGTCAGCAACCCCAAGAATAGCGCACCTTGTCATCTCCTTTCTTGGCCTCCTTGAACCTTCTCTGCGCATTACAGCTTATAGACATGGGGGCATGCTCAATGATGCGCACCGACGCATCTGGCAACACTCGTTTCAGGTCAAGGCGCTGACAAGTCCATGTGCGCCGCGGTCGAAAGAGGCCATGCCGCACGAAACGTGGACATTGCGCGCGACTTGCCGGGCGGGGCGCCATCATCTGTCATCCTTGCCTATTTCCAGCACCGAAGCTAGGGCCAGATGTGCAATGGGCAGCCAAACCAACGGAATGAATCAACAAGAAGACGAACAACATGCGGTTTGAATAGCGCTCGTGGATGGCGCTTGTGATATCCAGCCGTAACCTAAGCCGTAACCTGAGCCGTAACCTGAGCCGTAACCTGAGCCGTAACCTGAACCGTAACCTGATCAAACTGACAAGCTGCGAGGATGCACAGATTGAACATGCCGTGACTTGAGCTATCCCTATCAGGCAGAGCTATGAGCTTTGCCGGCCGGCAAGGTAGTCTCCGGCCGCAGGCCCAAACAAGCAGGACGTGTAGACAAACGCGTAAACATCTCGTACATCTTACGAGAGAACCAATGTTCGAAAGAGGTTAGAAAATCAACAAAGTGTAATCACACACAACTGATTGGATCCTTTACGAGTACCGTATACTTGTTGATGCTTGAGATATGCTCAGTACATACTTGAAATATGCAGGCTGTAGCCGTCATTTTTCCTTGGCATGGCCATAAGACGCCTGCCTCTGCGCAATCTCACTCAACTCCAAATGTATCATCGTCATACAATATTATTGTACATGTACATTGGCAATCCATAGAAGGAGAGATACCGGTCGGCAACCATGTAGTCAGCAATTCCTCGGCCGACCTGGGCTTATGAAGCCTCCGGCACTGCTTACACGCCGAGGATGGACACACCAACGGCTGCCCTCTGCTTCCTGCGCCTCTTCTATGAGGGCCGGCCCATCGGCCGGTCACAAGTCGTGGGCAAATGAAATCTAGATCTCATGACCATACATCTTCATCATATGCAACCTTCATGTGCCCCGCCCCGCTACCTGGCTCCACAGTCCACAGAGCGCCTGCAGAAAGAGTTTGACCCCACAAAACTTATGGCGGAGGGAAGGTGGTCTTTGACTTTTTTTTTACCGGCGAGCCCTGCGGGCGGTGGACGGTAGAGGTGAAGATCCGAGATTGACGATCTGGTGATAAACAGCTGAGACATAAGCTCTAGGCCATATATGGACAGGGTTCATACCAGCCTTCGTAAATGCCGACACTAATCTCGGTTTTCGGCCCGCCGGCAAGCCAGCTTCATGGCAAGGAAGACACAAGAAAAAGTCAAGAGCGCTAGTGGTCGGGCATTTGCGGCTTAAAGCAGAGATTGGGTAGGGAGATAGAGAGTGTTTATGCTCTGTTTACGTGCATGCGAGATAAGTAAGCGAAAGCGGTAAAGAAGCAGAAGCCGGACAGAGGAGGGCCATCGTCTCTACCTCGAGATCCTGGCGTCCCGCGAAAGAGAAAAGTCACTGAGCTGCACAAATGAGACATGGGTACAAACCTCATCTGCTGCATGACACGCACAGGTTGTACCATTTTTGTCCCGAGGGCCTTGAGATTCAAGAGCGACTCTCAAAATTATCGCCCATTCATCAAATGAACACCGGACAGCTTCGGCAATTGTCGGCAGCCACAGGAAGTAAACACCCGGTGACCATTTAACCTGCGCGCACAAGCTCCGTACCATGATTCTGGAATGTACGATATATGTTTGCTTCATTTATTAGGTCTATTATTAGGGACTATGCAGTGAGAGCAGCAGACAGCAGACAGCATATGTGTATGCGTTCGATCGTACGGTAGCATCAGGTGATGGCATGTTGGAATAGTCTAGAAAGAAAGGAACAGTGGCTCGGGAGGACCAATCGAACACGGTTTGTTGCTTAAATATATCGACATTGTTTCTAGTACAGTCTAAAACTGGGGTGTCACGCCTGGAAGATGAGCCATGTACATAGACTCTTTTTCTCGATGTGTAGGGATGACGAGCGATGAGCAGTACGCTCGCGATCCTCTGTGGATGGGCAGGCTGAGGCTCGAGACATGGGAGGACGAAACAGGGGACGGGAATACTCGGCGCTCCGAGCATCTGCGTGCACGCGCCCCGCCTACAGTCGCGTCCAGTGCCTTTTGTACCGGCGTGTGCTAAGGCCTAGGGGGTACGACGTATGCGTGTAGAGAGCAGTTTCAGGGAGCCCTTTGGCCAATGCATGGCGTGGGTGGCGTGCATGGCGCAAGATATGTATGTCACCAATGTCGTCATCGGATGGCAGCAGGGTTTGGGCCTAGTGTGGTGATTGTGTTATCAGATGCGCTATCTCCCCGCTTACGGCTTTCGGCTTTTGCCAGCAGCTGCCGTTCTCCTGGATCTCCTCGTCTCCTGGCTATTTGCGACACCTTCTCATCCGCCCAAAGCTTGCCCCTAGTCCTTCCCCTCACACCCTCCCTGCATCCCTAGCGCACCCCAGCTATTTGGGGTCCTCCCTCCATGCCGGCCACCGCCGACCACCAGCTGCCCAGTAGGGTATATAAACCCCCCTCCAGAGCGCAGATTCCCCTTCTTCATCACATCTCCAGACACTACTTTCAAGCCTTGTTCTTATAATCCACCTAGCACTCTTCCATCACACGCTCTCTATCCAACCAACCACCATGCGATTCTCCACCCTCTTCGCCGCTGCCCTCCCCCTCCTTGGCTCTGCTCTCGCCGCACCCATCGTCGCCGTTGACGCTGACGCTGCCGCGGCCCTCAACGTACGAGACCTCTTGGACGTCGATGCCGATGCCAAGGCCGCTCTCAACTTGAAGCGAGACCTCTTGGACGTTGATGCCGACGTTGCTGCCGCTGTCGACTTGAAGCGAGACCTCTTGGACGTTGATGCCGACGTTGCTGCCGCTGTCGGCTTGAAGCGAGACCTCTTGGACGTCGATGCCGATGCCAAGGCTGCCCTCAACGTCCGAGACGTCGACTACGTCTCTGTGCTCCAGAGCCTCGAGTCCACTGTTGTAAGTGCATTATTCTCCCATTGTGACCTGACTGACATCTCATTCAGGGCTCCATCACTGCTCTTGCTGCCAACGCCACCGAGGACGAGGTTACCAAGGTCCTCACCACCGTCAAGGACACACTCTCCACTGCCCTCTCTGATCTTGGCCTTTCTTCTTCTTCTTCCAAGCGATCCGAGCGACTTGTTGCGTGAGCCCTCTTATTCTGTCTTGTTTGTACTGTTCTGACACGCGCACAGTCGTGACCTCACCGACGATGTTTCCAACCTCTTGGCTACTGTCATCCAGGACGTTAACACCATCGTGGCCCCTCTTGAGGACACCCTCTCTTCTATCCCCGCTGTCAAGGCTCTCCTCGACGAGGTCAACACTGCGCTCTCTTCTATCGTCAAGGGTCTCGATGAGATTCTTGGTGGCGTCCTCACCTTGGTCACCAACATCTTGAACGGCCTTGGTATCAACCTCTCCCCTCTCCTCTCTGGCGGTACGTCTCTTTGCTTTTCTCACATTTGCCCTGCTGATCCTTGCATAGTCCTCGGTCTCCTCACCGGCCTCCTTGGCGCTCTTTAAGCGCTGATTATCCATAATCATCGCTCCTTCTTGTCCCCTTGCCCGCTGTGCCGGAAAGTGCTCCTAAATTGTGTATAGTTACTATCATTATTCATTCCGTAAGAACTCCTTGAAAGTAGTGCAGATCGTTGTCCGAATGAAGATAATCATCCCTTCACACACTGCGCTGCTGTTTACTGATAGGTTGCACCCCGGAGCACACGGCTCATCAGAACCATACTCTTCCCTTTGACTATTGTGAGGTCAAGCTTTTGCTCCTACTGCTCGCTCATCGACTTGTATGTCACGCGCGAATGAAAGCCCTCTGGACCCTGAGTAGTGAAGGGTCCGGCAGCGTGACATCGGCGTCCCGAGCGTGCGGCAGACAGGACGCAGCACATGTATAGTTTGTGTTTCGAGTCTTTGATACATGTGTGCATACAGTAATTCGTCTAGTGGTAATCTGTATGAATCAAAAAGGGGGCAGACACAAGGCCGAGTGTACTCCACATAACAGTAACGAAATTAATGCGCGCGCAGCTTTCAGTTAGGATCAAATCCTCCCGACTTTCCTACCCCAAGGCCATGCAGATAGCGGTGAGGTGCCCATAGGCTGCTCGAGGCGGCGCGCAGTAGGACCGGAAGATCTCCGGCGACGCGATGAGACGCTCGCAACCGATGGTGTCACTCGGGTGATGCGCACTGTTGTACAAGTACATACTATCGACGCGAGAATTCCGACGAGGTCGCTTGACGGCGACGCGAGTGCCAATGCTGTGCTCTTCTGTACCCAAGGAGTCGGCTTTGAAATAATGCGCTGAAGCTTGGGAGCTTTCTCGCTCGAGCATCCGACGGAGTGTTGCAAGGGTACAGCGCTTCAGAGTCTACGAGAGTTGGTCATTTTGACAGGTGAGTATCTGAGCTCGGCCGACTCTCGAACTAATGTGCTTATCTGAGGAAGGGCAAGAATGTGCCGAGTACCCAAGCTGGAATAGAAGTGTATGAAGTGGTGGTACTGCGGACAGCATATACCATGATGACGGAATTCAAACTCAACTCGACAGGCACGGGTTACGTAATTGGCGATAAGATAAGAAGATGACACGTCACGCCAGTTTTGCGCCCTTTCTATGACCTCTTTCATTTCCGATTTACTCCACTGCCGCTTGAAAGACGGACAAACGTATTGCGGCTATACCGAGAGCTTTTGGGAGCGATGGCCTCTAATGCGTAAGCTATTCTTCGTCCTTCCAGAAACATCATGGCGCTGAATCTGGCTGGACAGAAGACCGCTGTGGCTTTGCTTACACGCGCCCGAGCGGCTGCTTCAGTCCTTGCACTGTACCCATAATATGTAGCTCATCGATATTGCTGGCGCTGTGTAGTCTGATCATGTGCCCTCCCCGTAACCAGACTCTCCTTCGGCAACTCGATCATCCGGAATATACACCGACTGCAATGCTCTTTCTGCCCACCTCCGAAGAGAAGCCTTCATTCAAGATCGGGAATCATGCGTTGGATCATCGACATGTGAGGCGGCCATCCTTAATCTCCTCTCACAACTCGCCACGCTTCCCCTCCATCTCCATGCGGGTGTGAGACATCCCTTTGGCCACCGGATATCTATCGCCGAATTCGCCCATCTCTGGCTGATGGGGACTTGAAGCGAAAAGCTGCCAGCTGGTAGTCAACGATGAAGGATATTGTTGGTTGATGGATGAGATCTAGTTTGATTAATCGGGCGTTCAATGCTGATGGTCGGAGTGCGGTTGGCAAGGGAGACTCTCGAGGGTCGGGCGATGTGAGTCGCATCGGAGGGTGATATGCGTATAGTGCATGATCATGTGCTTCTTGGCTGACAGGATACGATGTAGCACTGGCAGCCATGCTGTAGCCTGTGCAGCTGACTGATGTACTGACGCTTGCAAGCGGTGGAGTATGGGCGGGCGCACGGACATGCGGTGAGTGGGTGGTGTCTGCTGGGAAAGGAGGTGTCGCTGGGTGTTAGCGTGCGATCAGTTGGAATCAGATCCCGCCCAGCCCATTGCACTCCATGCGATCCCATTTCTCTTGTCCCTCTTCATCTTCTCCCACATACGCCCCGTCCCAGTCCCCCTCCTCCTCCCCCTCCTCCCATCCTCACCTCCACACTGCGCCCCCCATGCCCGACGACGCCGTCTTCGCCGGCTCCCAGGAAGCCAAGTCTCCCAAGAAGGTTTGTCATTCTCTGTCCTTCTCTCCCACCCTCACCCAGCGTCTGAGCCACGCTGATCTGATTGTCCCTCGGTCAGGCTCAAGGTCGCAGATCAGACCCTCTTGTCGCTTCCCCTGCCCCTTCGCATCCCAACGTAAGCACACAATCACACCCCATCCCGGCCAACTCGCACTTACCCACTCTTGTGTTGATCCACAGGATACCAACCATACAAAAGGCACAAACATCCCTTCCAGCCTCCTCGCCGTCTCCAAAACACCTCACCCGACCTTCACGCTCTCGACCAGGTCCTCTACCGAGTTTCCAAGCCTCTCCAAGGCCGTCCGGTCTGTCCCGGCTGCCCGCCAAGAGGTTCATCCCGATCCCAAGATGGCCCCTCAGCGAGAAATCCTCGCCAAGTCGCCGCCTCTGGGCAAGGATGATGACATTCTTTCCAGTCCTCCCATGACCGACGACAATCGAGCCCTGGTGGCGACAAGGGGCAAAGCAATCGCACCGGCCAAATATCATGCAGTGACCGGTACTTCGACCAACGGTCAGCATTGGCCCCTTTCTCGAAATCCCTCAAACGGCGCTGAGGGAGGCAATGTCCCTTCTCACCGGAATGACACAAACTCGTGGGCAGAGGATGACGCTATAGCCTCAGTCGACTGCCGCCGCCCATTCCCTTCCTCCGATTCCGGCGCCGGATACAACAGGCATCAGTCGTCTGGGGGCTTCAGAGGTGCGAGGAATGGGGGCATCAGGCCGAGGAGGACAGACTGGTGGAGAAGGGATCCGCACCCGATGTTTAGTCCCAAATATGCTGCTCAGAGGCTGCTTATCGAGTGAGCCTGCCGGATCTCTGCTGGCTGGAGTGACGAGGCTGACGTGATTTAGGTTCCCGTTGGCGATCAGTGTTGCTCATGCTAAAGCGGTTCTGGAGAAGCACTTTGAGAAGTATGGAGCTGTACACTCTGTGTAAGTTATTCTATTCAAATTGCCCAGTCTCAACAGTTGACGCTCCCCAAGTTATCATTACGATCAGACCGGCGACAGATGCTACAAAGGCTTTGTCGTATTTGAAGTACGTCCTATCCGCCGCCTGAGTACATTTCTAACACCGCTCAGGATCCCGTCAGCATTCAACGTGTGTTCAGCGATCCCTTGGCCAAAGTCTGTGATCTCACCCCCGACCCCGATACCGCCGAGTCTCGCGTAGACATTACCATTCGCCCCTCTGCTGCCTCAGACTTAGAGCGTATCGTGTTAATCCGCGTCACTGGCTCCCGTTCTCCCGAGGAAGCGAGGGACCGCCGTCAGGCGCACCACAAGCAGTACGATATCGAGCACAGGGACCGATACGAGGGTGCTCCTTCGCAGAGATATGATTCTGCGAGCTCGATCAACGCAGATGGGCTTGCGCTGGTTCACAAGGAGCTGTTACCTGAGAGGGTCAATCTGGATCAGATTCCATTCAAGGTGAGGACCAAGGAGCATCACAAGCTGTTCTCGTCGGTCTGTGTCCGTCAGATCAGCACCTCTTGGGAAGAGTTTGCGAGGCAGGTGGAAGAGGGGTGCGGTAGGAGGCCAGTGAATATCCGGGAGATCAGTGTGAGGCACTCTTCAGAGCATGAGGTCAGTTCTGGCAGTTGGAGTGAGGTGCATGGCTGATGATCAGACAAGTTCATTCCTCAGCTCTGTGATCACCTTGGCGAGGTTTGCAGCCTGCGTCAGCCTAGCGATAAATTCCCTGGTTGGCTGGTGACTGTCAGTGGGAGTAGAGACGGGAGACATATGATCCATGTTGGTGTTTAAGTGTATTCTTTAGACCCCCTGCTGACACAAGAGTAGGAATTGCAAAAGATCCCCGGATTCTTCGTCAGGTGGGCTGACGAGCGCGATGGTCTATTCAGCGACGACCCTAGCGCTACCACCCTCAAATGGCCTAGCCATTCCAACGCCCATCGCCCCCTCCCTCAAGACCGATCCTCTCCCTCGCCTTCTGACCCTGTCATCCACACCCCTACCACGCCCCACGCTACAATCCCCTCTTCCTCCTCCCTGACCATCCTCGGCCCCAGTCCGACGCATCCGACCCTTCGCCGCGCACTTTGGCACTCGTATCGCGGACGCACCCTTGTGCAAGATAATGCAAGTGGGGAAGCGAGATTTTTGGATGAATCTGCAGTGTTTGTTGGAAGGGTGAATAAGGATATGGAGAGCAATGCGAGTTTGCAGACCAGGTTTGGAAAGTATGGGAGAATTGTGCGTCATGTTTGCAACTTGAGAAGTAATCAGGAAGCTAATATAGTCACAGATATGCCTGGAATTCAATCCGAGGGGTGTGGCCCAACATGTCAACCATGCAACTGCAAGGGTGATGTATGACAACAGACAGTCTGCCGCTGATGCTATCGCCGGCGAAGTTGGTCTATCTGCCCATCAACGAGAATTTCTGCTAATGATTGTCCCAGAATGGGGCGCACTCGTTTGGGAGTTACCTGAGATGTGAGCTGAGGAAAGTCACCCAGTCGGATGTTCACGTGAGTACATTGACATCGCAGTATGGGAGATTCAGGCTGACGCAAGGTAGACGAGAGCGATATACGTTGACGCCAATAATCGTCCACTCAGCCCGGCCGATGTTGCCAAAGCCTTCCCCGACCCCAACCAGAGCTTCCCCAACCCGGCCATCGTCGACATCAAAGTTGCTCCCAGCCCCGAGTCTACTGCCGCACCGCCCAAGGCAAGACAATCGCCCCTCCCCTCCGCACCATTCGATACCCTTTCGCCTTATAACTCCGGTTACCCGTATGACATACCCCTTTCTCCTCAATTTCCGGGGATGATGCAAGGTCAAAATGAGAGGATTGAGGCCCAGATGGGCGCTCCGAGCCTTGGGCTGTCTGTAATGGCCGTACCAAACTTTGATCCCAGTGCCATCTTGTCTTTCAACTCTATGTGGGGCTTATCTCAGCCGAACGGTGTCCCTGCGCTGCAGCCTGTCTACGCAAACGGTTCTGGCCCCGCTAGCAGGAGTGTGAGCAATACCCCGCCCGCCCACAGGGTCCCCAAGCCCGACGAGAAGGACACTCCAATCACTACGCCCGCCACCCCTTCTCAGGACATCCCTTTCGCAACCATTGCGAAAATAATCAAACCAAATTCCCACAATCTGACGCCTGTCGGATTCAAGGAGGAGAATGGTATCTTCACTGCCATATATGCGGACGACGAGCTCAAATCGTACTGCGAGAAAAATGGTCTCCCTTACCCTCCGGAACGACATGTCACGCCCAAAAAGGAGGACGGACAAGCGAAGCTTGGTCCGGCATGGCGAGAGAGTTTACTGCCTATCCAGACCGGGGGACACGACCCTGCTAGTATCTCGCCGATGAGGAGGGGGTCAGAAGCTGCTATTTCAAAAGAGGATCGGCCCACCTTGACCAAGTTGAGGCTGCGGAGGTCGAGGAGCGATTATTCTCTGGACACGAGGCTCAGGGACGGGGACGTCTCCGAAGCTGTTTCGTCGTTCGGATCTTCCAGAGTTCCATCTCCGAGGGGTCTGTTATCAAATCATCATCCTCATGGCAGGTTGACTCCCACCGGAAGCTTCATCGATGACCCTATACCTGGTCACCATGTTCCTTATGTGGCCAGCACGCCTGCTGATATGTTCCAATTCCCGTCTCTCGTCATGTCTCCTCCCCCTCCGCCTGTCATGCCCCAAAACCTCATTCCCATTCCCATCCCTGTTGACACCCGCGCTTCGCCTGCGGATGAGCTCGGCAGAATGGGCCCGCCCTATATCTCAAGCCACTATCCCATCTACGACAGTCTTTCCTCCAGCGGATCGAGCGGGCCAGCGGGATGCTATTTGCACAACATGAACGGGCACAATGCGTCGATTGGGTATCCGAGCATGATGGGCTATGATGTGTATGCTCATCAGATGGCAGTGCAGCAACAACAGCATGCCATGGCGATGGGCTACCAGTATACCAAGCAACCCCCCCATGGGGGAAGGGAAGGGCCTGGAAGAGAGAATTGGGGTGGAAGCGGTTTTCGGGGCAATGGAGGTGATGTTCACTGGGCTGAGGGAAACGACTCGGGGAATGGAGCGGGTAACATGAGGAGGAATGACAGCAGCATCAAAGGGAGGACCAACAACTATGGGAGTATGCGAGGAAAAGGGAAGGGGGGCAGGAGGAGGGGACAGCTTTACCAGGGACAACAACCTAGCCGTCAGCAAGCACAGACGGAGTTCGCTGAAGGAGATTGAAGGTTCGAAAAATGTGAACAGGGGCTCTTTTGCAAGATTTTCCTTTTTTCTTCCCTTTTGTTGATATCCCTTTCCCCTTGATTGATTATTGGTTTATCGCATCGATTTTGTGAAGGCTAGAGTATAGCAGCCTTCTTGTTTCTTAAGTTCTTCTTTTCAGTCCGCCTTCGTCACACGTTCCTTTTCGAAAACGGTACCAAAATAGTAGAAGCCCTTTCGTATGAGTCTGTTGAATGTGACGGTTACTTGTGGTATCTGGAGCATACTTCGCAGCTGAGGCCTGCTGTGCTCACATTGCTCGTGCGCTATGAGAAAAAGGCATGATCATGGTGCCACGATCTTCAGCCAGCGCGGGACGATGTCTGGTATTACAATTGATTCTCATCTATAGCAGATATCACATCAGCAAGAGGCCATGAGATCATCTGTCGCAAGAAAGGCGTACTCCGTGCAAAGGAGGTGATGAGCACTTTCGTATGTCTGATCGATGGTGATGGATGTGGGCTCCAACTGCCAGCGTCCCGTCCGGTGATCATGATATCATATTAGTACATTAACGCACGACATATCCATTTCCAAAAGGATCCAGGCATGTGATCCAAACCAAATTAGCGCTTCACAATGCCGTTCGCCGGCGATGGGTTCACCCACCTTGGCAATAACATCGAAAACATTACGGACGCCTATGCTAATGTTTTGCCCGACGGACGCGACAAATTGGCTTCGACGCGACGCGTCGTCAGTCAGCGCACGACGGCAGGTCACGGAAGTCATCGCCCTGCTTTGTATGTCCAGCAACACTTTGCTCGTCTACGTCCATACTATTGGATCAGAACCATATCCTGTCTGCTCTGACTTCACTAGCATAACCATTGACACGGAAGCACAACTGGTGACCGTCACGCTTCCATCTGATACGTCTCGTCGAAGATCAGGCGGGGGACACTCGCAAACCCCTAAATCTACGAGCCGCTCTTACTCGATTCGATTCTAGGCAAAGCGCTATGTTACTGCAGCTAGCAGTCTGGAGCATCAAGGTTCAATAGCCATCACGGATAGGTCGAATCGAGGAGTCATCGCCGTTCGCCATCGCCGATCTTGTCAATTGTACGCTTGCGGGAAGCAATGGCCTGTCATTATGATATTCTATGACGAGGAGGGAAAAAACCTCAGGTGCGAGTGTCATCATCATAGCTGCAAGTTCAGAAAGCATGGTATATAAAGGACCCAAGTCGGGTTCAATCCCCCTCGTCCTTCATCTAAATCCAACATCGCTCTTCTTTCACAAACTTCATAAACACTTCTCATCACTTCATAACACTATGTCTGACTCTGCTCACCAGAACCACGTTATTGGCGGCTACAAGGCGTAAGTCTTCCCAAATCACATACTGTTCCTTTCTGATGCTCTTTAGCACCCTCAACAACCCCAACGTCTCCGACGAGGCCAAATCTCGCGCCAACGAGGTCATCGAGAACTTCCAAGAGAATGGTTCTTCCGCCATCGAGCAGTCCGACCAGGACAATGGCAATGTCTCTAGTGCAGACCACCATGAGAATCAGGTCCTTGGCGGGTACAAAGCGTGAGTTTGTCTCTGTTGAGGATCAACCTCGCTAATCTCCTCCCGCAGGACTTTGAACAACCCCAACGTATCCGAAGATGCCAAGCAGCACGCCCGAGATGTTCTCGACCAGTGATTTATGACATCAAGTCGTATAGCAAAGAAGTATATATTCAGAAGTTAAACATGTATGAAAATGAGTACTGCAGATAGCCCCCGTTCTGCATGGGCAAGTGATATTCCCTGGGATTAACTTTTGCGTTCTTGGGATCTGGACGGCAGTATGTTTGACACGAGAACATTGGGCAGAGAATAGCCCTCGTTCTGCATGAGGAAGGGATGTTTCCTGGGATTAAATTGGTCTTCTTGGAGCCTGGACGGCAGTATGTTCAACACGAGAACGATGAGACAAAACATTGCGCTGCCAGTGGGATGTAGTAGCTACCTTGACATACGTGTGAGCATGACATGACACTGGTATATGTGGCACAATAACCCAAACTACTATTATCCCAAAAGCAGATGTGGTATGTGTAAGTTGTACGAGCGCTTTGATTCCATCTATAGCAAATCATCCTTCTATCCAACCTTTTCTTCCCGTCCAGCCCCCGGCCCCCTGGAGATATCTATGTTTCAGCAACGTCTCCGCACTGGGCCTGTCCGCCGCATCAATCTCCATACACCTCCTGACAAGATCCGCTGCGTCACCCAGCCGCCCTCCGCCGTCATCTTCCAGGCCTTCTTCTTCATGGCCGTTTCCGCACCTAGCCATCAGAACCGTATCGGCCTGACAACCCTCTTCCAAACCCTTGAGAACCTCATCGGGTATCTCTGAAAAGGGAGTTTCGCCTACCAGCAGGACGTAGAACACCACGCCGAGCGCCCAAATATCCTGCTCCTTCCCACCATACATGTCACCTCTCAAGATTTCTGGCGAAGCATAGTGCAAAGTACCTGAAAAGGTATCCCACTTCTTGCCTGGCCGCCAGTGAGCGGCAGAGCCGAAGTCTATGAGCTGACAATGGCCGGAACCGTCGAGGATGACGTTTTCGTCCTTGATATCTCGGTGTACGATGCCATTGATGTGGAGGAAGTTGACAGCGTCGATGAGTTGGCCAGCTAAAGATCGAATTTCGAAAGCGTCCAACCCCAACGGCTGGGTCTCTACGCGGTCGAAGAGATCTAGGCCGGTACCGAAGCGAGGCATGACCACTACACAGTGATTAGTATCAAAACGAAGATCGTCCAGATAACAGACTCACGGTAGTAGAACTCCCTGTCTTCAAAGAAATCGACAAGTTTGCAGATATTGGGATGACCTCGCCTGGGCGACGTCTTGATCTCATCTGTAATATGCTTCTGCACCGTCGACAGAGGCGGGCTCAGTTGATCTTTTTTGCCGGGCGAGCTTGGGGTAGACGAAAGTGAATCGGCACTGTCAAAAGGAGGTTTGAATTGTCCAGGACGGGGTCGAGCTGGATCCCAGGGATTCATCGTCTCGGGAGGTGTGTATATCAGTTGACGGAGTTGATCCATCACATGGACTATCGAGATCAGCATGATACGGTTACAGACCATGTGGGAGCTTACTCTCTACTGGAATCGGACCCAGAGTCTTGTGCCTACTATGAGTCAGTCCGAGGTTCTGCTATCAGATCAAAGTCACTCACTTCTTCCAGCAGTCCGCCAGAATCCTTGCTTTGATTATGTACTTGATGATGACCTCGTCACCAACTGGTTGTCCGTTGAGGCCCTTCACCTTTGCCCTCATCACCAGCCCATAAGCTCCTTTACCTGCCTCCTTCAGAATGACATAGTCATCAATGCCCCGCCCTCCTATCCCGGCCGCTTTCTCTTCTGTCGGTGTCCCGCACTCACTCGGCACTCCAGTACTTGGAGCCATACTGAATGTGCTGATATGAGAATCAAGACGGGGGAACGTCGTCGTTGCTGGCGTCGATGGAGCAGTATTGGGCGAGATGAACGGGGAGAAGGATTGGAGAGCTGGGCTCTCTGCGGCCGCCCGGGCAGAAGGAGGGAGGGCGGTGGAAGGTGGAAGAGCGAAAGGTTTCACCACTCGGCCAGCCACAAGACTGACGCGATTGGTATCACGCTTACGAGATGAGACTCGAGGTGATTTGGGTGGAGTGATGTCTCCAGGTTTGGGCGGCTGAGAACCAGCGATACCGCGAGTGTAATCGCGAATACTGTCTAGGCCAGTGGATGTTTCACTGGATGATTCAGTGGTTGGACCGGTGTTAGACTGGGTAGTTGCTTCAAGGGTGACATCTGCCGCAGGAGTGGTAGCGGCGGTAGATGGTGTCACCGAGCCGTCTTCGGGGGCAACGATAGGAGACGCGTTGAGGGGAGAAGGCTTGAAAGGTGAAGTGAGCTGCTTAGAGCCGAGCTTCTTGGTGAAATGAGATTCAAATGGATTGGGCGGGCTCTTCTTGTTGTTCACAGCTGGGTCTTCAGAGCTTGGGCCATTGAGCGCATCGGGATCGACCCGCACAGTAGGCACATCCGAGGGAGGGGGGTTCCCAGGGCTTCTGGCACTGTCTAGGCTGAATCCCTTGCCGATAGACTGCACACCGCCGCCCCAACCCGGACTCTGAGCAGGTTCATGTTCAGCCTCAAGCTCTTCATCCACCATCTTCAACAGTTTCTCTCGTTCCAGCTCTCGTTTCGTCTTGGCTCGCTGAAGAGGCGGCGGAGCCTCTTTCTCGGTCACCGAGCGCAAAGCATCGCGTCGGCCTATACTATTCCACCTTACAGGAGTCGCACCTCGATTGGGGTTTAGAATGACATCGTCGGGATCGGCCTCACCCGGCGAGGGGGTGCTTTGATTAACCGTGGGAGTAGGACAAGCGGAAGTGTCTTCGAGTCCCAGCGCCCCAGCGCTCTGCACACCATCCGGAAGCCCCGGGGACTCGGCGGCGCGTAAATCAAGAGTCAGGGGGGCGCTACACCGCCTACTCAGGTTCGCGGCCATAACGGGGCTCGGGGCGATGATGTTCGGCTGGTATACTGGGGCAAGAGGAACAGACTTGTCGCCTGAAGGGGGAGAGCCAGGGTCTGGAGTATGGGTTTCCTCGGGCCCCAAATACTCTGCAGAGATGGACTTTTTGAGCATTCGCCTGGGTCTTTCTCCCTCATCCTTCTCCAGGCTATTATGCCGACTATGGCCGCTATCATCCTCATCACTGCTGGCAAAGTTGGCATCCACCCTCTCCCCGTGAGCCTCTATCCACTCCGGCGTCTCTTGCAAATCCTTCCACTCTTGCGTTGTAGGCGTGAAGACCATGGCGGCAGGTCCTTGGTATTCAGGGTAGAGCGTGTCTGGACTGGTGCCCGAGTTGCTCGGAGATGGGAACGTCGGGGGTAGGTGAGATTGGAGAAAGTGTTGGTTGGGAGAAAGTGACTTGGCAGAGCCCGATACGCCTGTAGAGCCGTTCTGTGGCAGGGAAAGGTTGCGGCGCACGAAGATCGGAGAGGTGGTATGGGACGCTACGGGCGATTGATCAGGGGAGGTGCAGATCGAAGGCGACTGAGAGGTTCTCCCAGAATGCAGATGGTGGTAGTACCGGGCTCTACTGACTGTCAGCGCTGGTCCATCGGAACTCATCTGGCTCACGAGTTGTCCCAGAATGATTCTCCATCGCTGTTGTGCCGGCCCTCGCTCATCACTCTCTTCCACCCTTCTCGGCTCGCCGGACGGAATCTTCCCCTGCCTTCATACTCTTCCCAAGAATCATCATCATCTTCATCCGTGTCATCACCCAGATGCTCCATCACATCGCCGTTTTCTGGCTCATCGTCGTCTCTCCTAGCAGCTGCCATTGAAACCAGGTCGCCATGGCTTTTGCTCCCTGAGACATCTCCTTGCAACCTGGTGGCTGATCCAGATGCTCGCACCCTAGACATCAATATCCCTGATCGATGGCGCCTCGCATTCGGAGGCGGTGGGATGGGTCTAGGGCTGGAAGGGCCAGCCGCAAACTCGTCTCGCCCTGGGATGCCACTGACTGTCGGCGAGGACGTGACTATAGTAGGGCTCATGCGATCCGGAGGCGTTGTTCGAGGCAGACCATAGTCGAGAGTGGGGGGTGGATGTTTGGGCGAGATGGGAGACAGGGCAGTTTTGAGTGCGTCAGCGGCGTCGGCGTGGGTGGGGTGAACGGGGGAGATGGCTGTGACGACCATGCTATCTATCGCGCTCGTGACTGCAGTACTGTCAGTCGAGATGAACGCTGAGTTGGGATGAGATGGAAAAGAGATGTGTATGGGATTTTATATCTCATGACCCTGCGGAAATGTGGCCGACAATGGCGGATAACCCTTTGTATCCACTGCATTGCCGCCACCATCGCCGCCATTGACCTCAGTCAAGTCGTGGGGGGTTGCGGATACTGTCCGGGGCTGTTTCAGTGAACCTGGAAGCTCAAGGAAACAGGTATCCCGTCCAGTCCAATGCCCAGTGCCGAGCTAAGGGCCGGGGTATATGTAACGGATGAAGGATTCTACCCACCTCTGCCGAATGCCTTGTCTCGAGATGCGGTTGCCGGGGGGTACCCTTGTGTCGTTTATGCTCGGTCGAAGACAGAAATACCGAGAAAGCGACGACTGGACCTCGAAAGCGTTTGATTCAAAGCCAAATTTAGCGGGACCGTGGAGTTACTCCGGCGAGGTCAGCCGGCTGCCGCCTATCATGCCTATCTATGCAGTCCATTCATATATCTGCCATTACTTGCTATGTTCTTAAGAAGTGCTCGTACAATCGCATCGTCTACACCTACACCGCCCAGGTATCAAACTTGAAAAATAAAATCATCACCCGCAACAATGGGAGACGCCTCGACGCGCCGCCCTTCTCTATATATGCCCGTTCGCTTGCTCCCACTGCGTGCCCTGGGGGAAATCGGGCGTTGGGCACTTGTACAATTTGACTGTTCCAGACGTGTCGAATCCTCCAGCAGCCACCATCATCTCGACCTACATATCTTGATCAGTAACCCGTTTTACGTTACGGCGGGGACCAAACTCCGACTTACCGGGTGGAAAACCAGAGACGAAGCGCTGGGCAAAAAGTCAACAGGTCGATGTCGAGGGGTGTTGTATGCTGGAGGTACCGGTATAGCGATTCGAGCAAGCCTCTTCGGTTCAACGGGGTTGCTGAAACCAGTTATTTCTAACTCCTGCTTGGTAGAGTAGGGGGTGATCGCGGTGGTGCTATGAAGCATCAGTGACCGATCAAGTGGGGACAAGGGAGGCTTACCGAGCAAGAACAGGGGCTCCGGTATGCACAGCCAGACCCATGAGACCAGAATTCCTCTTGGGAAGAGTGTATAGTGGTTCATCAGGCTTTCGAACATCCCATACACGGACTTCACCATCCATACTGAGATGACCGTCAGCGTTGACCGCTACCCGGTTATTGAGGACTCACCTTCCACTGACGAGCTCTCTCATGCTCCCCTTCTGCAAGTGAACACTCTGAATCCAGATCTTATGCTGTCTCCACGTCCTCAGCACCACCTCATCCGCCTTATCTGCTCGTTTGTCAAACAGCCTAACCACACCGTCACCAAAGCCCGCCACAAAGACGTTGCCATCAGGCTCATCAGACGAGATCGCTGTGAGATTGGAGCCAGCCTGAGTAGAGATATCACGAAGATGCCGTTCGACTGTAGCATCCCACAGTCGAACAACCTTCATGTCACCACCAACCAGGAGGTGGCCCTTCTGTTGTTCCCAGGCGGTGAGGACGCCACTGCTGTGACCAACAGGGTATACGTCAGAAACAGCTCGGAAGGTCGAGGCGAGCGCAGTCTGGCCGGGAATGTCATAGTCTCGGAATACTCGTATGCTTCCTTCGGCTGTCACAAGCGTTAGCATCACCCGAAACCGGGGTAGGGACACATACTAGATGCGGTGAGCATCAAAGAAGACGCCATCTCGTTGACAAAATGTATCGACGAGATGCTACTGCCAGAGATGTTTTGGTTGCTAAACTTGTTGAGTTTGACACCATATTGCCAATCCCATATGCTTGACAAGCGTCAGTGTGTATACTTCCTTACTAGCACGCAACTCACCAGACCTGATCAGTGTCATCTGTGACCGCCAAAATTGGGTCATACGAGTGGAATGCCAACTGCAGAGGCCACGCCTCATTATGCAGTGTACCCGCTTCCGTCGCCCACGAATGAGTAGCCGCATACTCCTCGCCGGCCCGACTCTTTTCCACCATCATCTCGTTCCTCTGGTGCTTCCACGCCTGCTCATTATACGTTTCGCTTCCCGGCTCGTCCGCGTCTGGCGCCTTCATCTGTGGCGTCCTGAAATAGTCCATCGCCCAATCGTAGTAACCGCTCTTCAACGGAAGAACGTCGTCTTTGACTTCTTTCGCAACCATTCCCAGGCCGAGGTCTGTGGAGAGCGAGAGACCGTTGTTCCCGTATCGTCCATCTGAATCTTCGCCCGCTTCACGACCCTTGAGTCTGCGCATGCGCAAACGCTCCATATCCTCAGCAGTGAGCGCCTCCAATACTTGGTACGCTTCTATAGGATTCTGGTCAAGTCGTGAGGGTAAGATGCCCAGACTGGAACGAGTGTTCATATGAGAATTGAGATGGTTGCCTTGGTGGGCCGGTCGGCTGGGAGTGGAAGCGCGGCTGTCTCTGTCTGGCTGAATACGTTGATGGGTAGCGCCGGGGTAAGGGGAGATGTAGGACGACGCAGTGAGATCTGGTACAGTAGGCATCTCCGAGTGCGGCTGTGCGAGCTGTTCCTGCTCGGGCGGCGCATCTGGTGTTGCCAATCCAGTAATCGAAGCCAAACTTCTCAGAGCGTGAGCCACAGAGCTTGAGCGCTTCAAGGACGCTATGCTGCCGGTAGACTTGTCGGTCTCGGTGTCGGATATCTGGCGATTCAGAGGCGGAGGTACACCGTTGAGATGTGACAACTTTTCAGACTGCACTCGAGGCTTTGATTTCGGCAGGCTGTGTTTTCGGATAAGAGCCCGCAAAGCCGACCCTTCGACCCGCACAAATGCAGAATCGACCAACAGGGCGATGATGTAATCCACCACAGTCGATGCCGACAACGCCACACCCGTATGCGGATCCACAGACAAATCGAGAAGGGTTTCAAAGAGCACCTTGAAGCTACTCAACAGCGTCAAGTTGTGCTGATGTTCTGCGGGATGCCTATCCTCGGCCGATGTCCACTGATCCAAAGTCTCAGAAACAACATCTTTAGTCAGGGGTTGGTCCGACTCGGCAGCAGCCAAAGCCGCCTCCTGCTCAAAGTACACCCATGCAGCGGCTACAAGCCATCCGCGCCACTCGCGCACCACGCAGCTAATTACCACCACCAACTCTTTCCTCACCAACGGGCTCGCATCTTCCTTCACAGACATCATGCACGCAAAAGCAACACCTGCCTCGAGCTCAAGTTGCTGTACGTCGGAGAGCCCTATCTGGGATCCGGTACCGCCTCCGCCGATGCCCGCCGAGTCGGGGGGCAGAGCGGAAGCGCCGAGCAGAGTGCCAAATGCGTACAAAGCTGCTGCCCTGACTTCCACCGAGGTGCTCCTCAGCGAGTCGATCAAAACTTGCTGCCTATCCATCCTCCAGAACACCGACTTTGCCTCATCAAATCCTGCCCACAGCTGCCCGATGCACAGCAGAGACCAAGTCTTCAAAAGCCAATCGTCCTCGTGCAGCCGTTGCACGCACGCATCCAGCACGTGCGTGTTCAGACACGCCGTCTGACCTTGGCGAAAGTCACGGCAAAGGACGGAAAGGATAAAGGCGGACATGGCGCGGTGCTCGTTGGCGTTGGGGATGACGAGGGAGCCTTGTTGAGGGAAGGCAGAAAGGATTTGAGTAAAGTACGTGAAACCGGAATCGCGCAAAAGATCTGCTTGGCAAGAGCGGTCGATAGCGAGGATACGGGCCCAAATGTAGATCAATACAGGTTTGAGCTCGATGGCAGGAGAAGCTAGAAGTTTCTGGACATAAGGGAAAATGCCGATGGAGAGAGACAGGTGCACAGCCCATGGTCCGAGGTCGACAAACCTCGATATCAAGATGAGGGCTCGGAGACGGTGGGATTGTGATAGCAGAACTTGCAGAACGATGGGTAATTGTTCGGGAGGAGAGCGAGGGACTAGCCCGTTCGCGCCGCGCGCAGCTCGTTTGCTGTTCAGCGTCGCGCCGTGTTGAAGCCACACTTCAAATGCTTGCAAGTGTTGAGCAAAGAACGTCGAGGGCTTGTACATTCCCGCAGGGATATTGTAGGGCTTTCCGGGTTCGGGCTCACCCACCTGGTCGAAGATACCAGGGAGTTGGGTAAGGCAAGAGTCTACCGCAAGATCCCATGATTCCCAAAGAGGATGGTTATGGGTATCAGGGATCTCGGGGATAGATGTCGGTGTACAGTGGTACGCCTGCATGATCCTCTGCGCAAGCAGGAAATTCCTGAACAGGGCGGCAACGAGCAGATCTTGCCTGAAGAGCTTGTTGAACATTTCTCGGGGAAATGAGAGCCAGGCGATGGTGTCGGTCACGGCCGTAAATATCCAGCTCAACTCTCCCAAGGGTGTTCTCCTATCCTTCAAGTCGCCCGGAATCCTCATGGCCAGGTCCACCGTAATTCTCGACCTCGGATCATCCGCGCTCAGGCCAGTGTTCCTCCGCAGAGGGTCCTGGAGTACAAAATGACGCAACGCCGTTTCGATGGGGGATGTGAGGCAGCATGTAAAGAGGTCGGCAGGGAGGTCGGGTGACATGGGGAGAATCTGGTTGACTTTGCAAGCGGCCAGGTGAAGGGCTTCGGTGTATGACGTGCGTGGGAGCTCTTCATGGCCGGTTTGAGAAGCTGCGTGTCGAGCCTCTGCATCTCGGCGTTCAGCAGACTTCATGAAATTGTTGAGAATGTTGCCGGCTGCTGAGCATTCCCATATATAGATACACGGCCTATATGATTGTTAGCAACGAATGGGGGTAGAGGCATTTGACACTGACGATCCGAGCCATTCCTGAAGGTCGTATAAGCTGACCGGGATATATTGGGTGTAATCTGCAAATGTTTAAGCATGGTGATTGAATCAGCCGGTCAGACGTACTCTTGTTGAACACCCAAATCTCTCCCGAAGGCGTCGGCCTCGGTACACCATGCCCGTTGTAGTAGAAGACCACACGCTCATCTTTCGTCGTCTTCCTCATTCCAATACAGTGCTTCTTTGTGTCCTCTACGGATGGATCGAGAAACTGCAAGTTTGTCAGCGAAACAATACGATTAGTCCATGAGCAAACATACAGCCTTGTATTTGACCTTGGGGTTGAGCGTCTCGAATTGCTGGTGCAGATCTACAATGTTCAGGAGAGAAACGCATGAGCGCACAATGGCACTCACTTCTTCCTATAGCATCAATGGCCTTGTTGGCTGGCAGTTGCGTCGGGTCAATCCAGCACTCCGTCTTCGCACACGGATTCGTCTTGACCACATCCGGCGGGTCTACGCCCAAATTCAGGCAGATAAACAGTCCAGCAGTGACTGTCTTGAGCTTTGACCGCAGGCGCCATGGTGATTTGCTTGCTGCATAAAGATCAGCTTCGTGACCAGATAGATATACTTGCCCCACCTTCCCCATGTGCGGCACACAGAACACTGACCTTTGTCCTCATCCGTCTCTTCCCTCTGTTTCCCCTTGGGACCCATGTGCCTCAGAGCAGTCCAGTACTGCAACGCAGCTCCAACATCAACCTCGCCGGGAAACTCATCGTGCTCATCGAGAAATGCCTCGTCGTGCTCGTACGCCTCGGCAGGAAAGGCCGGGTAGGACGACTGGAGTTGCGAAGTCGATCCCTCGTCTCTGGCGTACTGCAGGCCCTGGTGCTGGCCGTAGTAAGCCATGTCGCGAGTATTGTGGGATGCCGAGTACTTTGTGTCCCGGAAGACAAGCCGGCTGCAAGAGGAGATAGGCGGGGCCGGGCGGTAGCCCCCGCTTGTAAACGCCCCCCCTTTACGCGGGACATTTGCTTCCGTCTCGAAGATCTTTTCTGTCGAAATCTCACACCGCTATAAGTAACACTCGAATCAAAACCACGTCTCCGGCATCCACGCAGCTCTCGTCAGCACCCCTCAGCCACCCCAACAGTCAACACAAAACAAGCGGACGCCATGCACCTTATGTACACCTCGGACGAGAAGGGAAACCGGTACGTCGATCCATAGCATCGCATTCGGAATGAAAGCTCACCGTTGTGCTCAGAGTCTACACTCTCAAAGTAAGCTTTCCACCCACGGACAAGAGTAAATGCAATGTGAAGATTGAAGGACAGTTGCTCAATGATGAGGAGGCGGAAATGTCGCAGGAGGATGGAAAAATCAGATCCAGGAGCTGACGCTTTAAGCAGAAGGTGACCGCTGCCAACAAGCCCACCAAGTCTGCCCACCCCGCCCGATTCTCTCCTGATGACAAGTTCTCCCGACACAGGGTTACTATCAAGAAGAGGTGCGCAGTGCTGCTGTCCTGACTTGGGTCTTGAGAGCGAAGGCTAATGATAAACCAACAGATTCGGTATCCTCCCCACCCAACTCCCTAGCAAGCCTTTATAGACAATGTGGTGATCGATAGAGGGCGGGGCCGAGGAGATGCATGTTGTATGATATCCCCAGCAGCACAGGCATCGGTCGAGGCTCGAGTAAATATATCAAAACTACTACTAATGAAGCCCTCGAGCAGTTGCAGACACCGTCAGTCAATGCCATTGTCATGTACATCATTACGCATTATAACGCGATACCAAGAATATGTAAATATGCAAATAATTCCCCAAAGGTTTCTTCCTCAGCTAAGCTCCACACTCAAGGCGGCCCATGAACATTCCAGCCCATTTCCTTCCCCTGCACATCCCATCCCATCTCCTTCTGCCTTTGCTGCTCCTTCTCCGCCTTCTCTGGCATGATCTTTCCCTTCTCTCTACTTTCTTTCGGGAGCACCCCGTTCTCGGGAGTATACTGCCTACCAGCTTGCGCCCAGAGGTCTAGTAGTCGAGCATGTTGTTCCCAAACCCAGTCGTCCAACTTGCACCAATCTGGTGATTTGTCAGTTTGCCGCAAGCACAAGGGGGCAGAGAACGCACGTAAAGCGACAGTTTCTATTGAGACATCGAGTTGGTTCCAGTCTCCCATCGTCCAGCCCATGTCTATCCGTTTAATGGGATCCGTGACAGGGTCGAGATGCCGCAGCCACTGTCCTGTACGGGCGTCCTCAATCTTGGCAATGTGCGTAAAGGTCATGTCTGCGGAACCTATCCATGACACCTGAATAATTATTAGCATCTACACTCCTTGTGAAGATAAGGACAGGACTTGCCAATGGCCAACTCATAGCATAGGCTAAACCCCTGAAATAATCTCCAAAGAAGTGCGACCTCCCAGCACTTGTCCCCCAGTACACATTCTTCGAACAATCCAAGTCTTTGAACGCCGCAATGAGATTGGGCATGACTAGAATGGTATCGTCGTCCGCTTTGACGACGAAACGAGGACGGCCTGCTACTAGGCCGTGGGAGGGACCGGCGTAAGTGTGGGCAATGTATTTGAAGTATTCATGAGTTTTTCCGAGGTCGATGTTGTCAATCATCTGAGGGTGGTTGTAAGTACTCGAGCATCGCCAATGTGACGGGGAATATCTTACTGGAAGCATGACCATATCCCCGTGCTCCTTCATCTCCTGCCTTACATCCCTGAGCAACGCATCCCGCTTCTCAATCTCCGGGCCCGTTGTCGCATTAGGGAATGGTGGTGTCCCCAAAATGAATTTCACTGTGACAAGATCTTCTGGGAAGTCTGGTATGATCTCCTTCCTATATCTGCAAGGTCTCGAATTCAATGTATGCACTGGCAAGACCAAACGCGCAAACAAGCAGAGGACATCACTCACAGATCCCTCCTGCCTCTCTTGTCCGCCGCCGAGAAGATGCCCAGGAATATCAGCACCCCGCTGTCTTCTCCCTCCAACGGCACATTACACCCAATCTCATGAGGCTGTCTCCCACTCAGCAGCGCAAAATCAGGCTCCTCAAAACTCCGCTGGATGTCTCCGTCCACCAAGTGCGCGTCCTTCCCCTGGGCTATATCCTTTCCTTCTCCTGTATCTGCGGGCGTATCCAGCTTCGGCGAACGAGATATATTCCGCTCAGAGGTTGAGGGACCCGAGGTTGCTGCGTTCAGAGCGAGAACCAGGAAGAGGACGATGAGGAGGGTGAGGGTGTAGAGGGATGTCTTTAAGCGGATAGATGGGCGAAGGAGGTGGTGGGGGTGTTGCAGAAAGTGTTTCAGGCCTGGTCGAGAGGGGTAGGCGTTGGCAGGGGAGCCCATGACGGGGGTATAGGGGGTCAAATGAAGAAGAAGAAAGAAAGAAGCAATGGGCACAAAGGACAAGCTCAACAACAACCTCGGCGTATTCAAGGCACGTCGGACCACACCGACCAACTGACGACGAGGACATCACGTGAACCAGGAGCGTAGAGTTGGGAGATGAGACTTTGGAGGTATTTATTTACATGCTCTGTTGACTCTATTTTGTCTGTGCATCCGCTACCTTTCTCCAGCTAATCCTTGAGCCTAGAAAGTGAGCCGTCGGCATTCACAATCGCCAGATGATGCCTGCCAATGTCCTTGACTTTGTTCACGCCCACCATGATCATGGTTTCGAGGAACTCTCTTTGAAGCATTCTGATGGCCAAATCTACACCCGCTTCGCCGTTGTACTGATAGTCCAGTCAGTATGCGCTCGCGAACAAGTTGGTTTTGACCTACTGCCAAGCCATACAAGGCCACTCGCCCAGCAAAGACGTGGTCGGCACCCAAGGCGAGAGCTTTGAAGATGTCTGTCCCTCTTCGGATCCCTCCGTCAAAGTGCACCGGGATGCGCCCAGCGACAGCGTCAACGACACCAGGGAGGGCAGAAAGGGTAGAGGATATGCCGTCCAGCTGGCGTCCGCCGTGGTTGGAGACGACAATCCCGTCTGCACCGGCTTCCACAGCGAGCTTGGCGTCCTCGGGGTCCATAACTGGTAGGCTGTCAGCGGTGATTGCGGGTTCCAGGATACTCTTAACTCACTGCCTTTCAGCCAGATCTCCATCTTGGTGTTCTCCTTGAACCATTTGACTCTCTCCCATGTGAGGCCTCGGTCTGCAGTAGTCAGTACTGTAACAACAGCAGACATGAGACAAACTCACCATACGCCATACGAGGGTCCGCCGCCGTATCACGCCAATTAGCGCCTGGAGGGAAGATGGGCATATCCAGACCGTCTGGGACTTGGAACTTGTTTCTGTACTCGTTCAAGCGACGACCAAGGATGGGAAGGTCAACAGTGATCCAAAGCACTTTGCATCCAGCAGCTACTCGCGAGTCAGCTCCAGCCTCGAACAGATTGGAAAGAAGGAACTCACCCTCCGCGTTCCTCATGACATAAAGGTTGATTTCGGGATCTTTGACCACACTCAATTGCATCCCATAGGCATTCGAGTACTGGGCACCCTGATCGACTACCTCCTGGACACCAGAGTTGGCCCAGGACGAGAGACACATATTAATGCCGTTCTTTGCTGCAGCTCGAGAGGTGCCGAGTTCTCTGTCGCTATGAGCAACGCCGTGCAAGCCGGTCGGAGAAAATCCCATAGGAAACGAAGACTACTCGACGTCAGTCATAGCAAAAGATACGAAGCGACAACTTGCCTTGACTCCCCAGCACTCGCTAGAAGTGTCCACATCGTTGACATCCTTCATGACTCGGGGCAGCAGCCTGTATCGATTGAAAGAGTTCATGTTGTCATTGAGGCTAGTCGAAGTGGTCAGCAATGTATCAGGAGAAGTGTACTCACGTAATCAGATCCATGGCACCCCCCTCGATGTAGTCGAGATTCTTCTTGGGTAGGTTCGCCCTCGCTGCCTCTTGCATGTCTGCGATGCAGAAGACTTTGTCATCGAGTGCAGCAGCTCGTCCGGCCATATTGGTCTGTAGGTGTTTGAAGGGGATACATGCCTGCACTGACAGCAGGCATGGTCTTATACCCTGCGTGGGCTTCGCGACAAGCGCTAATAGGACGATAAGAAGATCGGCAAAGTCATCGGTAATCTGACACGGCGCACCCGGGATGCAGATGGAAAGTTACGTTAGCAATCTCAATTAAGCAGGCACGCGCTTCAGGGAACGGTGTCAGTCATTCAACGTGCCGCCGCAGTTGCTCATGTTTACGGTCCGACTCGGTTCTTCCATACGCATTGACCGTTCAGCGCAGATGTGCGGTAACTCGAGACCATATAAGTGGCGGCAGCGGCGGATAGCAACGTTGATGGTCCTGGAGAGGCCTTATCAGGGCCTTATCATCCCAAGCGACCCGGCTCCCCGATCGTGCAAGCAAGCTTCTATAGGGTGTGATGTATTGTAATCAGTCAAGACTTCGGCGGGATGCTTCGATTCTATTGGCCGCATAGTATGGCAGAACCAAGGTAAGCTCATGATGTTGAGTAACAAGCTACCAAGTATGACGACGCTCACTGTCTTACGATAAGCCGCTGCAGTGCAGCCGGCCAGCAACATGTTGAATACATAAAGAATAACCTCAACAGACCAAATCTGGAACTCCCAGCCTCTAGGACATAATGCCTACCGTCAATCAACAACACCCATCCCCTGTTGGTGGGAGTAAAGATGACCTCGACAAATCCACCGACTTGGGCGCCACCATCGATGTGCAAGCCGTCGACTTCGATCCAGAGGCTCCCACCGCACAGAAGCAGACCAAACGTCACCTGAAACCCCGACATGTCCAGATGATGGGCATCTCTGGCTCTATCGGTACAGGCCTCTTCATCGGCGTCGGCACTTCTCTGTCCAAAGCTGGTCCTCTTGGCCTGTTCCTGGCTTACGCCAGCTATGCTCTTTTGGTCTTCTCTACCTACAACGCCATGGGTGAGATGGTCTGCTGGCTCCCCGTCGACGGCAGTATCGTCGTCTTTGCCCACAAGTACCTGGACGACGCTTGGGGGTTTTCCCTGGGCTGGCTGTACTTTATCGTCAACGCCTTGGCTGTTGCCAGTGAGGCATCTGCTGTCGCCGCCATCATCAATTACTGGACGGACGCCGTCAACAATGGTGAGTTAAAGGCTCTTCTTCTCAAGTAGAAGACTGATAGTCTGACGCTTCTAACAGCTGTATATGTCGCTGTTGTCTGTGCTTCTCTTCTCGGACTGGTCAGTTCCCTTTTCAACCTTAGATCGTCAGCTTTCACTGACCTCACGGGTTCAGAACATCTTTGGGGTACATATTTTCGGAGAGGGCGAGTTTTATTTTTCCCTGTTCAAAGTCTTTCTCATCATGGGCCTTCTCTTCATGACCTGTGAGTTCTTCTTCGCTCCTCGACCCGTCAAAGGTGTGGAGAAGAGTGATTGACCACTTCTGCAGTCGTCACCATGGTCGGAGGGAATCCTGAACATGATGCCTATGGTTTCCGATACTGGAAAGACCCAGGGCCTTTCGCCGAGTACCTCGTCCCAGGCAGCACCGGTTAGCTGATTGCAGTTTTGTTGACGCGACATCATTGCTGACACCTGCGTGAAGGCAAATTTCTTGGTTTCTGGTCCGTTTTCGTACAAGCAGCATACGCCTACGGGGGCCCTGACTTTGTTGCCTTGGCGGCCGGCGAGACCCGTAACCCCAGACGAGTTCTGCCTTCCGTATTCAAAAGGGTCATTTACCGACTCATGGTGTTCTACCTCTTCGGTGTTCTCGCTGTGGGCGTCCTTGTATGTGAACACAATCATTGTATGTACATGGATGCTGACTATCAAGCAGTGTCCTTCCGATGATCCCGACCTCACCAGTGGCGGAGCTGGTGCCGCCGCCTCCCCATTCGTCATTGGCGTAAAGCGCCTCAACATCCCCTTTTTGCCCGACCTCATAAACGCCCTCCTCATGACCTCCGCCTGGTCTTGCGGCCTGGAGTTATTCTACGGATCATCCCGAGCTCTTTACTCTCTGGCTGTTGACCACAAGACCCCAGCTCTCTTCCGCTTCACCTGGCGAGGTGTCCCCACCTTCTGCGTCCTCGCGGTCTCTGCCGTCTCCCTATTGGCGTTCATGTCTGCCTCCAATAGTTCGCTGGAGGTGTTCACCTGGCTCACCAACATTGTTGGATCGGGTATCTTACTGCAGTATACCATCTATCACATCATCTACATCCGCTTCCGCCGAGCGCAGATGGCCCAAGGCATCCGCGACATCGAACGCCCCTGGTACCGCAAGGGCCAGTACTACTTCTCCATGGCCAGCCTGTTCTGCTACATAGTCATTTACTTGACCAACGGCTTTGTAGTCTTCATCAAAGGCAACTGGTCCATATCAAACTTCATCTTTGCATATGCGTCTTTATTGTTCTTTTTGGTGCCCTGGGTGGGGTACAAGATTGTGCGGAGGGGGTGGCTGACGCCGTTGGAGGAGGTTGATCTGTATGCGGGGAGGACGAAAGAGCAATTGGACTTCAATGACGATGTCGAGATGAAGCCGGTGACAAAGAGGCAGAAACTCAGCAAATGGCTTTGGGGATAGTCCTCTCCTTTCTTGTGTCGTTGTTCGTCTTGTTGTGAACATTTTGACTTCTTAGTCTGTTTGATATACAAAAATGATTGCCGGTCGCGAGAAAAATGCTGTAGAGGTTTTTTTTTTGAATTGGAAGATCCTGGGGTAGCAGTAGTGTCGTTGGAAAGATTGAAAGGATGTGATGTGAAATCTGCTGTGGAATTCACTAAATAGAGCAGGATTTGCCGGCGTCTCAATTCTCGACCTTGTAACCCTGTCACGCGTGCACTACACTAACTGTGATACGATGATCATCAAAAGGCTGGAAGGAATCGAAACCGAGTAAGCGTGAGAGACTTCTTATCCTAAGCATCATCTCCTCTCTTCCCGTTTTCCTTGCATTGCTTGGTCTTGACTCTTTTCCATGTTAGACCTTGGTCAGAGGCATCCCCAGGAGGAATAGGTCCAGATACATAGTCCAGACGCAATCTGAAATCCCTATGATCGTTACGATGACCCTCCGCTGTATGGCGAGGAAGTGGCACTGCCTGGAGGGATCGAAGACCGTTGACTGCGACAAGTTTTTTTTTTTTTTCATCTCATATCACGTACGACATCCTAATGAGACAGAAAGAGTATATATGCTAATTGCTACATGATCACCAGACACATCTTCCACGCCAAAGCTCTCTGTCCTCCCGGTGCAGCTCAAACTCTCGAATCAACAGCGCTCGTCCCCTTTGCGGCATCGGCCATCAACTTTCTCAACAGCTGCGCATCCACATTCACTGAAGCTTGTCCGTTTTCCAACGCCGCGAATAGCGCCCAGGGGTCTGATACTGGCGCTGCCGGGATCGAGGGTAGGGAGAGAGCAGAGGATGTTGCTGAGGAGAGACCTGAGGGAGACTTTATCGGTGGTGCGAAGACTTTCACTAGCTGTTAGGCACGAATTGGGGACGTAAAGGGAAAAAGGGTGCTTACCAGTTTGAGTTTGGCTCTGAGATGAAGACGCGGCGGCTGAGTTTGATTGTTGAAACAAGCTGAGCCATTGATCCATGTAGCCTTGGTCCAAAGCCGGCGTTGGTATGACTGCTCATTTCAAGTCAATTTTCTTTCGCCAACCATGCATATGAAAATGTAATGAAGCGGACTTACTATTTTGAGCATTTGACATATTCATTTGGTCGTTATTCTTCATCAAGTCTTTCCAAATTTCTGGAGCTGATTTGGCTCTGGCCATTTCGAGCTGCGGTGAGTTATCTTCTGGAAAGCTGCCAAGGAGGGGAGCGTCAGGAGCCTCCCAAGGAAAGAGCCCGGGAGTGCCATCAGGTGGGAGTTCTCCAGGGAGTCCCCATGGGAAGAGCCCGAGGGTGCCGTCGAGAGGAGGTGTGTCTGCTGAACGGAGGGCAGTGGTATAGTCGCCCTTGGGTTCGACAGTATGATGATGCGGTGAGGTATGTCTTGCAGCGGCTACATGGCTCTCAGTCAACACATGCACAATTCTGCCGCAAACTTGGAAATAGATGACTCACAAGCGCTAACCTTGTTGTTCCCACGAGTAAGATCAAAGTACTTTCGACTTCGATTTCTACACGCCAGAGGGCTCCTGCCCGGTAAACTGTCTGATATTACACTCCATTTTGCGCCATGTGCTTCGAATAGCTGGAGAAGGAGGGCATCTTCCAAGGGCGTCCAAGCCTTTTTGGATGTGAGACATGGGTCCAAGACATCTCTCCACCGCTTGGAGCATTGATCATCTTTTCGCCCGGGAATCAAGAGAGCTGTGGCATGCTGTCAACTGGGTGGGTTCAACGCAGGTTTGAAGAGCTCGCAGGCTTACCAATTTCCTTCCATTGCGGCCCCATCTCCTTATGTAATCGCTTGAGAGCTTCGTCCTCCTCTCTTGACCACCTCCCTTTACGCAGCGATGGGTCGAGCGAATGGAACCATCTTTTTCGGCAGTCCTATGTGGGGTTTAGCAGAGATTCCTCGGGAATACTGATAGTGACGAGACGCACCTTGTTTGTTCTTGTCCCACCCACAATGCTGGATATCTCCGACCACGCTGACCCGGGCCCTCTGGCAGAGCCCAGTCGATTGACTGCATCGATAAGCAAGGCGTCTTCTTCCAGAGTCCAGGGCCGTCTCTTTGCGTGTGGCTGTGTGGGCTGCTGGGGCGAGAGGTGGTCTGAGGAAGACGAAGTGACGCTCATTGAGGGTTCAGCATAGACAAGATGCAAGATACGGGAAGATGTCTTGCAGCCTATGCAGGCGACGGTGCCTCTGATGCACTCCTCGAGACCCAATTCTGATCCCCGAGATAGCGTCTTATCTAGAGCCGAGTCACTCAGAGCCGGGTCAGCCGCGCGCGTGTCGGCCGCCGCCGATATGTACACGTAAGCAATGCTGGGCAAAGAAGAAGACCAGGCCAGATATACTTTAGGCGAGTCTATGAGGGTATACCTGACTGCAGTGCGCGGAAGGTCGATGGCTGACACGTTGGTTTGAGTATGAGTCCGGGAACGTGTATGGACTGACTGTGGCAACACATGGAAGTCGGGTACTCGCGTCCGCCCAGCGGCTGCAACGTGAATATCTTTGCGTATCTTGAGTTTGCCGGGGAACGAGGAGGCTCATCTCGTCAGAAGCATGCATGAACAGTCCAGTAAACTTTGGCCGCCACCATCGACAGCATAAAACGAGTCGTCCGATGTCTAAGATCAAAGCGGTCCCTTTTCGATGCCAACGCCCTCAACGTCCACGTCCTTCACCCAAGCTTGGCTCAAGATCTCAGTTACGGCGTCCCCCACTCGCGTGTCATTCACATCATTCCAGAAATGCTTATTTACCTCTTCTTCCAACACAAGCCGTTCGTCTGCTTGTATGACCCATGAGGGTTGCACGTCGCTTGCCTGTTTGCGATCCCACCAAGAGACAAGAAGCGCATCGTCCGCGGGGTCGCCAGTGTGCATGTCGGCAGGAAGTGGGACGGGTCTGCGTGGAATGGTACGTCGTGAACGTGACAAGAAGGACGTGAATTCCTGACGAGACCTAGAAAGTTGGTGCACAAAGGTTTGTGCTTCATAAGCATAGTAAGACCGGAAGGCCGCACCAACTGAGCCGGTATGAGACAGGCCGTGGAGAGCGTCTACTCGTTGATCGTTGTTGGTGGCATTCCGAAAGTGATCGATGTATTTCTCAATCCTACCCGCTACAGCCTAGATCAGCCCAGGTCCCGAAGATGCAGTGGACGTGCAACTGACTGATCACAGAGGGGGCTGCTGCTTGAGAGTCGGTGGGAGCGCTAGTAAGAGCATGCTGGTCAATCTCTTCTTGCAGGGACGACGAACCGTCATTGAACCAGCTATTGTCGTTTGGGTGAGAGCTGGTGGGAGCGCTAGTAAGATCATGCTGGTCATTCTCTTGCAGGGACGACGAGCCGTCTTCGAACCAGCTATTGTCGTTTGGGTTGACGATCAAGCTCGTTCTTTCAATTGTCTCGTGAATATCGCCAACTTGGTCGCTCTCTTCATCATGCTCATCACTCTCTCCTTGCAAAGATGATGAGTCATCATCGAACCAGCTACTGTCGTGTTGGCGGTTGGGAGTCGAGCTCATCTTTGTCGTTGTTTGGCGTATACCTCTTCCTGTCTAGGATTCTGGTCCTGCATGACAGCCCTACCTGCTGGCCCTGCTAATATAGGTGAAAGTTTGAGCTTATTTTGAGACCTTTGCCAGGAAACGACCGACACGTGACAGAGGAAGAGAGTGAGTCTCCCGCTACTCCTTTCGTCGGTAAACGAACCCCTGGTGACTGTTTTCGTCAGCAAGATCTTGGTTCAATGGGTCGCACCTCAGTTTGTCGATGCATGCTTACTATAGACCCATGCATTGCTGCAAAGACAAAACAAAGATGATCGGCAGATGGGAGATGAGCGGATGCAAAGATGATGAGGCTAGTACGAAAAGGAAGACGGGCGGGGCACGCCTAAAGGCCAGGCGCGCGTCGAGGCATAGTGCGCCTATCTCGAGCGACGCCTATTCCCTCTTGAACAGTGACGAAGCGCGTTCTACCCCTTCATCTCCTCCATCTCCTGCACCCGCAATGTCCAGATCATACGACAGAGGCAAGTTGACCCACCTGGCCCTCCAAGAGCATAGGATGGAAACTGACTCAGTGCTGCAGCTCTTACCGTCTTCTCCCCGGATGGACACGTAAGTGTGCAACATCCCTACAGCAATGCATGCGCTCATACAAGCTATAGCTCTTCCAAGTAGAGTATGCGCTCGAAGCCGTGCGTCGAGGAACATGTTCTGTCAGTCTCTACCATCGCGCCTGACGACCTCTCACTGACGTGCCATTGCTTCCAGGTTGGTGTTCGTGGCAAGTCCTGTGTGGTACTCGGTGTCGAGAAGAAGTCTACTCTCCAACTTCAAGATCCTCGAACCGTTCGCAAGGTCGCCATGCTTGACGACCACGTCTGCGTTGCCTTTGCTGGTGCGTCTTTCACCAAAACTGCCAAAGATGAGCAGCTTACGGGGCTCAACAGGTCTTACGGCGGACGGACGTATCTTGATCGACAAGGCTAGAGTGGAGTGTCAATCTCACCGATTGACTGTGGAGGACCCCGTCAGTATTGAATACATTACCAAGCACGTTGCCGGTATCCAACAAGTCCGTCATCTGCTCCATCTGCTCTACTATATCTGATATCCTGCTGTAGCGATACACTCAATCAGGTGGTGTCCGTCCATTCGGTATCTCTGCCCTCATTGTCGGCTTTGACCCCAACGACACTATTCCCCGCCTCTACTCTACCGAGCCCAGCGGCATCTATTCTGCTTGGAAAGCCTGCTCCATCGGCCGAGCTTCCAAGACTGTAAGAGAGTTTTTGGAGAAGAACTATGAGGAAAACTTGGAAAGGGACGACTCGATCAAGTTGGCGGTGAAGAGTCTTTTGGAGGTTGTGCAGACGGGAGCCAAGAATATCGAGATTACGGTCATGGAGTCTTATGGTGTTGTCAAGGTGAGCCGTCGATCAATGCCAATTGGTTTCAAGCTAATGGAGCGAGTAGAACCTCGAGCAGGAAGACATTGAAAAGATCGTTGCCGAGATTGACGCGGAGAAGGAGGCCGAGGCTGAGCGTAAGCGCCAGCGACTTGCTGCCACACAAGCCGGCCAAGCTTCCATGGCTATGGGCTCATCAGCACCCTCCGGTACTCAAACACCATCTGGCGCTGCTGGCGGTTCCCAAGAACACCATTCGGCTCCCGGGGGTGACAGCGGGGTGCAATAAGCGTTGCACAATGAAACTTGGGGATGGGCGCTGGTATACATACCCGGAACGATGCATGATGTAGGATATCAAACACTATGAGGACTGCCGGGGGAGGACAGAGTAGGGTTTGCGGAGGCCAAGGCGGTCTATGAGGTCTGCAGGCATGCAGTAGACGGGGTCTATATCTTGCAGTCCTGGGTAGCCGAGTAGAGACAAGCCAGCGACACCGAAGAGGGTGTGGAACACGTCTACCCAGTTTCCGGGGCGGTCCCCGATACCTCCTTCATCTGGATCCTATCCGAGGTCAGCTGACATAAACTATCGTTTCCAGTATGCTTACCTGGGCGCTGAGGATAAAGTTGGTCAGCTTCTCAGCGTTGATCCAGTGGATCTTGCCGATAATTGATATTGACGCTAGACACCACCACGAGTAGCATACCTTTGACTTTATTAGCCTGGAATCAAAATAGCTCTGCAGTACTTACATCTTCAAGTTTCTCCGGCCTCCCATTCAGGCCCCCGTTTGCTAATTGCCTCTCCGACAGCCAAGCGCCCAAAAGATCCTCCTCCACCAGATCCATTCTGCCCAGAATCGCCAACGCCGCCGTACACACCCAGACCTGGCCCGAGTGACTCTCTGTCCCCGGCTCGAGCCCAAAACCTCCGTCAAAGTTTTTACATTGTTCAATGTTGGACGTGATGGAAGAGAGCTGTTCGGGAGTAAGGAGGTCAAGGCGGGACATTAGGGAGAGGGAGGATAGGAGGATGTAGGTGAAGCGAGAGTCGGATTCGGGGGACGGGTCGCCACGGACTGACCCGTCGGCATTGATGAGGCTTAGAAGGACTATTCGAGGCATGAGTGATGGAACGGGGGGACCCGGCTGAGAAGAGACTTGCAAGAGGTTATCCGTTCGACGTCGGCCCGGTCGAGGGCATCTTGCATGAGTAATACTTGAATTCCCGAGAGCGTCGCAAGGATATGTCCGTCATGGCCCGGATGAGGCCCAAACGTGCCTATGTATATTGATCAGTGCAATCTTGGGTCTTCAAGCCAGAGTACACACCAGCTTTGTCGTCCCAGCAAGACAAGACATATTGTATCACACCTTCACGATTAAGCGCTTCAGGCTGGCCCATGATATACAGGGCGGTGAGGCCCCAGTAGATACCATTGAGCCGTAAATGAGAAGTCAGGTGGTACGCAAGATCCTGTTTCTGTTTTGAATCGTCAGTGGCTGATGGCGTGTCCTGCACGTTCCCGAGCAGAAGTGTGTACGGAGACTGGCCCACTTTGTCGAGGTCCTGGATGTACTTTACGTGGAGAGAGATGTTGAGGGGCGGGATCGAGGCGGAGGAGGACATGGTGGCGGGTGTTGTTGTTGTGAAATGCAAGAGAAGATGGGCGGCAATCAAGAGGTGCGCGCGGCAGATGTTGATCTGAAACTATCCATCTGTTGTGTTTTCGAACAACGCTTCCATAGCTTCTATCCAGGCCATGACTCCATAGTATGCCCCACATCGCCCACCTCCCCCGGTACACCTCCACCACTCTCCGCTCCTCCGTCATCCTTCCCTCCCTCCCCCAGATCCTATCCGAGCTTCTCCAAAACTCGCTCGATGCTGGTGCAACAAAGATAGACTGCTATGTAGATCTGACAAAAGGAGCTGAAAGCCTGAGAGTAGAGGACGATGGGGCGGGCATAGACAGAGAAGGGTTGGAAAAGGTCGGGAAAAGATTTCGTGAGTGTGCCAGCTTTCTTCATGTTGGCATCCAGGCTGACAATCATATAAGGCACTAGCAAACCGACCAATGAAGGTGGCCTTGGTCCCGAGGCGTCTTATGGGTATAGAGGAGAAGGTATGTCCGTCAGCACATGCCCAAAGCTTGATCTGACAACAGCCTCAGCGTTGGCATCTATTGCATCCCTATCTTTACTGGACATTACCACCAAGACGCGCTGCTCTCAGGTTTACACCAAGATACTCAAGCACTCCAAAGACCTATTCTTCGGGCCCAATGCCTCTCGCCACATACCCGGCTCTCACGGCACCCACATCGTCGTCCGTGACATTTTCCACTCCATCCCAGTGAGAAGACAGGAGTTGGCGCAGAGCAGTCAGAGTACAATCATGGGCCAGATCAGAAAGGCAGTCGAAGGCTTGATTTTGGGTTCGAAGGGAGTACGTTGGGCAGTCTGGGAAGAGAGGGGAGGTGGGGCTGGAGGTCTGAGGAAGGTGATCTCGATTGGCGAGGTTGGCAACATCCGTGTGGCAAACGTGAAACGACTGACGATACTTGTAGACTGAGAGCTCGTTGGATCTGTTCAAGACCCTTTACGGGAGTGCTCTTGTACAACGAGTCCAAAATATACGTGTCACATCCGGCAAGAGAAGGATAAACGGGTTCATCAGCATATCGGGCGATGTATCCAAATCTCATCAGCACCTATGTGGGTCTTCGCCTGGCTCTACGTGGACCAATACTGACAGTGTATGTCAGATATAAACAACTATCCCATAGACAGAGGAGAATTACATCTCGCAATCGCGAAAAGGTTTGCGAACAGCAGATTCTCTACTGTGGCATCGGCTGGAGGGGCCGATGAAGAGGACGATTACGTTGCTTGTGAGTTCAGCTCTTCCTGAGCATATATATGTATCCTGACGCGACCTTAGCTGGTCGTAGATCCCCCCGTCGTTTGGAGCGGCACCCTGTATATGTGCTCAGCGTTTTGTTACCTTCAGCGGAGATTGACGTCTCCTACGAGCCACAGAAAGGCGTCATGGGTTACGAAGTGAGTCATTGATGAAGAAAGTTGGCTGGAACTTGCTGATATTGTGCCATAGAACATGCCCGGCCTCAAGAACATGCTCATCGCTGTGGTTGACGAGTTCTTGCGACGGAACGGGTATAGCTCCGGGCGCATGGCCTCTTCAACCCCAAGTCCTACCAAGAAGCCGACTTCCCCGCTGTCCAAAGTGTTTCCGAGACCAGAGACCTCTTACGCCAAACCCTCCCCACTGTCCATCTCTTCACTGAGGGCTACCGTGGCCCCTACTCCTTCCGCCGCTGGTGTACCAATACCCAGGCCGCCTTCCACCAGCTCGCAGCTCCTCGGGCTCAAGAGACATGCGTCCCCCGTCTCCTTCTCCACCTTTTCAACTCCCAAGAAACCAAGATTGGGTGGCATCACCCATACTGCGTCTCCCAGGATTAACGAAATAGGGAGCAGAAAGTCAAAGTGGATTGAAGAGCTCTTGGCTGGCGTTGAAACTGGCGTCTTGCCCATCACCCGTCCAAAATCCGCTCTCCGGGTCGCAAACCCAATATGTACTACTCACGAGCTCCACGAGGACACATGCTGTAGTCACTCGGCACCCGATATCCCTCTCAACCTTGCGCCCACTACCCAAACCACATTACAGGTCCAATTCGCCAAGTCCTGCCTTTCCTCCGCCATCATACTCTCCCAGGTTGACCGCAAATACATCGCTGCCGTCCTCACCACAATGGAAGGCGCTAAGGCTCTGGCTCTCATCGATCAACATGCCGCTGATGAGAGGGTGTCTGTTGAGGGTATTCTCTGGGAGCTGTGTGAGGGGTTCCGCAAGGGTGATATTGCCGCGGAGAGATTGAAAGACGGGAGTGAGGTGGGAGTGGTTCTTACCAAAGGTGAAGGGGAGGTTCTGAGGCGGGATGGAGTGATCGAGGTCTTCAAGAGATGGGGTATGGATCTCGCCCTGGATCATCTTTGGATCGACGGAGATTATACCCAAATCATGGTCCGCTCCGTGCCAGCAAGCCTCGCCAGTCGGCTCAAACGAAAAGAGGCCGTTGAAGTGACGCGGCTTATCAGAGGTTATCTGCCTGTCTTGCAAGAAAGTCTGGGCCAGATTCAGGTGCTTGTCAGAGATCTCGAGAAAAAGTTCATCGATCAAGATGATGAAGGGGAAGGATATGGGGGGACTTGGGGGAGGATCATGAGATTCATGCCAAAGGAGATGCTGGAGCTGGCAAATTCAAAAGCATGCCGAGGTACGCTTCCAAAGCCTCGCATCGTCTCTACGCCAGATAACACTAACTCGATCTTCACAGGAGCGATCATGTTTGAAGACCGCTTGACGCAAGACCAATGCTCCCGTCTAGTACATCAGCTCGCCCAGGCCAGGTTCCCATTCATGTGTGCGCATGGAAGGCCAGCAATGGTACCACTCGTGGTACTGACGGAGCTGGAAGAGGCGCCGCAGGACAAAGGGAGAAAACGCGCGGGAAAGGCGATTAACTGGGGAAACGTTGGGCAGAGGATGAAGGAAGCGCAGGAGGAAGAAGAAGAAGAGAGCAGTGTGACAGAGGTATGGCAAGACGTTGTATGACACATACTGTATCCTTCATCCAACTTCGCATCATATTTGTGCTGTTGCCATCTGTAGCCTATCAATGCATCATCAATCTTCGATTCGGGTACCCCTTCCTGAATCTCACTCACGCATTGCCAGCGAGACAAATATCATTTAGTACCGAGGTGCATTGATGAGGTGCGGGTGGGTATAAACGTTCTCCAGCAGCTGTCGCGAAACCCATTCACAGCGTGCATGACCGTGAATACCGAGAGTCTATGGCTGCCACATCTATCCAGTACCAGAACATGCCTCCATAGGTTCACGAAAGACAAAGTGTGGTGCATTGCAGACGTTTAAAGCATTGCTGCCACGTGATCACTATCTTATCGTACGGGCTTGTCGGCCCGTCAGCTAGATAAGCTTCTCTTCTCCTTATCTCCTTGTTTTGGGCGCATTGATGGGCGCACCGAATCCACCTTCCCTCGTCCATTCACACCACCATGTCTGGACTGGAAAGAGAGAGCAACACAAACTTTCCCATCACCACCAGTCAGAAGAACTATTGTAAAGGCTATGCCATTGCGAAGCCACAGCGCCCTGCATGAGAGTCGAGATAGTCTATAGAATCTATACAGATGCATGAACCACGTCTAAGAACCCAAAAAACAGTCCCAAAAGCACCATCGCAGTAAACCGATTCCTTCTTTTTCTATTTCTCCTTTCCTACTTGGTACAGCAGCTGCCGCCGTTCACCTTGACCTTGTCACCATTGACAGCCCCGTCCGCACCGACTTGAAGAGTGGGGTCGTATCTATCGTAATATCAGCTTGGCATCCTTCAGAGGCGGAAGGGATGGGCGCGAGGAGGAAAGAGGAGGCAAGACTCACTTGACACTCTGGTTGACAGCCTGGGTGGATGGGGGAACGTCCAGCGAAGGGTTGTAGTTGAAGAACCCAGAAGGCTTCAACATGATCTTGACACTCTCGGCGGCTAATCATATCGTCAGCTCTTTTCCGTTATATAAGGCAGAGGCAGTACTCACGCATTATAGGGAAATCCTCAGGCCTAGGGTTGTGCGTAAAGGTGTAAGTGTGCCACAAAACGACATCGTCGTTCTCCACAGCATCTTCGCGGGCGACCCATTCACGAATACCCTCAGTACCGTCAGACTGGCAGGTGTAGTCACCTGAGGGGTAGAGCTCGCGGTCCTTGTACTTGGTGACCCAGATGGGGGCATCGCCAAAGTGCGATCGCTTGTCGTGCCAAGAGCCCTTCGCAGCCAAAAGACCCTACTTGAGTGATGAGCGCCAGCCTCCCAACCCAAATAGATGACTTACCTGCGAGCTGATAGGAACAAGCTTGTAGGCAATAGGCGTCAAAGAGACAGGGTTGATCTTGTCAGGGTTACTGATCTTGATGATCCTTGCCTTGAAGGGGTCAGTCTTGAGGGTACCAGACTTGGTAATCTTGGTCTCTTCAGTGTAGTACCCAGTCCCAAAGGGGTTCAGGTTCTTGTCTTCAGGCATCGGCAGAGAGTCGACGTAGGAGACGGTGTTGGAGTAGCCGTCGATGGAGGGGTCGATACGAAGGTTGAAGATGTGCTGGTGGTACGGGGCAAGGACACCGTCGCCGACACGGGTGGCAAAGTTGACCTTGTCGGTGCAATTGGGGTCGATGGGAGTGGTGGAGAGGATACCGGTGGCGCCTGTGAAGAGTGTGAGTGCTTCAAACGCAGCTGGAGAATGCGAAGGGGACGTACGGGTCTCAAATTCGATCTCACCAGATTGGTCAAAGGTCCAGTAGAAGATGTACTCGTAGTTGGCGACTTTACAACATCAGTCTTATAAGTTTGGGGGTTTGAATCATGAAACTTACCAGTCAAGATTGTCTGAAGCTGGAGCTGCCTCTTTCTCACGACAGATGCCTTACCAGTCCGGTGGTTCGTATGTTTCCACTGGATACCAGAGTCGATCTCGTGACTATAAATCGATTAGCCATCTGGTACGACTACCAAGAAAGGATTGAGTTCTCACATGCAGACACAGTTGTTTTTCGGCACGACTTCACCCCTAGCGTTGATGATGTGACCGTCGAGGTAAGCGATGGTACCCAAGCAGTCACAGCCCACTGCAGATACAAGTCAGATTAGGTCCAATTCGGTCGAGTTGAGACGAGTACTCACAGGAAAGGTCGTTAGCAGTGGCTCCGGCGCCGACGTTTCCGAGGTCGAAGGCGCCCTTGCGGTGGAGAGGGTCTCGGGGGTCACCGTAGGGGACAAACCTATAGATACGTCAGCGTGGCGGTCTCAGCTTCAGACACGGGACGTAGACGCACATCTCGGAAAGGGAGAGTCGGAAAAAGACTGGTCGGCCATCAAAAGTGACGTCGTAGAGGATCATACCCTCTCGCCAGTTGAATCCCACCCTGAACCTCCACTTCTCCCACTCGATGAGTCTTCCAGTGAGCTTGAAGCTGGCGCCCTCGGGCTGGACAACCTGCAAAGGCTTCATGGTCGTCCTGGCTGGTTTGCTCTGGAGGCGGTGGTCGTACTCGGGCTCGATGGGCTCACCAAGCTGTGACGAAGGTCATCAAAGTTGAAGCATGAGAAAAGAGGAAGAGCATACGATTCTGGGACCTTTGTGAGGAGTAGCGATGGGCTCAGCGCCGATAGGGATGTGACAAATCTTAACTATCTTCATCTGCACAAGGTCGATGATGGCCATAAAGTCGAGAGGGAAAGCATAGTGGTTGGAGTCGGGGTCATTATTCTTGGGGCTAGGCAGAATGTCAGCGGTAGCAGACAAAAGCGAACAGCACTACTCACTTCCTAGTGTAGAAGAAGATCTGGCTGAGACGCCTGTTCGAATCGAATTCGTCCTTTCCATAGTCCCAAGGGTCACAGACAACTACGCTGTCGCCAATCTGGCAACGCTCGAGCTCCTTCTTGACAAGGGGGTCGTTGAGAGCGACTTCAGCAGCCTCGTTGTGCTCCACACGGTCGACAGGGGCGTAGTGGTTGCGGGACATCTCCTTGTTGTGGACGATCTTCCCGTCAGTGACATCGATGATGGCCTCGAACAGTCGGGGAGTGTTCTTGATGTAGTACATCCTGTGCCACGAGTCAGATAGCAAAGAGAAGATTGAATACAAGACTCACATGAAGATCAATCTGTTGGGAGGGGTGATAGGAGTACCGGCGCGCTCGGCAGTGAGGTACTTCTTCATGACCTCCTTGGGAGGCTCCTCAAGACCTGCGACCTTGAAGTGGATGGGAACATCGTAGAGCGCCTTGATGAGGTCGATGGCGGCGGTGAGCTCTTGAGGGCTGGCGGGATCGAGGGGGTGGGGGGCAGACATGATGAAGGGATAGGTAATGGAGTTGATGGGCATTTCTCAGCGAGTATATATCATCTGGCAGTCGGGCAACCGAGTCAGCGTGGAGGATGACACCGTCCACGGCTCGTCGGTCCCACCCGGTTCTCGTTAGCACGGCGCTGTCCCAACAGCCTGTCCATTGCGCCAGGACCGCGGATATGCTCGAGGAATATCTAATTACAATTGCATTACAATTTGAAGAGCGATTACAGCAGATGCAGCTCATGACACGGCTCTCGCCATTTACGTAAAGGGCTATCTCGGCGATATAAGCGCGGTAACTTAGATAACGGTGGTGTCAGCCAAGATGCGAGACTCGGCTCCCTGATAAGCGCGTGGAATGGTCTCGCACATGGCTCAGCTTACCCCTTATATGTACTCCCTGCATTTCTCCCTTCCTCTTCATCCATTTACCATGTCCTCATTCATTCTCGCCTGTACCGTCTTCCTCGAGCCTCCTGTTGTTGAGAGGCTTCACAAGACATTCGCCAAGGTCCACTACCACCCGGATGGCGTCCTCCCCAAAGAAGCCTTGCAGGAGGCAGACATCCTCTTCACAGAGATGGTCGGTGTCCCCTCGCAGATCACAGACCTGAAGGCCGAGATCCCCAACTTGAAGCTCATTCAGCTCGTGTGTGCCGGCTCCGAGAAGGCCCTCGCTTGCCCTGCCGTCAAAAACTATGCTGCCCAGTCTGATCGCTCGATCACCTTGGCCAATGCGAGCGGTATTCATGTTCTCTCCATACCCAACTATGTTGTGGCTTCCATCTTGGGGGCTTACCACCAGCTCTCTCGGCAGATCATCTTTGGTGCGGTGTGTACCTTTTCATTCTTCGTATCGCGCAGGGCTGATTGAGTTTGCAGGTCAACAAGCGATGGGCTACACGAGCCGAGATCGAAATCACCGACAAGCCATACTACGCACGAAGCCCCAGGGGACGTACTGTCGGCATGCTTGTGAGTAATCGTCTTGTAAAATCTTGTGAAAAGGACAGTGACTGATTGCCTATAGGGTTACGGAGCTCTGGGCAGGGAGAGCGCGAGGCTTCTGTCGTGTCTTGGTATGAACATTATCGCCGCCAACACCTCTGGATCTGCCACCGAGCAGACAGGCGTAAGTTACTTGCTCTGGAAGCCTTGTTGACCTACGGACTGACCTGTTGATAGTACATCATTGACGGCACTGGCGATGCTGATGGTTCCATCCCCGAAACATACTACTCTACCAAAGACCGTGCATCGTTTGAAGCTTTCCTTGAGCGGTGTGATGTGCTCGTTTCCAGTCTTCCCAACACCTCTGCCACTCAGTACCTCATCGGACCCAAGGAATTCGGCAAGTCTCCTTCATCGTCCGTATTGGCTCTACTTTACTGATCCTTTGATATAGACCTCCTTCCAAAGAACGCTTTGCTTATCAACATTGGTCGGGGCAACCTTGTCAAGTCTGGTCAGTTTCTGTCTCTTCTCCCTGTACCTCTTGTCTGACATAGGTCTTCAGAGGACCTCCTCGCGGAACTGAACAAGCCAGAGGGTGAGGGCCTCTTCGCCGCTCACGTCGACGTCACCGACCCCGAGCCTCTACCCGAAGGGCACCCCCTCTGGTCCCACAGAAAAGCTACCATTACACCACACCTGTCGGGCGATACCGAGGGAGAGTATGATATTGCGGTGGATATTCTGATCGCGAATGTGAAGAACTTGGCGGTGGGAGAGCGGTTGTATAATGCGGTCGACTTTGTGAAGGGGTATTAGAATGTATATAAAAGGAACACAAACTCATGCAACCACGCCTAGTCAAGGTTTTCTATGTTCATTCTCTGTGGATCAACAGAATGAATGACCCAGATGGCCAGTCCATAAGATAGTACGTAGATACACTTGCGGCAGAACGGGACCAAATTTCGTCGATGTCAAGCACGAGTTGTAATGGTGTCAAGGGCTTCTTCCATCTGTTCTCTCTTTACACTCTTTGACGCCCAAAAGCTCGATGCCATTCCGAGCACGCTGCAACCCTGCAGCCATCCTCCAACGCAGAAATGCCGCCCTTCTTTTGAGACCGGACTCCGTGCGCATATCATCGGTGGTGACCCCGCTTGTAGCCCCAAGTGAGCATTTTCATCTGTCCGGCGAGCTATGCTAAACTGTCGTTAGGACACCAGGTGCAGCAGTACAGATATTCCAGCTCTTCATCACCCCTGCAATCCCCTTTCTCCTCCTTCTTCTCCCGTATTCGCCGCGCCGACACACCGGAAACAGCCTCCAAAGAGTTCACGGATGCCCTCGTCTCGTGCGACATCAATGCTCTTGGTACAGCCTACTACACCATCGGCAAGGCCGCGCAGCCTGCACAATGGATATCAGAGCAACAGCTGCTGGCGTCTATGCGAGCTTTGGCGGAGAAGACGGGTAAATCGCCTCGGGGTCTGCGGCTATTACGCCGTATGTACGACGATGTCTCCAGGCGCTTTGGGTATTCCAAAGAGAGCGCGTACGATGAGGCGATGATCCTCGGGCTCATACGTGCTGGGGCTGTCAAGGAGGCTATCGATTTAGCTGCGAAGTTGAAAGAGGAGGCGGTAGATTGGAGAGCGATGCTGCAGGCTACCCTGCGCTCAGGGGGGGCAGTGGAGTATGAGCATGTTGCTCGAATCGTTGAGCCATTCCAACGGCAGGCATCGCTGTCCCATGACGACTATCGGTTACTCCTTAAAGTCCTCCACACCTACCCCGATCAGAGTGATTCCTCTCAGCTCGTCGCCCTCCAAAAAGATATGGCCGCCCGAGGCATCGCACTCGACAAGTCTCTCCAAGCGGTAATTACATCTGTATACATTGCTTTGGGTGACCTGGAGGGCTCAAGAGATATCATTCAAAAATGGAGTCTCCTCTCGACAGAAGAGTACGAGCTCGACATGTGGGACGCCATTGTCAGTCATCACATCGCTACCAATGATGTCCCAAAACTCCACGAAGTAGTTGGCAAGATGCGTGACGCTGGTATCAAGATCCCTCAGCGCGCTCTGCTGGTTCTTGCGACAGCTTGCTTGGACGGTTATATCGACTCCAAATCGAGAGTCGGCTACCGAGATGCTGCCGCGGCGATCGACGAGGTCGGACAGTTGTCTGGCGACTTGCCGGGCACAGAAGTGTGGACAGGCGTCATCCAACACTATCTCGACAAGGTTGACGAGCGAGATTCACTCGATGTCGCCCTGCAGCTCTTTGATGAGTCCCAAGGTCGAGGTATACCCCTGACTGCCGAGCTCGTTCGCACCATGATCGTCCCCCTCTGCTCTTCACGCAAAGGTCAGTATACAGAGGATGCTCTGCGGATCTACGACGAGTACATGACCTTTGCGCTCAATTCTGAACTCGAAGTTGAGACGGTTCGCCGGCGGTTTGCTGGGGTGTACGAAAAGCTATTTTACGCTTGCGCTCGTGCTTCCCCTCCGCCCATGGCCTCCGTCATCCGTCTTTTAGACGACATGCGGACCCTCTCCATAGACTTCACACCCTCCAACCTTATTTCATGGCTTGTGCTCCTGATGCGAGCGTCTCCAGACCACAATGCCGCTTTCACCCTGTACTCCAACTTTCACTCGCTCAATCCTGCTGCGATTGATGAAGAGGGTTACAATGTCATCTTGACGAATTTTCTGGGATTGAAGTGGGAAGGGCGAGGGGAGGCGCATGCACCGCCCGACATGTTCGTCTCAATCATGAAAGATATGGCGAGGGCGGGGTACCAACCCAGTTCCCACGCCCTCACCTCTCTCCTCAAGACGTACGGTCATACCGCCACCCGTCTTCGTCGCTCTTCCCGTCGCCCCGCTCTCTCCCCGGAAGACCCCCTCTCGCGGCTAGGCTCATCCATATCCTCCATTCATACCCTCATCAAACTTGACCCTCTTCTTCCCCCCGACATTCCCCTCCTCACCTCGCTAATGGACGCTTACAACCGTATTGGCTCTACCTTTGAGGCATTTGAGGTTTGGGACGAGATAGTCCAGAGACGTGGCAGAGAAGAGGAGAGGAGAGGCAAGGAAGGGGTGAGGGAAATCTACAAGCCCGCAATCAACGTGATGCTCGATACCTGCGGGTGGAGCTATCAGCTCGCCAAAGCCCGGAAATCTTGGTCCTGGGCTCGCCGTTTCGGCCTCGCCTTTGACAAGAAACATTACGAGGCATGGGTGGAGTGTCTCTGTCGCTGCGGCTCCCTTTCAGAAGCCGCCGATGTCGTCCTCGACCAGATGGGCAAGGAGGACGGAGTGCCCAGGGCGGATAGGGATACACTCAGATTGTTGTGCAAGTTTGGAAGGAAAGAGAGGGATCAAGGAAAGCAGGTAGCAGTGGCAGAGGAAGTGCTGAACAGGGTCAAGGAAGCTTATCCTGGCTGGTGGGACGAGTTGAAGCAGGAGAGTGGAGGCAAAGGAAGAAAGGGACAGGCAGGAAGTCAATAAGATTACATCATATCGTATGTACGAGTCAACTATAGGCCTGGTACAAGTACACCATAACACATGTTCCGGTCGATACAAGAATCTCGTCTTCGGTCGTCATCAGTCGTTATCATTCATGACGCGGGAAGAGACAAGGTCGGAAGTTTGTCCTGACAGAGCGGACACAAGGGCTATGTTGGACGTCAGTCTCTGTCCTCACTCCTCAGGGCGACCAAGCTCACTTTGATCTCCAACCACCCCTTCAAGCATCTGTAATGGTACACATGCCCACAAGGCGCGACCACATGCCCTTTACTAGTGTGCAAAGCGGGATCTACAGGCGTCTCTACAGCCTGCTGATAAGTCTGCTTCTTCCTGAGACTCCTTATCTTGCCTCTCAGTTCAGATGGCTGAGGTGCAAAGATTACGAGCTCCATCTCGTCAAGGCAGATAGGACATTCGGTATCCGCCTCGTCGGAGAAAGCCCGCGATGGCAGGGGGCGGGGGCAGACGATATAGGCTGCTGTTGTGGCAGCCTGCTCGTCTCGGCGGCCGCTGCGGCTGCTCTGTTGGGAAGAGGTAGAGGAGTTTGTAAACGTCGGTGTGAGGTCGAGGTTCGGTTTGCGAGGGGACGACATCCATCCCCAAACGTGGCGGAAGACCATAGTATATGCTGTGCTGTATGTGTGATAGTGGAAGGTGTGTGGCGACTGATTAAAGCAGATACCGCAAATACCCTTCCTATATCAATTTAAGACCAGAGGAGTACGTACACTGCCCCCGGATCTTGACCAGACGGTCCATTCTATAAGCGGCTGTTGTTGCTTGCCGCTGCTCATAAGCTAAACGTTATATTTGCAGACTAGCAATGGATTTGCCGAACTCGCCGGCCGCCCGGCAGCGCCGGCAGCACGTCAAGCGTCAAGATCGTTGTTATTTCATACAGCATCATCAAATCTATACCCTTCTTATCTATACAGGTCTGATCGTTCACCCAGGCTCCTCGCCCTCCCGACCAATCCCTCCAACCGTCTTTCTAACCTCCTCTCCTTCTTCTTCCATTCTCCCACCTGCACCTCCGGGGCATTCTTCCGGCTCTTCCATCCGACCTTTTCTCCACCCAGTTGTGAGATATCGACAATCTTGGGACTGGCTTGGAATTTGGCAATCTGGTGGAGGAGTATTCGCGATTCCATCTCGAGAGCGTGCTTGGTAGGCGGCAGGGAGCGAAGAGGGGAATGTGTTGGCGTACTTGGAAGAGAAGATTCAGATTCGGATCCTGGGGTGGTAGGAGTCTCTTTGTGTAATGAAGGAACAAGTTCCGGTACGTCAGGCTCGGAGCGGAAGCCCAAAGTAGGCAAGGAATGTATGTCCTTGTACAGTTCTTTGGACTTGAGCAGGGCATTTTCCTGGCGGAGGAAGCGGACAGCGCTCTTGAGGTTTGCAACCTGTTCCGCGAGCTGAGAGGATTCGAGGCCGGCCCCGGAACCGACTATGATGGGCTCCCCGAAGCTAGGGGTACCTTGGTTCGCGTTCACTGCAAAAAGTAGTCAGCAAATGTAGGCGGCCAATGATTGTGGCGGCTCACCTTGCCTGTCACCACCCTGGCCCTTCCTAAGCTCAGCATTCTGATTCTCCAAGGCATTTACTTCCCGCTGCAGTTGCTCTACAGCATCCGCATACACCTTCTCCTGCTTCTTTGCTTTGGCCACATCGTTTTCGAGTTCGACGATGTCATCGGCCTGCTTGCGGGAAGTTTCAAGTCTTCTTTCGAGGGTTTCAACTTTGACGCCCGCCTCTTGTAGGGTTTGATCCTGATCAAAGCGTTAGAACCAACAAGGTATATGCAGAGTCGGAGAGAAGCGTACGCGAAGTTTGATCTCTCGGAGCATATCCTTGACTTCTTCGGTAAGCATAAGGACTTGCTTTTCGGTCTCGGCATTGTGCGAGGCGGCGTCTTTGATGGCTGCAACTCTGGCGATCCAAGGAGCCGGGGCGTCGTCTGGTACTCATCAGCGCTGCTTGCTTGGTCGTAGTTGCAGTATACTCACAGATCATCACTCTGCCTTCCTTTACAGCCTCTTTGACTTTTGGCACAGCCGCTCCGAGTTCCTCCCCAAGCTTCGCGACGAACGCTCCAATAACCTCCCAAGGATGCGCTTGCACACCAGCCGACGCCGACTGCGCCGTGACATCCGCCAAAAACCCTTCAATATCTGACAATTTCAATGGCTGCTTGGTTGAACGGAGAAGTGCGGTGTGCTGGCCGATGCGCTGAGCGAGTTGGACGGCCAAATCGACGGCGTTTGAGACGGAGGCGGTGAGGTCGCTCAGAATGAGAGTGATCTCAGGCATGAAAGCAGAAGAGGCTTGTGTGATCTCCTCGATTTGGTGAACAAGTTTGCTAGGATTGAGGTCAACAGTGGTTCACAGGAAAAGCATGGGTCACGTACGCGGATGGGACTTTGACACTCCTGACCAGATCCAGTATCCTCTGGACCGGGACATAGACACCTTCCTCCAGAGATGACTCTCCGACATCGATTTCAATATCTGACAACCAATCAGCCCATCCTATTGAGTCGTATGAGTACTCACCTTCTTCGGCGGCCAAGCTGGTGATGGCATGCCTGGCAAACCCAACAGCTGCCGCAAAGTTGTCCAGATCACAATCAAACACATGAGCCAACCCCAGCTGCTGCTCCCCGACATCCAACTGCGGGCGATGGAAGGCAGTCTCCGCCAAATGATCAAACTGGGCCACCAAGCTCCCCAAGTCTCGAGCACAATCGGACTCGCTGAATTCGTCATTCTTGAGGGCGGCAAGCCACGAGTCAATACGGGCCTCCACACCGGTGATTTCGGTGAGGAATTTGCCATAGGCAGACCAGTCGTCGGTGGAACCGCGTTTCATGACGCTCGAGAAACGCTTGTTCAGGGTGGAAAAGTAGCGTAATTTGCCCTTTAGCTCGCAGATACCCACGAGGGCTTCGGAGGAAGCCGAATGCAGACTGGCTGGCAACCCGTGGACCTGGCTGACGACGTTGACCAGCATGTCCACCTTTGCTCCAACCCTGTTGAAAAACAAGAACATGCTCGTGGAGTCTTCTTCCGTCTCGTGGTAGGCTTCGGGTAGGTAAGCTTGTACGATACGGAGGTGTTCAAAGAGCTGAGTAGCCTCCAGCTTCTTCAGTTCGAGGTCAATGGTTTTGGTCTGAGCTTTGGCAGCTGTCGATTGGAGTTTGAGGTTGAGGTTCATGAGGGCTTGTGAATCTTTGGTGACCGTGGCCGTGTTGCTCTCTTGGTTCATCTGTTGAAGGCGGACATTTTCCAGATCGCTACACAAAGTTAGAAACGCAGCATGTCAATCAGTCTGATCTCACCTCTGAAGGCTTTGCACCAGCTCCCTGAACTGCCCAATAGTACTCTCCATATCTAGAGCGACCTCCTCCAGCTCGGCTGCTCTCCTTTTCTCCTCTCTGAAAGCGATCTCTAGCGCCTCGATATCCTCACTCAACTGCTTCTCTGTCTCCACATGCCCTTCCTCCAATTCATCGTTCAAGTCTTTCAATGCTTCCAAGTCTTCAATTGTAGCCCGCATTTCTTCGAGGCGCTCGGACAATTGAAGGTTGCGGTCTGTAAGCTGCTCAAGCATGTCTTCGGCACCGAGGGCGTCATCGAGCTGGAGCTTGAGGTCCTCGATCTGTGACTCGGCATTCGATAGTTTGGCTTCAGCTAATTCGAGGTTGGCTGAAGGACTATCAGCAGAGTACTTGTAATGGTCAGTCGGGCTTACTGATGAGTTCTTCCTGAGAAGTCAGCTCTCGTTCAAGCTCAGCCATCTTGGTCTTGTGATCCTTTTCGGCCTCAGATGACATATCACGAAGCCTGATGAGAGCATCCTTGAGCCTCTCATTATGTTTTTTCAATTGCACGAATGCCAGGCTCGTCCTCTCGCCTTCCACACCGGAAACCGGTCGCTCATACTCGGCTGATGTCATATGAGCTTGGTCTTCAATGATCAGGAGTCTACGCACCATTCTCTTCTTGCAAGATGGCCACTTCCATCTCCAACTCTTCCACTCTCTCCCCGAGCTTGACCACTTCTGAATCAGCCGCTTCTGCCTTTTCCTCTGCCACTTCTCGATCCAGCGCGGCCATCTCCAGCTGATCCAAAGCCTCAGCTGCTCGGTTTTCCAACACTGCATTCTCCGCCTGAAGATCCTTCGCCGACCTCTGCGCAGCCAAGAGTGCCGATTGAATCTCTTGAAACTTGGCTTGTAACCGGACTCGAGCCGTTTTCAGCGAGTCTGCCTCGCCTACACGGCCTTCGAGATCTTTGATCTTTTCGCCGTCTTCGTGCTTTCGCGTTTCGAGAATCCTGACTCTGATCCGCAGCTCTTCAAGCTCACGTTTCATTGATGATTCATGAGTTGCCCCTTTATCGGGCGATGGAGAGCGAGGAGTGGGATTGGCCGCGGGGTGTGCTTCGGGAGAGGGTAGTTCGGGAGGAGGAGCGAGGGTGGCAGAGATAGATCGAGTGTCCGTCTGATGAGATAGACTGGGTACAGGAGAGATGACTCGTCGAGTAGGAGATATCACCCTTTGAGGCGGAGGCGATATCACACTGCGGACAGGTTCATCTTCTTCCTCTGCCGCTGTAGTCAGCGGAGTCGGCGCTCTATCCAGGACGGAGGGTGGCCTCTTGAAGATGTTGCCTTGCCCGGGGCGGCTGGACGTCGATGAGACGCGTCTGACAGGCGGAGGAGCGGGAGCGGGAGATTGTGGTACACCGGTGGCGGAAGAACCGGAAGTGACTCGGGATGATTGACCGGGCGTTGGAGGGGCCCGAGAGGCCAGTGGTTTTTGGGGTGATGGAGCACGCGATGACTGTCCGGATGCAAGCCGAGACGTGGTAGGTGTTGCCGGAGGCCTAGCTGATGACGGACGAGGCTATTGAAAGTGGGGTTAGTGCAGAGCTCGCAGCGACACGATGGACTTACAGCAGTCTTTGGCGCTTCCAAGATCTTGACCTGACTTGGTCGAACAAAGACACCATATAATGGGGGACAATCAAAGTATCGTTCTCCTTTGACAGTCCCATCGTTTTTTCCTGCTGGTTCTGACCTGGCCGGAAGGTCAGCATTCATTGCTTTACAGACCGCATGACGGCTCAATGATTTGAGTGCAACACCGCCAGTCGGACCACGACGCTTAGATACCCTCGTCTACACCTCCCCGACAGTATCCAGCCGAAACATTCAATTTGATATCAACCGAGTTTCACACTCACAGTTCAACACCGACCCATTTGCCAACTGCAAACCCCGGATTTGTGCCAGTCCATCTGACATGGCCTATACCGACCGACACCTGGACTTTTGCGCCTACTGGCACCTCTGGCGTAGTCATATTGTCGGCATAACTCGGTGGCTGGAGAGAGGGATTGTAGGGGCTCCTTAGGAGGACAGGGTGTGCGAGGGGTCAGTAAGAGATTGTTGAGAACAAACACTTTCAACAAGGATGTAACGCGCCTTGTTCGCGTCGTAATGCGTGTCCGGCCAGCAAGTACAGCGTCCGGACAGCTAAAGCAGATCCGGACGCGCTTTCTCTCCTCGTCAGAATTCAAAACAGTCCGACATTTCGATCTGACAGCTATACCCCAATCGCTCTTCTGATATTCCCAACAAAGCCTTGAGGAATGACCAGCTCTTTATAATCAAATCAACGAACCAGTACGAAAAGACATGTCGGCTCTTCAACCACGACCTCTAGCTCCTCGAGCTGCTGCTGCTCCAGCACCCATAACAACCAAAATTGCCTCCACTGTGAGTCATTGACCTACTTCAAAGCCTGTATATACCACTAACTGTCTCACTATAGCCTCTACAGAAGGTTGAACGGCAGTATACTGTACATTCCATTCCCTCGGAACGAAACTTTGCTAACATTCCAACCAGAAATTTCTTGCCAAACGATACATGTCTGCCTACTTGGGCAGAGTAGCTCTTTGGACAGTTTTGGTACTTGCTGGAGCATCTGTTTGTGTCACTGGTACGTCAAATCTCCAGGTATCACTGCATCACACACTCAATCCCTACCCCAGGCTCCGCCTCCTCCGGCCTTTACGCCCTCATTTACGCCATCCCCACCTTCATCTCCCTCGCCATCATCCTTAAGCTCCGGAAATCGTTCATCACTGAACCCTACCGCCCCGCCCCCCAAACCTCTGTCGTCCAACTATTCCTCTCCTCCTTCTGGGACCCGAGAGCCATCACGCTGCTCGCGGCGTACTATGTGTTTGGGTTGACTGTGTCGAATGCGTGGTTGAGTTTGTTGGGAAGGAATAATTTGGGATTCTTCACTCCTACCATGTACGTCCATTTTAAATGTTTCTGTGGGTTCAAGCTGCTCAGGAACGACAGTCGACACCCGTGGCAGCTCAATGAGCACCGAGTCATCCTCGTCTTCTCCAACGCATGCCTTCTCACCACCATCGCCGCCCGTGACATCCTAGGTGATAAACTTAAACCCACATGGCCGACAGAAAGGGTTCGTCTCATTCATCCTCTATGCACAAATCTCGCGATGCTCACTTGATTACAGAAACCTTTGGGCAAAGCCGTCCAGGCAGCTCTTCTCAGCGAAGTCTGGACGTCCACCCGGATCGGATTCACATTCTCATGGTCCGTCATTGCGCCTTTTGCCTACTGCTGGTTCGGTATCAGGACTTTTGTATGGCAGTGGGCCAACTGGAGGATCCTCGCTTCAACTGTCCGGTATGTCTCTTGTCGAACTTGGTAACTATACTGACTGAAAGGCAGACCGTTCGTGGGCAATTTTGCTCGCCAGACGTCCAAGACGCCTAGTCCGTGGTCGCTCCTCGGCCCGATGCTGGTGTTGAACTTTGTGGCGCTTGTCATATTACAGTTCCCTGTCAAAGCGTTGATGGCTTATACAACTCAGGTAGGTTCAACGCTTGGAAAAGAGTACATGTGCTGACAATCCCCAGCCTTTACACTTTGACCAGTTCTACAAGAAGAGTCCGTTGAGTCAGGATCAATACTTGATCACTGCTCTCAAATCCAAAGACAAGTACCACCTCGTACGTGACTATTTTGACAGCCATGATCATGACTAAACTTTCATACCAGCAATTCACCCTCATGGAGCTTCTCCGCGTGGCTCACATCCCCGCCTCCCGCAAGGCCCTCTTTGACAACATATCCAGATCTCCCGTCCCCGTCCTCGCCCTCTGGGAAGACCTTCTTCTCCACTTTGGCACCGTCCACCACACCCTGATCACCCGCGGCTCCACCTCTCGCCCCCTCACCCCCGCCCAGCCTTCCACCTCCTCCTCTGCCCAAGCCATTCCCATCAAGCAAGGCGACATCTTTCGTCCCCAGCCCCAAGCCAAGTCTTCATCATTCAACATCAAAGCCGCTTTCGACGGACCTATCCGGCCTTCTGCCCCTCCTCCCGCTGTGGCAAAGGAAATCTCGAAAGTCGGTGATCTGGCCAAGAAGAGGATTGGAGAGGCACAAGGCATGGCGTTGGGGAGGATTGAAGCGACGGGGGTTGGGGCGAGTTTTGTTGGAGAGGCGAGGGTTGCGCGGAGGGATGTGCATGAGTGGGCAGGGAGAGAGTGGGCCAGGAGGTCGGTGAGAGTTGTGCTGGGAGATGCGGTCATTGTGCAGAGGGTCATTGACAGTGAGTATCTCCCCAACCTTGGGTTGTTTGCAGAAATAACCTTTATACGTCTAGTCATGGTGCTCTTGGCAGGCGCTTCAATTCAAGAAGATACCTACGGCAACGTCCAGCAAGTGCTTCCCTCGACCCTTGAAGCAATAGTCCGATTCCGGGATGCCGTCAAGCTGTTTGAGCTGGAACTTGTTGGCAAGGCGAGAGTGCTCGGGCCAGCGCAGGAGAGCGGCTTGGAAGAGATCAAGGAGAGTCTGGGGGAGATTGTTAACTGTATGTCCACCTGCGTCCACTCGACAACGCTGGGAGATTAGGCGCTGACAATTATGCCAGACTGTGAAGACTCTGTGCGCAAGGTGGCTGCTGATTTCGGGCAGAGCCTGGGGGCCTTCAGGTTCCCGCCTGTCATTGCGCATAGTTTGGGAGAGATTTGCAAGCCTAGCTATTAAGAAAGCGGGGTGTGGGGGACGAGGCTGATTGACATGCATCTACATGTATGATCTGACGACGCTGGCTGAGACATGCGCCTGGGACAGATGACCACTCAATGGACAAGCGGCGCGTAAGAGATGAACGAGATGTATTGAAGCGAAGCGGTGGCGCGTGTTGATAAGAAGACGGGGATTTTCTCCGGGCCAATAGGAGTCCTTTCGGAAGTGGTGTTTGGTGCCTGGGGCAATTAAACGGGATGACGTTATGCTCTCTCTATGCCCGCCCAAAACCCGCTTCCTTATCAGCATCCTTATCTCGAGCAGCCACAGCCCTTTTCACATGCATCAGCGCATTCTCCTCTTCCACCGCCATCCTCTTGCTTTCCACTCACTGCATTCCGCCCCGGCTTACCTCATCAACCCCCAGCAGCCCGTGCGCCACCTCTCTCTCTCACGACACCCCAGCTACTCTCTGCATCAACACCCAAGTATCACGGCATATCCACGATCACCATCGACTAACGTTCGCATACCGTCGACCTTCGCATAGCCTCTTTCTGGCCACTCTCCCTTGTACTTGTGCCCTCTTACCCAACATCACACGCCCCTCCTTTCCCTTGTCTCGCGCAAACTTTCCATACATTCGGTCTCCCATCAAACACTAAAGGCGCCTGTCACTCCTTCCTGTCCACACTGCCTTGATCATGGCACCTCCCTCTTGGTAACAACCCTTTGGTAAAGATTACGCATGCCCCTCTCAAACACCGAGGAGACCAAGCATCCCGGCGCAGGGACCCTCTACGTCTACTCGGTCAGCTCGACCAGAGGTATCAGTCCTGCCAAAAGCAACAGGAGGGGTGTATCGCCGTTTGCTGTGGCGACTGTCCCTAAGCGGTGGGAGGACGTCCCGAGTGTGAGTATCGCTGTGGCGACCCGTGGAGCAGTGTACTGATAAGGGGCTGTAGGCCAAAGAAGAGCCTGCCATTGTGGCCACTCTGGACAGTCTGCTGCGGCACGGCATTGCCGAGTATACATATCTCCCGCACTCCCTGGCAGGTGTCCTGGGGCGTGGCAAATTCAGCACCGTATACAAGGTCACCGGGGATGATGGCAAACAAGTACGTCGTCGCGATAAGCCATTGACCTGTGCTCATTCTTATCACTAGCACGCCCTCAAACACACCCCTCTGTATCCCCATCATCCTCTCATCGCTGCAAGGTTGCTCCGAGAGCCCAACCTTCTCGCAGAACTCCCCAGGCATCCCTGTCTCATAGGCGTCAATGGATGGATACGCACACCGGGGCATTTCTATCTCGTCGGCAAGTGATGGCACCGCAATGACCCTATTCCTCAACTGACTATTAACAGAGCAATACGTGGATGGACATCTCCCTCTACCTTCTCACCCTTTACCTCTACCTCCGTCCAGAGCTGCATACATCCTAGACCAACTCGTATCATGTGTGAGGGATACTCTACATGATAAGGGTCGGGTATGTCATCGAGATCTGAAAGGGGACAATGTGCTGGTGAACGTCGACACTGGTGATGTAGTCATCCTAGGTGAGTATCATGCCTACCATACTAGGGATACCTTCTGATCAAATTAGATCTCGGTTTGGCGACCCGTTTCTCGATGAGTCAACCAAAATTGACTACCTGCTGTGGCTCTCCCGCCTTCCACGTACGTATTCGTCCTACTCGAGTCAACACGCCTAACATTCTACCAGTCTCCAGAGATCGTTCTCGCCCTAGCTAGCCCACCAGGCGAAGTGACCTATTACGGCCCCGAACTCGACATCTGGTGTATAGCCCTCACCCTCCTCTCTCTACTGCTCCAAGTCCGCTTCCCCCTCGGGCCCAAACATGTGTCTACCCATATCATGCGCGAACGCGCCATGGACCGTTTACAAGAACTCGACGAGCTCTACCCGCCTCATTCGCCTTGGCGCCTCAAACCGTCTCGGTCGTCGAGGATTGTGGGTGATGGGATGAGCGGGACGAGCGGGCAGGGTGTGGATTTGGACTTTGAAAAAAGAGAGTGGAAGAGGGTGAGGAAGGCTATGGAGGATTTCTTGGAGATTGATGGGGTGAAAAGGATGGAAAAGTTTTGGGCGTACGAGATCGGGGAAGCGACAAGGCAAAAGGTGGCAGCCTTCGAAGCCGATCAAGAGGACAAGAAGTTCAAACAAATCAGCTTCGAGCCTGCAGACGTCAAGTATACTCTGCCGATATATGTGGATGAGGACGCCAAGAAGAAATCTTCAGAGGTGATTACCCTGCGGAACCCTGCGGGTGAGAGTCATCGACGAGTCAAGAGCTACATCAAGTACCTGTTGCGCTCCGCTGGTATCCTCTACCACGTCCTGCCCTCTCCCTTGTCTCTACCCGACACCCATCCCTCTCCCAGCTCTTCAATCGATTCTTTCGAGCAGCCCTGCATCCTTCAGCTCGTCGTCTCGATACCAGACTCGGCAATGATCGAGCCTGACCCATCGCCGTCCCCAGGCTGGTTACCCTCCATACTCAGCAACTTTAAACGTTCTTCTACCCCGCCCGGCAACCCGAACACCCGATCTGTATCCGTGCCCCCGGCCAAGGGCAAATCGCACTCTCCCTCGCCCGCTCCCTTAGGCAGCCAAGGCGGCTCCAATGGCGGGTCAAAAAAGGACAGGGCGTTGAGATGTTATATACGCCTCGAGTTTGAAGATGTCCCTGCCCCGGCAGAGGTCTATCGTCGAGGCTCAGTAGAGACATTCACGTCTATGCGAGACTCGCTCGGCTTGACAGCTCTCCATCAGAATCAATCCTCGTCTTCAACGTCCACCACCGTATCCATCACCCCGACGCAGTCCCCTCACCCTCCCCACCCCCAACGCTCCGTCTCTGCCTCCCGCACAACCTCTCAGCGACCCCACCCTCGTCGAGCAGCGTCCGCAATCCCCAATACATCTACTCCCCGGCTCTCCATATCCACCCAAGGGGGTATGCCAGCACACAAGACTACAATCCACAATCCCGCAATGATGCCTCCCCCGTCCCCTCTCAGCCGCCAAGTCAGCCTCGCAGGATCGCCTACTGAATCTGATCCTGCCCAGAGTCATTCCCAGAGCTGTGCGCCCAGTCGAGCATCTTCGCGATCCCGCAAACACAGTGCGGCGAGGCCGAGCTTGCTCCTCCAGCACGGTGCTTATGGCTCATACCAGCACCCTTTCAGACAATCCAGCCTCGACTCCAAGATCCATATCCACCTCTCCGACACTCGCGCCTACGCTGTCTTGCTGAAAGCGCTCGATGTGACGCCCGATGTCGGGGTGGGTATGCACCAGGGGTACGGCGATCCTTCGCTTTCGCCCATGACAATCCGCCGCCCGAGCTTGGCGCCTAGTATGGCGGAGGGAGCAGAGATGGTGACTGAAGAGGATGAAGAGCCGCAGAGGGGGAGGGCAAGGAGCAAAGAAGACGGAAGTTCGTTGCTGTCGATGCATGCCACACAGGGAGAGGCGAATGGGGGACAGCATGGGGTCAAGGGCAAGCCGGCACCGGCAGCCTTGTCGCCTGCAAAATCGGTGGTGAAATTGCCATTGACAAACTCGGAGGTGGTGGATAACATGACGCCAGTAGAAGTCCTTCTAGACGAGCATGGGCGAGACCGCGACGAGGTTGTGGAGATGGAGAAAAGGCAGAGGGATCAAAGTAGGGGGCGACAGAGAGGATTGCTGGATGTGTTGTTTGGGAGGTCCGAGGGAAGAGGAGCAAGGTCGTCGAGTGTACCGGCGACCTTTGTTGGGGAGCCAGTCGGCCTTCCTGTATGATCTAGACGATTTCATCTTTTCGGTTGTCATATTACTAGCATTCGTAGAAGCGTTTGGACCAGTCCACGAGTTGTAGATGTGAAGTTGATGCGTCTGAACTATTAGAGCTTTTCATCTTGACAGAGTACATGATGCTCAAAGCGAGCAAGCTACTTCACAAAGACCCTAACCCCAAAGTATGTTTCTACCTAGTATCTAGGCCTCTCGCCTAGTATCTAGGCCTCTCGCCTAGTATCTAGGCCTCTCGCCTAGTATCTAGGCCTCTCGTCGTACCTGGGCCTCTCGTCGCGTCTTTCGTAGCGGCTGTCGCGTTCACTACGGTAATAATAAGGATCGCTGTATGGGGGGTGAAAGAAGACAGCGCGTTAAACGCTGTCCCGTCTACGATCGGCGAAAAGCACTTACGGAGCAGCAGCAGCAGCGGGGGCGGCAGCAGAACCGGATCCTCGGTAGTAGTCGTCGTATCTATCGTACCTGGCGATAAGAGTGGTACTCTAGTCCTTCCAAGATTTTGCAAAGAGGACTCACCGATCACCACGAGGGGCAGGAGCCGCATAGCGGTCGTCGTACCTTCGGTCATCGTACCTGTCCCTACGGTCGTACCTGTCTCGCTCATCGTCTGCAGCCGAAATGTCAGCTTGGATCCATAGCTTGAATGTGGCACTTACAGCCTCGAGGAGGTCTGTCGTAGTATCGAGAGTCGTAAGATCTGGGCTGGTAGGGTCGGTCGTAGCCGCCGCCGTATCGGGGACCACCCCTACCACCGGGGGGACCATCGGCCTTGGTACCGTGGTATCGGCCAGGAGTAGGAGTACGAGCTCGTCCTCGGCGGGCCTGTGAGACAGTCAGTGAGTACATCGCATAGATGATCAAAAGTACGCACGTGGGCGACAGTCATGGTCTTGCCCTCAAGGTTGGTGCCAGTAAGCTGATCAATAGCAGCCTGTGCTTCCTCGGGAGTTTCCATCATGACGAAACCGAAACCTCGAGACTCCTCTACAACCAGTATGAGTGGCTGGTCGATTGTGTGGTTGCGTCGACTCACGAGAATGGGGGTCCATCATGATCTGCACCTTAACAATCTTGCCAATCTTGGAGAACAGGTCCTCGAGCTGACGCTCAGTAACCGAGCGGGACAAACCACTGACGTGAAGGTTGTTACCAGGGTTCTGTTGGCCGGCGTCGTTGGGTCTGCCTTCGTCAGCACGACGCTTCAGTTTGGCACATTTTGCACTCACCGGCCAGACCTCTCGGGACCACGTCCGGGGCTTCGGCTTCTGTCTCTCCTGGGGCTCCTCGCAGGCGGCTGCTCCTCACCACGAGTCTCACGTCGAGGCGAGCTTTCTCTAGCATAGTCGGCAGCGGCAGCACCGTTGTTCTCCTTCCAGACTGTCGAGGAGAAAGCGAAAGTGTCAGCCGTTAGTCGATATGGTTCGGAGGTAGTGATAGTGGTGCGCATAGGCGGGAGATGAGAGAGAGACGCGAGCGAAGGACAAAGGAGAGACGGGAAAACACCAGACGCCCTGAAGCCACCGCCGCCACGCCGAGCTGACACACTGGCATCGACCGCCATCGCCGACGAGATTGGCCGCAGACCTGCAGCATCGAGTAGGCGCGTACTCGCGAGAGCCGATGTGAGTCGCAGAGACGACAACAAAGACGATATAGATCGCTACTACCGAGATGCGGGAAGCCGGTAATTTATTGATACACGGTAGGGCGAAGACCGTTTTGGAGAAGAAAGTTGTAGTTGGAATTGAGCGGGAGCTGAGACATACCGTCGTTGGGGTCGGACATTGTTGTGGTGGGATGTATAGCAATGGAGGAAAAGATATAGCGAGATGCGGCTTGTTGTGAAGAATGACAGTGACGAATGGCGGCGGTATTTCGGCGATATAGAAAAGTGGCGTCGACCCTTTCGACCTCTTCCATGCATGCGATGCGAATGTACACATATATGTTACAATGACTATTCTATGGTGAATCAACGCGCTAGGGTATACACATCGTACAAAGTGTGAAAGGAGACCGCTCTCAATCGTCACAACAACCAAGCTTCTGGAACTTCGAGGTGTTGAGTGAAGAGAATTACATAGAGATTGTAGAACTCAGTGGCTCTATGTAAGACGATGTCGAAATGAAGAAAAAAAGACTGTTGCGCCATATCAACAAGTCGATAAAAAACTTCTCGCCTCTAGCTACTCCCTTCTCCCCGCTCCTCACATCCACAACGTCCTCGCTCTCGCCTTAACCAACTCTACTCCCACCCTGCTCTGCAACTCATGCCACACCTTCTTTTCTAAACACTTCCTCCAACTCCTCCATTCCACTGCCGTCTCATCACTCATCAAGCCCCCCCCCCCCGTAGATCCTTGGCTGCTTGTCCACCACTTCCGCATCTGGTGGGCCGTAGGATAACAGGCGGCGTGACTGGAGATGGTTGGTCTCTAGAAGGCAAGAACTTGCCAAGCGGTAGTGCGCTTCAAATTGAATCACGGCCCTCGCGCCGTCGACCCCCCGAACAGCAGCGTAGAGAGAGTCAAAGGTAAGGGTTCATTCCTCTCGTCTTCATCCTTTGCTTCAGACTCGGACTCTTGCTGAGGCAGGTGCGATTGCGAAAGCGGGCTAGGTCCAGGCGGTCCCTTCCACCGTATCAATCTCTGTACCAGAACGGGCGCGTCGCCCAGAGAAGATATACCAGGAGAAGGTGTATCAAAGATGATGGAGTGCGCCTGGCGAGGGGAGGATGGAGGGGGAGGGGCTGATTCGCAGACGAAGGGAAGGCCGGATGTGGCTGCACGATAGTCGTCCTCTTTTTTTCGAGACCGCGAACTGTGGGACCGAGATGGCGACCAAGATCGGCGACGAGAGTGTCCAAGAACCACCGGTCGAAATCGTACCCGGCAGCCTTTATCGCCTCGAACTTCTGCCTGCGGGACGTCACGAACCCCGTCACCGGAGTAGCGCCCTAGGGTTGGGAGGTTAGGGCCTCGACAGACTTCCACAGATCGTAGGAAGAGCGAGTGCCATCATCGGCCTCCAGCTTGAGCCAGAGGGTGCGGGCGGCGCGAGAAGGATGGTCGAGGACGATGGATTCGAATATGAAGGCGAGATCGGGGCTAAGTAAGCCCACGAGAGCAAGAGCAAGGGTGGCATCGAGGTGGCTCCAGAGCTCGACAGGGAGGGATTTGGTGGGAAGAGTGGTAGCCAAGAGGTGGGAGGAAGGGGGCTCTGCTAGCAGACAGAAACACCTTAGTTTCTTCGACGAGGGAAGATAGTTGGAGGCGCCGGTGAGAGGGGGTACCGAGGAGACGACATCCCTAAGGTGGGCGGCGCACGGATCACAAGCATCCCAGGTGGATGGGAGATAGGCGACAGAGACCGACATGGAGAATTTCAGAGGGGGGTTGTGTCAGGGCCTAGCCGGGACGCAGCAGGGAAGTGACTGGAAAAGGTGATTTTAGAGGGGAAAAGACCTTTTCGGTATTTTCGAATGGGAAGAGTAGAACAATGAGGTATGAATTGAATATGTACACCGAGAGTCCTCCTTCAACCATCCACACAACTCAACGCTGATGCCACCTCAGGGATTTACTAAGTGTGACAGCTGCAGTTGACAGTATATGCGGTCGGTTCCAGCTTTTTAAGGTCTCATGATCTGTTGTAAAGATTTGTAGGTTTCATAGATAAGAAAGAAGCAGACATATGGAACACTGGCCATCTCCGCAATCCTTACAACAAAGACGTATATCACAACAAAGACATGGCTCCCCCGTCATCGCTGTGCTGTTCTTCCGAAGGGCTTGTCACTTCGAAGATCCCACGCACAACTCTTGGAAGGCGGTCATGCATCTCTCCTCTGCAACGTTTCATCAGCATCTCACAGAACATCTGGGTGATGTCAAAGACTTACTCGCTAGTATACCCACTCACCTCCTCCCTCGCCTCTTCCTCGCAATCCCGCTTGTCTATCCACGCCCTACCTTCCCTGTCTTCGCTACCACCCCTTGCCAGCCTCTCCTCATCAGCTTTCCTTCTCGCCGCACCTCGCTGTCTTTGCCGATCACGCCTAAAAGTCCATGCTTGGATATTGATCATCCACTGCTCTCGTCGTATCGGCAAAGATGGCTTGGCAATAGTAGGTGGGTGAGGCGAAAAGCGTACTCGGTGGACGTGATCTTCGAGGACGTCAGGCATGTCAGAGTCTTCGTCTCCCGACTCGGAGAACTCTTCCTCTTCAGACTCGGCTCTGGCCTTGCCTTTGCCTTTCCGTTTGCTGCCACGCCTGTGTCGAAGTGTGGTGGGTGAGGGTCGCTTTCGAGGAATCACAGAGGGACCGCTTGTCGAAGACTCGGATGGAGGAGAGCGGGAAACCGGCACCGTGGGCTCCACTGGAGCAACGGGAAGAGCAGATGATGAAGATGGCGACAACCCGCCCCTGAACGACGTCCTGAGTGGTGTCGAAGGCCCTTGTTCCCTCAATGCAGCGTGATCAAGGTTCAGAGCAGCCGGGCGGGCTCTGATACGGCACCCAGAGGTGGGTAACGAAGGTTGATCGGGCGCTGGCGGAAACGGCGTGAGGATGAGGGAGCCATCTGACAATGAAGGAACCGAGGAAGAACCTTCACCTTCCACAGGTCTCGCAGACTCGCAAGGAACATTCAAAGCCCCAAACCCCAAGTCCGGGCGCGCTCCCGCAACGACAGTCGATCCAGGGAGGATGTCAGCAGCCGGGAGAAGGTTGGTTGGGAACACCGGAAATCGGGAATGGGGGTCGGGACGGGTAAGGAGATGAGAAGCGAGGGAGGGAGGTAAGGAGCTGGACGGGCGATAAGGAGGAATCTCGGCGACATGATATCTTGATGGCCGAACATCATTCCTCTCGCCTTCATCCTCTGCATCAGACTCGGATTCTTGCTGAGGCAGGTGCGATTGCGACAGCGGGCTAGGTCCAGGTGGTCCCTTCCGCCGTATCAATCTTTGCACCAGAACAGGCGCGTCACCCAGAGAAGATATACCGGGAGAAGGTGTATCAAAGATGATGGAGTGCGCTGGGCGAGGGGAGGATGGAGGGGGAGGGGCTGATTCGCGGACGAAGGGAAGGCCGGATGCGGCTGCATGATAGTCGTCCTCTTCTTCTTCCCCTTCGGTGTCAAGGTCAGACATTTCATCGTCCGAGTCGCCCCCCCTGGCGGGGGAGGAAGATTGGAGATGCCAAGCCACTGAATCGTCCTCCAACCCTAGTTCAGCTTGCTCAAGGATAGACTCCCCCGGCTTCAGAGTTCGAGCCTTCCTAAAGCCTCGCTCCCTTTCCCTCGCATCCTCCTCCTCGTTGTATTGAGTAGAAACACTTGGTTGAGGAAGGTCGTAATAGAACTTGTCACTGTCTGGCCCGACCTGTGTTCGAGAGGGGTGGGAGGTTTTGTGCGCCCGTTCTGCTTGTTCCTGCTGCCAGAGAGCAGCAATGTCGCCCATGACGCCCATCATACTAGCCCCGTTATCAGATTGATAAGCTAGAGTGCGAATGGCTGACTCACATGGTACTAGAGAAGATGAGGCTGCTGAAGTGTGCCGGATGTACACGACAGGCGGATTGATATGCACTGTGAATGATATGCTATCTTGATTGGATGAGATGTGGTGATGACAGTCGCGATTCAATGCCTTCATGTCATCAGCATGGCCCATGGTCAGTTAGACTGATAGACTTACAGTATGCAGGAAGAGACAATAGAGACAAGATTTGCAGAAAGGCCCTTGCTCAGCTCGGGAACAGTCTAGCACTCTTCACAAAAGGCACAGGCCTGTATCTGAGATGGATTCGCAAAGTCGGCAGCAGCAGATAGATAGAAGAAGTATAGGGGCCCTGGTTAGGGGGCGTAGAGCAGAGATGTTGCCGACAGATTGTAGAGAGCGGGAGACAAGGATGTGTTTGTGGTTCTTGATGAGGAGAAAAGCTAAGCTACCTAGTACCGTTCAGCCCTTACTAGCCAGGCGGCAGAAGCACATGAAAAGAGTCCCGGGACAAGTCGAGAACAGAGATAAAATACACACTCACTTTGTGGGAAATCTCGAGTCCTACCTGCAAGAGAAAAGACAAAAGACTCTTGAGCTGATGGATCAAACACTGAAACCAGGGTCAGCCCTTGCCACTTCCGCCTGTGCACGCTGCCCACCTGCTGCAGATCAACGACTCCACGAGGACCGAACGACTTCCCAGGGTGAATGCTGTGTATTGGCCGTAGGCCGTCGACGCTTTGGCCACGGCGAGAACAATGGGTATCTGTGGGAAAGTGAGGGGAAGGATCAGATTTCAATTGTCTTGCGGCAAGAAGAGAGGAACGAGACGCACATGCTGTCCTGGACTAATTACTGCTGGGCGATCGAAATGGGCCGGTGCCATCGGCAGTTATGCACGCTGCTGACTAGTGGGTGGGGGCTGGTGTGCATAGGCGACATGGTGGAAGTGGAATGGCGGATTTCGGAACAACAATACGAGGGCGGAAACTTTCAGGGTGAGGGTTGTCCCATCCACCAAAAAGGCCATTGTTCTCGAGTTCCTGGTTGCTTCTTTCCTCCGCGGTTCTTCGGGGCGGCGGGCGTCCAGCCAGCTGCATTTCGGAGATGCTTGTACGCATGCTAGGGGGTTATAGCGGACGTTTTATGCGCCGAGGTGCCAGCGGGAAGAGGAGTATAGCCATAGAGATCTGCAAACAGGGGGTCTCATTGCGGACAGAATGCGAGACGATTTTCGCAGGCGCGTTCGGCCCACCGAGCAGGCATAGTTTCGCAGTCTGCACAGTGCAGTGGCTGGACTCTGCTGCAACCGAACATCACTGGCAGAGGCTGGCATGACATTTGTGGCCATCGTGCTGTTCGACCTAGCTCCGGGCAGGCATGTTGGTATGCATAGGTGACTGCCACAAGACTCCCCTCGACGCAATCCCCGGAGTCCTGTGCCTCCCTTTTGCTCCCGCTCTACGCGCTGTTTTGATGTGAATTCCTAACAGCCGCCACGAACACTGCCATCCACATTTTATAACTTGTAATCCCCCTATAATTATGTTTGGTATCAAGAAGAAGCTCTCCTCGCTCATCCCCAACGACGTGAGTATCCTCTCTATCTCGAGTATTCAGGCGCAAGCTCACGCGCCAAACCTTATCCTTCTCGTGATATATAGGCCAGAGCCCACCTTCAAAACGTGTTTACCGTCGAATGGGAAGACGGGAACAAGACCGTTCTCGTTGATGTGTCCGATACAGATAAGCAGCAGCATGAAATGGAAATGAACGGGGTAGGGGCTGGAGGTGGAGGGACCTATGGCCGGTTGGCGGACGATGAGGAGGTGAGTAGTTCTTCGAGGGAGACAAGCCTCGGAATATGCTAATGTTCTGTAACAGGAGGACCGATACACGCGCCCCGTCCTTCGAACACGAAAGTCTTCTCAGAGGCTCAATTCTTCCTCGAAAAATCTGCCTTCCCTGCCCTCCATCTCTCGAAAATCCACGTCCGAATCCCACGCCCCTTCATCGGCTTCCACGTTCCGGGCCAACCCATCTGGCCCCAGCCGCTATGGGGGGACGAATCCCTTCGACGGCAGCGCGGACGATTACCCTTCTCCACAGACCTCTTCCAGCTCCACCTACACCTCTTCCCCATACTCTACCACATCTCCCAATTTCCCTCCATACTCGTCCTCTTCTCAAAATTTCTCGCAGGGAGGAGCGTCAGGATACGGCTCGGGGCAAGAACGGAGAAAAGCAGAGAACCCTTGGCAGACATTCAGGTCGGACGAGGTGGACATGTTGGGTGGCGGCGACCTTGGCGTCGACAGTCCCACGAGTTCATCGGGGACGCATTCCAATGGCAGCGTGGGATATGAGGTGTACAGGAGTAGCAGGACCGACCCCCTCAGATGACTTTGAGCTTTCGAGAGGAGTGCGTGATGACTTGTGAATAAGACATTCCGGGCGTTTATTGGAAGTCCCCATTCGATATATGAGTGTATCTGTCATCTTATGGCTGTACGGTATCTTTTTCCATCCTTGTCAGTTGTAACTCTAGATATCATATGATACTCTGCACACCAGCTATTCCTCGCCATCCTTTGCGATTGGAAACGAGGCCAGAAATCCCCAAGGTGTATATCGTCGCCGCCGAGATGTTGAGCCTAAGTGTATCCCAGCCCTACAGTGCTCTATCTCTTCGATCAAGCAGTATGCTATATCACACAAACCTTGGTTACCTTGAGCCATGCCTAGAGCCAGTCTCTATTCAAAGGTAACTTTAGTGTCTGTATCGCTGCACTCTCGAATCACCCGGCATCTCGCCCTGCAGTACAAAGAGCCTGGTTGGGGTAGGACGATAGGCCAAAGGAAGTGAGTATTTCAAGGGCGTGTGTTCCAGCAAAGCTTCAAGTGGTCTCAAGTGATATAGAATGATATTCATAAGTCGTGTCATACGTGATCATGGCCCTGCCGAATCCTCCTCCCCTTGCTCCCACTCATGCCAACTTCCTTGACGACAAACTGGAGCCTACTCGTCAATGACGATGGCATCACCTGCGTTACCTCCCCCACTCGTCTTGGCCCTTTTCACCCCCCTGCCCTGACCCCCGGTACCTCCCCCTTGTCCACCTCCACTTCCGGCATGTCCATTCACTCTCGAGCTCCCTTGCACCACCTCGATATCTCCCTCATCCTCTGAGTCTCCCAGTTCGATCGGCGGGCCTCGCCTGGTACCAGCAATCTGGGCTGGAGGCGCGGGGGATTCAGATGAGGGTATTGGGCGGGAGATGGCTCGGCGGGGGATGGATGCTGTCGAGGCGCGTGATTGTATAGGTGGTTTGGGAGCTACTTTGGGTGCTTGTTTCGGTTGCGCAAATCTTGCGAGAGTGTCAGCTTGGTCCAGTATGATACCACACACGACTTACTTGCGGACCCATTCACGAGCAGTCTCGTCGTGTTTCTTTCTATTCAACTTGTACTCTTTCGCAATTGGTGGCACGAGCGGGTCGGCGGGGTTGGGGTCAGTGAGAAGGGATGAGAGGGAGAGGATGACTTTGTACAGGGAAAGGGCTGGAGACCATGCTGTTTTCAAAAGCTAGCCAAAAGTCAGACATCGAGTGGGTGTGATCAGGAAAGGAGAGGCGTACATCGAGACCTGGAAGACGTCAACACACAATCAACCAAGACGAATCGTTTCAACTCACATATATTGCCGTTACTCGATACATTACAATGATACACCTTTGTAATGAACAACAAAGATGGTGGTGAAAATCTGCCACTCGTACATCAGCACAGCACGATCCCTGCCTCTCGAATGCTTACGGATAGTCGTGCGGCACCTTGATATCAATGTCAAACATGCCCCCTTCATATGGACTCCCCGCAGGCCCCGGCAGGATCGCCTTCCAATGCAGTATGTTGGCCTCGTCTGGTGTAAGAGATATGTTGCCTAGGTCTTCTTTCGCGAGGTCTGCAATCTCCTTCTTGATACGCTTGGTGGCCATGTCGACGTTGGGCCGGCGGGACATGGTGGCGAGTGTCTGTGATTGGGCGGCGGGGGAGGGATATGGGATGATGCCGAGTCGAGGATGGGCGCCTGGGTAATGATGAGAGAATACAATATGGGCTGTTGAAATGAAGAACAAGATGCGAATTCAGTTGACGGTGCTCGGCTCGAAATCTCGAGAACCCAGGCGCGCTCTCCGCCGCCGACCACGTGGCTCGGCTCGCCTCCACCGCACGTCGCGTCTGCTTGCATCGTGGTCTTTCTGCTTCGTTGTTCTCATTGTCTTTTCGCCTCGCTGGGTGCAGAGGAAATCTCTGGCGCTCTAGATTGGGATACAATCGATGCGCAATACCTGGACACACCCTGTCTTCCGCCCACTCCTCTTTCTTGCTCTCCTCGTACTGACCATGCACGCTCTCAAATCGCAATGGCACCGCCTGGGCAGTCCGAAGGGAAAGGCGCCTTACAATCCTGATCAAGGAGATGAGAAGAGACTGGTGGTCGGGCACTTCATGGTGAGTTGTTCTGGACCTTGGGGTATAAGCTGATCAATACAGTTGGGAAATACGTATCCTTTCACGGCAGATGATTGGCAGGCCACATTCGATCTCGCTGAGGATACGCTATTGTAATGCTTTTCATCGTACAAATGCTTATCTACTGACATATTTTGAAGAGATGCGATTGTCCTCAATATAGGTCCAGAACATTGGCAGCTCACCCAAGCCCAGCTTGCCTACGAGCTCGCCTCCTCCCGCCGTATCAAGCTTCTACTGTCGTTAGATGTGAACGTCCTTCCGCATTCACCAGATGAGCTGTCGAGTAGGGTGGTTACTACTATCAATGCCGGTCGCGCTTCCCAGCTGCTATGGGACGACAAACCTGTCCTCAGCACCTTTTCCGGCCACGAGTTTGGCGATGACAACTGGGTCGAGACTCTCCGCCTGATCTCACGTGGCCTCGAGCAACAAGTCATGTTCTGGCCTGCATTCTTCATTCCTCCAAGCGACTTTATGGCAAAGTTATATGTGGATGGTACGTTTGCTTGGAATAGCGGGTGGGCGATGGACAGTACGTCAATGAACTTGAAGGAGGACCAGCCATTCCTGAAGGGCGACAAGCCGTATATGGCTGCCATTTCACCGTTATTCTTCACTCATTATGGGACGGAAGGTGATTGGGCGTGGAACAAGTGAGCACAAACTCGTTGTATAAAGCTGTGCTGACGACTACTAGGAACTGGATTTGTAAGCACTACATACGTGACTTGAACTACTAGCCTGACAACCTACAGACCCCTCGGACAATCTTCTTCTCCCAAACCGCTTCCTCAACTTTATATCTCCACACGCCCATACACCGACCCCTCAGATCATACAACTCATTTCTCTCAACGACTACGGCGAGTCTCACTATCTGTTCCCCGTCCGCGGCGCACAGCCTGGGTCAAGCGCCTGGACAGAAGGGATGGACCATGAGGGATTCAGAATCATGTGCAAATACTTTATCGGCCGCTGGAAGAATGGTATGAGTGAAATAGAGGAGCTTGAAGATGGGCATGAGGGCAAGGTGGTGATTTGGTATCGGACAAAGCCAAAAGATGGAGTCTATGATGACGCGGTCGGTAGGCCAGATCGAGCGGAATGGGCAAGTCTTCTTTCCCTTCATTTGTTGATAGGCTCGCTTACGATAACGCAGGCCGAGGACCTCATCAACCTCTTCATCCTGCTTCCCTCCCACTCGGCACATTATACCCTCCACCTCACCAATGGTCCAGCCGACCATACACGCTCCTTGAAATCGGGTCGACTCAACCTCCTCACGTTACCTTTCATCCCTGGCAATGTACACTACAGTATCACGAAGAAGGAAGGGAGCGCAGAAAGGGTTATACTGGAGGGAGATGGAAAGGAGATCACAGAGGGCGGCGCGTGGAACTTTAACATGTGGAGTGGGAGCGTGTACTGAATGAAGATATCGTTCAAAAGGGACATTATTCTGTTGACCTCTTGTAAACTATGGGATGTCTTGGACCAGGTGTCAAATGTGACCCTCAAGTACAGGTCGAGATTGGGTCTAGACGCATTGGCAGTGGCACATTGCTCTTCGCTCTGAAGAGGTTCTCTCTGCGGCATAAAGAAATGGAGATTCATACGTATCATCAAGATCATAAGGATCGTCAAAAGAGCAAGAATCATCATTCCTGATCCTCGCACAAAGTGTCCGTTCTCACTCCCATCCTCATCCATTCTTTGCTATCATCTTCTTTCCCGTTTCCTTTCCCTCCCCCTTGGGAAAGAATATAGGAGATACGATCAAGGTAGGACGAGTGGAGGGGACTTTGTTGAAACGAAGAGAATTGGGAGAAAGCCAGTCCAGTTGACCCGCAGCGCTCAGCGCCATATGCAGAGGGTGAAAGCGCCCAAAGAGACCCGCTCTTTGGCTACTGACTTTCTGTCTTCTTCAAGAGGATGTGCCTGAGGTGGAGGAATTGGCAGAGATCGTGATATAAGAGGGGCGTGTAGGTTGGCGCGTATTGTTGATATGGGGGAGAGAGGGGAGGGTGACATAGATCGGAAGCCGAGCCATAACGTTGCACACATATAGCACAATGTCGTACGCTTAGATAGTGACCCTGGCCTATAGTTCTTGTCAGCCGTCATGCTTCCAGCAAGGCGCAAGAGGGCAAGGAATATACTCACGACAAACGTCAGACCACGGCATCAGAAAACCAGAACCATATTTCTATCCTATGTGACAGAGAGTACTGAGCCAGTACTAGAGAGAAACACTACGGACTGAAGGGTAAAACTGAGAGAAAAAGCTGACTAAAGGAAACCACGTCGAGATAGAGATAGAGATAGAGGAAAGAGGCTAATCACATATTCACAGCCGTAGATACAGTTTCCTCCGACTTTCTTCCTTTCCCCATATCGACACCTCCAGCACCAGCAGTCCATGTACCTGTCCCGCCCAGGGGTATTATCGGCACAAGCTTGAGCTCCCTGCCTCTGCCCTCTGCGCACAAGGGAAAGAGGAGGGTGAAAGGGAGCATAACACTGCCATGCTGAAGAGTCGTCGAGAGGAAAACAAAGAGAAGAGATTGTGAGGAGTGGAAGCACCATCGGCCAGCCTATCATGTTGAGTGACAGGGAAGACCAAAGCAACGGCCAAGCAAACTTGGCAGCTAGCTTCCACATAGACAAGTCGGTGGTTGAAACGAGAGGACGATCCAACGTCGCAGACGTAGCTCATCGTAGGACCTCGAAAGCTCCCCACTGGGGCAGAGGGAGGACCGGGACGAAATCGTTTTCTTAACGTTTCTTGGGTTGCGTATAGACATGGTCGATTGGATGGAGGATGGCGATATAGGCCGGGTAGGTTGTGGCAGGCACACGTTGGCACATATAAGCAGCCAAAGAACCAGAGTAGAGAGACGAGTCGAGAAAGATCGCGATAGAGTTGAGAAAAAGAGACCGGAACCAAATGAGAGAGAGAGAAAGCCGAGGGAAACCAAAACCACGCATGGTGTACACGGCTCCTTCTTGGAGCCTAGAGTCGTATGATACAGGCGCAGAAAGATAGGCTGGTTGTACTGCTGTACTTGACCGTACTAGCGTGGGTGTACGCGGTGTGTTATTCACACACACCAGCATAGCTTGCGCGTGGCAAGGAGATGATCGCTGAGAGCGAGAGAAAGCCGGACCGAGAAGAGATGAGGTGATCGGACATGGATGAAAGAGAGCATGATGGCTTCTTTTTGTCGGTGAGATCCGTATGATACAGAAGTTTGCCGGGTGTGTAGGTGGTATTTTCTGCACCCCTGCGCGCTATGATAGCGTATATTACATTTTCCTTTCGCCCAAGCGCTTGAGCAAGGCGGGAAGAGAATGAGGAATTCGACCTCGAGAAAGAGTCGTCGAGAGGCACTATACACACCGTCGCTGCTCTGCACATTGAAGCGCGAGGATGATGTGGGATTGTTGTACAAGTGCGTGTATGTTGTGAATGCGAAGTAGAAGCCGAAAGCGAGACGGAGAACTGAGACCAAGAGAAACGGGGCGATTGGACCGGTAAGGGAACACCGGAAGGTGAAAAAAAAAATCCGAAAGCCATAATGCGATATGGTACATGCGATAGTTTGAGGCAAGAGTGTGTTCACAATGCCGGATAGGGGTGAGATTGAATCTCCTGTGAGCTGTGTGAGTGTAGATTCCGAAGCGATAAGAGAGGGGCTTGCCAGATATTCCAATGGTCATCAACAAATATGAACATAGCACCACATTTTGATTCCACAAGGGTACCCTACAAGATAACCCAAGAAGGAGACAAAGACCTCAGTGGAGTCTCTGTGTTTGCTGCTCTTGCGGACTGTTGGACGAAGGGCGGGTCAAGACCTCGTTATGGAGGATCCTACTGCCCACGTCAGCATTGTACCAGTGAGGAATAAAAGGACACACTCCCGAAGCTTGATGCACTCCTTGTTCTGGTCCTCGAGCTGGGTGAGGAGGAAGCGGTTCGCACTCTCGATAGCCTGGATGTGTGCCACAGCTGGGTGCGGCGTCAGTGACGAGTGGCAAGGTAGGGAGGTGACGTACATCGATCAAGGAGGCTGGATTTAGAGGCTCTTTGATTTGTCTGGGGAAGAGCTTCTTTCAGTCTCTTGAAGCCTTCCCTGAGCTCATCACGGCGCCTCTGTACGACACGTCAGCCTCGAATCGAATGGAGTGTTGAGATGACGCACCTGTTCGCTCTCGATTCTTGCCTTACGAACATCCTCGCGCTTGTTGGACACTGGCACGCGGTCGTCGTCGCTACTCTCGTCAGCACCATCCGCTGCCACGAAAGTGATGAAACTCACTTGGACAACCCAAGCCCTCTCGGACCTTCCTCGTCCTCGTCATCACTCAACAAGTCCTCTTCCTTGACACGCCTACTCTTGCTACCCCTATCCCTATTTCTCAACGTCCTCACGGCACCACTCTTGCTTGGCGAGCCACCCATGAACGAGCTCGTTGGATAGGGGAAACCAGAGACCATGCTCAGCCCAGGTCCGGTAGGGGAAACGTTGGACAGGTCGGACATGCCTGAGAGAGGCGTGCCCGCATAGAACTGGTACTGGTACCCCGGAGGAGGGTACGCTCCCGTGGGCGAGTCATTCGGGACACTCCCCACCAAGGACTGGGGCGAGACCAAACTGGGCGACACGGCCGTGGGCGCCCCAAACGACAGTCGATTCGAGTTCAAGCTGCCATGGGGGGAGCCGTCGATGGAATTTGGCGAGTGAGGTGACCGGGGAGAGCGGCCGGTGAAATCGCCGCCGGGGCCGCGGTAGGGGTGGTAGAGGGAGGACGAGTGGCCCATGGAGGAGTTTTGTTGGTCGTACGTGAGGGCGTACGGGGGATAGGGGTACGCTGCCGCAGAGAGGTCGACGGCGTGTATAGGCTCGTTCATGGTGAGCGGCGATAGAGAGAACTGATTTGAGGCTGGGATCGAATGTCAGCCACCTTGCTCTATGACGACGCGTACTCACCCTCTGCGCTCTCCCCATGTTGCTGTTGCTGTTGCTGTTGCGGCTGTTGGCTGGTACTCGCCTCGGGAGACTTGGCGCCTTCTGGGCTGGCGAGGTAGTATTCCATGGTGCTGTCTGTGGTGTTCATAAAGGAGAAGGAAGAGTCGAAGAGTTCGTCAGAGTCGTTGAAGGCGGGGTCGATGTCAACCTTGGACATCGTCATGATGCGAATGGATGGGGTTTAAATTTCTACTGAGCGGTGCATGATGGGTGGGGAGGGGAAAGGAGGTGTATCAGCGTTGTTTGGCTACTCTGGCTTGTCTCCGGCGCGCGTGCCGTACCGAGTGCACCGAGGACAATAGAGAGTGGCGAGGTACAGAGATGAAACTCACCTGTGACGCTGCGTACCTGGGGCGGATTCGTGAGGGTCGTTACAGTCGTTAGTGGTGGTACAGCGGCTGCTTGCGTGGCGGGCGGCGGTGGCGACGAAATATGGCAAGAGGTGGGGGAAAGAGGGAGGGAAGAAGAGTAGGGGGGAATATATATACGGGGGTGACTCCCGGGTGACTGGACTCCCCACTCTCCGCGTCCAGCGATGATCTGTCCGCCATTGTACCAAGGGCGCAGCCTGGGCGGACGGGGCGGACCTTGTTCCGGGACATGCACCTTTAATACACACAAGATCGGTCAACACGGAGCCAAAGAGGCACATCATCCCATTCTCGGTCAAATCACTAGTCCCGCCCTCACATAAGTCCCTCCTTCAGCCTCTTCTCGTCATCCCATGCCGCCTGCTTTCCACGCCTCTGCGCCCTCTCGACGCCCAGTACAGGAGACCCCGCATCCACGCTTCGCTTACGACGCTTCTCGAACTTGTGCCGTCCTTTGCACTTCTATTGCCGCCTTCCACGCATCAGAGCATAACGTCAGACGGCAAAAGGACAACGCATCGTTCCAACTGCGTTGACCACCCTCGTTCCGTCCGTTTCTCCGCTTCAATCGCGATTCCCCTTTTCTCCTGGTGGGATTATCGGCGATATATCTTAGACCCGACCCTTCCAGGGGGTCTGCGTGATGGTTCCTGTGTGGCGCAGACATGGCAAGAGTGGGGGATGTATGACCCTGTATGCCACTATGTACATAGGTTGAGCGCGGGACCTGGGACATTGCACTATCCGGTAGCCTTCAATGCGTAGGTGGCACACTCGTCATTTCCCTCCTCGTCGTCGAGGTTCCATCTTCCTGAATACTTGGATTCTCGGACAGACAACAAGGTTCGGCTTGATGGGGATGGTACGACACAGGAGAAACGCCACGAGGCAGAAGCCCCTTTTTGGCCGAGCCTAACTATTTTTCCCATGCAGATTGGTTTGGATTGGGGATTGATGGGTCTTGCTGGAATCGAAAGGTACCGGAGTGATGTGGATTGCCACTCGACCAATCGTTGATACCGCGCACATCCGTCTTCAAATCATCGTTGACAGTCACATCCTTCGCTTTTGCATCTTGTCCCTTCCATGCAAAGCTTCGATTCACGTGAGCTGTATAGCCTCCTCCTCAACTGCCCGGGGGCACGAGCACATCGACAACAACGACTCCCTGATGTACTTGCCGCGTATGTACCCGTATAGAGACTTAGTAGTGTACTCGTACTCGTAGTAGTAGAGGCCAGGAGGAGGAGTACGGCGGATGCTTTAGTTTACGTAATGCGACGGGAGCAAATAGTTTAGTAAGTATGAGCTGAGAGTACCTAACGTTGAGTATTTTCGAAGGACCTGCCATGCGTCCTATTTCTCATCTTGCCAGGTAACGTGAGCTGAAAGACTGATATTGTACACTCGGAGAAATATATGTGGGTGAGATAGTCCATCATTGTATTGTATGCTACCACTGGGGACGTTGCGTAGCCAACTTACGCTGCTTGGAATAGATCAGAAATAGATTGCATTGAACCCGCCAATGACGACAATGCAATGGCTGTGTTGCGTGAAAACATAGACCTCGCCAAGTGTGACTAATTTTGCTGGTGAGGCATAAAATCCCTCGCTGTCAGCAACACTGTAATCGTTTCCCGTGAATGCCGTCATGCCAAGTGGAGGTGGCCGATGCCCGGGGCCGAGGCCTGCCAGCATGAGAAATACCCTCTGTACATGTTAAGCGCATGTTCATCCAGCCGCCGAGGGCCGAGGGGAGTGCATGTATATATGTAAATAGACGCTGCGTCTCTCCTACAACTCTCCATCCTCCAACAACCGACTCTCTTTATCGTCATTAATCAACTGTCATGTATATCAACGTCGCAGGTCACCAAGTCGGTCGGGTCGGGTGAAGTTCTACAACAGACTATAGCGTTTGCTCTACTGACTATCAGCTTCAAGCTACGGGCTCATGCAGCTCACTCTCTTCGATGCTATACCTGATGAGCTCGCTTTCAAAGTCATGAAGTGCGTCTAATGATCATCTCTCTTTTCTATAACTTAACTTTGTGTCGCTCTTAGGACGGCAGTCGACAATGGCTCAAACTGCTGGTCATCTGCAACTTTCTACGGACCTCCCCAAGACCCATATGCCAACATCAAGATTCTCCGTCGTTTCTTCGACAAGTATCCCGAGCTCAAGGACAAGGTGGTCTTGGTGCTCAAAGGCGGATTGCAGATTACCGCAAACGGGCAGGAAGCTCGCGGTAGCGAGTGCGTATAGCTTCAGCCATGATGTATATGAATGGCAGGCTGACAGATATATAGTGTGGGGTATCTCCGCGAAAAACTCAAGACTTTCAAAGACATTCTTGGTGACAAGACCATCGACGTCTTTTCTCTCGCTCGGCTCCCCGACACGCCTGTGGAAGACGTCTTCAAAGGTCTCGTCTCACTCCAAAAAGAAGGCTGGTTCAATGCCATCGCGGGAAGTGAGATGTCTGCCGCTTCACTTGAGAAGGCTTCCAAGGTAGGTGCGTTCTCATAGGAGCCTCTCTGTCCCCTACTCACACCATCATGCTACAGATCACCCCCATCGCCTTGAACGAAATCGAAGTCTCCTTCATGTCCTACGAAGCTTCCATCCGCGACGCTATCGCCTGGTCCGATGCCAACAAAGTTCCTTTCTTTGCCTATTCACCTCTTGGCCGTGGTCTACTCTCTCGGAGATTCAAGACGGCCGCGGACGCTGTCGGGGCGGCAGCTAGCTATAGCCCATGGCTTCAAGGCGATGCCTTTAATGCTAATATCAAGCTGGTCGATTTGGTGGAGGAGATTGCCGCGAATAAGGGAGTGAAGGTGGGGGAGTTGGCGCTCGCTTGGGTCGTTGGAATCTCGGACTACGTGAGCTCCTATTCACTGCTCGAAACAAGACGACGCTGAAAATTCGGGCCTCCTCAGTCTATCCCCATCCCTGGCTCTTCCAAGCCGGCCAGAGTTGTTGAAAACATCAACGCCGCCAACATCAAGCTTACTGCCGAGGAGTTCGAAGCTATCCAGAAAATCGTCGATAAGTTCGAGATACAAGGCGGGCGTTATCCAGAGTTTGGTATCCGTGACTTGGTGGGTTTTACTACATTTGTGCCCGGACTGGAATGCTTCTGCAAGGCTGACCCTGAGTTTTATAGATGAAGTAAACAGTAATCAGTAATAGTAGGTTTGTTTAAAGGTTGCGGTGCTTTACATGTACGAGTACACCACACACGTATCAGATGTATTGGTCAAAGACCGAGAAGATTCAACCGAAGATGGCATGACGTTAGGTAGCAGCGCTTGTTGGATGTCGAGTACATGTAGTGCCTGGTAGTATGCAAACTCCTCGCGTGGGACCATATCTGCCAGCGTGTTCTGTCTCATCTGAGATGCAATCGGATACCAATTTCGGAAAGTGACGCCTTACTGTGTTCTACTGTAAAAGAAGGCTCAAGATGGAAGCGACCAAAACCTACTGCAACTGAAACGAAGATCGGCCCTTTGACTCCAGAGTCTGGGCAGAATTCGAGATGCAAATACCTGAGTCATTTACCTCCGCCGGTGTCATGAGCCCGAATCTATCTCAACCCATGACTCTCGCACCCGACAGCCATCCCTCAGATTATCAATGGGGGGCTGCCAAAACAATGCCGCATTCCGTTGGAAGTGCGCGGACACACTGCAGTAAGTGGAGGCAAGTGGAGGTGGAAGTGGAGGTTCTTCGGAGGCCGAGGCGTCGCCGAGCAGTCTCTATGTTCTTGATAGGCAGTCTACCACCCAGAAGTATATATATATACCAACACCATGTGTCAGTCAATCCCCCATCTTACCTACCAGCTCACTCTTTACCAATCTAATCCAATCTTCGAAATCATTCAACATGTCTTCCACTGTCAACGTCGCGGGTCACCAGGTCGGCCGTATGGGGTCAGTAACCACTGGTCAATTTGATAGATGTCCACTGACGAGTTATTTACAGTTACGGGCTGATGCAGCTCACTTGGACCGCGAAACCCGTCCCTGATATCACTGCTTTCGCAGCTATGAAGTGCGCGTATCCAGCCACATTCGCTTGTCAGTTGCTGACATAACTGCTTTGCAGAGCTGCTGCCGATCACGGATCCACTTGCTGGTCCTCTGCGACCTTCTACGGTCCGCCTGATGACCGTTTTGCAAACCTCAAGCTCATTCGTCGTTTCTTTGATACATACCCAGAGTACAAAAACCAGGTTGTTTTGGCAGTCAAGGGTGGTGTCGACTTCACCTCCCGTGGTCCGGTCGGTGACGAGTGAGTGTCATTGATGTGACGGTCTGATACAAAGCTGACAATAAAATTAAAAGCCTTGATTTCCTTCGTGACGAGCTCAAGACTTCCAAAGACATTCTTGGCGACAAAGCTATCGACGTCTTTTCCGTTGCTCGACTCCCCAATTCCCCTGTGGAGGATGTCTTCAAGGGCCTTGTGACTTTGCAGAAGGAGGGCTGGTACAGTGCCATCGCCGCCAGTGAAATGTCTGCCGCTTCTCTCGAGAAGGCTTCCAAGGTGAGCCACTCTATGCAAGTCTCCTGATATGTTACTAACACCATATAGATCACCCCTATTGCCCTCAATGAGATCGAAGTCTCCCTGATCTCCTATGAGCCCTCCATCCGCGCTGCCATCGCCTGGTCGCAGACCAACAAGGTCCCCTTCTTCGCCTACTCACCCCTCGGCCGTGGCTTGCTCACACGGACCTACAAGACCCCCGAAGACGCCGCCGGTCAGGTGGCCGGTCACATCCCCAGGTTCCAGGGCGACGCTTTCTATGAAAACATGAAATTGGTGGATCTGGTGGAAGAGATTGCTGGCAAGAAGGGAGTCAAGGCAGGGGAGTTGGCGCTCGCTTGGGTTTATGGAACTTCTGACTATGTGAGTTTGTGTTCTCAGAGGAGCACTTTTGAAGCTAATGTGGTGACAGGCTGTCCCTATCCCTGGATCGTCCAAGCCTGAGCGCGTGATCGAAAACATCAACGCTGCCAATATCAAGTTGACGCCCGACGAGCTCAAAGCCATCTCCAACCTTCTCGAGACTTTCGAGGTCAAAGGAGGCCGATATGCCGACCATGCTATCGCCCACTTGGTCAGTCTTGTTCCCTTCTTTTCTCAACTACCCAGCTGATGATGGATGATAGATGAAGTAAAGGAAGAAATACTTTTAGGCCGCGCTCAAGACCAAGACTGTGTATGATTGAACGCTTGGCCACAGCAAGTGAGATGACCACAGGCAGCACCGATAGAATGCATCATATGTATATAGATTCTATGTAGAAGCAAAGCATAGCAAACAATTCCATTGGCTTACGAAGAATACTTGTAGAATCCAAGAACCATTCCATCCTGAACGCACAGTGCTCGGGACACCCGAAGGGACAAAATTGTCCCTTGGTGGCGAATATCCTTCGGTGGTACGCTTTCCAAGGACCGAAAGAGTACGATGACACAGCGGGATGAGAGAGCGGGCAAGGGGAGGAACAGCTAAACGCACAGCGCTCGGGACAGTCCCTATGCATGGTATGATGTTCTGCCTAGGCGGAGATAGGCCCAGCAGCCTAATCATGATATGCTGTCCTAACCAAATCATGCTGATCGGGCTAACTTTGCGAATGTCGGACTCCAATTGAACAATCGCAAAGCGCTTGATCGTTTACTCTCTTTCTACATACAGTATACTGTATATCTACGCATCCACCTGTTCTCTTGTTCTCGCCCGGAACAAGAGCCGTAACTTTCAAGTCGCAATATCTCTGACGATGTCGCAGTACACATCCGCGCGTCCTGTTCTGCTTGACCGTCAAGAGTTCTTCTCATGTACAGGTGCTGTAGGAGGATCATCGTAACGATTCGGAATGATCGGTCATAACGAGAAACAAGACGACTGCTTGATCGGCCTGCACTGCTTGATTGAGGAGCTTCACATACATACACGTGCAATGATCATTCCTCATCGCTCCCTTGCACTGCTTCCTTCACTTTCCTCCGCTTACTAGCCTCCACCATCGCTTTCCTCTTCTTTCCCGCCTCCTTCTCCAGATCTCTCCCTCCACCTCCAACAGCCTTCCTCTTTACCGGCGCCTTAGCCAGCTTGCGCTTCTCATTTTTGCTCGGCTTCTTCATCTCCAACATGTACTCTGGGACGGGACAGCCGGAAGTGCGAAGGACGTTGGCGATAGTACGGAGATGTGGGCCGTCTTCAAGAGTGAAGAAGGTGGTGGCTTTACCAGGGCGACCAGCTCGGCCGGTACGACCAATTCGGTGGATATAACTTTGAACTGTTTGAGGGAAATCTGTGGCAATGTCAGCGGGTACTGGAATTGAGATGGTAATACAAACCATAGTTGATGACCACTTTAACACCCCTAAAGTCCATGCCTCTTGCCAAAACCTCAGTCACTACCAGCATCCAAACCGCGCCCGTCCTGAAACGCTTGATTGCCTCGTCTCGCTTCGTTTTGGCCCTCCCGCCATGCACAGCGTCGACTTTGATGCCATCCAGGAGCAAAGTCTTGTACAATTCTTCGGCACGTTCGATAGATTGGACGAATATGAGGGATGGGTAGGGAAGTTGGCCGGTGGAGATGAGATTACGCATGGCGAGCAGTTTACCGGCTTCCGAACCGGTATACAGAAGAGACTGGTCGACTGTCGTGACAGCAGAGTCTCTGTGATGTTGTCAGTACACAAGTTGCAGTGTTTCAGAGTAAGACTCACTTGACACCAACGACGACTCGAATACCGCCCTGCTTCAACCACTTCTTGGCCAGACCTTCAGCACCAGAGGGCATGGTCGCGGACAGGAAGCACTTTTGTACCTGGCTGTTGGTGCAAGCCGCGAGAATGGGTTCGATCTGGGGGAGAAAGTCGGGTGACAAAAGACGGTCAGACTCGTCCAAAACGACGTAATTTGTGCTGCTTTATATAAGTGGATATCCAGAGGCTGAAATGATATGGACGTACTGGGCAAGAGAGACCTTTTTAGAGTTGATCAAGTGGTGCAACCGTTCAGGCGTGGCAATTAGGATATCAATGCCCAGACCTTCCGGGTTGCCAGACTTTTTTGGGGCAAACTCGTCCACAGACCCTGTAGACTCGTCGTCATCTTCGCTATCGTCCCCTTCCATCTCCTTGTCCTCCCCAGCAGCTTCTCCTGGAGCACTCTCCCAGATGGCCTTTTCCGTCGCCTTACTCAGTACCAGGGTTCTCCAATGTCGTCCCCGGGTCACAGCCTTCACGACGCCCTGAATCTGGACCGCAAGGTCATGTGTGGGAACGAGGATCAACGATCTGATACCCTTGCCCTCCTCCTTATCTTTCAAGTTTCTTGAAGGTTCGCGAAGCTTGACTACGGTCGGCAAGACGTATGAGAGCGTCTTACCAGATCCTGTTGGGGCAACACACAGCGTATCTCTGTCCTCCAAGAGACAACCGCCCACGGCACATTGAACACCCCACAGAGAGTGGATGTTTGCCGAAGCAAGCGCCGAGAGGAAGGGTGAGCCTTCAGCGGAAGTCAGGGGGTGGTTCTCATGGCTGACTAGGGAGGGGAGGTTGGTGTGAAGAGATTTCGGTAGTGGGTCAGGACCTGTGAGGGTGATCTTCTGAGGAGGAGGCGCGGGGATTGACGCCGATGAAGATCCAGAGTCAGACTCATCGTCCGAATCTGATTCTTCTTCTTCCGACTCTGGCTGCTGAGGTTTCTGCTGAGGATGATCGCCGAAGAAATCGAGGGAGCTGGGGAGGGCAGAGGTGATAGCGACATTGTCTACCGGCTTGCTTTTGCCTTTACGGTCTTTACGTTTCTGTTTCTATGATATAGTGAGCCGGATCCTTCGTGACTGTATTGTACCTACTGTGGTGAACAGTTCGAGGTCGTCCTTGAACCTGTTCCTGTCAAACTTTGCGCCGCCTGCTGTGAGGATGCTGAATGCGGAAGCCATCTCGGGATAGTCTACTGTTGAAAACAAAGGTTACCGAAGCTGGAGTTGAGCTGGAGAATTTTGAACATCAATCAGTCGGCGGCGGCGGCCGGTGGGCAGCTTGTGTGTTACGTAACGAGTTCTATATGGTGCATGGCGCAACAACAACGAATCGGCGGCAAACAGCGAGATGCTTTGTATCTGTGCATGAGAGCGGGAGACTGCTCAGCCGAACAAATGCACGAAATACGGCGCCCTGCGCAATTCTCGCTCTTTGTATCTTGTACCATCGCGCGCCACCAGCTGCACTCGGTATTCCTCCGGTATCACGCCATCTCGCTCACTTGTAGGATCTGGCCGATACCTTCGCCTATAAGAAGCCGCCCATTACGCTCAGAGGCCTAATTAGCCACTGACAATGGCCACCATCACCCAGACCATCGACAGCTTGACCGGCAAGGCTGGTGTACTCGGCGTCAGAGGCAGCACACAGCCTCTTCCTCGCAATCACTCCCTCGACAAGTACCCCTCTATCGCCTCCACCCCTTCTATCGGGCAGGAGTTCAGCTCAGAGCTCCAGCTGTCCGAGATCCTTAAGGCTGATAACAGCGACGAACTTATTCGAGACCTGGCGGTAACCAGTGAGTAGGTCTCTGTGCCACGAGAGCATGAGCTGACGAGCATACAGTCTCGCAACGAGGCGTGGTATTCCTCCGCGCACAAGACTTGGATATCGAAGGTCAAAAGCATCTTGGTAGAAAGCTCGGTGAGCTGTCCGGCAAGCCCAAGGACTCAACTTTGCACGTCCACCCTACCACTGAGATCACATCTTCTAAGGGCGACGAGATATCCATGTGAGTGGCGCTTTCCGAATCCAAGTCTCAATTTGACGGTCTCCACAGTATCAACAGCGAACGTCAGAGTCGCAATGTTGGTGACACCTCTAGGCTCGCCTCCCACCTCTGGCATTCGGACATTACATTCGAGCCCGTGCCCAGCGACTATGCCATACTCAAGCTCCACACCATCCCCGAATCAGGCGGCGATACTGTATGGGCGTCTGCTTACGAGGCATATTCCAGAATCTCTCCTGAGCTTGCTAAATTCTTGGAGGGCAAGGAGGCGTTTCATGAAGCTGGCTTCTTCAGGAAGGCGGCTGAGCAGTACGGGATTGAGCTGAGGACTGGCCAGAGAGGGTCACCTTTGAACCAGGGCCTGTCGCTCTCTGCTATACATCCCGTGATTCGAGTCAGTAAGTGAATCCTGTCTGTCTTTGATTCGGCTGACATACTCAAAGACCCCGTCACGGGCTGGAAGGGTCTTTTCGTCAATCAAGGCTTTACTCGACGTATTCTCGGCGTTACCAAAGACGAATCCGACTTTCTTCTAGACTATCTCACCGTGAGCTGACTCTGTACCTGTTCAGCAACAACTAACTTGTGCACAGAAACTTGTGACCAACAATCACGACCTTCAAGTTCGCTTCAAATGGGGCACCAACTATGCTCCCGGCATTGGGGACATTGCCATCTGGGACAACCGATCCACACAACACTCAGTGATCCTCCTTTTTACAATCTTTCCCTGTTCTATAGAGAGCTGACGCACCTCTAGGCGACCTTTGACTATGACAACGCCCACCGCGTCGGAGACAGGGTAGTCTCCATCGGGGAGAAACCCTACTATGACCCTGCAGGGGTGTCCAGGCGCCATGCACTCGGTCTCCCTGACCCTGTTGAAGGAGCGTTGGGGGAGCTCTACAGGGACACCTTGAAGTAGTGATTTTGAAGTAATGAGGATGCAGCGTTTGTAAAGGAAAGTCAATACAGTCCAAGTTGTATATGTATGAGTCGCGTACTCCCTTTCCTGTTGCCAGTCTTTTCCACCGTACAATCAGCCTTATGGTCACAGGCCCAGACGGCTTCATCTCCAACCTGTCACACTTGCTCACTCGGCATTCATCTATCGTCCTTCACGGTCTCTGTTCGGTCAGCCGACGGATATGTGGACTCCCACATAGACCTCCCGATGACGCGGCGCCCACCGCCTGACGCATTTCTTGCCACCACACTGCACGAGTAGTCACCCTTTCCTTTTTCTTCTGCAATTACCTCCATAACACACCTCCATAATGTCCTCGCCTCCTCGCTACTCTGACGAAATTCACGACCCCGTCAAATCCAGCAGCGTGACCGAACCTCTCCTCGGCGCCTCTTCCCGCACCCCCAACGTCGCTGCTGCCGCCTCTGGCTCTGTCAGCGCCCAGCGCCTCGCCGAAGAAGGCTGGAGCGATGACGATGTCGCCAATGGCCTCAAACTCGGCCCCAATGTCTCTGACTGCGACGCCGAGATCCGCATGTTCTTCATCCGAAAAGTGTACTCGATCCTCTCGGTGCAGCTTCTCATGACGACGGTGGTGTCTGTGTTGCTGTCACTGGATGGGGCGAAAGAATTCACGCATGCGAATCCGTGGCTTATGTGGATCCCCATGATACTCAGCTTTGTCAGCTTGGGATTCGTCTGGTGGAAGAGGCATCATCATCCTGCCAACTTGATACTATTGGGACTGTTCACGCTTTTCGAGTCTGTCATGATTGGCCTCGCCGTCAGCTACTATGAAAGCAGAATCGTGAGTCGTTCCGTCGCTCCGTTGTTGACATTGTCTCACAAGCGTTCAGGTTCTTCAAGCCTTGTTCATCACCTTGGGAGTGTTTGTCGGCCTGACTCTCTTTACCTTCCAAACCAAAGTACTCAACGTTCCCTTCCCGCCTGATCGCCTTGACTAACTTTTCGCAGTACGACTTTTCCTCTTGGCAACCCATCCTTTACATCTCCATCTGGGGCCTCCTTACCACCTCGCTCATCTCAATCTTCCTTCCTTTCAATGCCACTTTCGACCTCATCATCGCCGCCTTTTCCACTCTCTTGTTCTCGGGCTTCGTGCTCTATGACACGCAGCAGATTATGCAGAAGTTGAGTGTGGATGAGGCGATCGTGGGAGCTTTGACGCTTTATCTGGATTTCTTGAACCTGTTTTTGAGTATCCTGAGGCTGGTGAGTCGGGTCTTTCGGTCCGAATTGGGAATATGCTGACCAGGCGCAGCTCAACAACCAGAACAACCGATAGAATATATTAACGTCTTTAATTATTCACAAATGTTTGCCATGCTCGACCTAATGTATGCCTAATCATGTATTGTTGCTCAGAATTGCCATCAATAGTTCCTCGTCTGTGCCCAGTCACTTTCACTGCGAGGACCCTACACTGTTGTGAGACAGATCTCGGAACCCGTCATGGGTATATGTTGAGAGACCACAAAGCGGGGCAGAAGATGGGCAGAGCGAGGGGATCATAATGGATCGAAGGGGCTACGGCTACCCGTCTCCACTGACAACGGTTATCTCTTAGCAATTGCATACATATAGTGCGACACCATTCTGTATTCTGTGGATCCCTAAGCGCGATTCATATCAACATGACTCTCCGAAATCAAGAACATCTTCAAACAGTAAGGTGCGCCTCGTACGAACAACTCAAAGAACCCCTTCGTCTTCGATTGCCCCTTCTATCATGACCAATTGGACACCGTGAAGACACGAAAAGAAAACATCATTGAATTACTGAGATGACAACAAGAAAAGACGGAATATGGAAATTACAATATTGACGTGAAATGAGTAAGACGTATGGACGAGTGCTGGGTGACAGGGCATGAGGGTGGGGTGGGAAACAGGAAATGAGGAATCGTGAAAGAAAGTTATGAAACACACAGCCACAGAAGACTGTTTTGATACAACGACCGCAATGGCCTGGTTCGTCTCTCGCGAGATCGTACTATTCGAGAAGGATGCTCCACTCCCTTCCTTCTCTCTCCGCCATCTCCTGCACCATTCCTCGCCCAAAAGCGACGACATGCGCCACAGGGCTAACCATCCCGATTTCGATCGGCCAACAGAACCTATCCGTCTCATCCACATCGACAAACCTCGCACTTCCCAACGCATCCCCCGGCGCCGGCAGCGCATGGTCTGCTAGTTCAGAGTGGATGGCGTTTTGGTACGTGGTAGGGAAGGAGGAGCGGAGGATACGGAGGGTAAGATGGTGCCGCGAGAGGTGGAGGGATTGGGAAGACTCGACGTTTTGGCGGAAGGAGGAGAAGATGAGCGGGAGGAGATCGGGTGGGAGGGAGGAGGTGGAGGAAGACGGTGAATGGGCTGGCGAGTGAGAAGAAGCTGGAGAGGGGCCCTGGACAAAGGCAGGTTGGGGTGGGGGCGGATTAGGAGACGCGGTGGTGTTTGACGCAGAAGGAGAAGTCTTGTCGCGCGGGGAAGTCGATGTCGTCTGCAACTCCTTTCCTCGGTGTTGCAGCATGGCAAGGGCATCTCGCCCAGTCTGATACTGAATGACCGCCTCAAGCAGGTACATCAGCCCCGCCATCGCCTTTGCTCTCTCCTTCTCATGCACACCCTCCTCGCCCTTGTACTCCTTCCTCATCTCTGCTTCCCACTTGGAACAGACAAACTTGCGCAAGCCGGCAGAGGAATCATAAGTGCTGGGCGATGGACGGCCCTTGGCCTTTTCTTCGCAAAAGTGCGAGTAGTTGTATAGGAGGGCGGAGTCGGTGAGGCAGAGAAGACCCTTCAGATGGTCGGCTGGGAGAGTAGAGGTATATTCTCTGTGAGCCGTGGGGGAGCGGAAGTAGGCATCGCCGTGCCGTTTCAGCAGTAGAGCCCGATCGCGATACCTGTACACTGTCAGCCTTGGGTTGAGACTAACCATATATGAAACATACCAGGCGCTCATCTCTATCCACTTTTCCCTCTTCCAAAGATCCCTCCTCGCGTCCTCCCCACCTCCCCTCTTCTCGTGCACATCAACCTCATTCCTCAGACCACTCTTCACCCTCTCCTTCTTTGCGAAAGGCAACAACGGGCTCCCTAACGGTGTCACGTTCTGTCCTTCATCATCCATCTTTCTCCTCTTTGCCTGACCAGGGGACACACTCAGGCCCAAGCCGACACCGGCTCCAGACCGGGCCACCTGACCAGCAAGCTCGGGCTCAGAGTCGGAAGACTCGAGGGCGCGCTTGCGTTTCGCGCGGACATACTCTGAGAATGTGCGTGGCGGTGAGCCTGCAGAGGATACGGGCGAGGCGGATGGGCTGGGGAGGAATGTCGGTGGGAGTTCTTCAGGCAGGGGTGCGGGCAGGGACGATAGCAGCTGTGGGGGTGGTAAGCAAGATAAGATTACTTGGTGTCTTGGCAGCGGCTTTCTCGCGGTCGATCTCTGCGATCCAAAGACAGCTGCGGCCCCCGTATAGCGCGAGCTACTTATTTCACGTGGGGGTCGCTCAAGAAAGCCGACCCGATGTTACAATGACTGACCTTTAAGATTGACTTTGCGCTCTCCTGAGCCTCTACGCTCAGTCTCCCTGGCCGCATCTCGTTCCGCAGACTGCTCGATTTGCGTTCCAATGGCTGTGACGGCAATTTTGGTGTGACGGCGCTCTCTGCTCTGGAGGCAGAGGCAGACCGGGGGACGTAGGCTGGAGATCTGGTCTGCGGCACGGCAGGAGAAGAACTAGCAGGCCGAGAGCGGGGTACGTAACTGGGTTGCGACATTATCTGCAGCATGATGGATGAGTATGTGCTGGAACAGAGGCGAATGAAAGAGACAGATGATGGCAGAGGAGACGTACGGCAGGATGTGAAGCGTGCTTGGGTCAGCCTCGTGTCTGCGAGTCAGGGTGACTTCCTGAGTGCGTTCTTTGTGGAACGGAGATGATGGGATGATCTTAGAGTAGGGAAGCTGACCGGGCCAGCACGGCGGGGGGTGAATGGGGAGCTGAAGGGCTTTGAAGGGGACGAGATGAAAGGTGTGGCGATGGGAGGGCGAGACGGGTCGCTAGGTTTGCTTGTACTTTACAGATCGCTTTGCTCAGCGCGGTCGGCGGTCGCGGTCGAGGCCGAGCGTGACACTGTGAAGCGAGATCGGTGATGCCGGGGGTGGAAGTGGGAGGAAATAGCTGGGGAAGGGGGGGCTACAGGATGGGAGATGGAGAGAAAAGCGAGGCAAAGATGGAAGACGGTGGTTGAGAAAGAAGATTATTGGGTGTCGTATTTGATGTGTCCAGTATTGTGTCGGGTATCAATCTCTTCATGTCTTCGGCCCTTCGGATCCAGCCTGCCGTTACCCCGATCGCTCGAGGTGTCCACTGTATGTCCCATGCATGCGACCTGCTACCTGTGTACGCTGTCCGTTCTCCCCCTGCCCGTTCTGCCCTTTGCCGCCGTTCTTTTCCCCAGAGACCCCAGAAGCGGAGGCTGGCACGGTGAGACCAATAAAACCATCCTCCCTGACGCCTCTTCAAAAGTTTCCCCTTTCAGTAAATCCGGCCCTAATCTACCCTCCGAATCTGACCCGTTGTCGGATGTTATTTTGCTGATAAGAACAGATTAATGCCATATTTACGTCTGTGGCGGTTGTGCCTTCCCAGACTTTTGGCTCGGAACTGAGTTCATCTGGTCAGAGATCCGTCAGCGATTTTCCTTGAGGCGGATCTCGTTGGGTAGAGAGACAGTGGACACTGCCCGTGTATCGTCGATATGTACACAGGACGAGCTGGACTGCTACACTCCAACTGCCTCTTGGCGTTGTGAAGACTTGAGAAGAGAAAAAGAGGAAGGGAGACCCAAATAATAGCTTGACGGGAAAGAACAAGTTTGTTCAAATTGAGCTCATTCGAGGAACGAGCCGAGGATCCTCGACAGTTAACGAGATTTGCGCTTTTCCATGATGTTCAGGTAGATCTGCAGTAGTGCTGTTATGCATCCTCTATAGATGGGTCTACAGTCTACAGAGCAATCAATTATACTTTATGTGTTTCTCAGTCAAAGCGGTAAGATGGTCGGAGGGCGGAGAGGTGTACAATTGCGCGTGCCGCCCACCCTGCCAACATGAACACAAACGTCCATCCCTTCATCGAATATGATATGCGAAGTATATCAACAAGATCATACATTCAATTGTCCTTTCTCCCCTAGCAAATAACTGTCCATGGCTCGAGAAGCTTGCATAATCCGCACACTGTGCGCTATCTAAGCAGCAGCGGTAATGGGGTACCCAGTAAGAGGGTCGGTAGCATTCTGGTTGGCCTCGAGGTACCAAACTAGATAATCCATCAGTGATGACCACATAACGACAAGGATACCCACTCTGGTTGGTATTGCCAGTGGTGCACTGGTAAGTCTGGGGTCCGTCGTCGCCTTGGTCAAGGCATTGGTCGCCCCCGGTGATAGCGATTCGGTTGTCGTCGGTGTAGTACCAGCTGTGGAATGATTAGCAGGTGGTAAAACGGATAAAAAGGCTTACGTCTGTTGGAAGAGACCGGGGTAAGAGGTCCAGAGCTAAAGAGTGCGGCATCAGCAAAACTCAGACTGCATGACCCTTGGACTCACCTTGACACCCTCGTTGTTGTCGGTACCGGTTCCAGCGTCCAATGCCAACTGAGGAGTAGTGTTGCTAGGCTCAAGGATGATGCTTCCCGAACCATTGTTGTTGATGGTCCAAGTGGGCGCCTCAGAGCAGAGTCCGGTAGTGATGGCGGTGCCAATACCCCACTTACCGCCAGCACCTGTGAGGCAGGTTCCGTCGCGGTAGGACTTGATGCGCATGTTAGTGGCGCGCTTGGCAAGGCCGCGAGGCTCATTGGGGAGAGGGGAGGCAGAGGTGAGGGAGGTGAGGGCGAGGAAAGAGAGGATAGATGCGGTGCTGAACAACATTATAGCTGGGTTGGTAATATAGCTAGATGTGTAGGTTGATTATACGAGTGGTGGTGAGTGTAGAAAGCGATGTGATGGAGATGGGATGAGGCGAAGGTTGTGGACCATGGGTTTTCTCGAACCAAGTGGCTCCTTTATATACCTTTCATTTGCCCCGCAAGGTTTCGGCCTTCGGGCAGGGTAAGAGTGTAGAGAGTTGGGGGTGGACCAAACATGCCCCGGTATGATGCGACACAGCTTGGGACGGGTACCGATGAGAGAAACGGGCGACCCACGAGGGTCATCAGTATCCAGGGGGGATTGGTATTAGCGGCCGTCGGTTTCGGATGGGAACCGGCTTCTGGACGTCGCTCCAGGACGGGTGCTGAGGAATGGCTATGACGGATGCTGTGGAATGGCTATGACGAGGCCATCCGGGGACACGGCCATATTGCACATGATGAAGAAGAAAACCAAAATTATCAAGTAATGCATCCTAAAATCCTCCGAGCACCGCCTCTGTAGCCTCAAACCATCTCGGCTTCAGCTTTTGCCGTCGGAACCTACAGATCGAGCTCTGCTTCTGCAATCACAGGTAATGTGTATGGGTGGGGAAGTATACAGCGGATACCAGACAGCGAGACAGGAAAAGAAGCAAGACGGGATGCAGGAGAATACAAACCGTCGTCAGCTATCTGGTCCAGGTCAAAGAGCCCCTACGGTCTTTCTCCTCGTCCTTTGCAGGCCACGGCTCTACTACCTGTCCACCTAGCCCTCAATATCACAAGCATGCCCCTGAGTCGTCTTGATGAGCTGCCTCTCATGCTCCATCTCGGCCTCTTACATGTCTGATCCCAAGCCGTGACATCACGACAACTCACCTTTGTTGTATCCCGCATTAGCGCTTTTTATCTTTCCAGCCCCTTCACCTCCCCAATCCACCTCGCTCCGCCACCTAAACGCCCTCCAAAAACTTGTAAAAGATACTCGGTCCTTCATCCTGATATCCGTGGCTTTTTCACCGGCGCTCGGACGTCGAGTTTGAGGTGTATCAACAACCCTCGGTGACCCGCCACCCCGCCCTCATCTCTTCATCAACTTCTCAAAAAGGCATACAAGATGCCGCTCAAGCTCAATCCTCGCTCCCCTCTTCCCCCCTTCACCTTCTCGCTCTCTCCTTCTCCCCATTCCCAATCCCAACGACAGGATGCTTCCCCGCCCCGTCCTCCTGCAGACTTTTTGCCTGAAAAAGACATGTACCAATTCGGTACCTATCCACTTATAGCGGACGGGGAGCCAGGCAGGGGGCTCGTGAAGTGTGAGCGATGTGGAAAGGTTGGAGTGGAGTGGGCTGCTGGGGAGCATCGACGTGCGTATTCCAGACTTGGAGCATGATGTTGGACTGATGTTGCATAGGCGTGTGTAGCCATATACTGGACGGGACGCCGCTGGCTACTAGAAAAGGAGGCAAGGGTATCAAGACGGACCCAAAGAAACGGCGTGCTTCCGAGGGTCAGTTGTGCGAGACGCGATGGTTGTGCATCTATTGACGCAGGCCAGATACCCCTCTATCACCTCAAAAACGGGCCAAGGCCTCGCCCATCCTTCCTGTCGTCGACCTCAACTCTCACGACTATCGAGGTATGAAGAAGAGCGAGATCAAAAAGCTCCAAAAGGATAAGGCCAGACAAGAGAAGAAGGAGGCGAAGGAGAGGGAGAGGTTGGAGATTGCTGAGCGGAAACGACAACGAGGTGAGTTGTCATTGGGATTGCGGTGCTAAAGACTAAAACTGGACCAGCCAATAATCCAATCAACGTCGACCGACAGTGCGGTGTCATCAACGACCGAAATGTTCCCTGCGCCCGATCCCTTACGTGCAAAACTCACACAGTCGGCGCCAAACGTTCTGTCGAGGGCCGTTCCCGTCCATATGACGAGTTGTACCTTGATTGGCAACGAGAGCATAATCCGAACTTTAAGGAGCCTGCCAGAAAAGATAGGGTGGAAAAGAAGAAGGAGAAGAAGAAGAAGGAATTTGGGGAAGAAGGCGACGACGATGGACTCGAGGGTGATGATGGGAGGAGGGAAGTCGGCGAGCTCATTGCTCTTACCCGGATGGCAGGCGACCGCGTCAAAAACCACATCACTACTCTCGGCAACCCTTCCTCAATCCATTCTCAGCCGGGCTCCGCTACCCCGGGCCTCAATTCTTCGTTCCCACCCCTCAGCGCACTCGGGCGAAGTCAGAACAACGCGTCCAACAGGACGACGGCAAAGAAACCGCCTTTCCAGCCAGTGTGGCGGTCAAACGCTGTGGGTGGAGGAGATTTCTCTGACGTGGGGAGGATGCTGGTGCAGGCATTGGCGGCGAGGACAAAGCCTTCGGTGCAAGGGGCACAGGGAGTGGGGATGCCTGGGGCGGGGCTAGGCGAGAACCAGGGATTGTCCATCTCGGCAGTGTAGTTATCAGTTGTATATTGCGTCGGCTCGTGTCTTTTCTTTGTATCTTTGAGCATGGTACCCATGCATCTGTCTGTTTCTAGGCGAGCGCTGCTGTCGGAGCTGAGCTTTTACAGGTACTGCCAATACAAGATCATCGATTGCAGAGGTAAGTGTTGGACCAGGCGCATTGACGAGCAACTGTATGTACTATTGTACTTGCGTATATAATCGGTTTACCAAGATATAATACCAATAGACCATCTAACACAGTACACTCTTCCGATATTCTCTCTCTCTATAGCAAAAGAGCGACGAACGATTTCTCATCCAACACAAGCCGCGCGATCCTGGCTGCCGGCGGAACGGCCGAAAGGACGCGCGTCACGTTTTCATGTCTCACTCGAGCCCTACCGTCCACGGTGAACGCTGCAAAATGGCGACAAGCAATGCAACCCAACTTGAACAGAAGCTACAACACGAATGGGGCGATTACATACGTCCGGACCAAGAGGTAATTCGTACCACGTAGAGGCGGGCCCTCGCTTCTCTGGCTCCTTCCCCCTCACACCCAGCGTTCCTACTCTACTCCATGGCACCCAAACTGCGATAGAGATATCCTCTCTCATCACTCCAGTCATCTACGCCGCCTCATCTGTCGGCTACAAGGGAAAGAGGGCTCCTGTGGACAGGCTTCTTCGGTACGCTTCGTTCTCGGTGCTGCCTGGCTTTGCTGTGGGACTGGTGGGGCCCTTGGCCTGGGATTTTGAATACTGGTCGGGGGAAAAGGTGAGTGATCGCTGCTATGTTGTATGGCCATGTCTCATCAATGCTCGTTCGTAGGCAGAGGATCCTTCAGCAACAGGCCGACATCGTTTCGCTGGCACGTCAGCAATCCTCGGTGCTGTACTTGTGCCTGCAGTCTTCCATAAATACGCACCAATACGGGTGCTCATCACTGGGGGGGGTAGTCTGGGGCTTGGGCTAGGTGCTCTTGGGTATACCGTGGCTGGCTACCTGAAACTCCACCCGTATGGTCTAGGGGGTAGATGGAGACATGAAGAGTAGTAGAACGACTTTCACAGAGCCGCTTGGAGCATAGATGACATAATAATACACATCTCATATCTTGCATACGCTGGTTCAGGCAGTTGATCGTTAGGATAACTTTTGACCTGGCCGAACCAAATAATGCGAACAATGGACTTTAGCTTGTGACGTCATGCCCTGCCGTTTCATCAAGTTGCCGTTATCAAATTACCTCCAACTCGAATACGGCTAGTGATATTTCGACTATATACAAACCACAGCAAAACTCGACAATGTCCGCACAGCCATCCGCCTCCGCTCCCCTCTTCTTCTCATACTCCCCCCGCACGCAGCTCATCCTCCACTCGTCCCTCACCTCCGCCCAGCTTTTCGCCTTTCTCGCGCCCCCCGCCTTCCTCGTTTCATCGCTGGCTCTCAAGCGGACCAGTTTCTCCATCAGGGGGCTGATGAGGTACTCTGCTAGTGGTGCGGCCCTCGGTGCGGTTGCCGGGGCTGGAGTAGGTGGAGCCAGGGCTGGCAGTGCGAGTGATTTGGAGGTCAACGCCAAGCTCGGACAGATGGCGAGTTTCGGGAGATCAGTGTGATGAGAAGCTGACAATAGATGCAGTCTCTGGACGAGACATTGGTACGCAGAAACGACTACGCCACAATAGGAGCTGCCCTTTCGGCCCTCCTCACGCCTGCCATCTTCCTCAAGCGGGCCCCTCTGCCAGCGTTGGTCCTGGGCGGCGCCAGTGTAGGCCTAGGTCTGGGTGCGGCGGGATACTATATCGAAGGAGCTACCAAAGGGGAGCCAAAAGCGGTCTGAGTGAGTTTACGACTCACGTCGCCACCCCATCGACGAATGCTAATGAAGGGCGTCAGTGGTGTTTGACGGTATTCGAGGGGAAGCAGGGCAAACATCAGTCTTTTGAGCCATACGGGTATACGATGGGCGAGGTTATGCATCGAAAGTCGTCCTTCACAATCCCGGCCAGTCGATGATTCGGATGAGGGCTGCCTGGTGGTGAGTTCCCAGGGCGGTGATCGGTCTGCTGTGTTTGGTTCGGGCGTCAGAGGTGGGGAGAGACAAGGGCGCTGGCAGAGGGGATGCGGTTTTGCAGTTCTTCACCTCTCCCACTCTGGCTACCCCGCCCATCGGTGATAAATCGTACGCACGATTCCCGCGAAAACGGGACATGGAAAGGCCGGGCTAGAGGCACGGTACAAACAACCAGATGTGCCCTTGAGGCTGTTGCGGCACACAGCAAATCCCTCGGAACCGCACTGCCTCGGGTGACTCATCGACTCATTCTCGGCTGTTCCCTGGGTGGCGCATACATTACGGTGGTTGACTCACCCAGAAGAAAATTATATATAACAGCGGCATTCTGCATCCCCGCTTCTCTTTCCCATCTCCAACGTCCCCTTCGCTTTCCAACCACTACACTCACACAACTCGCAAGCTGTGGTTCAAGCGCGACAAACAGATACAGCACCCTACCGCTCTCACCATGACTTATAACCTATATGGCTACCCTTCGCCCAATGCTAGCCCATACGGCTACGGTTATGCTTATCCTCCTCCTCCCCCTACAATGAAGTACGTCTCTTCCCTCTCATTACTACCTCGCGCTCATACGCTATGCAGTCCATGGCACGACAACCCCCAAGGCTCCGTCCGTGACTGGGTCGAGCTCGACACCAACTCGGACAACATCCGCCCCAACCACATCTCCAAAGTCGAACAATGGACCAAGCACCCCGACTGGCTCAAGGTCATCATGAGCGTGCTCAAAAGCCGCCTCGGGTGTGAGTGGCCGCAAAACTACAAGGCGATCATGTACCTCGAAAAGGTACCCGAAGCCGAGCTCGCTGGTGTGCACGACGAGCTCAAAAAGATTGTCAATGCCGGTGACTCTCTTCGTGGGCACGAACACTTCAAGGAGCAGGCCAAGGCACTCTATGAGAAGGCAAAGGTTCAAAAGAAGAAGGCGGATGAGGCGGCGGAGAGGAAAAAGTATGAGGAGATGATGAAGAAGTTTGGGGGTATGCCGTATAGTGGATGGGCGGGATGGGCGGGGGCGCCCCCTGTACCGGGGGCATACCCCGGTGGGCCACAGCAGTATATGGCTGTCTATCAGAGGCCAAGTCCCTACGGCTACTACCCCTACCCGCCCTAGTCTCTGTTCCCGACACCTAACCCATTCTACCATACCAAGAACCAAGAAGAAGGCGCATAGGCCGAGTGTATAGACATCATGTCTGGAGTGTAGGCTATGGCGTGAGTTTCCATACTGGGTGACGGGACGTATGCTGACGCGATATCCAGCATTTGGCAATCATAGCAGCCCCTCCCTAGCAGTACTGCCTACATATACGCAAGGCTCCTCAGCGTACATTACGCTTTGCTACCAGATTCAGAGACAAAGACAAACATGAAGAAGCGTTGATAGGGAGGCGGAGGAGTTGAGATGATCGTTCGCTTTGAGACAACTTGTACAGCTATCCATATAAACTATGAACTAATAGATGTGTAATACTTGTGGGGGACGCAACACTTTCTTGCCTCATGTAAGATCATCCACGGCTTAGACGGGTCAGGGTCCTGCGCCGCCACACATGCGAGAATCAATCAACTCGGTAAAGGCCGCTTTCTCATTTGAAGGACCTGTCTCATTGTTTCGCTCTTTCTTCTCTTTCACCGCACACTGAAAGCATACCGACTACTTTTTACCAACGTAACATCAACAGTGCACGCACCAGTATCTCTCATTAGCAGGTTTCTCCCGGCACCTCCTCCACCACTGCTTCCGTCGGAAGACACGGCGCCATCCCTCTCGCCCACCGCCATTGACTGCATTCTCAGCCCTTATGGAGCCTCTTCCTCGTCATCCCATTCATTCTGATGTCAAGGATACCCTACCTTACCTCCGAAGGACATCAGATACAACTGTTCGGCGCCAGATGCCCGATGCGTGGCGACAGATGTTCTCGTCGGGGCTGAAAAGGCACTGCACAAACAACAAACAGCAACAGCCCTTGAGGAACGCGCCTGCAACACACAGCAATCACCAAAATTTGCCTCACCCGCGCCACGTGTCATCAGGCTCGCTGCACCTCTGCAAATCCGACGACTGGCATGCCACCGCATGTAGATGCAGGCTGACGAGTGGCTGATGGGATGCCGTGGTGGCAACTTTCTGGATCTCCGTCTTGACTACTCTTTCCATCTCCTGTCTGTCTTTCGATTCAATCTTCTGCTCGTCGCCCCGATACGCGCCTCCGCCCTCCCCGACACCGCCAGCAACTGTCAGAATGGCCTACTACGCCTATGGTCCTCCACCCATGCCGTACTATGGCTACGGCTTTGCTGCCCCTGCGCCTATCCCCAAGTACGTCCGTCCTATATCTATGTAGCAGCCTTCCTGACGAGCCTCATAGTTTGTGGCGCGATAATCCCCAAGGCGCGATCCGCGACCTCATGGAACGCGAAACCAGCACCTCCCCCTCCCGCCCCAATCATCTCGGCGACATGGAGCTGTACACCAAGAACGCCGACTGGCTCAAAGTCATCATGAGCGTCCTCAAAACCCGTCTCGGTTGCGAATGGCCCCAGAACTACAAGGCCATCCTCTACCTCGAAAAGATGCCCGAAGCCGAGCTCGCTGGCGTACACGACGAGCTGAAAAAGATTATCGATGCTGGCGACAAGCTCCGCGGTCATCAAGCTTTTCAAGCCCAGGCAAAGGCACTTCTGGGCAAGGCAGAGGCGGAAAAGAAGAAGGCAGCAGAAACGGAGGAGAAGAAGAAGTATGAGGAAATGTGGAAGAAGCACGGGGGACTGCCTTTCAGCGGATGGGCGGGTTGGCCGTTCCCTCCTCCGGGGGGTCTGCCACCTGGCACCGCTGCTCAGTGGGCGAGTCAGTACCCTTTCAAGGGTCCCGAAGGATTCGCACAGTATGTGGCTTTCTATAATGGTCCGGGTCCATATGGCTATCAGCCTTGATCCTATCTCTGTAAGAGCTGATGGATAGAAAGAGTGGCCAGCTGATGAGATCACACAGGACGCCGGCGAGCTATGTTCCTCAAGAGTATCCTTATTCGAGATCGTTTTACTATGCGGGGCGACCGGAGGATGAGGCAAAGAAGCCTAGTATGAAATCAGAGCTTGCTTGGGCTTTGAACCAACAGGCCGCTGCGTGAGTGATATTTGTGCAGAGGAGTCTGGAAACTGATAAGATCGGGTAGTGCTTGAAATGCTTCCAAAAAAGAAAGGGCAATTTCGAGCAGCTATTGCCACTGCACAGTCTGTCGCCACGTCCCATCACGCCCACCCACGAACATGTCACGAGACTCAATAAAGCGGGAAGAAGACTGCGGGAAGAAGGAGAATCAAGAGGACGTTGAGCGTTATAATGATTCCAGTCACGTCTTCTACGACCTGTAATGACAATCATGATACATCTAGCAAGAGCATGATATGGTGTCCCGAGCCTGGATTCGCAGTTCACAGGTCTTTCAATAGACTTAATCGCACTGCCACATCGTTATGTTGAAAGACGCACCGGCGTGCGTGCCGGTCCTACCTCTGATATTTCTCGGCTCTATGCTCTATGACTTCTATCCACCACTTGTTTATAGCCTACATACCGATTGCCTCGCTTTCTGTTTTTGCAGCTGCATGCCCTTCTCCACCACACTCACAAATGCCGTTTGATAGCCTGGCCTCATGATGCGAGGGCGATGTGGTTGATCTGCCCCTTCTTATAGCTCTGACGATACTGCCATCTCGTCAAATGCCTCATGCGGATAGTTTGCACAGTAGATCACAACCTGATGGTCAGGACACCGAGGCGGTAGTTGTATGGGGAATACAGTCAAAGATCGTCTCCATCACATTGCGTACTCTAGACGAGTGTATTCCCGACATGCTCTTTTGACGCCGAAGTGCTTGTCCGTGGACAATATGATCGTCAGCTGCTCGCCCTCTCGGAGCATCGTGTTCGCTCACTGATGGTGGGGCAAGCAGCGAGGCTGTTGTATACGAGGCACTCTGGCGCACGAAAGGATCGAACGCACTCGAGGCACATACTGACAATACGCCGATCTTTGTGATCACTGCTGACGTTTGTCATCCGAACCCCACCTGTGCGTGAAGCCATATATACCACCAGTGGCAAGTATCGTGTCCCCCATTCTTCTCCGTTCTTTACTGCTTGCCTGGCGACTTTTCACGGTGTGGTTCAAACAGAGCAAATACAAGAAGCGCCTTTCTATCATGGCCTACCCGTACTACGGATATCTCCCTCCCCCGCCGGTGTTTGAGACCCCCTACAGACCTCAGCCGTTCTATGGTGGCTATCCACCCATCATACCATCCCCCACTTTCTACGGCTATAGCAGCCCCACCTCATTCCAGCAGTAAGTCCTACAATCAACTTGTCTCAGATCTAATGACGATAGGGCATGGGCTCAAGACCCCCCGGGCACTTTCCGTACGATGGTCGAATGGGACACCAACTCTGAAAAGAACTGGCCCATGTGCACTCATTTCATAGAGCCCTATACGAAAAATGCCGACTTTCTCCAGATACTTATGAGTATCCTCAAAGGCCGTCTGGGGTGCGAATTTCCGCAGAATTTCAAGGCTATCGTCTATCTCGAAAAAGTGCCCGCCGCCGAGCTTGCCGGGGTGCACGACGAGCTGAAGAAGATTGTCGATGCGGGGACCTCGCTCCGGGGGCACAACCTGTCGCTCGAGCCGGCCAAGGCGCTGTTTGAAAAGGCCAAAGACGAGAAGAAGAAGAAGGACGAGGGGGACGAGAAGAAGAAGGTGTGGAAAAAGTTTATGGGTGGGTCGTATGGCGGTGGGTGGCCCGGATGGCCGGGGTATGGGCCGTCGTACATTCCGTATGCCTTCTACCCGCGGCCCTGATGCATGACATCTTTGTTCGCCACTTATGATGGTTGTTCGGAATGGACGGTGTTTACATAATGGGGTATTCGGAGGTGTCCCTGAGCGATTAGATTATGGAATTTTTGCATCACGCCATCAGAGTTTTGGGCGAATCAGCCAGCTGCGATCTCGATTCTTTCTCTTTTGCATCTCATTCTTCTCCACGATGGCCCCCATCGCCCTCACCGCCGACAACGCCTCCCCGCCCCCCCTCGCTGCCAAAAAGGCCTACGCCGCCGCTCAGCTCAACGCCGGCCTCAACCTCGACGCCGACGGAGCATCCACCCCCTACTCGGCCACCTCCACCGCCGTCTCAGAGTACGATGGCCAAAAGGACAAGGTCTCCCACCCCGCCTCTCCCTCCGCCGTCGCAAAGGCCCTCGTAGAGTCCACCATCCCCTCCACCCTCCCCTCCCCCACAGACGACGGCTACTACTCCAACCTCATCGCCTCCTCCCTTCCCACCGTCGCCACAAAACCCGGCACCACCGTCTTTGCCTCCGCCGTCGATGCCCTCGAGGCCCTCGCCGTCAAGCACTCTGAGTCTGTCTGGGTGTACGACGACGCCGCTCTCGTCGAGTTTGGCGCCCGTGTGAGCAAGTCTGGGTCTAAGAAGGTGCACGAGCTCCAAACCAGGCAAGGCGCCGGTCTCGAACTTGCTGGTTATGCCTCCAAGACCCAGGGCAAGTTTACCGTTTTCGCCAGCATCAAGACTCTGCAGTACCTCTTGCCCAGCATTGAGAAGATTGAGGGCGATGTCTTGATCAACCTCGCTACCACTGCTAACGACGAGTCGCTCGTGTTCACCGATGCTCTCTACGCTCCCGGTACCCTCAAGGCGCTTGCTTCGTTGCCCGAGGACTGGGAGGTCGTCTTTTCTTCCGGCGACAAGATCATCGACACTGCCTCCAAGCTCTACGCAGGTGAGCCCCGAAAGGTCATTCACGTCGTCGAGAGCACCTACTCTGGCCGTGAAACCGCTTCCTACACCTTCCCCGCTCCTCAGCCCGCTGCCATCGAGGACTTGACCATCCAGAATGGCTCTGCTACCCAGCTCTACCTTGCCCCCGCTGGCTACCTCGCCTCTGGCATCGCCGCTGTACTTCCTGCGTCTGCTGGTTTGGTTCAGCTCAACACCCTTAGCCCTTCTTCTGACGCTCTCTTTGCCGCTCTCACCACCGACGGCGAGCGCAAGACTGTCCAGGTTCTTGGTGCCACCAAGGCCGATGCCGAGGCGCTGAAGGCTGTCGTCTTGGCGTCCCTCTACGCTGCCTCCGGCTCTAGCAAGTCCGTCTTGCCTCTTGTCAAGTCGCTGGTTGCTGCCTCTGTCGCCGCTATCCCTGGTCTCGCCACTGAGCAGGTCGCCAAGCCCGGCAAGGTCGTCTCCTTCTTCACTGCCCCTACCTCTCCTCTCCCCCAACTCCTTGCCCACCTCTTCCTCTCCTCCCCCTCGCTTTCTACCCATCTCGCTCAATTTGGCTCTGCATCTGCCCGTGGTGTCAAGTCTGTCCTCTCTCTTGCGCCTGCCAGCACTCCTGCTGCTGCCTTGAGCGTCGAGGAGGCCAGCGACGTCACTTGGTTGTCTGACGCCAACGTTCTCAAGAGCGCCGACGTGCTCGCCTCTGCCAAGCAGGGCTCTATCGTCGTCGTCGCTTTGCCTTGGTCCGAGGAAGAGTTGCCCGTCAAGTTTACTCGATCCGAGATTCAGACTATCCAGTCCAAGCAGCTCCGAGTCTTCCTTCTCGACCTCGCTGCCGCGCCCACCACCCCTATTCAGGAGCAAGTCGCTTTCCTCCTCCTCTACACTGGCACTTCCAAGCTCTCTCAGGGTGTCTGGAAGGTCCTTGACGCTTTCCACAGCCACCAGGTTGCCCGAGAGGATGTCGAAGCTGCTCAGGCCGCCTTGTTCGAGGTGAACGCTGCCAGCTGGGATGTTCCCGAGCTCGAGGAGGGCAAGACTGAAAAGGTCAAGAGCCAGTGGGAGTGGGACGCTCTGCCCGGCCTTGCCGGTGTCGTCGCTTCCTCTGACGAGCAGGGGTCTGGTGTGGGTCCTTGGGATCTTGCCGCCCGTCACTTGTTCTTCCGAGAGGCCTTTGCCGTGCCCTCCGCCAAGACTACCGACAACGCCCAAGGTCTTCCCGGCGTCTCTGCCCTTCGACCCAGCATGTCGGAAGAGACCTTCCTCGTCACCGTCTCTGAGAACCGCCGACTCACTCCCCAGACCTACGACCGAAACGTCTTCCACCTCGAGCTCGACACTGCCGGTACCGGTCTTCACTACGATGTCGGTGAGGCCATCGGTATTCACGGTTGGAACGATGCCGAGGAGGTGCGCGAGTTCTGCGAGATGTACGGCGTCGTCCCGGACAGCCTCGTCACTTTCCCCTCCCCAACTCGGGCCGGTACCCTCGAGTCCCGAACCGTCTTCCAGCTCTTGCAGCAAAACGTCGACCTCTTTGGTCGACCCGGCAAGGCCTTCTATGCTGCGCTCGCCAAAATTGCTACCAACAAGGCTGAGGCGATGCGACTCAAGTTCATCTCTGCGCCTGAAGGTGCCGAGCTGTTCAAGAGGATGGCCGAGAAGGAGACTGTCACTTTCGCCGATGTCTTGAAGAGGTTCAAGACTGCCAGGCCCACCATCGAGGAGTTGGTCGGTTTGATCCCCGAGATCAAGCCTCGACACTACTCTATCGCCAGTAGTCAGAAGGCTGTCGGTGACAAGGTCGAGTTGTTGATTGTGACTGTTGACTGGATCGACGTTCATGGTGAGTTTTCATCTTCTTTGACGAGTTGTTGCTGACAAGTCACAGGCTCTCCTCGATTCGGTCAGTGTACCAGGTACTTGTCCGCCCTCGCGCCCGGATCCAAGGTCACTGTGTCCATCAAGCCTTCCGTCATGAAGCTTCCTCCTGATGACAAGCAGCCCATCATCATGGCTGGTCTTGGTACTGGGTAAGTCGTCTCCTTCTTCCACCCTGCCTTCCACTGACACTACCTAGTGCCGCTCCCTTCCGAGCCTTCATGCAGCACCGAGCTTGGCAGCGAACCCAGGGTATCGAAGTCGGTCCCCTCATCTACTACTTTGGTTCCCGATACCGTTCGCAAGAGTACCTCTACGGTGAAGACATCGAAGCCTACATCGCATCTGGTATCATCGCCCACGCGGGTCTTGCCTTCTCCCGAGACGGCGTGGACAAGTCTTACATCCAGCACAAGATGTCTGCCGACAAGGCTTTGCTCTCCAAGTTGCTCAAGGGCAAGGGCAGCGATGCTGCGTACTTTTACCTGTGTGGACCTACATGGCCTGTGCCAGATGTTTACGAGGCTCTTGTGGGCAGTTTGACGAGCGAGGGTGGTATGGAGAGGAAGGCGGCCGAGGACTATCTCGAAGAGTTGAAGGAGGAGGAGAGATATGTGTTGGAGGTCTACGTGAGTATTCTTGTTGTTTTACGAGAGGCAATGCTGACGAGTGTGATAGTAAACCGGGACGTGATTTATACATATCTGCATAGAATGGTTTCTTGGACTTTATGCATGTTGCTGTGCTTTGATTCGCCTCGTGTTTCGGGACTCGTTCGTAGGCGGGCGCACGCTGACAAGTCGGTAATTCATCGTCGTTAATGGTCATACATGAAACCCTGGTAATAATAATGATACACGATCGTATGGAGTACTACGTTGTCTCTATTCCTCTTCCTTCCTGCCACCTCCCAATTTCGACGCCTTGGGCGCCACCGCCTTGCCCCTTTTCTTTTCCTTATCTGGTGCAACATGGACAGGGTGTGCTGGTGCAGCGTCGAATCCCGGGATAGTCATCTCCCACGCGTGATCTTGTACCTAGTCAGCACAACTCGCCACAACTCCCCAAACACTCACCTATATACCGCGCCATATCTCTCAGTTCCACCTTGTCGGAATTCCGGTGCTTGGCCAACCTCGCCGCGCCCTCCAACCCCTCCTTCATCATTCTTTCAATGATATCCTCGACCACCTTTTCATACCCAGCCTCCACTGATAGTCCCGGCGCGATCTGTGCCAGCATAGCGTGGATCTGCCTCAATCTTCGCACATGTTCGGGCTCTGGCGGCGGGAGCTGCTGTTGGGGGCGGTTCATCCCTCCGGGGCCACTCAGCTGTCCTGGCGGAGGGCGAAGGGCAAAACCGCGTGCGTCGGGGAGGGCACCGGTGAAGGAGGTGGTGGCAGACGCATTGGGAGTGGTCGCAGACGCGTTCTGGGGAGGACGACCAGTGTTGGAGTTGGTAGGGTTTTGCTGTGGGGTGGCACGGTTGGCAGGATTAAAGTTGCTCTTTGGCTGAGCACGCCAGTAGTTTAAAGACGCTTGGAATTGACTTTGTCGAGTGGGTTCCTACAGCTAGATCAGGGGGGGTGCCAAGTGAACATAAGGCGAGACGTACTTTGGCTAGCCAGGCATTCCGCACATCGGCAGGTAATCGTGCCAGCTGTGTAAGCTCGGCATGGGTAAAAAGCCCAGAGGGCATTGGTCTCGGTCTCGGTGGTGTGGGAGCTGGTGTGGAAGTGGCTGATGGGCCGGTTGGTGTCGGCTGCCCCACCGGCCTGACTGGCGCACTCGTCGCTGCCGGCCCTGGAGTTCCCGGTCTTGATATAGGAGCCGCTGGTACTGCTGCCGGCGCCCCTGGTGTTCCATTGGAAGATACAGCAGCAGCAGCGGCAGCAGCAGTAGCCGCCGCCGCATTCTGCTGTTCTCTCGCCCTCTTCGCTTCCATCAACGCTCTCGTCGATGTCTTGATCATCGCGTCGAATCCTTCTCTGCTGACTAGAGCCGGTACATCCTTGTACGGTATTGATGGATTGATGGCGTCGGGGAGAGAGTAGAGGGGATTGGGACGACCGCTGTTTATAGAGTTGGCTGTTATTTGGCGAATTTGGGTGTGGACCAGGGTCCGCAGCTATGACACGCCGTGAGCACTTGTGAACAGGGCACAGTGTGAGGTGGGCGTACTTGGGTGATCTGGGTATCGGAGAGCTGGCCTTTTTCGTACATGTTGAAGAGGTTTGGGAGGTTCTGGACGATGGTGTGGATGGGCGTGGTGTTGGCGGGGCGGGGGGTGCCCGGCGCTGACGGGGGAGCGGAGGGCGGGCGGGACATGGCGGAGCTGGATGGCGCTGGGCAGAGGAGGACGATGCGAGAAGCCCAAGAGTCAGAAGAGAGTGAAAGAGACAGACGGGTGGCTTCGGCGGCGACCTCCGCACAGTCAAGCCTATCCATCTATTCGAGAGTGCAACTTCCCTACAATGCCTTCCTTACTGGCCTCCTTTGAACACATCCTTACATGATCTGCGACATGAGATACTGGAAGGGGCCGCAGCTTGACGAGGTGCTCCATCGAGCAGCACCCACACTATGCTGGTGATCGTCTGACTGCTCATTCACTCATCTCATCACAAACTCCTCATATAATCACATCAAGTGCTGGTTCACGTCAATCTCTCGTTCATCGACTCATCATTCTTATACTATCTGCATTGCTCATCGCAATGGGTAGAGCCTCTAGCAAGCGTCTCATGGCGACTCGGGGTCTTAGCCTAGGGATCATTCTATTGAGCGACATTGTGGCGGCCAAATCTGCTGAATACGCTGGTGAGTCTCTCAGATCAAGGTCGTAAAAGTGCTCACGGTATGTAGGCAAGAATAGGGGTATCGACACAGCGTCACTGAAGGACAGAGGCTTCATTTCCACAGGCGTTTTGGCTGCCGACACCTCCATAATGGCAACCAGTGCCGCGGCCAGCGACACGATAGCCTCAATCTCCTCCATCGCCCAAGAAACCACCCTGACATCTCAGGACCCCACTCGGTCAATCCTCTCCAACACCAACCCAACATCGGCTGTTACGAGCGAGGCAGAAACAACCGCAAGTCTACCGTCTCTAACGACGGCCTCCGATGGAACTCTTCATTGGCAGTCTGAAATCGTCTCCGAGGCGGACGCTACATCTGACGGCGCACAAGAAGCGACCACTGCACTGGCTACTAGCACTGCAGGTGCTCTCACGTCCTCTGCTTCCCCATTGAATGACGAGCCTCACACTTCCAACAACGAAGAGACATCCGAGTCTCTTCAACAAGCTTCCACGACAACTGCGCCATCATCGCTCGCATCTACCTCTCATGGCGAAAGCACCGTTGTTATTGCTGTGACTGACCCTGGATCTGGAAGCTCATCTTCTGTCCTATCAGTATCTGATGTGGCTCTGTCTGGCCAGGTCTCGCAAACAATGCTGTCTTCCGGTGTTCTAGCTTTCGATGAGAACTCCTCCAGCGGTCTTGGATCAGCTCAATCCTCCACGGTACGCGCATCGACACACGCCACCTCTCGCTCCGTCGCCCTCGACTTTGGCGATGCCACGGCCAGCTCTCTTAGCAGCCAGAGCGTTTCGACGACGTCCTCTAGGGTATCTGGCACTGCTTCGAAATCATCCTCCATAGATGGAGGGGGTGTGATTGCCGCAGAAGTTGACAGTACGACAAGCTCAACCAGTTCCAAGAACACTGCTTCGGATTATAATCTCGCTGGGTCTTCAAAGTCCACTGGTACGTCAGAGATTTACGTGCGCCATTCAATCCTGATGTCTCTGCCATAGCATCGGCCCAGAAGAGCTCAAGCGATGCTCTATCTGAAAGCAGTTCTGCTGCCACTGCTTCTGCCCAGTCCTCCGCCACCTCTGACATCTTTGTCACCTCCGGAACCACCCTCACTGGCCAAGCTGCCGTTGCCGCCCTCGCCTCAGAGACCAGTACCGTTTCTACATCTGGTTCCTCCAAAGCAAGTGCCGACTCGGACAGCGATACAAAGGAAGACAGCAGCTCATTGAGCTCGATCGCCATAGTGGGCATCGTGGGCGGGGTACTGGTGGGACTGATTGCGATCTACCTGATTTGGTACCAATGGGTACGTGGTCGTGTCTCTTTGCGAGTGCGACAACTGACGAGGTTAATGTAGCGAAAGAAGAAGGCTCGCGCATCTCTTGGCGATCAGATACCAGATGATCCCGAGGAAGACGATTATGACGAGAAACATCGCCAAACCCGCTCAAGTTTTGGTGCGGACGAACCTTTCACCCCTGCTACGTATCGTCAGCGTGGCCGAGGCGCCTCGCGCCAAGGATCGAGAGATCGGGACTGGGAAACCGGTTATGGCGAAACCATGTACGACCGACAGACGTACTGGGACGAAGATGGGCATGAGCGGATGACAGAGTACGATGGGAGGGGATACTGTCCCCAGTCAGAGTACTTGCAAGACTATGACAGGAAAGGCGGCGGAGGGGATGGTAGGACAGAGTATGGGCTGACCCAGTATGGCGATGGGATGACTGCTGCTCTTGCTGATGGCATGGTCACCCACGCTCTCACTGCTCCCAGCCAAGCGGGCAGCGCCCAAAACCCATTCGTCCCCGTTCCTCCCGTCCCTAGAGTTCCTTCCGTCTACTCAACCCACAAAAATAGTACCGTCCGGACGAACGCCGATGGCCTCGATGTACCACACTCGGTAGCAGCTCAATCAGCAGGACAAGGACAAGGCCAAGAGACCGCATATGGAACCAGCATCTACGATGCGTATGGAGGCCCCGACTCGAGGCCTCAAACGCAATCTACCGAACCGAGCACGTCAAACTTGCTACCATGGCTCAACAAGGGTAGTCAAACACCCGCCCCGCCTGTGCCCGCTGTAGACGCTCAATATAGTCATCGAGTCCCTTCGCCACCTCGTCAAGGAAGCCCGCCACAAGCGTCTGTGCAGCAACGCCAACAGATGATCAACTTGGAGGACGAGTACGAGCCTCGGGCGCCGCCAAGGGCTGTAATGGCACAGACACCGCTCCCAATGGCACAGAATATACCGTTCGATGGAGGGCTAGAGCAGGCGCCCATTCCAACTTTCCGTTGAACTCGAAAGTGGAAAGAATACCATACATGTAATCGACAGGTAAGGGGGATAATCGTATGATGGTTAGGCTATCGTGATGAGAGTGATTCTGTACAATCTCTTGTGAAGAACGTCATGAATGTCTGTGAAACCCTCCTTTCGCTACTCGGGCTTGGTCGAACAGTTGCTTTTGCCTACTGATCCTTTCGCAGCAGGCCTATATCAGGATTTGAGCTTGGAAGACCGCACCACCGTATATCAGGAGCTACCTATGTCTGCTTGATTGAAGAGTAGCTGTGGTCATCCGACTCGTCGCTGTGTCGCTTCTTGAGCCATCCATTGGGTCGCATGTAAGAAGTACGCATACCGCCGCGTACTCGCCGCTTTCCACTATTTCTTCACGATGTCGCCTTGGAACAGCACCGCTACAAGCCCTACATTGGTCCCTTCGCCCACCATGCCCAGCACCCCCGACCTTGACTTGGCAGCTTTGTATTTGGGCGGTGACGCTGCTGTGCGCCGCTTACCTCGTTCAAATCCCCTTAATGATGACTCTGACTCGAGCTCGGTCAACTTGTACAGCCGGAGATGATGGGCAGAAAGATATCGGAGCCCGAGTGCCGAGCCAAGTCTCGGGGAATAACCTCCAGACTGAGAACATTGGTCGGTTGGGGTACCGTCGAGTCCGAGTGATTGTGGTGGTGAGCCAAATGGTGGCGAGTGCTGCAAAAGGTTGGACTGGAGCTTGGATTCTGGATAGTGAGAAGATTGTATATATTATGCATAGATGTGGCATCATGACTGCTGTTGGGTCAGCAGGGGAACGGCATGCCATAGACGACACATACCTCGAAGCATCACGATACAGTCTATTTCTTCTTCTTCATCTGGGACCTCTTTCCTTGACCTGTACAATCATCAGTGACTGTCATGAGGAAGAAGACGTCTGCCTTACCCTTCTTGGGAGGACCCTTGCCCAATCTTCTCCTCCTAGCCACCCTAGCAACACGCCTCTGTTCCACAGGGGTTTCCAGCCACCCAGTTCCCTTCCTTCTCTCCACCTCCGCAAACCCATTGTCCACCAATTCGCTCGCTCTCAGCATCGATCCAGCATTCTTCCACTGGATATTGTCCAACAACACCTTTCCCTTCCTGTTCTTGATCGCTGATGGTAGAGGGTTGCCATCCCAGCCAGCGAAAGGGTTGGATGGGATGTTTTTGTTGAGAAGGGAAAGTTTGGGGTATGGGTTTGTCAATTGGGGGTAGTAGGAGGCTACTGATGGGCCACGAAGTCGTTTTCTGAGGTACTTTGTACCCATGCGGGCAGAGGTGGGGTTGGAGATTGTTTGGAAAATGGGGGATCGGAGGGAAGACAAGAGATTGTGGAGATTTGGCGCCATTTTGAACAGGTTTGCGATGGAAAGGTATGTTGAACGCGACAAATGAAAGAAGAGGAGAGCGGGTGGTGAAATGACACGTCAGGCGTCTGATAAGCTGGTCCTCGTGAACCTGAAGCGAAACGTCTGTCTTGCGTCTGTCTGTCCTGCACACAATCAACGATTGTGTACTCGAGTGTGGCATGCACTCCTCCGGTGTATTCGGGACACAATCCCAGGGCAGCTCTCGAGAAGAGAGAAGTGAGTGGTCTACGCCAACGGCTCTCCTTACGTCCCCGCCATCTCCTTACCCTATCGCCATGCTCATTGAGAACACAGCCCAACAAAGGTTTCAAGTTGACTGCTCACCTCCCTTTCCAGTCAAGGCAAGGATCAGCATCAAGACGCCCATCTCAAAGGTCATATAGAAACACACAATCACACAACAGCGGAGCAAAGAGAGCCTTCCATCAAATTCCCTCACGCCACAGGCCCCACAGGCCCCAAGCTCTTCCCAAGCCAATGTTGCGAAGACATGACTTCGGATCTCACTCCCGATTGACTGGATCACATGTATATAACTGACATGAATCCGGAACCCTTCACTGACTGCCATTGTCCTAGACTTTTCTTACCAGACGGCTCATCATTGATTTGCTCCTCACTCTCCTTGTATCTCAGCAACCATTAAGTGACAATCATGGCCGACGACGATTACCTTTCTGAATCACCCTACGAATACACTCCCACTGGCTGGGTATGTGTCCTCTTTATCGTCCTCTTCTCGCTCCTGGGATGTACCCACATCGCACAAGGAATTCAGGGCCAGTATTGGGTAGTATTGCCCACACTTGCTGTTGGGATCTTGCGTGCGTCAAATGAACATATAAATTTGCGGCCGCTGACATTGTACAAAGTGGAAGTAATCGGCTGGGCAGGAAGGTATTGGAGCAACCAGAATGTCCTGTATAACCCGCCCTTCCTGATGCAGATCATCACGTGAGTCATCATCTTCCATAGCAAGGTTCCTTGTGTTGACTGAAAAAGCAGTCTCATCATCGCGCCGGTTTTTTTCAGTGGTACGCAACACATGACAACCCGCGATCATCTAACACTTCGTAGCCTGGTGCTATACCATGCTCGGAATGGCCATCCACACCCTGGGTCAGCAATACTCTTACCTTCGGCCCAAAACGGCAAGATCATTCTTACCTCCTTTCTCTGCCTACGCTGACCATACACCAGTACATCATTGTCTTCGTAGCCTGCGACTTTATCTCCCTCATATTTCAGGCTGTAGGTGGAGGCTGGGCCGCCACCGTCGATCCTCCGATCCTCCGACCCCGCGTACCCCTACCAATATCATGGTCGTCGGCATCGTCTTTCAACTCGTCTCCATGATCATCTTCTCCTACCTCGCTTTCGACTTTATGCTGCGCGCGATGCAGAGGAGGCCTTACCCAGGGAGGCACCAGCAGGATGGGGTGGAGATGCAGTCTAGCATGCCAGGGATGGGAGGGAAGGAGTATGGCAGCGGCGCTGAGAGAGAGTATGGATATGGGCAAGGGGTGAGGGGGTTTAGGAATGAAGAGTTGGTGAGAGGGTGGAAGTTTGTGATGATTGGGACAGGTATTTGCTCTCTGATGATCATCATTCGAGGTCGGTCCTCCGAATCTATAAGTCAGCGCCTTGCTGACAACATCACCAGGTATCTACCGTTCAGTCGAGCTTGTCCAAGGCTGGGAAGGTCACCTCATCACTCACGGTAAGTGTCTTCTTCCTGACTCGGAAGAGAATACTGATATACCTTTTGCAGAGGTGTACCAAGATACTCTTGACGGAATTCCCATGACACTTGCTCTTGCGGCTGTGGCCGTGTTCCACCCGACCTTCTACCTTCCCAGGAGACAAAGCTGGCAAAAGGCTTAGATCGCTACCGACGCCGAGGCGCGTGTCCGTTCGCTCTCCTGTATGACTTCGTCATGGACTTTATAATACGTATATGTATACACTGGAAATGATGTGATCATGAACCCCTGAACGTATCAACCTGTATGCGGTACTTCCGTATTGTGGCTATGACTGAACGAGAATGCCCGTCCCGGATCTTGAGGAACCAAAGCTTCGGGAATTGCCGGCGGGTTTCGCCTCCACCGCGAAAGTTCGACACGTCGACGGACGGTGTCCATGACGGCGGTCGTGACATCGCCACTGTCTTTCATCTGCCATTCGCTCTGCATATACACTAGCATACTTCGGCTTCAGCAGTCTTCGGGTCTTTCCAAACGCGACAGCTCCTCAGCCAATCGACCTCACCACCCCGCTGCTCGCTCGATGCGCTGGTCATCGACTCTCGGCGGACTTGGTTTTCTGACCGCCGCCTCTGCCCAACTAGATGGCCTGAAAGGGGGCTCTGCATCCTCCGTATTGGGGCAGAAACCGGAAAGTAGAGTGGCACGCAACGTGCTGGAAGGCAAATCTGAAGGATATTGCTCTGTAAGCACCCACCTTAGTTCTCTCGAGCACCATCGCATCGATCGATTACTCATCTTGATGTAGCCATCAGGACCTATCGAGTCCACTCACTGTTTATATGAACAAGTAGAATCCCTGAATCAACGCCTCTTCCCAGCTCTGCACGAGCTCGTGACAACACCCTTCTTCCGACATTACAAAGTCGACTTGTATCGCGAGTGTCCCTTCTGGTATGAGAATGGCTTCTGCATGAATAGGAACTGCGGAGTAGAGGAACTGAATGAGGTACGCTTGTGGTTCATCATGGGAAACCGAGCATCTGCTGATTGACTTGCAGAGCGAGATACCTGAAAAGTGGCGGGCCGCTGCTTTGTCAGAAGTACGAGTCTCGGGTAGCGAAGATGAAGGTGTCTCGGGTTGTTATTTCAAAGAGCAAGACTTTTGCTATGTAGAGGACGATGCCGATTTCAGTGAGCCCCAGTGTTTATCATCCCGACTTCACTGACAAACGTAGATGGCCAATATGTCGACTTGACCCTCAACCCAGAGAGGTTTACTGGATACTCTGGTGACTCGGCACACCGTGTATGGCGAGCAATATATGAGGAGAACTGTTTCGGCCTGTCTGAAGCATCTCTCTCTGAGCTGTCCAAGCCTTCTTCCGCTGCCCCTCCTGGTTTAGGCTTAGGATCATCCAAGAGCAAGAGCGAACTTGCGTCTGCTGTCGTGGGGGCTGGTGGGGTCAGCAAGCCGGGAGATGGATCTAGTGCTCCAGGTTGGGGCTTTTCAAAATTGAGTGAGGGCTGGGGAACAGAAATGGTCAAAGCCCCTGCTACAGGGGAAGAGATGTGCGAAGAAAAGAAAGTGTATTATCGTGTCATCTCTGGTCAGTTTGTTGACACCTTGTTGTGTAACATTGCTGATACATTTTCAGGTCTCCACGCTTCCATTTCCATACATATCTGCGCAGAATATATGGACCAAACAACAGGTGAATGGGCTCCCAACCTCGACTGCTTCATCTCCCGCCTAGCTACCCACCCCGAACGGCTATCCAATGTCTACTTCAACGCCGTCCTTCTACTGCGGGCAGTGGCCAGGGCGGCGCCGTACCTTGAAAAGTATGATATCAGCACTGCTCAAGTGGGGGTGGTGAGGGAGGGTGATGCGAAGGCCAAGACGTTGCTTGGCGAGGTGTTGGGTCTGGCAGGAAGCGAGGGAATAGCCAAGGGGTTCGATGAGGGCGACTTCTTCGCTGGACAAGATGCTGGTGTGAGTCTTACAACCACCATGTCAGACTCAACAACTGATCGCGGTGCAGATTCTCAAAGAGCAATTCAAGTCTCACTTCAGAAACGTGTCTCGCATAATGGACTGCGTTGGATGTGACAAGTGCAGACTCTGGGGGAAATTACAAGTGACTGGTATCGGAACAGCGCTCAAGATCCTCTTCGAGCTTGACGACAAGGCTTTCGAGTAGGTTTTCTGTTTCATATCCCGTGAACTGAAGCTGATGTCGAAACAGCCCAAAGATCAATCCCGATTTGCTTCAGCGTTCCGAGGTGGTAGCACTTATCAACACCCTGCACCGTATTTCAGAAAGCTTGGCATCGGTTGAGCAGTTCAGGAAGATCTACGCGGATACTCAGCAGCTCGAGAGTCAGAGTCAGTCCAGCAAGACCAAGACAAAGCCATCCAAGGCCAAACCGCCCAAGGCCGCCAAGTCTTCCATTCCTTCAAAGCCGCACATTTTAGACGGCTTACTAGACGTGCTAGGGAGTCTGATAGATAGTCTGAAGGACAGGTGTTGGTGGTGCCTTGATTTCTGCTTGAAAAAGGTGGAAAGTGGGGGTGGGGGATATAGAGAATTCGGTAGCTCGGTGAGACGGTGGGTAGGAGGTGTAGGATTGGGGAGGGAGCTCTAGGTGTCTGAGTATCTGTACCACATGGTTGAATGTCATTGTCATACCTCACAGACCAGACAAGTGGTAGAGCACTTATTTGAAATTTAGCGCATACTTTCTCCGATGAACACGCCTCATGGCGCCCCCGTATTTCTACGATACTACACACTGCCAGGACACCTGTACAGCCCTGCACACAAGCGGAAACGCCCCACTGTGTCCGGATCGCTGTGCGTCCACCTACATCTGAGCTCATTCGACCTCCAGCTGTGCATAGCTGTAAGTAGGCTATCGTTGGCCAACGAGGTACAGTGCATGAATCCTCTACTATGTGACGATACTCTTCCACATTAACAAAACACCTTTTTCTTCTCGCGCCAATGCTACAAATACAACTTGTCATCTATATCAACAACCCTATGCACAGTCCATGAAGCGTCCATAACGTCCCGAGATCTATGCAACATCACTTTCGCCTCTTGAATCCCCTCTCATCTTGTCTCAGAGATTGTCCCTGCCCCGCACTTCCTCCTCTAATATGACCTGTAGTCGGCCCATCTCCTCCAGCTTTCCCCGATGCTGGGGCATTCCCCAGCGAGAATCCACTCCCGTTCCCGGGTCCATTACTGAACGGCCGGCGGACTCCAGCGGCGGGTTGGAATCCCGACTTTCCGCCTCTCCCTATACCTTGCCCTTGCCCCTGCCCCGGCTGCTTGGGAACGAAAGGTCGGGGGCCCCTGCCCTGCTGAGCTGCTGAAGGACCTGTGGGCGTCGGTCTTCCGACAAATGAGGGTAGGCCTCTGAGAGCTGTTGGAGTACCTGATGGAGCAATGGCGTTAGGGTGTGCAGCGGCGTTGGACGTGATATTGAAGGGGAGGGGACCGAAGTGGTTTTGAAATGCTTCGAGCTCGGCGCGTGTGGTCTGTACAACGGAAAGATGGTGTGAGAGGTCGGAACTGCGTTCAGTTAGCTTTGGTACTGCATCTGGAAGACCGAGACACATACTCTAGACTCTCAATGACTGCCTTGGATTCTGAGGTAGCAATGTCAGTATGTGACTAGGCATCTCATTGTTCGGACTCACCATCCAAGGATGTTTGCCAATCGGAACCACTTCCCCTCCCTGCTTCCAGCACCATCTCACCCAGCTCCTCATTCTCTTGTACGAGCATTTTCACAGTCTCCAGTACGCGCTCCAGGTCCAAGCCTGCCGCGCTCTCTCGGCTAGGTGCCAAAGCCGGATGTGGCGACAACTTCTCCGACGTACCGACCTCTGGTAAAGCGTCCATCTCTTCGTCTTCTTGCACTATCCCAGCTGCCACAGGAGGGACCAGGGCGTTCGGCATAGTAGCCGTCTGAGCGGTTATAGGGGTCGCAACCTGACTTATGGGCCCTCTTCTCGGTACGGCCTGTCCGAGAAACGTTTGCCGTAATGCCTGAATATCTCGAGTAAGCTCAGCGATGTGAGTTCGCAGGGTATTCAGAAGCGGGAGGAGATGTGGTGGTATGTCCACTGGCTGATCTGTCTCGGGGGCGGAAGATGCTGAAGGATGTTGAATGGGGACCGTGGGATTCGCGTGAGTTGGTAAACGAGACTTGAGAGCTTGTAATTCGGTCTGGGTATGGCTGGTCAGCGTAGGTGCCCTAGCGCAGGGTGATAGATCTCACAGCCAAGGAGTCGCGCTCCTTCTCCAGCTCCAGCACCCTTCGCCCGAGTCTTATTTCGTTTGAAGAGGGTGCCGCTTGGGTCACGACTGATGGTTCCGGAATGTCTCGTTTCAAGGCAGACTTGAGAAGAGTTGTTAGCTACTATAGTCACGCTATGTGTTCCGCGTATGGCAGGATGCAAGCTGCAAGCTTACCTGGTCTACCTGCTCCTCGTCTGGGATGTGGTGAGTAGGGTGCGACAGAGAGAATGGACGAGACGTACACGTTTCATCGCGCAAGAGATCCTCAAAGTCGTCGTCCATTCTACGCGCAGGCTGAGAGTTCTGCGAGCTGTGCGGGTTGCAGTCTGAGTATTATGGCAACTTGTGAAATCCAGTACTCGATACTCGACAGCCGCAACTCGACTTCGGTGCCCCGCATTCCACGCTTCTCTTACACCGCGACTTCTTTACCCCTCGTCATCACAATTGCCACCGTCTTTATCCACCTTGAGGGCAGTGTATCGGATCTGGGCAGCACAATATGCGTCTGTTCGCTATCAGAATACCAGACACCCCTCTCGACCCTGCGGTACGTTCTGTGTGCATGAAGCACTCCCAGCTTCACGGACCTCGCTCACCTCAAGCAGGCCTTTGACAAGCTTGCAACCCTCGTTGAACCGCCAGCAAGGGAGCGGCTCAAGCGGTTCAGACTACCTGAAGACGCGCTTCGTAGGCATAGCTTGTGCGTATCGATTACAGACTGATACAATAAAGGGTCTCTGGTCGCCCGCCTCACTGTCACTTGGTACCTTCATACCCAGGGGCTTCTCGCGCTCGGGCAGCTCCCTGTATTTGGTAGAAAAGGCAAAGGAAAACCCACCCTGGTACAAGTCATCCTTGCCCCGATATCATCTGCTTACCGAGCCTATAGTCAGTTCCTACGCTGCAGCCTCGTCTCGAGTTCAACAACACTCACGAGGGGTCGTACATCCTCTTTGCCACTCTCGTCTCTTCTTCACCTCTTGCCTGCGTCGGCATAGACATTATGCTTCACCCGGAAGACCCTTTCCCAACTCAAGAAGGGATAAGCGAGCAGCTCACGCTTCTGGAACGACAATCTCTTGCCATCCCGCTCACCCCTAGAGAACGGTCGCAAAGATTGACAAAACTCTGGTCGGTCAAAGAGTCATACACGAAAGCCATAGGGGAGGGCATCACATTCGGCCTCGAACGGATCGAGGTCGAGCTTGAAGGGCCTGGGGAAGGCAAAGTGAAGACGGTCAGAGTTGACGGAAAGGATGTAGGTGAGAGAGGTTGGGAGTGGCGGCAGAATGATCTGGGAGAGGATTACGGGTATGCCGTCTGGTGGCGTGGGGACGACGCGGAAGATACAGGGGAGGCCCAAATGGAGCATGTATCCTGGGAGGAGTTTAGCGGGCCGTTGTTAGACCTGGCTGACAAGCTAGCACAGTAGATACATATATTACGACACTGTCATGATAATTCAATGATACTCTTATGAGATACAACAAGCGCTAGGCCCTCTAATGCATACTAGCAGTAGCCTCCAACAACCTCACAACATCCTCCAGAGTAGCCTGTTCCTTGCCGTTCTCACCAATCTTGCTGATATGCTCATGGCTGCTCGCGCCTTGGAGGACCTTGTCTCTTTCCTCAGACTCATAGAAGAAAGGCTCCAGGAAGTGTTGAACGCTATTTGCCGTCAATCTACTACTCTGACAGAGCTGGGCATCACTCACAAATCGCCATCCACAAACCCAACAGTCTCTTTCCCTACAACTTCCGTCCCAGCTCTTCTCCAATTCCTCCACCCGACCTCACCAGGACCTTTCCATTCCCTCTCCATGTTTCTCTGCAAATCATCCAACGTTCTTGCTGCAGAATCGGTGAGCTGCCCAATCACCCCCAGGCGTCCGTCACGGGTAGTGTAAAGCACGTCTGGGGTCATGACTTCGGGAGCAGAGGAGGACGGGACAAGGGAGCCGCTTTGGAATTTGGAGACTTCCTCGTGCAGGCCAAAGGTGGCAGCTTTCTCGAGGGCAGAAGAGAGACGGTATGTCATAATGTTTGCGTGAGACTGACAATCTTATCAGCTCCGCCCAATATCTTTGAGAGAAAACTTACATCGGCAATCACAATACCTTCCCCTCCATCTTGTACCCTGCCCAGAGCAACGACCCCATGTGTCGCCATGTCTCGCTCGTCATCATATATCTTCCCACTCCCTTCATCAACCTGCAGCACGATCACGCTCCGCATACCATCACCGACGATCAAGTCACCATCTTCTCTTGACCCAAAGGGCGGGATCACAGCAAGGTGAGATATGACGAAAGCGGATGCCCAGGAGGCTACTCGGGTGAGAGAGCGGTTGATATTCGGGAAGTTTGGAAGCTTTGGATGTCCGGGGTTGACTTCCGTGCTGACACTGAAGAGCACGAGCTTCATTCATGTCAGCCTTGTGCACCCTCCAATATTTGACACTCACTTCGCTTCCGGCAGCAACAGCCAAGAACCCATGTATCGTTTCCAGCGCATACACAGCTCCCACGGTAGATACCTCCATCTCCAAGCCCAGTCGCCATTGTCCACTTTCCTGCTCGGCTTTGAACAACAAAACACGACCTTCTTTGACGACCGCCAAATTGCCCTCATCCCAAGAGTCTCCTTCCTCTTCTGGTAGCAGGGCTGTGCCGACCGCGAGGTACTGTGTACCGTAGAGAAGGACAGAGCGGATGGAAGTGACCAGCTCGCGTTCTTTGAGAGTATAACTCGCCATGAATCCCAGAGCCGACTCGTCTCGAATCTCGACCCAGTTCGTCTCTTCGAGATCTCCATCTTTCAAGACCAGTCTTTTCGTAGCCCCACAAGCGACAGCGCCCAGATGTTCGACATGCGCGAGTTTGGACGTCGACGTAGAGCCCATATCGCAGGTTTGCACATGCAACTTCTTCAGAGACGTCACTCTCACTAGAGAAAGCCCGGAAGAGGCAGAGTAGACGGCAAACACGGGACCAGAGGAAGTCTGAAGGTCGGCGACGGCCAGAATGTCCTTTTTATTAACGGACGAGAATTCTGTTTTCGAGTTGGATTCGAAGATGACCGACATGCGCTCTGTGATGCCTATGCTAATGATGCTGGGTCCGTCCTGTGGTGATGTGGTTGGGAAGAGAACCAGCGGCTGAGATCCAAGTGAAGTAGATTTTCTGGACTTCGACACCAATGCCTCATTATCGACCGAGATATCGTAGGTCAATAGGGTCCCATTGCTCAAACCTGCAAGCAGTTGCGCAGAGTGAGAACCCGCGACTGCAGATTTCAGTTGGAGCGAAGTGGCATACGCTTCCTGCGTCAAGACGACAGGTTTGCTAGAGTCAGCCAGCTGGGAGAGGGTGTAGAGGTATATCTGGGTAGTCCAGGTGGCGATGGCGACGATAGGGCTGGGTAAAGGACCTTGGAAGATGGAGACGGCCGAGACCTCATTTGAAAGGTTTTTGGTCCTGATCAGGTTTTAGCCCTTTCCGAGCTACAATTCTGTCGACTCACGCTTGCAGCTCAAAACCATTGGTGGCAGCCTTGAACACTGACACCCCGCCTCCCCGCATGGCGATCACAACCCATTCCCCCACCACCTGCGCACATACAATCTCCTCATCGATCTCCATCTGCCCACCGAGTACTCCAGCAGCCACATCGGCCCACACGTACAGCCCCTTGGGGATCACCTGCACCAAACGCCCGTCCTCGGAAGCAATACCAGCAGCAAGTGTTGGGCTATTGGAGAAACCTTGCGAGGTGTTCTCGATGGAGATAGTAGGCTCTATCTGGAGCAGGATTGTTGATGTCGGAGTGGAAAGGAGCAGTTGAGAGATGCCAGAATTGGTTATGGGCCACATTCGCTCAACAGAATCAAGGCCGAGGATATTGGTAAGCTCTTCAAGACCTACTCCGCTGCGTATGATTCGGAGGGAGTTGCTCTCTGACGCCCCAGAGGCAAGCAGCAAGTGTGACTGTAAAATCGTTAGTCATCAATGACGGGCAAGAGAACGATACTTACTAGACCTCCAGACGCGTCTTTGACTGCGCACATATCCTTGACAGGTGCCACGTTCATCCACCTTTCCAGGACCTGTGCAGACCCCTCTGCGGCCGCCTTCTCTCGGCCTTTGGTGTAGATGACGCTCCAAGCCTCACTTTCGTCACCTTTGGCAACCTGCTTGCTCTTGCCAGATTTTGCTGTCTGACTGTCGCAGCTGTCGCTTAATGAGGGAAGACGGAGAAGGACGGAATCTGCTACGGCAGAAGAGACAAAGAGGTGCGATGCGTCAAGGTACGTCAGTGAAGAGGGTGGGGAGGTCTATGACTGGTAAGCGATGTCGATCTATCAACAAGACTACTCACCGAGTCCACGGCTGTCTGCAAGACCTGTACGGTTCCCAGACGACCTCCGCCATCGCCCTTCTGGAATTCCCATCCCACAGCGGTCAATGCCCCATACTCATCTCCTATGATCGCACTAGCACCAGTACAATGATCTTCCAAAATCTCAGCAGCAAGGACAGTGCCAAATCCTTGCCTGATCCTCCATCTGGGAACCAACTCCAGACCCCTGCCGTCCGTAGGAGCGGTAGCAGCTTTGCTCCCTCCCATGCTGGCTTTGCGGCGTTTGGCATTACCACTGGTCAACTCCTCTTGAGGACTTCGTCGAGCATTGGCACGAGGTGAAGCCGCTGGCCCCGATGTCGCCTTCCCGGCATCATCGGGAAGCTCGAGGTCCCGAGGGCTAAGGGTATAGAGAACGGTGTGTTCGTCGCCAATGACGAGTAGACTACGCACACCATCGGGTGTCACACTTGGGACAGGGACAACACGCCTGGCAGCAGGACACGAGAATGGTATGCCGTTGAAATCTGTGTCCTCGGAGACTGAAAGCTTGGAAGCCGGTTGGACAACATCGATGGGTAACGAAATGTCGGCGAGAGAGTGTGAGGCGGTCATGACAGATCGTGCTTGGAGGCGCAATTCGTTGGTGGCGGTAAGCCAGAGAAACGTGAGAGTCGGACCATAGGTGGATATCGGCAAGAAGCTGATGTGGAGTACATTATGCTCCCGGATGCTACATCGAACGTCAGTGACAGGTTGTTCGTACAAGACCATGACCTACTTGATGTTGTAGTTGTCTCTAAACTTGAGTATCGCGTCCTCATCAGAGGGGACCTTGCTCAGCCTCTTCTTCTTCCCTGAAGACTTTCTATCGACTTCGATCTCCAAGCATGAGATGACACCGATCCACAAGCTGACTAGAGCAATTCGCTCCTGCGCAACGATGGCGGAGAAGAACTCGGCCGCGCGCAATGTGGGTGTTGGAGGGGACAAAGGTTGAGAGGAAGTGACCACCAGTGCAGAGGTAGCCTTATCGAATGCTACCATGAGGGCGCGTGCATTGGGCGGCGACAGCAAGATCACGATATGTGGCCGCGAGCCCTGCGATGAAGATTAGAGACCACACATGGGGTCGCAAGGACTGCTCACTTCGACCGACACTTGATCTATGCTGACTATCGTGCCCCATACTTTGAGTTCGGCGACCCATACTAGCCCAGTCTCTGTGACATCCCAGACCTCGAGTTTGTCTGGTTTGGCCACGACGAGGGATGTGTGATTGTCAGTGAGGGATGTGACTCTGAGACTGGCGAGGACGGGGGTGGGGGTCAAAGCCTGGGAGGGTGAGCGGTGTCCGATAGCTGTTTGTACGCACCGATGCGATGTATAGCATGTTGCTCAGTATACGCTGCCAGAAGATTCATCCTCGCAAGTCACAGATCAACCATCATCACGGCGATGTGGAGGCCGTGTCCGGACACAGCAGCCGGACACCGGCGCGCTTAAGTTTCAGCGGACACGTAGATCGCGCCAACGGCAAGACTGTTTTTGTCTAATTTTGACATCCACCCATTATTGTATCATTACCACACACCATGGACGAACAGGATCCATTCAAGCCAAAGTTCAAGCGCACGAGGACAGGTATATATGCTTCTGGTCCATAATGTCATCCACTTACCGATAGTGTGTAGGTTGCTTGAGATGTCGAAGAGGCAAGCACAAGTAGGTTCAGTAATCCTTACAGGTGGTACTGTATCTCACGCTGTCACTCAGGTGTGATGAGGAGAAACCAGTCTGCAAGAGATGTCGCAATGCCAATGGAGAAGTAAGCAAAAAGACGGGCATTTGCCGCTGTTACATCACTGACGTTGATCAAAGTGTGTCTGGCCAGATACTGCCAAGTCGACACCCAGCACTTCCTCCGCCGTCACCTCCTCCAAACGCTCGCACAATTGTATCGCAACACAAAGCGCCACAATACAAGAGTTGAACGAAGATAGTCAAGTTTGCGTTTGCCGGACATCCAGTCGTGCGCAAGGCAACGACCAATTGGCAGCCGCTTCTGGAAATGAGCTTGATGCACTCTTCAGCAGTCTCACTCCAACCGACTATCTCACTTTGACATTCCCCGACTCTCAAGAAAGAGAACTGGTAGGTTCGACACAATCAGACTTGGCTTTCTTCTGACACCAATTGCAGATGAGTCATCTCCTATGCTTCGGGACAGTCATCATGTACGCCATACCGATCATAGACCGCCCGGTCCTATTTCTCGACATTGCGCAATGTTTGTCCAATCCCCGAGGCTCTTCCATCGTGTCCGACGCTGTACACCTCTCCCTCATCTCCATCGCCGCCGTCCACCAATCTTCCCTCTTTATGCAGCAAGAGAAGAAATACCTGGCCGAAGCACCTGTCAACCATTTCGGCTCTTCGCCGGCCTTGTCGCACGCATCTTTTCCGGGAGACAATCAGCGGCGCATGCGTCTGCTTGGAGACATGTTTGCCCGAACATCCCTAGACCTCTGCCGGACAGGTATCGTCTTTCAATTAGAAGGCCAACAACACTCGACACCGCTGTCTCTTCTCGCCACAGCAGAGTCGTTATTGTCCAGCGCCATGGCCGTCATCATCTCTCAGTCACTTGCGGGAGGAAAGCTCTGGCAAGGGGCTTTTGATACGGCGCTGGAAATAGTTACCCTGTGCGGGGGCCCTGCCAAGATGCTCGATAATCTCAAAGGAGATCCCGCTAGACTGGCTAGGATGAGAACATTGTTGGAGAACCTGGTGGCGGTTGATGTGTGCCGGTGTCTCGCGTCCGGCAGTGCGCCGAGTTTGATGAATGAGCCTTTTGCCCCTTGGTGGTGAGTTTTGGCTGATGACCAAAAACACTCTGGGCTCACATAATGCAGGTTCGAGCATGCGCCTAATCCACGAATATCAGGTCTTACCGACACTGTCAATCATTGCTATGGGATGGATCGGGGGTTTCTCGAGCTTGTGGGTACCTGTAGACTGGAATAAGCATCGTGCGCTCATGTTTCGCAGGCCAATCGTGTCAACATTCTGGTGCACGACGGCTTGTCTCTAGAGACGCTCCTTGATGAGTCGCAGTTTGCCATCCACCGACAAAAAGTCAGCGACCTCCTGCTTGAAGTGGATATATGGGAGATGGACGCCAATGGCGCGCTCCCACACAAACGGGTGCAGTATGGAAATGCGATCATGATCAACGCTCTGAAAGTGAGTCTTGTGTCTTATTGCCCACTGCTTTCGGCTAATGGAACGTAGGTCGTGATATACGTTGACCTCGTACACTACCCGCACGAGCATCCGTTAGTGCAAGCCGCAGCTACTGCAGCGTTGGAAATCCTCGAAGACTCTCGCACGTTGGGCTTTGACATCGGGCAGCTTCTTCCTACAGTCATCACCAGTATGTCCATCTCTGCTGATCTCGTCTCGTAAGCTAAAACCGAGACAGGTTCCATGATGATGACTGAAGATAAAAGAGACAGGGCGCGGGAGGTCATTACCAAGTTGAGGTCGACTGTTACTTTCTCGTACGACATAGAAGAGACGCTGGTCATGCTTGAAAAGGTGGGTCACTGTGTGTGTACAGCGTGTACATACACTGACGAGCTATAGCTGTACGACTTGCGCGATAGCGGTCATATGGACCCATCGTGGCGCTTAGCCACAGATACCGGGCTGCTATTCTTCTGATGCGTCCATCAACCGACCGACTTGTTGCCACACTGTATATACATTTTATAATAGTTTGTATCATAGTATCTCTCACAGGGATACCGAAACGTATACAATATGCATGACAAATGATCCAAAGCCCAAGGAAAACCAGTCTTCTATACTCTAGAACACTCTACAAAATCATGTCTACATATCATATCTGCACCTGACTCTCTCCCTGACATGCCTCTTGATCGTCCCCATCCCCCTCTTCCCGGCCTTTGATCCTGAAACTTTGAACGGTCGCCACGATAGCGATACTACCAAAGAGAATCCAGACGATGGGGATATGCTTTTCGGCGCTTATGCCGTACAAGAGTCTACAAGTACATCAGCTTGGAGCGGGTCAAGAGAGATCAGAAAAGACTTGCCCGAATGTGGCAGGCCCCATTGTCCTCGCCAGTGCGCTCACAATAAGCGAGATGCCATTGAGAGCGCCGAGTGACGAAGGCGAAGGCGCAGCGGCGTTGAGGGCCATCATATTCAACCTGGACCCATTCTTCAGCGGAGTCCCTCCTTGTCGTAAAGGCAAACTCACGGGAAACACAAATCACCAAACACATACAAGAGCACCAGAGGCCCCATCAAAAACCACAAACCCTTCAAGGTTCCGTTTTCCACCCATGCCCCACTTTCATTCCCGGCTGCAAGCACATTCATAAGTGGTGGTATCGCAAAGATGCCTACCCAGCAGGTTGCAAACAGCCGATAGAGCGGCCGCATACCGAATCTGCGATGAGCAAGGGGGAAGAGGAGCAAGCTGACTGCGATGGAGATGAAGCCTTTGATGGAAAGACAGAGGGCAATGGACGATGGGGAGAGGGCGATGCCGCCGAGGGGGATAGGCGAGTAGGTGAATAGGACGAAACCGGCATCGAAGGACATTGCTGTCAAAGTGATGACTGTGATGAAAGTTAGTGAAGGTTTGGGGAGCGGAGAGGGACGTACAGAAGACGGAGACGAGCACTTGGCGGACCTTGGGGAGGGCAAGAAGCTGGAGGAAGCTGTGCACCGGGGCTGGCGCGTTGAGAGAGTCGGGAGGTACCTCTGGCAGAAGGTGACTCGTCTCATCTGGCGTAGAGTGCTTGTCGGCCAAGTCCTTGTGGACTTGATGCGTCTAGAACACTGTCAGACAGGCGAGCCATGTGAGATCCCAGAGACGTACCTCTTCCAGACAGAACAAGATTAAGAAGAATGATAGAAAGGACAATGCTGAGATGAGAACGCAAGGCAGAAAGTAAGGATACTTTTCCAAAAACTTGATCTGTCCTATCCAAGAGCTTGGATACTGAGAAGCAGGGGTTTGCAGCAGAGCGCCGAGGGCAGGTCCTATCACGCAAGACAAGTCCCAGCCGATCGTCCAGAGCGGGTAAACCCAGCCTTCGTCTTTCTTGGGTGTTATATCTCCCAACACTGCTCGCATGACCGAGGCCTATAACCGTCAGCTGTATTCCCTGCAAGGAAGAGTACACACATTACCACACAAAGCGCCGCCTATGTTTGAGCGGTTAGTAAAAGTTTCACGACCTACTAGGTATCACTTACACAAAGCCCGGGCACCCAAAGCCCACCAAAAGCTCTTGCTCAACCCAAGCATACACATACTGAATCCCAAGCCACAAAGCCCGGCCAAGATGACCGGCTTGCGTCCTATCCTGTCGCTCAGTCTGCCCCATTGGTACATGAAGAGCACCGAAGAGAAGGCGAAGATGCTCTCGATGATACCAGAATATTTGCCGACGCTTGACTTGGGGATATTTGGGAGAATGTCCTCCACCATGCGATTGACAAAGGGGAACAGGATCTGAGACGGGAATTAGCCGAGCGCCTGGTATGGTGCTTCAGGACTCACAGTGTAGCTCAGAGGCTCGACTATGCGGGCTGCCAGCAAGACGGAAAGCTGTCTGACTTTGACGCCCATGTTGGTTTTGGTGCAGACCGGGAGAAGATCAGATGTAGAGTCTTTTCTGGTCTGATCATTTTTTGGATGATGGTAAATAGACCGACGGACTCCGCTCGACTCTCAGGGTCAAGCGTTAAGCGCCTGAAAACACACCCGGCTCTCTGGCCACGGAAGAGAGGTCGACGGGGGGCATGGGCGGGTCATATTCATCACAGTCGTGGATTCTATCAATGCACAATCAAGCAGACATCTGCGCCGCAATGACATCCCCTTCTTCCACTCCCTTGCGTCTACGGATAACCCCCACCAGCGCCTCGACCGCCGCTATCGCTCCTTCATCATATCTCTTCAAGAACTCCTCGTCCCCCTCTATCCTCTTCTTACCCACAATGAGGTCGCCGGGGATGGCCACCTCTACCCCTTCCTCCACCACCTTCATGTCGAAGGACCCTCCACACATCACCTTCAAATCTCTCCTCAACCTGCCTCCGCCGCCCCCGCCGAGCGACATGATGGCGCAAGGCAGATTCGACCATTCGTGGTAGAGGTGGTCTAGAGCATTCTTGAGAGGGGCGGGGTAGGAGCTGTTGTACTGCGGGGAGAGGATAATGAGACCGTCCCAGGCTAGCACGGTCGTACTCCATTGGCGCACACGCTCATTGTCGTAGGCACCCGGCAGGCTCTCCCTCGAGTGTCTCGCGGGGGGCTCGTCAGAGAGGACGTAGGGCAGGGGGTGGCCTGGGGAATTTTCGAGGTGGATGACCTCAGGGTGGAGGAAGGGAAAGTGGGCGGCAATGAGGTTTGTGAGGTAGACTGAGAAGCCCTGGGTGTTGGAGAGGTGGCGGTTTGAGCCGAGGAGGATACCAATCCTGTAGGGAGCAGGGGAAGTGGGCGGACGGTAGACCATGGTGCGTGGCTTGCAAGGGGGAGAAAATGAGACAGAGACGTCCAGAATGCGTTTCTACGCGCCAGGCACTCTTTTGCGAATCAGATAAGATGGCGAAGTTCCCAGGAGGCCATGCGAGTCGGCCGATGGATCGTCTTGGTACTTGCTTGAAGTTGCTTCTGATGTCGTCCACATGGTCCGCCCACGATCATTCTGCTTTCCTCGTAGATGACGTACCGAAAGAGCAATGCAGGGCCATGATCAGAACAGAACATAATGCGCGTCGGAAAAGCCCGAAACCTTTTGTGTCGTAGTCTTGGGCGTATTTGTGGCAAACGAGGACACAATTGTACTCAACAACTGCCATCGAGCCGCCCAAACAGCCACAGGCCACAGGATAATGTTTCCATGTTTACACTAATATCTCCGGCTATGCTCAATAAGGCCCTTCATAAAAAGCTGACCCCTCTTTTGTCGGTCCATCTCTCTATAGCACTGGCAAAGAGCAAAGACATAATCCAATCCCACCTCGCTCCATCCTTTATGGATCCAATTGGCTGGATTCCATGCTTCACATCCCTCTGTGGTCCTCGGCAGGTGTAGGTCCCAGTGTGGCGCTACAGTTTCATATCTCTTAAATTGTTCCTCGCCCAGAGGGACTGGATCCCACAGCTCGATCACCATGCGTGCCACGTTCGGCATATCACCCTTGGCGGCCAAGAAGAAGAATTCCAGCGGCTTGAAGTGGTCGTCGTCCCAGCGCTCAAAAGCAAGCCTGCTCAGCCATCCCTCCAGAGTTCTTAGTACCAAAGGGCAATCCCATTTGGTAGCAAGCTCAATGGAAGCATGGAAGGTCTTGACTGGCTTCTGACCGAGATTCGCTTTGTCTCGAGGGAAAACGTCATTTGTGAGGGCGAACAAGAAGAAGGACACGGAGTCGCTCGTTTCGCAGAAGGCGTCCGTGAGGAAGATGGGCTGGCAGGCGAGGTGGTTGGGATCGTTGTTGTCTGAGGGAAGGCTGAACATGTCATGGAAGAGCTGACCAATGAAAATGTCAGCCTCAACTGAGGACAGTTCGATGTAGGCTATACCAATGGCGCTCCATAAGACTCTTGGGAACGTAGAAGGTCACACGGTCGCTACTGACAACCGTCATGTTCCAGGGATCTTGGTGAGTGCTCCAGGAGGAGTGGGACTCTGGCAAGACAAGCGGTTTGGAGTCACACGAGACATTGTCGGCTTCGCTCATGTTGACAAGACGACAGCAGCGCAAAATGAGCAAAGACAGATGCAGGAAATGGATACAGAGCTCTGGCCTCCTCACTTTTTTGATGGGCTTGATCCGCATCGGCGGCCGGGCTTATCTCTGAGGGTGTTACATAAACAATGACGTCAAAGTGATCGTCCACGCACCACCATCGATCCCGTCGAGTCTGAGGAAAACTTAGCTGGGAGGTGCAGGGAATGTGACGAAATCACGAGGGGGAGTAGGGGAAATGGGGAGATGGACTTGATCGTACTTGTCGCTTTGCATTTAATCTTCTAGCCGGGACATCTCATTCAACCCTCGCATGTCCATCAACCTTCTCCGATCTCTGCGACTGACATCGAGTATACCCACCCATCGCTCCTCTCTTTCTCACTTCTACCTTTCCACAGCAACATTTGCTACCATGTCCCGACGAAGTGCTAGAACAGCTCTACAGCCCACAGCCGCCAACCTCGCGCCCCAGTCCACCTCCCCTCCTCCCGCTGAACCAGTCAAGGCCGAGTATCCGCCCAAGGCAGCGATCATGGCGGCGCTCATGACGCCCGAGGATGACGAGGAGCTTACCCCTCCACCTTCCTCGCCTGTGTCCCAGAGAGAGGAAGCGGTGGACGAGGCGGCCGAGAAGGTGGTCAACAAGCGCAAGAGGGCGGTTAAAGCCAAGGAGCCACGAGAGGAGGAGCAATATGAAGAAGAGAGCGAGCTGGAGGAAAAGCCGAAACCCAAAAAGCGTGCTACAAAGAAGAAGGCTGTCAAGACAGAGGACGAAGGGGAGGGTGGTGAACAAGAAGACAAGCCGAAGAAGAAGACGCCCAAGAAGAGCAGGATCGCCAAGGACGAGCCCGAATATGATGAGGATGGCAATGAGATTGTCAAGAAGAAGCGGAAGGCGAGGGTATACCCCAAGAAGGTATACGAGATCCCAGACGTGGAGCGAAAGACGACCCATTTCAAAGGTGCGTCATCCCTGATTTGTAGACCCCTCTTTGACCATTCAATAGGGAGGCTGGGATACGCTTGTCTCAACACCGTGCTGCGGGGGAACAAGCCTGACAGCATCTTTTGCTCAAGGACCTGTCGAATTGCTAGCATCGAGGAAGAAGGTATGGAACTGCCCAAAGGACTCGCGATGATGAATGTCCGCGACCTCAAGACCATGATCCAGGTGCGTTCTCTTGGTCTCTTCCTCGTATGTCTCTAACAGATGCAGTGGAATGAGGACAACAATATCCGCTTCATGCGCATGTCTTCTGAAATGTTTCCTTTCGCCTCTCACGCCAAATACGGCTATGACCTGGCGTTCGCGGGCGAGGCGTTGAAAGAGGCAGGGGACTTGGCCAAGCAGTATGGACATCGATTGACCATGCATCCGGGACAGGTAAGCGCTTCCGCTCTATACTCGGGATGTTACTGATAATCCACAGTTTACACAATTGGGATCACCAAAGAAGGCAGTCATTGATTCTTCGATCCGCGAATTGGAATATCAGTGTGAGATTATGGATAGAATGGGGCTCGACCAAGACGGTGTCATGATGTGAGCTGTCCGAGCCATTGATAGAATCGGCTGACGTGAACCAGCATACACATGGGAGGTGTCTATGGCGACAAGGAAAGCACGTTGGCCAGGTTTAAAGAGAACTTTACCACGAGGCTGCCTAGAAATGTCGGCAATCGATTGGTGCTGGAGAATGACGAGGTACGTCGTACCAAATACTGTTCAAGGTCTGAGCTGATCTCTCGAAAGATCTGCTACAATGTCGATGACATTTTCCCTCTCTGCGAGGAGCTCTCCATCCCCATCATCTTTGACTACCACCACGACAGCATTAATCCTTCCTCCTCCCCCCCTTCGGTTCTCATCCCAAAGATCGCCGAGCTGTGGAAAAAGAGAGGCATCAAGATGAAACAGCATCTGAGCGAGCAAAGGCCTGGAGCCGTGAGCGTAATGGAGAGGAGGGCACACTCCGACAGGTGTCAGAATCTACCGGAAGAGCTGCCCGAGGACGTGGATTTGATGATCGAGGCAAAGGATAAGGAGCAGGCTGTGTTTGAGTTGTATCGAATCTAGTGAGTGGTCACCCGGATTCGCACTTCAGCATATTGACCCGTTCCACAGTGGGCTTGAAGATGTAATTCACGACAATTTGCGTCCCCCTGACCCCAGTCCCAGCATGCACACCAAGGGCAGGAAGAGCAATCTCAAAAAGTAAGCCACTGCCGTCGTTCCTTGTCTTAAATCTAACACTTGCGTAGAAAGATCAAAGAGACGGGCGAAGTCGACTCGCAAGGGGAGCCCGTCCAGCTCACTGAGATCGAAAAAGAAGGCGACGGAGGTGAAGGAGTTGATGCTACTTTACCCGCAGCCGAGGATCCTGGCATGGAGGTTGACGGACTAGAGATGGAGGGTGAGGGTGACGTCAAGCCCAAGAAGAAAAGAGCGCCCAAGGCGAAGAAGGAGGAGGCAGTGGAGGAGAAAGGAGAAAAGCCGAAAGCGAATAAGAAAGGCACGAAAGTTGGGGCGGAGAAGACTGGCGATGAGGGAGAGAAGCCGCCTCCCAAGAAGAGAGGTAGAGCCAAGAAGAACGAGACGCCAGTCAAAGCTGAAGAGTGATTGATCCGTTAGACTATCGTTACAGTAACATATGCAGAAAGAAGCTATGCAGTGCCCATCGTTCCGAGCATACTCGTAGCCTGTCGCCGAACTGAAATGTCAGACAAACAAGGTTTGCGCCGATCGCCGCCAGGCACCTAGAGTTGCACGCAATCAACAAAGACAAGGAGCGGTGAGATGCTGGTGAATACTCGTTCTCGCATAGACAAAGCCGCCGCCCACATCAACAGCAGCATGCCCGCCGCCCCCCACAGCCTACCTCTCCCAGTCCACCCCCCGTAAGCACACCCCTGCACCCTCCGCCAGCTGCTCACTGACTGCGTTATCGCTTGTTTGTCACTTTCCCAGACCCACTGCCCTCCCTCCACAGCGCTCCGTTACCAGCGGCGACGCATACCGGCCACCCCCTAATATCCCAAGGGCCCGTGCAACTGGATCCCGTTCAAGCCGCGCATCGCCTGTTGGTGCTGGCCGTGGAGAGGATATGCCCATTGCCATCGACCGTGGCGTTGAAGGTATTCCTCCCGGGCCCCGGCCTGTTCATCGCCCAAACGCCCCCCTTGCATACATTATGGGCCAAGCCATTCTCGCCTCGACCCTCAAAGGGCTCTCTCTCGAGCACATCTACCGATGGATCGAGACTGCTTTTCCTTGGTTCGCCCACGAAGATAATTGTGGCTGGAGGAACTCGGTCAGGCATACATTGTCGATACACAAGTTGTTTGAAAAGGTCGAGAGGACTGAACTCCACCCGCCGGGGAAGGGCGGCATATGGCAAATCGCAGATGGAGAGGAGTGCCATTGGGGACAGGGGACGTCGTTCACAAAGGCGTTTCCCGTGGGCCATTTCCATCATGGGAAATGCAAACAGGTGTCGTGGGAAGAGGGCAAAAGTGGCAGAGGCAAGGGCAAGAAGAAGCGCCTGTCCGACAGCAGCGAGGATGGAAAGGTATGTCTATCTGTTTGTGCATGTGGTCCAGCGCTGATCATATGCAGTCGGCCAAGAGCGAATCCACGACTCCCCTCGTGCCCCGCAGTCCCGCGAAAATGGAACGACCAGTCGCGCTCCGTCGAATGAGCTCTGGCACCACAGCCGCCTCTTCCAGCCTTCCCGTCACTCCTCATCTGGAGACCACTCCTACACTCCCCTCAATCACGGAGCTCACCAACTTTTCGTATGCTCCTCCGGCTTACCCCTTCCCAGAGCGGCCTTTGGCTCACGGACGAACCCACTCTTACGAAGAAGAGCATCAAGCCAAACGCCCCCGTTTGTCCTCTGAGAGTCTGCCACCAATCAGCTTGAAGTCCCGCAATCCCCAGGGCGACATTGTGCTGCCTCCCATTCCTGCATTTGAGCACCTCCCTCCTCGTTATTCGGCCACCAACGCAGACTCGTTCGAAGCGGAGGTCGCATTTGCCTCCCGATACCGCCGAATACCTGCCAAGCAGACTTCGTACGAGCGTTACTCCAGCTCCTTTGAATCCGAATCCCTTCCGGGGAGTTCGCCTGAGAGCCGAAAGTTTCAAGACTATGGCTACGGCAACGAGAAGGCAGCAAAGTGGAGAAACAGGGTGGAAGTGGTAGAGGTCGACGACAGGAATGATGAAGAGGCGACTAGGAGGACGCCTTGGAATGGCTTCAGGTTTTGGGTCCCTTGATCAATTGCCATCCTTGTCATATGGCCATGTCGATTTGTTTTGAGCCGCTGTATTTGTTTGTATCACAACTACGCTATCAGTTATATACAATGCTTCTAGTTACGATCGCGAATAGCTTTTCTAGGCTTGAATTTCTTGCTACGCCCACGTTATACATACCAAATTGTACTTTTAGTAGATCTACCCATTTGTTTTTGACTCACCAGAGATAAAGGCGCATAGAGTTTTTCAAGATCATATGTCTATCATGTATGTCATACTGCCGTCATCCAGGAGCACAACGTCCATTTTGATGCGTCGCTGGACCCCCGTACTAGTGTGCAGGACCAAACAACAAGAAGGATCGCTGCAGGTCAACATAAGAGTGAACCAGTTAGCGGGACCAAATGCGATTAGCGGAGCCTGTTAGCCCTTTTACATCTTACATCTTGACGAGATTAAACAGCTTTGCTCGTCTTTCAAGCTTTCTCTTCCTCGATCATACACCGAAATGTCCTCCCGAGCTCCCCAGCAGTCATCCTACCACGATCGGTCCCCGAGATATAACCGCGATACTCGCGGGGGCGACTACCGAAGAGACCCAAGAGACCCTAGAGAAGGAGCTGGAAGGGCGAGGAGCCGGAGTCCTACAAGGTCCCGAAATGACGACAGTAAGAACGCCGCCTTGTCTCCTGTGCTCGAGTAGCTGACGTGCTTCAACAGGCTATAGGAGGGACTATAACGACCGCGACAGGTCGGATAGGAGAGATCGAGACTATGACAGCTCATCCCGGCGTCAAGGGGGAGGATACGAGCGTTCGCGAGGCAGCGAGAGAGATAGAGGAGGGGAGAGAGACTGGGAGCAAGAGAGAGAAAGAGAGTACCAGAAGGAACGAGCGAATCCCAACAATGATCCGAATTACCGTCCTCGAAATGACGACAGGAGCGGTGGCGGAAGAGCCGGCTTCCAGGGCTCGTCAGCCCGGGGTGGAAGAGGAGGGTTTGTAGCGGGTCGAGGAGGCGGGAGTCAGTACGGCGGCGGCAGAGGAGGGTATGGTGGTGGGGGCAACGGCAGCGCAGGGTGGGACGGTAGGGAGCGAGACTACCAATCTATGGACAGGCGAGCTATCGAAGAAGGCCGTCGAAGAAGAGAAGAAGAACGAGCTATGGGGTCGGCTAGAACCGAAGATGGAAGAGTCAGCGATCCTCGTGGTATGTCAAGACCACACGTTAAGATGTGTCTGGTCGCTAACGAGCTTTATAGACATGGAGAGGGGTCAAGAACCTTATGGCAGAGCAGAGTTCTTCGAAGGAGAGCAGGAGGGAGAAGTCGAAGACGAGCAGGACGAAGCCGAAGCGCAGATGGCTGCTATGATGGGATTCGGAGGGTTCAACACTACCAAGGTAAGTTTAAATGATAGTCCCAAACGATGAAGAACTACATGCTGATGGATACGATAGAAAAAGAACGTGCAGCAGAATGTGGAAGGAGGGGCCAATGTGCACAAAGAGAGGACATGGCGACAGTATATGAACAGGCGTGGTGGATTCAATAGGCCCTTGGACAAGGTCAAGGACTAGGTGTGTAATTATCAAGATCATGATGCATCAGATGGTGCTACAGGCATTCAAGTCGCAACTATAATAGCAACAACACCAAAATGTACTTCTTCCGTTCTCTGTCCCCTCTACTATAGAAAGACCTCTGCACTACTATGACATTTCCGGCTGAGTGTTGGCAAACTTGTTGAGAATATAAGTAAGGAACATTGTCTCATCATCCGGTGCACTAGTTTCTGAATTTCTACAGAGAGTCAGCTGCCATCGATGAACTATTATATGTGTACGTACCCTTCTTCTGTCTGAGGAAGAGCGAAAGGATTGAAGCCGCCCCCGTTGTTCCTCACGTCCAGCCCCAAATCATTAAAATCGAAAGACTCGAATGTTGCGTTACCGAATTGCGGGATTCCTCCATCCCCGAGCCCATCCACAGTTTGCTGACCTGGAACAGTCGTCAATGACGAGGATGACCCAGCGGAGGGAGCCTGGTCCATATTCGAGGCAGGAAGTTGGGATTGGAAGAACCCTGTAGCAGCATCAAACCCGCCCAAGGTCTCATTGCTAAAGGAAGGCAAATCGCTAAACCCACCATACGGCGACAGACTCAGATTGCCTCCTTGGTTTTGTGAAGGCGAGGTTTTGAACCCTGGAAGACCGTCAGTGAGCTGTTGCTGTGCTACATGAGCCTGGGCGGAAGCTTGGGTCTGTTGGCGTTGGGAGTTCTGAAGGGCGAGGGCCATCTCAGGGGACCAGTCGGTAGAGTCTGGGATGGACCCATCGGCTCGCCTTGTAGGAGGGGGCTGGAGAGGGCGCGGGACACGCTGTTTGCTGCCGTTGCCGAAAGGCTGCTGAACGTCCAGTCCAGGCATGGATGGCGCGACATAGCCCCAAGGACTGCTTGAAATCTGCCCAGCACCGGCATTGCGCTTGGCGATCTGCGATTGCTCCTCCTTCTCCCTTGCAGCCTGCAGCCTCAGCTGTCTCTTTTCTTCCTCTGCTGCCCGCTTCCCGCTCCTGGTGGTAGCTAGGTTGAGCAACAAGTCCACAGGCGTCTGGTCATCACCTCCGGCGCCGGCTTCTGCGGAGCGGGGCGGAGGACGGGAAGGCTTGTTTTGGGGCTTGGCGGTAAGGAACTCTACTATGGCGAGTTCTTCTTTGACGAGGGGCTCGGAGAGACGATTTTGGCTGTCGGGCAGGCGACCGGATACCACGTTGAGTAGTTGTCGCAGCTCGTCGGCAAGGGCAGAATCTGGGTCGACTGGGAAACGTCAGAACAATCTCACGACTCGAGTGCCATTGCTCACGCTTGATAGTAACACCCAGCACCATATACGAATTCAACACTCGATACCCGCCACTGTTCACAATCAATTTGCCCTTCTCCATGACAAACTCTCTTCTGCTCATCAGATCTGCCCTTGCACTCTCGATAGCTGCCGTCTTGGAGTAAGAGTATCGGCTATCTTGAGGCTTTCTTCTGAGCAGATAAGGTCGGTTGAGCGTGATTCGCGTGTAGTACCACTCGCACGCCAAAAGGTGTCTCTGTACAAAGAGGTATGGATGCGACTTGTCAAGCGATGTGTCGGGATTCTCCATACGGAAGAATGACGGAAGATTGTCTCGCCACGTGAGTAGCTCTCGATCCAAGGAAACGACAGTGCTGTATTCTGGCAATTGGATCGCAAAAGTGTGGTAGGCGATGCGGCCCATGATCTCGGCAAGTTTGTGCCTGACAATCACGTACGTATACGACGTGGGCACATTGAGTGGATGACCAGCAGGATCAAAGTCTCCACTTTCCACCTCTTCGTCATCCAGATTGGCGGGCGGCTGCGTGTCGGTATGGGCATCAGAGATGGATGCCGGCCGGCCAACCAGTAACGAGATGGTTCTGTCGATATGATACAGCATCGCCCACGCCCTTCGCCTAATCTCGACTTCCTTCTTGTCCGTGATGTTGAGGACGGTGCCATCGCGATAGAGACCGATTTGAAAAGCGGTTGTGACGGGCGCGCTGCCTTCAGCGGGCCGACGTGTGAGAAGCATGTAGCGAGAAGCGAGGAGACCGGCGAAGAGGACATCGAGGGTGTCGCGCTGGAGGGCTTTGGCATATTCGAGTCCACTCCGGGCGGATCCGTAAAAGCGGCGCGACCAACCGACTTGTTCGTCTCGGGGAACCAGCTCATGGGGGGCGGAAAGAGCGGCGATCGCAAGCTACAAGGTGCGTTACTTTTGGCTTTGAACAAGATTCACAAGGTACTAACCACGATAAACATCAAAGGAAGCCATTTCAGGGTGTCTGCATCAATTTTGGGACATGTTGGGTTCCGTCCTATCGAGTCGAAGAATTTGGTGTATCGAGACATGAATGAGAATCGATTAATCTTGTATCTCGTCCAGTCAATATCCCTGCTCGGAATCAGCTGATATGCAGGTGTATATGTGACGTCAGGACTCACTTGAAATACAACTCGACGAGGCCATCAGCCATGCGCCTGCCTGGAACACCGGCAATCAACCACTCGAGATGTCCCTGCGAAACACCACTTTCCTTCAGAGTCTGAAGTACTTCCCGAAGCTCAAAGTTGTCGTCCGGCGCTAGGGATATCCGTCTGCCTTCTCTCAGCCCCCAGCCATAGCCTGTACGCCCCGGTGGGGTCGCATAGGACATGTTGGAGGGGAAGAGGCCAGATGGCGGGGGTTTATGTGGCATCGTTACGCGAGGTGCGGGGTCTGGCGGCGTAGCGTGGGGATGAAAGACGTCTTCTCCCGAGGCAGTCAAGGAAGAGACGTCGGGGGAGCCATTGTCAGTGTATGCCCGGGCCAGTGGAGCCACAATGGCAGAGGCACTTGTGGACGCAGTGGCTGGCGGTACCGATGACACCAGCCGAGCAAGAAGAGACTCGATATTGCCCAGGCGTGCGTTGACGTCCGAGTTGCTGGGCAGCATATCAGCATTGCAGTCGGTTTGGGAGTAGGGGTTTGACTCACGCATTGGGATCCTCTACGCCGTTGAGGAAAGGTCTGCAGAGATGAGGAACACGTCGCGCGACACACTGCGAGCAGGGCTCTTTGCGGTCGCACTTTTGTTTTCTCCTGTGGCACTCGACACATGAAAAGTGCACCCTCGTGCGCTTTGGCTCGCGGGCGGGTTTGCTGTTTGATGATGAGGCGGCATCGTCGTCTGTAGATGGGTCGATGCCGATGGACTGGCGTCTCTTGTCTGCGACAGAGGTGAGGGCGGGAGAGGATGCCTTGCGTTTCTTCCCGGGGGCGGTGTTGAGGGGGGGCTTTGTATCTGAGCGGTCTGGGTGTGCGCCGGTGGCGGGCTGGTCTGGCATGGCGATGTTGAGTGATGATGTTGAGTGATGAAGCAGACCACAGACTCTTGCTCTCCCTTCAGTTATTCTCTCCGGGTATCTCCCTCGCTTACCGCTTACCGCCAGCCAACCCCAGCCGGCCTGTTAAGCAGCGGGACCAGATTCACACGGGACCTAATTGGCAGCCCGGCCCTCGCCGCCACACGCGTCTGTCTTCGCGTCGTGTTTGCTTTGTTTACTTTTCATCCACCAACAGCCATGGCCTCTCCACCACGCTCCCCTACAGGCGCACCCACAACAGACTTTGCACTCATAGAGGCACAGAAGGAGAACATCCGCCCACTCGCCACCGGGCGCTCAGCTGCCACCCTCTCTGCCGTGCTCAAAGAACCCTCAGCCGCAGAAAAGGTCGTGCAAGAGGGGCACGACAAGCACAGGCAGGCTATCGAAGAGGCCGAGAAGAAGGATAAAGCTGTCCAAGATCAGGACGATGACCTGGCCCTGCTGGGTGATATCCTTGATGTCTACAACAAGTGAGTTGATGCCGTGCTCGTTCAGCGCTCATAAGCCTCAGGTACATTCTCTTTACCGTACAGCACCACCCCTCCTCCGATTTTCACCTTCTCCCCCTTCTCGAAACCACCACACGCCGATTCGTCAATGATCCACGATACCAAATGGATCCCCGCTATCTGCGGCTTTGGGTCATGTATGCGCGTCACATTGAACGACGCGAAGAGATCTGGGCATTCTTGGAGTCACGCAACATCGGTACCGACTTTTCCCTCTTTTATGAAGAGTGGGCGACAGCTCTTGAAGGTCTTGGTCGCCGCAAGAAGGCAGACGAGGTGTACAGAATCGGTATAGCGCGCAAAGCCAACCCTGTCGAGCGCCTCAAGACCCGACACAAACAATTCCTTGAAAGAATCATGGCACCCCCCTCTGGTGTCGTACCGGACGACGACCCAGTCCCCGCCTCGTCTGCCCGCACGCCCTCTCGTGCTGTGCTCGGCCAAGTTCGTTCCGGCCCTTCATCTTCGGTGGCTGGGGCTACCCAGCTGGCACCTTCTATGCGGACTTCGTCTGTCAACAACGGTCGAAAGATAGAGATCTTTGCAGATGCAGAGGGAAACAAAGATGAGACTTCGGCGCCAGAGTGGGCTGATTTTGGTACGCGAGATGAGAGGAGAAAAGAGAATACTGCCGAGGCTGGACCATGGCAAGGCGAGACCCTGCCACAGAGTGCCAACAGGGGTCGAGTGGCACCGCGGACACCGAAAGTTGCAGTTTTCCAGGACAGTGTGCGTATTTCCCATAAAAGGCTTTGATGATGCTAACATTTCCACAGACTGAACAAGAGTCTGCCCGCGTGCAGGGTGCTTCAGAAGTCTTTTCCCGACATAGGCAACCGCCAACCGAAGCAGAGCTCCTTAAATCAGACCCTTTGCGCCACTATGATACTTCAAGCCTCTCTACCGACCTGCCTTCACTCCCTGCCCCTCCCTCAGCCCGTAAGCCGCCGAGGCTTACCAAAGTGGCTGCTCCTGCTGCCGGCGCAGCACCAGCTCCTGCCAAGGCTGCACAGGCCAAATATGTGATGCAGCCCTGGACTTGTCCCTCGGATGGCCCACTCGTCAAGATGGCCAATGGAAAGCAAGAAAGGCGAATGTTTGACTGGGACATGGTGTACAAGGATGGCGACGAATACAACTTTGAGCAGATCCGGGCCAAGCAGCGGGGGTTGTATGGGCGGGAGGGAAGGGGTGAAGTGCAAGCTTGGGAGAGGGAAATGCACAAACCGGGATGTGAGTACATTTTGAGTCGTTGGATCATGACTGATGCAGAACAGCTACTTCACCGCCAAAACCCAAACCGGTAGAGTCTCGCAAACCCCCATCTCCTACCGTCAACACCAAACTCGCCGAAGCCGAAGTCATGAGCATGTTTGATCAGACTATTCACGGAGGCAAGATGAATCGAGATTCAGACTCGGAATCTGAATCTGAATCCGAATCTGAAGAGGATGGCGGAGTGCAAATTGCCCCTACGCCTCTACCCAATAGGACAGGTAATGTTCAGATGCTCGCGCCGACACCTGGTGGCTTTGTGCCTCCCACACCTACACCTTCTGCGCCAAGTCGCCTGTTCAGCGCTCCAAGCTCGCTGCCCACCATCTCAGATGAGAATGGCAAGCCTTCAAAGCCTGTGGTTTTCTCTGATGAGAACAACGTCCCGCCTCCCTCGGCCAAAAAGTTCAACATCTTCAGCGACGATGCCTCTGCCCCGCCTCCTTCGGCCTCGAAGCCTCGCGCTTTCGGGATATTCTCTGATGAGAACCAAACCCCGGCGAGACCTACTGCCGCTAGTCAAGAAACCCCTAGACAGCCATTGGCTGCGAGCAACATCTTTTCGGCTACACCGGCTGTCGCCCCCCGAAACCATGGACTGGGCCGTGTCACCGAGGCTATTGTAGAAGAAGAGGAGGAGGAGCAAATAGCTCTACCCCCGCAAACCGAGGATGCCGTCGAGGATGTCGTCGAAGGCGTAGCCTCCGCATCACTCGATGAGCCCCCTGCCGAGCCGCATTACTATGACAAAGAGGAGGATCAGCAGCCTCGGGGTATGCGGAGGTTCAACATCAACATGATGACACCCATTACCGAGAGGACGTGTGAGTATACGCAATTCATTGGCGCGTCTGGTGTCGGCAGAGAGAGTCTGGCGAGGAGGCTTGAAGAGGAGGAGGAAGATGAAGAGAATGAAGAGACTGGAGATAAGGGGAACTCTGGAGCTCCATCAGAGTTTGACGAGAGCGGTCTCGCTTCCGGTGACGTGCGGGATGGTTTCCAACTTCCTGATGGATTTACCATCCACCAGGCTGAGGAGCGGTCCGACATACATACCATGGTGCTCGTCGACGGCAAAGATGAGGGTACCGCGACCACTTTGCAAGACAAGAGCGTGTACCACACTGCAAACGGCGACCAGATAGGTGCCAGTGAGCTTGCGGATCCTTGTGATCCCACTGCTGAAAGCACTGTCACTGCTCTACTCAACGCTATCGACCCTCCTTTGTCAGAGCTCCCGGGGCTTGTCGACAACCGCTCTACTGCAATCAACAAACTAGATGCTCTTGAGAAGCACGCCCGCTCCAAGTTGCGTCGCGCGAGCACCTCGTCTCGCACCTCAACCTCTGGAGACGACCATTGCACCCTCACCCTCGCCGGGGATGACTTTGAAGTCCACGACAAGTTGGGGCAAGGCGGCTTTGGGATAGTTTTCCTAGGTGTTGATATAGCCTTGAGAAGGGCGCAGGATGATGCGGATAGCGATGATGAGGAGGACGAGCCTGTGGACAGGTCGCAGGTGGCTATCAAGGTGGAGAAGCCTGGTATGATATGGGAGGCCGTTGTGCTTGACCGTATCCACAGCCGGCTTGACAAGGCATTGCGCCAGTCTATCATCCAACCTCGGAACCTCTACCTGTTCCAGGACGAATCGTACCTCATCCTGGATTACTGCACACAGGGCACTCTTCTCGATGTCGTCAACAAGTCTTCATCCATCTTTGGCAATCCCGGTCAGGGTGTCGACGAGCTGCTTGCCATCTTCTTTGTCATTGAGCTTCTCAGGCTTGTAGAAGGACTGCACAGCGCGCAGTTCATCCATGGTGACTTGAAGATTGACAACTGCCTTGTCCGTATTGCAGACCTCCCAAACTCTTCATGGTCGGCTGCATACTCGCGTGCCGGCTCCGATGGGTGGTCTCAGCAGGGTCTTCGTCTCATCGACTTTGGCAGGGCTATTGACCTTTCTCTGTTCCCTCGAGGTACTGAACAAACCTTCCAAGTGTCTCACACCGTTGATGACAAGGATTGCACCGAGATGAGGCAGGGCAAGCCGTGGAGCTACCAGACTGACTACTTTGGTCTGGCTGGAGTGGCATACTGCATGCTTTTCGGCAAGTACATGAAGACGATAATCAGCGAAGGGAAAGTCAAGATCGATCAACCATTGAAGCGCGTAAGTTGATTTTCCGTAAACCAACAAGCTCCATCAAAGCTGACGTTTACATAGTACTGGCAGCCGCAACTATGGCAGCCACTCTTTGACACTCTTCTAAACCCAGGCCACTCGCTTCCCATCACCAATCAACTCACCACTATTCGCGAGGAACTCGAGGGATGGCTGGAGGACAACTGTCAGAAGGGAGGGAAGAGTCTGAAGAGTCTCTTGAGGAAGATTGAGCTGGCGGCTACGACGGGGAAGAAGATGTGAACGATCTCGAGGCTTCTGTTTGGGTGATCGAGAGGCTGTACTAGTAGTACATAATGATGGACATTTTTAGTTCTGCTGTATGAATTAGTCGCTGCGATTTCATCGTTGTACAAGTATTGAGTTGTACTCGTACTGTACAAGTATTGTGTATTCATCTGCAGCACATGAGACCCCATGGGAGGACTGCTTGGAACCATGATCGTCATGCATATTGTGCGGACCCGCCGCCTGTGGAACACGAAGCAGGGGAAGTGCCCGTTGACCCTCAATCTCAGTCTCGTCTCTGCCCTGTATCAAGACCTTCTTCATGCCAGTACGTCTGTTCTCAGGACCCACTTATCGCCAACGAGCACTTCGCCTCCTTCATGCCGCATGCACCCCCCGCCACTGACCCCGTGCCAATGAAGTAGCATCCTCCCGGCTTTCGGTTCTACCGATATCTTCTCTGTTGGACCTTTCTTCGTTCCAGCACCTTTGCCCTTCTTCCCTCTTTTGCCGGTATCTTCATGTGGGTAGAATATGGTCTCGCCCCCTTTTACACCGTCTGATAGATAGACAAGTACCGTCCAACAGCTGAGCCTCCTTGACTTCAAGTCGAGTTGTGGCATGTCATAATGCTGGCCGAAGAATGTTTTAGGTGGGTAATGGTACACTCTGATATTCGGAGAGCAAGCTGGATTGGGAGATGTATATTCAGGCGTGATTTGCGAGAGATATGGTGACAGTAGGCTGAGGAGGGTGGA